GCCGATTTAGCAATTATTTTATATCTAATAATATAACAGATTTTTCAAATAAATAGAACCGTGGGCTGTTTTGATAATTTATTTTTTTTAATTTTTTAACACATTAGTCTACGATTTCAAGCCTTTTGTAGGATATCTCCATATCAAATATATATATCATTTCGAATGTTTTTATTAATTGATTTTTCTGTTTACCTGTGACGTTTGAAAAATTTGCTTACATTTAGAAATTAAATTTCAATTATAACTTTTTGTCATCAAATGATATGTTTCTCTTATCTCCTCTGATAAAATAAAATTAGGCAAGTATGTCTTTCCTTTCGTCGTTAATACTTATTGTGTTAAAAGAATTTTTATGCAATAATATTATTTCAAATTCAGGACTATATATTTGTCGTTAAAACTTTTTGTATCTATAGTGATATATAATTATTTGTCGGCAAATATTTCCTTAATTGTTTATTTTTAATACGCTTTAAAAGTTTACAAGTTTTTTTTAAATACAATTATTTTATAAGTATGGCATAAACTTCGTGACTAAAACTTTGTGAACTTTTGTTTATTAGAAATTCTTAACAGAGCTCGGAATAATTTTTTAAATTGATATTTATGATATGCTAATACTTGTTGGACCTATCTCTTTCAAAATAATTAATGTATTAAGAATTTGTGCTTTATAACATATTGATATAATGTGTAGCAGTGTCGCTCCATTTTTACAATCAGATTTTACTGAAGCTGTTGAAAAAGATGTAAAAATAGTATGTTATTTTCAATCTTCAGTACTAATAATATTCAATTACAGTAGATAGATTCAATGCTCGCTTATCATCATTTCCATTCAAATCAAAATGTAATATAAAATTTACCGAATAAACAAAAAAGGATAAAACTTCATCGGAAAATTATAGTAGTTGTATATAATGCTCCCAAAAATTAAGGGAACAAAGGAAATTTGCAAATTTTCAGGTGAATTTCAAAAGGTTGTATTTCAATGAAGAATGGTCGTACAGGAAATACAAAAACAAAGCTCTTTTTACGTTATGTTTTTCACTCTACGCCCGAGCGAAGCGAGGGTGGAAAGGTACACGAGACGAGAAACTCTTTCCCGAACATGTGCCGTACCGTATTTTTTGATACGACGTGCGGAAAGTGCGATTTTCAACGCACGTTTTTTGCCGAGTGTGCGGGAAAGACGCACTTTCCGCACGGAGTGTCGAAAAGACTATTTCCAATGCATTTTTTTGCTTAAACTATGCAATTATATTAGAAATGATTATAAATAACTATGTGGATGCATATTACTAAAATTAATTGTGTGAAACGTTAAAAATGAAAAATTCCTCATCAAATTCTTCAGTATAATGGTTCAGTATAGCGGGATCTTCGCATATACTTACTCCGTACGCTACCTGAGTGTATGCATGGGTGTATCCGCGTGCGTGTATATACATGCGCGTAATTCCTTTTAAGATTACTCAAGCACAGCTGCTCAATAAAAAAAAATAACGATTTGTTGTTTGCGTAACATATAAGAGAATGATTAAATTGATGTTCGTGAGAATTTTGACTGTCTGGCTTGTTGACATGAAACGTCTATATTGGCGTTACGAAATTTTCAGCGTACGAGAGCTAAGCGAGCGTAGAGAGCGGTCTACTTTCCACTTTTCACTCGAGTTGAGAGTAAGTGAGAGTCCCCCTTCCACCGTACTCACTTCTTGCAGTGACTGCCTGTAAGAGAGAAAGAGAAAGAGAGAGAGAGAGAGAGAGAGAGAGAGACAGATGATAAGCTTTTTTCAATCATAAATCCCTACCTGCAGTGTTAACATTTGATTCATTTATACCATATATTATCGATGAACTACACTGTTAACCTACCATTAATTTGCGTTTCAGGTCTGCTGCACGTCCCGAGACGGGTATTTCATATTTTTATTTTTTTGTAAAGGTTGAGGATTTTTGTTTTAATTAATATATATTTGTTTTGTTACATGTTCTAATGGCCCTCGAATGCACGTATGCTTTTTTTTTGTTTTCACAAGGCTTTCAAGAATTATCTCTTTTTTTACTTTTAAAAACAACTGGACGTTGGTTGTAAAATCTTATTTAATGAAACGTAATACTGCATGAAATGAAACTCCGCAAAAATTGACAAATTCGGAAATAAAAATGTATGTCGATGTAAAAATGATCGATGTAAAAATAGAAATATGTGAGTCTGGTCTTATCTAAAAAATGTAATCAAGAAACTAACATAACTGGCGTATTCCGTCGATGTAATTAGTTGGAGAGGGGGAGGAGGGAGGGGGGGGGGGCAAAATGTCGATTCGACTACTTTAATTGAATCTTTGCGGCACCCTGATTGTAGTGGAGCGAAAAATCGTCTTAACGTTTATGCTTCATATCTGCGCGCGCGTGTGTGTGAGTGTGTGTGTATGTGTGTGTTCTATCTGTGCCAAGGTACGGACTGACGATGTGCATTTTTTCACCATCAACGATAATCTCATATACATACATGCAGTAAACTAGCGCTATGATGATAAGCGTGTATGCGATTCGCTATTTTACTGTGCGTGTCCAAGAAGTTTTTCAGAACGTCTCGATCAGCGTCTGAGCCGTGCATCAACACTGCACTACCGGATATTCTGTTAGAGCAAGCCCGCTAGAATTGCGGATAATCGGGAATGACGTGTGGAATATCAATTTTATTCGGGCAAAAAACACCAGGCTCGTTACTCGATTTCAGAGCTGTGGTAAGTCATGCACTCGATAGAGCATAATTACTTTTGGTCACGAGCTTCGTTACCAAACTGTCTCACGCAGCTGCGGCTAGCTACGACGAGCTCCTAATGCGCCCGCGTTATAAACAATAATATTGCGCTTCGCGGAAAGCTTGGCTGTGTTCGTTTTCTAATGAGCAGCTGCATAAGCAAAATTGTAATTGAAAGTGGTCTAGTGTACATAGGTGAAAGCATTTTTTCTTTTGGCCGATGGTAATTGTGAACTGCAGTTGGCATTGACTATAGCTGTATACCATAGGCTATGATCTATCTGCTTGTTCACTTAGCCAGTTACTCGTGCCAGCTATGCGCAAATGATTTGCCCATACTATATTGTAACTAGTTATCCAATTGGCCAAACTTGAGATTGTCGATCGTCATTAGATCATCATAAACAGAGCAAAATAAAGGACATTTCTGGAAAGTGAAAACGTGGGTGCTCGTTTAATTTGCTAGGTGCCTGCTGTAAGCTAGCTATAAGCTCTTTAATAGAGAATGATCGTGCAAGAAGCCTCGAGTGAGCTAGCTTAACTTTCGAAAGCTGCACCTTGTACAGTCGCGTGCCGTAGCTTGCTTGTCTATAAAATTCATGCAAAATAGGAGGGCACGTTACCTAAAACAATTGCTTAGTGATTCAGTATGGCGCGATTCAAGAGACGAAGAGCCATATCCGAGTCAGAATGATTGCTATAGCATTAGGTAGATAAGTGACTTGCAGTCGCAACGATAAGCAGGCATAAATGTAAGATTTCCAATGAATGTATAAACTCGAGAGCTAACAGACGCCCGCATCCGATTCTTGCTAGTTTTTTTTCTTGTTCTTTAGCTGGGCGACAATCGGGGCTTGTCCGTAGCCGCACGAAAGGCATACGCCACAATTTAGCGCAAAGGAAGATGGCGAGACTGCGAGAGAGCAGACTGGAAGCTCAACTTTAACCAGTTTTAAATCGAGTTAAAGAACTTTCAGGACGCCGGCAACTTTTTCGGAGCTATACTTACAGAAGCCTCTACAGCAGCGAAATGAGAAAGAAGCGCCCTGTCGTCCGTCTTGATTAGCGCAGAAAAGCGCCTTTGTCTCTTGTTCTCCCTTATTTTCCAGCCGATATCTTGCAGCGAATCTAATTCTCGTTATGGCCGGTCCACAAAATATTTGCCTTCCAGTTCTTTTTCCGTAATAACGCGTCTCACATCGAGATATCGCGACTTATCGCAACCAGTCGAGAAGATTACACCCTCTAGCTCACTAGCCTTACGCCACTATAGACTCTTGTTCCTTGGAAGAGAAGAAAACAAAGTAAAACTGTTGTCGATGCTGATCGCGCTCAACATAATTCCGCCTGTCTTTCCAAGTATTCCACTTGACTTATGGCTCCCGCGCAGTCGACATAAGGGCTTCACGCAGGCTGCAATCGGCTTAGTCTTCGAGAGGCTTACTACGTGCACAACTCGTCCAACCAATAGAACATTGAGTAGAACTATATCGCGGTGGGAATGATTAAGAAAAATGAAACAGAAGCGAAGTAATCATAAGAGAAACGTTAGGATTAACGATGCGAGTGCGAATCCTTGATTGTCTAGCGATTGTCGAGCACGTAATTATTGACGATAGCTCTTAGGAAAGAAAAGAGAGAGAGAGAGAGAGAAAGAGAGAGATATATATATATATATATATATATATATATATATATATATAGAGAGAGAGAGAGAGAGAGAGAGAGAGAGAGAGAGACGAGAGAGAGAGAGAGAGAGAGAGAGAGAGAGAGAGAGAGAGAGAGAGAGAGAGAGAGAGAGGAGCCATCAGCGCTTGTTCCACTCAAACCGCGGAGCTATGTTGTCCATTTATCGCGGTGGAATAGCGCATGGGCTTTCGAGCAAGCGCAGTCGAGCCATTAACAACTCTTTTCTCTGCTCGCTGTAGCCCTCGTCTCCAAATATACCGCAGCCACTATTTATCACTTCGCAATAACATAATTTGATTTATCAGATTTATAGAGGATCGCAGTGCTCACGTATAGCGTGTTCATTGAGTCTCCGAGAATGCGAAGCAAAGTGCTGATGCCGTTGAATAATGATAATCCAGTCGAGAAGAATGGAAGCGCTGCCAGCTGCATTAACGAAATGCAAAATTGCAGCGAGCGAGAGTTGAGCATTAAATAGGAAGAAAAGGCAACGATCGTCGGTCAACGCAATGTCAGCGTAATGGCACCAAATTGCGATGCGCACTTAAGTAGCCTCTTGTTTACTTGTCCTTTATTAATTGCATTTGTTCACATTGTAGTTGCAACAATGATAAGAATAAATTAACAATAAAAGTATACATCGGTGAGCATTTATCGTTGTCCGCGCATACGCCCATGTGGATGTGTACATGTGTGTGTGTGCGTATGTCGTAAAGCATGCTATGAAATGTCGTTCGTTCCCTGGAAAGAAACAAATGTTATAGAGTACTACAGTGGCAATCCGTGCGGTATATTTGCTTTGTGATGCGCCGGCAGGTATACGTATGTAGGAGAGCTGTGCAAATTGGTTGGTCATTTTCAGTATTAGTTGTAAATGATTAGTCGTACATCGGAACCGCATATCATTTATTCGGTTATCTATTATTAAATACACATTTGTGCGAGAGCTAAATTATCGATACAATTATGATAAAAATTTGTCAACGCTCCTCAATGTTGATCAGGCATTTTCACACGCACGCACGCACGCTCGCACGCACACAGTAACACTCGACAATATTCTCTGGGAACGCGCGCACCTGAATGAAACACCGCCTTTCTCTCGTCTCCGATGTACTGGGCCGCTCTGTTGGCACCAAGTATTCGTTGTACCTTCTTTCATTATTTTAGTTTCTTCATTTACTTCATAGCACAATATCGAGAGTGTTTCAGTACGGGTCCCATATCCCATACGTTGCTAACATTTTCGGTAAATGTCAAAATTACGCGGCAATTATGTCCTATTGTGGTTCTTGCTTGTTCATATCTGCTGCTTATTTTCCCATTCGAGCTCAACACTGCTTATCGTACATGTCTATATTTACAAATGGTTCACTTGTGAGTGCATGGATGAGTCTGTTGAAATAAATGTTTGTTGTAAAACACGTTATTTCTGTTGATTTAATATTCGGTTTGGGTCCATAAGGATTCTCTGCACCGACAGTAAACAATGACATTAAGCGTGGGTGCAAAGAAAACGACCAAATAATAATCAGGTATAAAATTGCGAGAGAACGTTTCGATGAGGAAGAAAAGATTTACAAGTGGACTGCAGATCCACCAAGCTAAGTCAAGTTTCAACGATTCTAACCAAACGTGAATAGACAATGGCAACGCTAGTAGCTACAAATAGATTAAGACAAGACGAGAGGAACAAAGCTTCCACCGTGAATGCAGCCTAAAGGGAATAAACGATGTATGAAATCGGGGCGATCGAGTCGCACGGCGCACGGGTATTCAAACGAGATCTGCGCAAGAGAGAACGCTGCTTAAGGGAAGTTGTGGTTTTTCATTATGAAAACTGCGTGGATGCACTTGCTTAAGCTTGATATATATCTCGAATCTGAGAGTAGGGAGAAAAAAGCAGGCGAAGGGGAGATAGATCGTGATATGGCCTGCACGTATGACGATCATACAAAAATCGTCCATCGGACGCGCTTACGTGTATTCGTGACGGCGTTGTATTTACACTTGAATTGTTCTGCCAATAACAATCGCAAAATAACGATGTACGTAGGATACGAAGAAATGGGCGCATTTGTCTGTGGTCAGACGGCTGTAGTGGCAAGGCGGGCGGGAGCTAGATTTTCGTCTGCTTCGAGAGTGCGCGCGCAACTCCTCCCTTTGCGTATGTGAGCAGTTCCGTGGAAAAATCCCTTAATCCGGCATGATTTTGGAAGAAAAATCACAACAAAGCGCTTATCCATTTGCTTTATCGTTCTATTCGGTCTTGAACGAAAAACAAATTGGACCTATGACCAGGGATGCTCGCGAACCCGTTTTTCCGTTCATCGAAGAACGAATGTTCGTCAAAAAAAGAAACGTAATTTATCGTGATTATTTAGAAATCGATAAAAAAAGAAAAAAAATTATAGGGTTAATCCCATATTGAATTAAAACTCGAATTCCACGGGATGTAATACGACGACAGATAGGTCTTGGTATATTTTCTTGAAAATTTTTATATCTGCGGAGTAGGTATCAAAATTTTGTTTTTATACACTGGCCCACTTTATAGAGTACATAAAAACTCAAAACTAATAAAACAACAAAGCCGACAGACTTGAGCGTTCTTAAAGCAATAGCGAAGGTCAAAATTCCAACCTGTAGAATTAGAATCTGACGAATTCGGATTTATACTGTCTTTTTTTTATTTGCATGAAAGTGTTGAAAAAAACATAGGAAATCAGGCAAATCTTTTTTTATGTGACAACTTTTGTGGGCAAAAGTTCTAATTGGGCGGTCTAAACTTTATAAAATGCTAAAAGCAAAAAATGACGAGCGTCCTGCCCGGACATTTACATTTGGCGAAATCCCTATCCGAACATTCGAAATGAACATGTGAACAGGCAGTTTTCATCAGTTCAGTGGTTATATTCTTTTAAAAATCAAAAATAGATGAACCCCAGGAGGAGGCTGTTAACATCCGAAAATATAATAAGCACAAATATGTGGCTAACGAACAAGAAAGATATATTAAAAGGCAATTTTTATTCCACACGATGGATTTTTAGTCCATACATGAAATTCACTATGGAACAAAATGAACAATATACGTGCATGAGTTTCCTCGAATAAGATGTGATGATAATATTCGTGTACTACATATATAATTCTTCGCGTCGAGTGGGCGATCAACGGGCAAATTTTTTTTGGTTGTGAAATTGTTTGGAAATGTAATCGGAACGGCTAACAACTGTTTCAACTGAAGTTGCACAGTGCTGGTGCTTCATTCAGTGGTATCTATTATCTGAGAGCGATCGCCGTTAACTTACATTTCGTTGGCGAGATAATAAAAGTGGATGGTGAAGGAAACAGCTATTGCCGGTAGTTAGGCCCGCAGGCTAAGAAAAGTACACGAGAGCGTTTGGTTTACGGGATGGCTGCTGCCGCCGCGCGAGCATCCCTTACACAGAAAAGAACAAAATGTGTATAAATAAGCTAAAGCGAGACCGGAAGTTGGATCGGGGAAATCCTGTGGCTAAGGCCAATAGGAAAGAGAAGACCGGTCAGTCGCCGTGCCTATATCTTCTCGCTAGACCGATGCCTATACATATACTCGTATAACTGGGGCAAACGTACTAAAGCAGTTTGGCAAAAATGACCGGCTTGGCGGTTAGCTTCGAGCTAGAAAGCGAAAGCGACTCTACGGCAATGAACTGACAGCAATATAACGCCGACTGAACTCACTCAAGATTGACAAACGCACGACTACTTGAATTTCCCGAGTATCAAGACGAAGATTAGGACAAGAGGGGAGAAAGCTCTTTGACAAGTTTTAACGATGGCCAAGTTCTGTATAGACGCGCGTGACGGAAGGAAGCGAGCCAAGGGAGCGGCACTGACAAGCGGGTCGTTAGTTTCATGGATCGAAGGATCCATTAGATGCTGCTGTTGAGGAAAAGAGAGGAGGGAGGGTACAGAAAGACAGACGAAGGACGTCTCTCCCGTAGTAGAAGCAATCGATGCCAGCGTTACTAGCGAGGAGGATCTTGCGCGTGCGATGAAAAAAGAGACAAACAAATTCAACTGCACTTTCCTTGCTCGGAGATTGTTCGAAACTGACCGGCGGATATAGACATGGGTACTCTGACCGTGTAATCCAACGAATGAAGTCGCAGGAACCAAGAAGCTAGTCTAGATTGAATGACGACAAGCGAAAGAGGATGATCGAAACGGTGAGAAAAACGGCTTCTAGCTGCGCGCCGTCGCACAAGTTTGCCGTGTGATTACGTATAGCCTGCCCATAGAGGCTCTCAGAAATATAGCTGTTGTAAAGTCAGCGTAAGTATAGGTATATATACAGACACGTTACACTGCCGGCGATCGCGGCGAGCTTAAATGACGAGTGCAGCCACGCACGGTGTTCGATCGGAATTCGCAGCCGCGCTCAGTGTCGGAAAGCGAGAAATGTCGCCAGTATCACGACAAACGGCGGATTGCTGAGGCGCAGTTGGCCGCCGTGCTGCATCGCCGCTGGATGCTCACCTGTAACAAGCCAATGCGTTGCTACTTGAATGCTTGGCAGTTGGATTTGCGTTAGATTGCGCGCCTTGCCCCATTGCTTGCGGAGGCAAGTCCGCGACTAGCGACACGAGCGACACCCACCGTTGAGCACATGGACCGTGACAGTTTTGGTGTTAGCGTTGCTTGGATGGCAGGTGTATTTGCCACTGTCGGCTGGCTGGGCCCGCTGGATCAGCAGGTACGATGTCGTTTGCTCGCCTTTTTCCGTTATCACCGAAACCCCACCCCGAGGACTGTCGTAGTTGATTTCCTGTCGGAAACACAGGCAAATGAGGAAATCGCTGCTGCCCGACAAACGCATTATCGTATCAAACCCCCTCCCTAGTTATGGAAAGCCGCGTAGCCGACGCGCACCTACCTACCAATTCGAACGGACTGCACAGTCACGTAGATAGGATTTGATCGTTTGTCCCTGGTTGCGCGTAAGACGTCGAACTAACTGCTAGCAGAGAGAGAGAGAGAGAGAGAGAGAGAGAGAGAGAGAGAGATAGAGAGAGAGAGAGAGAGAGCGAGAAACGCGGATGAACGAACACGATAAAAACATCCGAGACATTAAACCAATGTCACGAAGGAGCGAAGGAGTCGTAGGAGCGACGGCGAACGAGCTCGGGACTGCTTGGGAAAAACTCATTGGCCCGGGTTATATTATCGGTAGCTCCGGGGCCAGTTGCAACCCAGTATCGATCGATTGATTTACGGCAGGCACCGAACGCTGCGCCTCGGTATTACTTTATACTTTGCGACGCTCTCGATACCAGTTATACGAACAATCAACGTTTCCAATCCCGCCAGCTTCCTACCACGCATCTTCTCTGGTCGTGCGCTCTCGCTCTCTCCTTACGTTCCCTGGAAAATCCGCATGTACTGCAATCCAGACAACCGCGCTAAGAGTGTATCCTATACGCTGCTGCTCTTTGAATAGAAGACAAACGTAAGGTCGCGCTAAAGCTTTCTATGAAAACTCCATTTCCATTCAAACTTCTTTCCTGTCTCCCGTACCCGGACATTATTGTTCAATCAAATGGGCTGATATTTAGCGGATACACTAGATGACTTTGTAGACTGTATAAAAATGCGTGTGCACCCAAAAGCTTAACAGCCTAAGGGCATGTTAAACATGTCTATATCCGAAACTGGCCTTACCTGCTGATCATGGGTCCAGATGATGGCAGGAGGTGGTTCTGGACTATGCAACACAACACAAGTCAGATTCATAGTGCTGCCTCTGTTTATGTACATATCAGCATCCCCTAAGATTTCGGTGACTGGCTCTGCGAGCAGAAACAAAAGGCAAATGTGCTACGTAGACACAAATCGATCACTCTTGTTCGAATTGAAAAACAATCTGATTAAGCAAATTGAAAATCCAGATTGTCGTTTTATTGCACCTTTCTCCATTTATTCCAATACAACTTATTTCATAGTATTCACTCTGTGCTCAAGCCATTTTCGTTTTTCTAATTTATGAGTGATCCATACTGGCGCTTCAGCGATGCGATACGTTTTATTCAGACTCAAAGGGGCTATGGCAGCTAAGTCTGATTATTTCAACAAAGGCTACAGTGAGTCATTAGTAGCCACCACTTGAAAGAAATGACGTATGGAGCTACGAGTGCCGGCCAGTTTTCAGTAGCGAACTTTGATTGGGCTACAGATTTTCCGAGGTAGTAGGTGCGGCAAGTGCATTGCGCATACAGTTACAATCACATTCGTGGAAACTGGCAAAACTTTGGTTTTCATTCGTCAGACTCGCAGGTAGTGTTTACGGGCAAATAAATTTCCAAGTGGCACGAGCGGTTTAAAATTAATGTTCACATTAGAAGGCTGATGTACGGTCTGATTAAATGGATCGGTGCACCTCGGCTCTTGTCGCACAAAAGGACATTATTTAGACTTACTCCGCTACCAGGCAAAATTTGGTTATTATAGAGCAGTGTTTTATGAAAAACTTGTTCGTAAACTTTCCTAAACAGCATTCAACTCGGCTTGAATCGCCACTGTTCTTGAGCATACTTGTAAATTAATTTCCCCGAGATGTTCCGAATAGGTAGTTTATTTTTATCAATGCCCAAAACTCTGCCACGTATACAATAGAATAGCTTCACTTTACGATAAATCTTTCGTGCAAAGCGTTTATCTAAGTTCGCCCAGTAGCAATATCAAGTTTCTCCGAGTTTGTTTCTAGGCTATTTAGATTTTATTTGAATATGACTATCAGACTTACTTTGCTCGCGAACACGAGCGAGATCAACGGTCAACTATGGTTCAATAAAGAGGTTGCGGTCAACGATCCGACAAATATGGAGAAAAGTTTTCCGATCAGGTCTTCGACGCTACCAGCGTGCCGAGCCAGCTGATACGCGAATTGAAGCCACGAGAAAAAGCAAGCGAAACATTCGAATGGAGATAGCTAAAAACGGCGCAAGATGATTCTGCTGCTGTCTGCTTGCTGTTTCAACGTGCAATTTTATTTGTTTGTTTTCGTTGGAGATCAAGCGTACAAAATCCACGAGTGCCGTAATAAAGAAATATCCGTTAAAAAAAGAAAAATCATATAAATGCAATAAAAGCTTCGTGTCGAGAATCGGACTTCGGCAATATAATCAACGATCTTCAAGATCCAAGTAGCATAAAAATAACCTCTTGAAGAGATTTGCGGAGAAACGAAAAAGGTAGGAAACTTGGTTCAACTAACCAACCACCGAGAGATGCATTGAGTGTCCAATGGGCGGTGTCGTCGAGACTTGACACTCGTACGTTCCAGAATCGCGCCTCTGTGCCGATTTCACCTGCAAAGTCCATGTTTGTGTTTGAGGATAGTGCACCGCAACGAAACGAGCGTCTGCTGTATACGTAGCCGTGCCAACGGTCAGTAAGTGGATGTCTTTGTGGCGTACCCACGATACCTATAAACAAATCATCATCAACCTTGAAATAAGGCCTGCATCATTATACCAACAATTATTTCCATAGCCCGCGGAAATTCGTTATAGAAGAGAAAGAATAAATATTGATATTGCTATGTACTGACTAATTTTTATTAAGTTGTTAAACGACTCTACATCACCATTTTCTTTAAAATAAACATTTTAATTTAAACAAAATTTTCTAATGATCATTTATTGGCATAAAGATGTGATAATTTGGCGATGATTCGAACTACTTTTAGTAAAGTAATAATAAATCTTAACAAATCCTTTCGCATCTTAGATTCTTTTGATCGTCGAATATTAATTTGAACTTTTTTGAAGGGTTAATCATATTCTACATCTATTTAAAAGCGCTACCTACTTATCTTCATAATATAACTTTAACCTTATTAGTTTTAGATGCGATTCATTTTATTTGGGGAACGTCAATATTTACTACTTCGATCTGGAATCTCTTGGCCATTAAAAAATGCAAGTGTATATAATACAGCTCGCGAGTGAGTGGAATGGAATAATGAGTGGCTTAAAGAATGAAACTTAAACGATTAGCTGTATGGCGGCAGTATGCATAGTATGCATCTTGATGAGTATATTGAAGTCGAGGACTCGCTTTGGAATGGTTCGGGTCGCTTTTTATTTCATGACAGATAATGTCAGTCGTGTATGAACTGTCAGGATTGGTTGGGGCCGAGCAGGTCCTTACGACGCGGTGAACCTAACTATTCAGTCAGTCTCCATTGTTTCGTCTACGTTCGTGTATTTTTGCTGTTCTTTCGTAGGGACGTAATGAGGATTAAACCATCATGAAATTGAACTATTTGGTACGCAAAAAATTCTTTGATTGTATGCACGGAGAAGCAAGAGTTTTTCTAGGGTCTTTTGTGCGCATTGTAAAGTCTGAAGAAACTTATTATCGAGTAAATGAATCTGCCTTCGAATTAGATTCTGACACGGCTATCTCTGTCTACGATTTTTTCGATCAATCAATGAGCCATGCAACGAGTCGTGTTATCGGCTCGAGTGATCTGCTCCGAATATTATCACTCGAACGTTTCAGTGAGTATTATAGCTAAAGTTATAGCTAAAGAGTATGGTTGAGCACTTTATTAAACTGGTTTTAAAAGGAGCTGGCTCCTTTTTAAAGTTGGAAGATAGTAATTACAATGTTGTTCGCTCTTGGCAGAAAGCAATCACTCAGGACAATAGCTGAAGCTGGAAAAATGTAATATCAACGAGTTGTTAGTATCTTTGAAATTTGGCCAAATTTGACAAGGACTTAACTACAAAAGAGCATGCGACTGGTTGGTCAAAGCTTTACAAAGAGTCCAGGTACAAGCCCGGAATGGCATTGTTCCAAGTATAGCTGCGTTATAAATAAGATTCGGAGCATCGTCGATATTGCAGATGAAGCTAAAATTCGTTTGTCCACTAGGAAATTAATTGCCATCTCGCGTGCACGTGGGCCACGACATTGTCACTGGAATAAGGTGCGCTGATCAAGATAGAGCGCGAACAGTCAAGCCCAGCAGTGAATGTGCCTTGGAACACGGTTGTGTCACCTGCACGTTAAAGGCTCATGAATTGGCGACAATCTAGCCAGCTCGGCGGACAACTGACTGAGAATTAGCAATACCGCGAGATTATCGGAATATGCCCCCCCCCCCCTCCTTCAGACTCGTCTACACCCCGTTGGTAAGAACTTGGCCATGTATCAATAATTATTTGTTTGGAGCTCAAATAATCCGTTGAGGTCAGCTGGCAGTGAAACGCCGGGTGTCAATGATCGAGGTCGAGGCGGTAGGCGCGGTCTAATAGTTAGTCAGGATAAGGTGGCTCAAAGGCGTAGGACGCGAGGCGTGAGGTGTGTGAGTAAGCGCAGCCTCCAGACGCGCGATTGAGTATGGTAACGCGCGAGAGCTCTAGGTTACGAGTGGCGACCATTGGCAGCGGCTATTTGCAGACGTGCCCAAGAGTGTCGAAGCGATGAAAAGCAATCTAGAACAGATGTTTGTTTGAAAAGTATTGCTGCGACTCGGCGAGAATATCGCTGAGTATTGATCGGCAGAAGTGGGGCTTTCGGCCTCGCGCAATGTTTTCATTGCGTGCATAGTGTATCGCGGTATTGCTCGACCACGCCGAATCAGGACGTCATGCTGCAAGCTGATGTTTTGAGAGGTGCAAGCTCCGCGCTGTTTGTCCGACTATTTTCCGCTTACGCTCCTGCGTACTCGAGCTCGAGGCTGCACAAATATCCACGTCGGAGCTGCCGCAACCTCCTAACAATTTATTGCTCCATTTCTACGGAGGATGAAGATCACGGGACCGATTGATATTCGAGGCAGCTTGATGGCTTATTCTATAGCGCGCATCCAATGTACACGTATTAAAGACGCATAGAACACAGTGCCGGAAAGTGACGATAGATCATTGATTCACCTCAGGCTCAATCCGGTCAATAAAATTGGCAATTCAACGATACTATTATACCGTCCTGCTGGCTTGACGGCATGAAAATCAGCAAAAGCTACAAATTCATCGAAACCAAATTAATATTCTTGGGCATTTAATGCATGAAAATTATCTGAAATCGAAGGGAAATTATATTTGGGATATTTTTTGGATCGACAACTTCTTACAAACATTCAATTTTTCTATATTTTAATTCACAACTCACCAAGCACTAGAATTCATTGCTGAGGTTGACCGCTGCTGCTAGAAAATAGCCATCCAAGAGTCGTTTTATCAAGTTTCACATATGATGAATATATATATATATATATATATATATATATCGACAGTAGCTTATCGAGAAGTTAATAACTATTGAATTACTAATGAATTTATTACTTAAAAAATCATGAACAGTTCATTTATTATCTTGGCAACGCGTATTTCTTTTTTTCTATCAAAAATATGAGCTGCATTGTATCTGAAAAAAATGTAGTAGAACTCGAGATATGGTGATTTAATATAAGCTATAAAAAGGTAAGCCGAAATGAGCGGGTCAAATGACCAAAGCTGTTAACGGAAATTATAATACCTTGAGTCCTACTCAATTTTTTTGAAATCTGAATGAAAGAACCAAAATTTTTATTATGAAATAAAAAATAAGTGTCTATTATTCAGATTTCATTGCAATGATGATAAAAATAAACTATGTATGATTTTTCAAAGAATGAATGCCTTAATAATTGATTAGTCGTTATTGCCATAAGCATTGAAATTCGAATTTGGTGAGTAAAAATGGATAAAACAGCATCAGGATGGCTATTTTTGAGCACAAAAACTAAACAATTTTTTAAGAAGTGGTCGGTTCTAGAAATCATAAGTATATTTGTCTTAGAATTTCAGACTGATGGTTTTCATGCATTGAAAGCTCAGATACATGTTCTTTGCTGATTTCGAGGCCGTCGTGTGCCGTTGGGCTTCCTTTTATGGCCACCTTAGAGAGCCGGTCCAGGTATCGTTCGATTACCAAACAAGACAGATAAGCTGGGATAAATAATACAGTGAAAAATTAGCTGCAGTAGGTATGCGATATAATACTGACCGTGCGGTCTGCTAAATTGAGAACGCGGCAGCTGAGACTGGCGGTGGTGCCGACGAGAGCTGTGACGTTATGCGAGGCTAAGATGTCGAAAACCGGTCCCCTATCCAAGGGCTCGATGTCGTGTTCCAGATGTTGCTCCTCGTCGTCGCTACGACACCTGCTCGAACCTGTAACACACGCGTGTGTACGCGCAATCATTTTAATGTTTTTTTATCATTTGTCTAGTGGCTCGCTTTTCTTGGCAAACCCTGCAGCTTTTACGGTGCGATTTGGTTCAATTACTACGTTAGCTGGCCCCGATGGGACAACGCTTGCATTCGTTCGTCAATAAAATATCACTGTCCCGACGACTGACAAAGATTTTACAACAAAGATTAATGAGCGAAATATAAATCTTTATATTCAGACCTACGAATAAGCATTAGCAGTTCCGCTGTTACGGGAAATGTCAGTGCTTGATCAGATGTTCTGGAACATCCGCTCGAATTGCGGTTCACGAACTAGCCTCCAACAGTAACACATTAATCAAGCGCAAGATAAGCCCAGTCACGGTTGAGTACTGATGATAATGAAAGAAGGAGGCAAACGTTGGTTAACGGAAACCCTTCAAGTTTAATAGGGACTTATTGCGTATTCGGCATTGATGGAGTCTCCTACATGGCCTTGCTATTGGTGGAGGTGGTATTGCTGCTGCTGCTGCTGCTGCTGCTCAAGATGATTATGATAATGACAACGGCGGCGGCGTAGAAACAACGAATTTCATTTTCTCTTTTCCAAACTGTAGTTGTTTTGCGATTTCAGCGTAGCGATCCATCAAAATACAAACGTAGTATAATCTTTAATTAGTTGCATAATATAAGTGCACAGTAAAGCGGTACACCTTTAAAGTTTTCGCAAAACAAAATAAATATGCTAACCTTTGCTAATTTATTGCACCGTTCGTGGAAAAGATATTATCGCGAGTACGTGAGTACGAGACATGACTGTCCATACCTATCGCAGATCGACATGGCCGCGCACGAGCGCAGCTGCAACATCGCAGCAGGAGAAAACGATTTCTGCGTTTTCGCAGACTGTACTCTTGTCGATCTAGGACTTGGGCTATATGTGGACTATTGAGTGGGCACCTGTAATAGCTTCGAGTGACAGATTGCATTGTTGCATTTGTTTAGAAAAAGTCTAAGTCGGTAAGCGATCTCGTGCGTGTCATCCAGTTGGAAACGGAGCCCCGGCTTCAGGTGTCAGCGAGGACCTTATAATTTATCCAATACCATTGTTTCTATTATGACATTAACTACAGTAGGTCAGCATCGAAAACGCGACGTTGATAGAGCACGATGGAATATAATATGTTTAGATAAAGCTGTGACATGCCGTAGGGTATAAGGCTACAGTCTTGATGGTAGCTTAGCTCGAATCAGCGCTGAATTTGTCAATAGAAGAGTTGATCGACGTTATCACAACTTACAGCCAATCAACCCAATCAATTTCGAGATTTTGAGAAGCCATCTGATTAAAGGAAAAAGTATTTTACGTGAAATAAGTACATTCAATTTAGGTTTATCGAAAGAATAGCACGAATTTTAAGAAAAACATCTATTTATTAACGATGTTTTCATACATCAAGTCTCATGTTAAATTGGTCAACTTTGATTATAAATCTGTGAAAAGCGGTTACGTGGACTAATGTTTTGGCAACTAGTTTAATGTACTATAGGGAATAGGAAAATGTTAAAAGAAAGTACAAGTTGAGTTGGAATTTCATTATCAGCTGACAGCCCAAACTGACGTGTGCGAGGTGATGCATACAAGTGACGGCGTCTGTGCAGAGGAGAACTTGGCTTCATTTTTATAAGGTAATTTTAATGAGTAAATAGCGAAGTAATACTTGCTTTGAAAATCTAGGCCACACACAAATTGCTTGCAGTAAAGCACAGCATTAATGGCCCGATAATTATCAGGAGGTCCTCGCTGTGGAAGCTGAGATTTCAACGCCATAACTTCCTAGAGCGTCATAAACATCAGCTCAACTGAAAGCCATTTTTCGAGAGAGAGAGAGAGAGAGAGAGAGAGAGAGCGAGAGCTAAACAGAGAGACGGGAGAGAGGGGGGAGTCGTGCACAATGGGCTAAGTCAATATTCATGCGAGAAACTGGCTTTTTCTCAGCGACGCATTCAGCGACAGTTATCAAAGACGAAATTATTCCATTGAAGGAGAGGTTATTATCAGTATAGCGTTCGTCTTCTGGTCTCAAGACTACAATCGACCGACTTTTGACGCGCCTACTCTATCTCGCCGTCGAATGTCTCGAAGCAGCTTACATTAAATATGTGTCCAACTTTTGCTTTGCGTCGATTATTGAATGCGAATTCATGGATAAATACATCAAACAAGTTAAGCTAGTCGAGATTTTATCGATAAAAAGAAAATTTAGCGAAGAAAAAAAAATTCAGATATTTTATCCTGCGGGATTGATTAATGACTAGTTATGGTTTATACGCTGTACTCCATTTATATAAAGCTGACAGGTATGTAATGATCCATCTATCGCTCGTCTCTTTGGACGTTTGGAATGATCGATCTTGATCTTGCAACCAAGAATCATCCTCCATGACAACTCCTGTTGGTTAATTCTTTATGTGTCAAGTTCTACTTGCACACTTTCCTCAAACGGAATTGTCTATTTCTGTACCCATCAGTTGTCCATCGCGGCAGACTATAGATATATAGAGTTATTCGAACACTTTGTCGGTTGCTCACTGCTGCTGTGAAGCTTGTTAAATTTTCTCTCTTCCCTTCGCAAGTGTTTGCACAGCAAGTTTGCACTGCTGTGTGTGCCACTAGTAGCCCCAAAGTTTGCTGGTCCCAAGCAAAGATGCCATCGGTCAGAGTGAGGGCCAGACAGGCTATTAACTTTTTCGTCATCCTCTACCGCATTTAAATGGATAATCAAGTAGCAGATCCCTGCTGCTGTCAGCGCAAACTTCAATTGACACAAGAACCGCTATGATAAGCAGCAATTAACCGGTCACATTGAACCTCGTGAAACAAGTGAGTAAATAACTCGTCACGCACAGGGTGCCACGAGAACAATTGGAAATTCATACACAATGAAGAAGCCAGCCTCGCAGTGAGAACTCTTTAGAAAAGGAGTTTCTTCAATGAAAAAAAGAAGCGGAGCATTTATTGGTAGAAGTTATAATCGAAGTAAAAGAGACTCCTGGAAAGCAAAAAAAGGTTCCAACTTGCAGGTGTAAAGACTTGCAAGAAAACTGAGAGTTTTGTGCGTGTCGTGAAATAGATCGCGAACTATTCACTTTCCTGTCTCTCCGTTTTCCTCTTGATATGCTTCGCACATGCAGGCGAGCAAGAGGGGCTGCTTCTTTTTATCGAAAGTGATTTGACTCGCTGCCGGTGCTTTATTAAAGTAGCCGTACGTGCGAACGCGAGAGCGCGCGCATTATCTCGTATTCGAGCAGCACGTCTCGAGGGCCGAAGTAATTTTTATTAAAACAGCGGTTCCCATCCAAGAGCCGGTAGGGGCGCCCATGGGGGCCGAAAGCAAACCAAGGAAAACTGAGGGTAAAAGCGGGCGTCGCGCTGCACCCGAGGCCACTCGCTGCCCGCGGCCGCAAAAGAGACGATGCCAAGTGTTTCGACGGGTGGCCAAGAGGAGCGCCCGGAGTGGCGCCACTGTGGCAGCGCTCGGCGGACAGCGAGGCTGTCGAGTGGCGAGCCCCGCAAGGCAAACAGCAACAAGCCGCGCGAGTAACGCACTCGGGTCAGCGCCCGCGCGGCACCAGGCGGCACTCACCGGCCAGGAGCAGGCTCAAAACCAGTAGGACGGCCCTCATGTCGACGTGGCGGCCCGCCTGCGGCTGCTGGCGCTCGCTCGTCGCCTCGCACTCATCGCGGCGCGCGCACGCTCATGCCACCGCCACCAACGGCACTGACGCGGCAATAGGCGGCAACTGATCGGGCGCTCGATCACTACATGTTCGTCGGCGACTCTGCGAGTTGCAAGCGGCGCTGGCTCTCGAGCTCGACTGAGGCGACGAGAACCGAGGGATGGCGATCGAAGAGGAGCGGTTGTGGCGCGCGGCCAGGCGCAGGCTGCGCGGGCGGCCGCGCGAGCTGGCCGAGCGGCCGCCGCGTAGGTACAGCTCGGCTGCTGTGCGCCGTTCGGCGCGTGCGCGGCGCCAGCAGCAGCAGCAGCAGCAGCACTCCGCCGTCTCCGCCGGTCGACTGACAGTGGGGCTGAGCCACGCGCCTCCGGCTGGCCACCGAGCTAAAAGTTGGGCTCGCCGCTCGACCCGCACGGCGGCGAATGGCGATGAGACTGCCGCAGCTTTGCTGGCTCCATTGCGACGCCGATGGAAAAGAAACGGCCTCGTAGCTACTGTACGAGATGCCGTAGGCGGTCTTCGCAACGAATTCCGAGCAGATGTCGGGCTTATCGGCGATTAATTAGCTTCCAGATTGTGTTCTAAAACAATGAAAGCAGTGCGAACAGTTACTTCATTGGGCCTTTCCTGGTAACGCGCGAACGAATGATCCGTCTCTTATTGCACGCGGGTCACTTTGAAAACGAAAGGCATAAGAACAAGCCGGATAAGAGCATTCCGCGGGATTATCCCATGATGTATACGGCGTGACGATACATATCGACGAGCGCAGACTGACGTCAATCTTGTAAAAGCTGTTGATTCGACTTTCGCGATCTTGCTACGTCTTGCTTCGAGCAAACTTCTTCTGCCTGAAAGAATGATTCTGATCGAGCGATCGTAGTAGCTCTGTTCGTTGCTTCGATTCGGCAATGGAGTATTGGAGGGCGTTAGGGGTTCTGATTGGTAAGTCGCAAGCACGGCGTCCATCTCGACATTCGATTAGTCAAAATTAACACACTCAGTCTATTCGGTGTACTTTAATGAGCAGTCGATGAAAATCAGTGAAACGACTGATCGCGAAAAATTGAAGCGAGTGAATAGTATAACTGCTGTGTATATCAATCCTAGACTGGCATGGATAAGATTGCTCGAGTCGCGCGATTCAACGTCCGCTCGTTCATGGTATTTCAATGGAGCGCGGCCAGGAGGTTTCGCTCGTCGAAAGCCGATGCACGCGATGCCCAATTCAACCAGTCCTGAGCCTGGCCGATGCAAGTGCGGATACAGATGCACGCGTCGGCCGAATTTCGTTGACGAAATGTCTACGAGGACCGTACGAAAGTACGGCGAACGCGAGCCAAGTTGGAAAAACGGATTCGGGTGACCGCTAGGCGTCATCCGTGACAGTGTATCGTGTATTACTTTATTTCGCAATTTCGCAAAACTTGATGAGTGTTGAATGGACAAATTAAACGACTACGATGAACGATTTCTGACTGCGGCCTTTTACCTTGGCTTATAAATGACATGGACTTATAACTACCACACCTCAACCCGAAGAATCGAATTCTTTTTTTGCATTTCAATGTCAACTAATAATACCTACGAAAAATTCACAAATTGACATTTGACTATCTATTTAGAAAAGTAATGGCTTGCAATCATGGTTCAGGTTGTTTTTGATTTTGTAATGGAACGCAATCCAATTTCTTCCTGCTGCTTACTCTTCCTATCATATTAAAACCTAACAGTTGATTCATTAAAATAATTACTAACAATTTATTATCAATGAATATTACAAACATTCCGCTTTAGGTCGTCCGTAAAATTTGGGTGTTTCTTGACTTTTAATTTTCATAACGAACGTATTTTTTGTGACTATTAACATATAATTCACAGATGACCCAGTAAGTGCGATGAGTTGGGTTTTGGTTGAGTCAGCTTTCACGATGTTTTCATTGTAAATCAACAAAACCTAGCATTTTAAGAAAATAAGGAGCTCAATGCTCTTGACATTTCGAAAATGGCATTTACGCAGTAATCAATGAAGGGAAAGTAGAACGTTAAGAAATTAGGCAATTATACGGGCTAGATAACTATCGCACCTAGCCCACCTAATATCTGATTTCATGAAATATATCCCAAATGACTGAGCTTCATTTGCCGTTGACACACGAAATACCTCAGTCGTTGGCGCGTAATGGCGATGAGTATGATGACCCACTGCTATTTCGACAAAGTCGGTCAACACTTGACTTATCGTGTTTCTTATATGCTTAATTAACAGAAAGTGGAAGTGGTGTGACCGGGGGCGCACGTTCGTCACAACATCAAATTTGTCCAATTTGTCCTCGAAGACCAGCCGGTGTTTAATTGCCCAGAGAAGGTGAAAAGAACAAATAGCGACAGAACACTTGTATAAAAGGATAGGGCGTTGCCACGCCGTACCATGTAGCGCGAGCGACTTACGATTCCGCGTAAGAAGGATGGGGAAGGAGGGAGAGCGACGGAATAGGTAACAAGCGTCCACGCGACGTTTGCGCTCGATTTATACTTGCCATCAGCCCTATTACTTCCTCGCGCCCTCTTATCTCTTATGTTACTCCGACACGTCTGGCACGCGCTTATTTTATGCCTTATTACGCCATTTTTCTTTACACGCTCACTCGCGCGTGCTGCGCAGCCGCAGTGTCATCAGGCGAGAAATTTAAATCATGTATGATATGAATTTTCATCTCCGGTATTTTCAAGATGTGTATCATTGTTCTGATTATTAGAATACTTTCTCGATTCAGCAAGTAATCGTTTCTTAACACATCTGTAACGCGCAGAAAACTTGTCTGTTTTTATAAAATATGTAAAGGAACCTACAAAACGTCAGTTTTACATAATATTTATACCAATAAATGAGCTGTAATAGTTGTATTGAATTGTTTTTACCTATAAAATCCTCGGCGTATCTCTATATGCTTATTACACTGTTACTGACTCGTGTATATATATATATATATATATATATATATATATATAATTTACCCTATAATTTATCCTTTTTTTCTTGTTGATGATTTATATAATTTTGTGTTTTTAATTTTTATTTTCATTAATCTCAATTCTTGAAAATTTGAAAGAAACGTGACTTCATTGATGTTCTATTTTATTGTCCTGTAAATAATTTAATTGGTAATAATAATTAATTTGTTAGTGCATAGGTGGTATTGTATCATTTTTATTATCTTTACAGATATAATGTTACTATCGGTTAAAAACATTTTGCATTAGTAAGTTTTCTATTATACAATAAAATCCCTTGCCTGCTTTCAGTTTTTACATTTCTATCTTATATAATTTTTTTATAAGAAAATAATATACGAAAATTTCATAAATGATATATAATTTCAACAGCACCAATAAGATAAATATGGCACATTTTTTAATCTCCAATAGGCCTAATAACGTAATATATTTATATTTTCTTATTGAAATTAATTAACAGAATTCAATAGAAATTGCTATTTAGGCCCCGGTCCCATAGCTACGTACGGATGCGGACGGATACGGACGCGAATCGCAACTGTAGTAACATCACTAAAAATATCTAGTTCGATTATTTAGTACCAACACTACCAGTAGTGAGCAAAAGTGACTGTTATTTAAAACTGTAGCGCCGAACGTACCACATTTAATGAACGCCTATCTAACCTTTACATTATTGCAATCTATAAGATGGCAAATGATAGAGAATTGATAGACTTTCAACCACAATTAATGGAATTAGGCCTTAATTTTATGGAAGTACTTGAATATATGAGAAGAAGAAGAAGAAAATATATATGAATGATATGTATTAATCATCCCAAAAACTTTTTTTACATTAGCATACTCATCAATAAGCAATATTCATGAAAATTTGAAAAGTAAATTGTAGACCTGACATTTGAACATTAAATGTGGTACGTTCGGCGCTACAGTTTTAAACAACAGTTACTTTTGCTCTCTACCGGTAGTGTTGTTACTAAATAATCAAACTAGATATTTTTAGTGATGTTACTAGAGTTGCGATTCCCGTCCGTATCCGTCCGCATCCGTTACGTACCTATGGGACCAGGGTCCTAGAAATTCGTAGTTCTAGTTACTAATACCAACAGTCGCAACAGATGATTAAATGTCGCTAACTATATACAGCCATCCAATAAACAAACCTAAACGTTTTAAACCTTATCGGCATCTCAGTCAGACCCACTGCCATCTATAGTAAAGTACCTGCAAGTTGCAGATCAGCCGACATTTGATAACCAGACAGCCTGGCATTGATAATTCGTATTAGAGTATCTGCTATCGTTTGTAATGGTTTATCCAAATATACCATATGTAGTTTGGCTGTTTACGCTTGTGTAACCATTACATTTGTTTTATTAACGTTATTTGGACTTTGACCAATAAATTGTCTACGCGGACGTGCAGTGTGTGTTCGAACTTATTTATTAGTATGCGACACTTTGAAGAATCAAGAGCTATTAATGCTTTTATTTTTAAACAAGATAAACCTACGCTATTTCGAATAACTAACTAAATATTAATACTTAATTGTTATTTAGGTTTGTCTTATATATTTAGAAAATACACACAATTTCAACAAACAATGACCAGAAATTTGAAATATTGCATTTCACTGTTGCAAGATAATGAGAAAGATATTAAAAAAGAAGCAGAGCAAATACTTCTAAAACTCTGTAATAATATAATACAAAATCCAGAAAACTCATGCTATAGAACAATTCGATTATCCGATACAGTTGTTTCTAGTAAGCTGCTTGCTGCATTCGGTGCAATTGAATGTCTCTTTGAAGCAGGATTTGTTGAGGTAATGAAACCTTATAAATCATTTGATCCTATAAATCGTACATGTAGCTAACATATGATAACTTTCCATTTGCCAGAGCGATGATGGATTCTTACTGCCAATAGATGCTTCTTTGTCAGGTGTAAGAGAATTGTATAGTCTCTTGAATAGTACTTCACAGCCAATACATTATAATTTAATGTCAAATGGATCAAAAGCTCTCAAGAAACCAACATCACCATCAGTGGAGCACGACAAACCTGCAATTGAGTACCAAAAGCAAGAAAATACTTTTCTACTTCATTTGATGGCTCACTTTCGCAGTATTTTAAGATACGAAGATGAAAACTTACAAAATAAGGTTAGAGCGATTCTGCCTCTGGAAAGACTACAGATTTCTGCAATGGAGAAGCTAAGAGAAATACAAAAGTAAAGAAGTTTGAATGTTACACTAAGATTTGAAATATAATGAGCGCGCGCGCGCACACACACACACACACACACACACACACACACAAATATATATGCAATAAGATGCAAAGAGAATTTTGTGTTACAAAAATCTTAAAGCGTACAAAGGGTTGTAGCTAATTAGTAGATCACGCTAAAGGCTCTTAAACGACAGCACATTAGGGTTGAGATTGCTTTGACGATTTCATCAACAATACGTGTAACAGTCTATATAAAATTTTTATTCTACACAGCATAAATATCTACTCACCGACATACGCATGTAATAAATTTGTGTGTATATGTGCAAAAAAATTATTGTGTGTGTGTGCATATGTATATGTGTGTGTATATCCATATATATATTTTTTTAGAGAGATGAAAATGCAGAGGATATCAGATAACATAGTCTTTGAGGACTTTTTTTTAAAAGAATTGCTGAATTGGTTCAAATTCAAATTTTTCAAATGGGTTGACACACTGTCCTGCCACAATTGTATGGGTGAATGTTACAATAACGGCTCAAGAGTTTCGTCTTATCCCCAAATCTCGAGGATCGAAATTCACAAGTAGGAGAGGAGAAACTCAAAATTTTCTCAAAAGACCCTAATTCGTATAGTTTTCTGACGATTATTTGAAATACATTTGCAGATGTAAAATTTGCAAGTATGAAAATGAATTCCCTCGTTACACGGATCCGGAAGCTTTGTTGTACAGTCGCAAAGGCAGGTGTGGGGAGTGGGCCAACTGTTTTACATTGATTTGTCGAAGCATTGGTTTTGATGCCCGACTCGTTTACGATGACACCGATCACGTGTGGACCGAGGTGAATAATACTTCATATGAAATATTATAAATAATTAGTTGTTAAATTAATTGTGTGGAAGTAGATTTGGTCGGTGGCGCACAACAGATGGATCCACGCAGATGCCTGCGAGGCCGTGATGGACCAGCCGCTTATCTACGAGAAAGGCTGGGGTAAAAAGCTCTCCTACATCATAGCCTTCTCCAAAGACGAAATTCAGGATGTAACCTGGCGCTACACTCGCAATTATGAACAAGCGATGAAACTCAGAAAGTACTGTTCCGAGGAGACTTTGGCACTATTTTTACGGAAACTTAATGAGGAGCGTCAAACTAGCGAGGGCTACAGCAGCGTTAGGAGGAAATTCGTTCTGAAACGCTGTGTCATTGAACTTGCTAACATGATCAATGCTCCACCCGGTCACGAGAAATCTGTCGAAGATTACAAGAATGAGGCCGATTATGTAGGTAGGACCTCTGGATCATTAGCTTGGCGGATGTCTCGTGGAGAATTTGTTGTAAGTATTAATATCAGAAATTAATATTGCTTTATTGGGTTTGGGTACTTATTCGTTATTTTGGTAAAAATTTTTTTTGTCAGAGTCCGACGCACGAAGTCGCACAGTGGTACATTCCAGATGGAATTGCCAAATTTGAATTAACCTATGACGTTACAACCGATACGTACACAACAATTAACATTGCGACTAAGGAGACCTTGGAAACGAGGCAAAAGTGGCAGAAAGGTGTTGAGCACGTAGACGGCAATATTTTTCGGAAGGAAGAACTAGACTGGAAAATGGTTTACTTAGCCCGGTCACCTGGATTTGAATTCGGCAAGATTACCTGGACACTTATGGTCACAGAGAATAGCAAGGCATATATCAAATCGGTGAAGTTGCAAGCACAAGCAACAACTTTTAGCGGCGCAGTGATTCAGTGGCAAGTTGAAGGTTTCTTTGCCGGTAAAACAATAGAAAAGAGAAAGGTTCTAGCAGTCGACGATTGCCAGAACTTCGAAACAGTAGATTTGTGGGGTGCAGTTAAGATAAGCGTTAGTGCAATACTGACCGGCGACACGGGAGACTTGTCTTGGCAGCACGCTCAGCTCTTTCGTCAGAGTCTCAACAAACATCATAAACGAGAGCCCTCCTTACTCATACAAGTAGAACTAGCGAACCTGTCTGGGTGAGGCATAAGACTGCTGGTTATAACCGTTATCGAAGTCAAATAAGCCCTCTGTGTGTGTATATGTTTGCGCGCGCGCATGTGTGTGTTATATATTAAATTATGCACCATACGTTGAATCTAGATATTTTTTCAAAAAATATTTCTGAGACTCTGTGTGATTCGCAAAACTTATTAGTTACTTTAAACACTCTGAATAAATGATTTTTAAAAAGTTTAGAGCATTAAAAATATAAAAAAATTAAATAACGACTGAACACTGTATCAAGTTTATAAAAATATCTTTATACCAAGTTCGCTTACGTGAACGTGATGACGAATCAACGATCAACGTAATTTCAACAGAAAAAGTTTTCAATTAGGAAAATTAGTTAGGTTCACTGAACAAGTTGTAGAGTGGTACAGGTATGCGATGCTCGCTAATAATCGTTACTCATTAGCTCTCTGATGTCTTTACAAAGCTTGGTGAAATCTGGGCGCTGATGGCTGTGAATGTGCCAGCATGGGTACATTATTTTAACGTACACTTCTTGCGGACAAAATAGTGGACAAGGAAGTCGAGCGCCACTGTCAAGAGCTTTTAACAGTTCGGCAGTTCCTTCCTCCTCTAGAGTGTTGATGCCAGTACCCGGCTCGCAGGTGTTATTCGCTAGCTTCCCACCGAACTCTGGTAATTTGGGATCCTCGCCAAAACTAAACATCTCGAACATTGTTACACCGAACGACCAAACGTCTGAACGAGGTGAAAATTTGCCATCTCTCAAGCTCTCGGGAGCATACCTGCATAAAATAAATCAAAAGTAAAGAATGTTGACCGTTATCACTTGGTGATACCTGCTTGAAACGCATAAGCTCACCATTTGATGGGCAGATCTCTGTTAGTTTGCAAAATATAATAATCGTTATTTTTGCCAGTAACCTGTGCCAAGCCAAAATCGCTAATCTTGACCCGATTGTCATCAGCAACAAGAATGTTCCTCGCAGCGAGATCTCTGTGAACGATGCTCTTCTTACCTAGATAGTCCATGCCAGTGGCAATATCAAGGGCGAAGCCTAACAACCTCCTTGCCGTCAGACTCTCGCGATGGATGGCAAGATAACTCTGAAGTGAGCCGTGCTTGACGAACTCCATGACCAGGCAGACCTCTGGCTCAGAAATTACACCTAGTATTCCGACGACGTTCGGATGCTTCAGCGTCTTCATGATGTCGATCTCCCTCTCAAAGTCGCGCACCTCCGCCTCGACAGCTCGCATCTTGAGCTTCTTAACGGCAACCTGTTGGGGCTCGCTGTCCTTGCCGCCTTCCCGCTCTAGAGTACCCAAATACACTTCCCCGTAGAAGCCCTGGCCTATGCGGCCCTGCAGGATCACGTTGCAGTCAGCGTCCAGCTCGAAAATGCTCTGCATCTGGCCCAGCAGGCTGCCATCATTATCGTAGCCGGGTTCGTCAGCGACGTCGGCCTTGGACCACCAGCCCAGGTAGGCCGACAACACGTCGTCGGCCTCGGCGAATTGCATGCAGCCGCTGCTGCCGCGAGCCCACTCAAATGAACTAAGGGTTCCACTGGTGACGCCGCCGGCCTCTAGCTCCGCGTCGTCCCAGGGCAGGCTCGTGCGGTCCGTGATTAGGCTGCTGGCTCGCGACTCGCAGTCAGACGAGGTGTTGTGCTCGGTCGTCTGGCTGGCGGAGTCATCGCCTCCCTCGAGGTCGGTCAATCGCTTTGGCTGAGCCAGCGCGTAGTCGTGAATATTCCTGCGCGAGTTGAACACCTGGTACTTGATCTGATTGATATCCCGCATCACCGCCTGTGGATTCTTCCTGGCACCGATTTCGGCCCAGCAGTCGGTCATCAGCCGGTAAACCTCGGGCGGGCAGCCCGGCGGGATCGACAGTCGATTGCCGCTCGCGTACCACTGCGCGCCAAACAAGCGATCATTAGCTGCCGATCTCCGGTCGCGCTTACCTCTTACTTTTTTTATGTTGTCGGGGTCTCGATGCGCCTGTAACGCCGACAGAGATTTTCCTTTTGAGAATATCTCCCAGAGCGTCGTGGCCACGGCCCATACATCTGCCTGTATGTTGCGCCTCGCCAAATCGGGATTGACGTAGCACTCGGGTGGCAGCCAGTGAACACTGTGCGGCGATTTGACAGTTAGTCAGTAGGTTGTCGTAAGAGCGCACGCACACACACACACACATATATATATACGCGCGCGCGCAGCTCTACCTACTCTGCGGGCTTGTAGCTAAATATTCCAGGATCGGCGAGCTTCACGATGAAGGCATTGCTAGTGTGCGCGTGGACCAACAGCTTTCGACAGCGAATGTTACCGTGAACCACGCCGTGCTCCTCTAGGTGCCAAACCGCTGTCGCAAGGCAGGCGGCTGATTCGACCAGGTCGACAGTCTTGATCGTTTGCGGAGCAATTTCTCGCAGGTAAATGTCGAGCGGGCCCAGTTTGACCAGTTCCAGCAGCATGCCCACAGAAGGCGCAAGAGTCACGCCGTACAATCTTGAGGGCAAACAACCTCGTAAACATGTAAATGCGCTTATCTATTCCTTGCCTGCATCGCTGGACGTCCCGCCGCGCCCCATTGTCAATTCGTTATTCGATTCAAGATACGTTACATACCTGACAAGAGCACTCGATCGCAGCTGACCCCACTTCTGGGCCAATTTCAAGAACTCCTTTGTGCGCAGCCCTTCGTTCTCTCTCAGCAGTTTGACGGCAGTTTCGAGTCTTTTGCCTTTGGCGACACGCCACATAGCCTTGTAAAGCGTCGTCACGGGGCCGTTGTAAGGCGTCGTATTCATCCGTGCTTTACTCTCTTGGCTCTTTGACAATGGTTGTGCTTTATAAACTTGCAGCTCGTGCGGCGAAACACAAGACGGTCTACCGTCCAATACTTCCGCAATAATTTCTTCATCGGCTGCCGCGTCGCTACCGAAACCTTCCGAGGCGCATAACAGTAAAGGCGATTTGTCTGAAAATTGTTTTTTGAATTGATTAAAGCTTTTTCAATTTTTAACCAGAAAATTAACCATTTGTACATCTTACGATTATTACATCTCGAAGAAGATACTTACCATACTCCGAGGGGGGAAGGCATTCCTTGAGATACAATGAACCTTCTGGATCTTGGTTAGCAGCTATGATGTGAGCGATAGACTTGAAACGTTGCATGCAATCGGATAGTGCGAAATCATCTTCGTTGAGTTTGGTAATTTTCCATGTTCGAGGTTTCGATTCCTTTCCACACGCGTCCAAATAAAAATTGTCATATTCGGTCTCGCTTTCTCGGAGGATAAAGGTGCCTGGCCTATTGGCTCTCTTTTCCTCGAGTTTTGAGTAAGAAAACTCACCGCTGTAAAATATCAGATTACTTTTGTACTGTTATTCGATATTTGATATGCCAATTCGGCGACCAATCAAAAGTCTTACCCAACAGGCCCGTGGCATTTTAATTTATATAAACGATCTAAACTAGGTGTTACGGCATCACCCGAAAGATTGAATGTCCATTTGACGGATAAACGATAGTAGCCATTGAGAGCAGATACAAAGGACATCAATAGAGAATAAGATGTAAATCTAAGGTAAGTAGGAATTCCATTTTTCCTAGATACTTCAACAGTGTTATCTTCCCTGAAATATATTGTTTACATCAGCCACATGTGTATTGTTTGAAATATTTAGCCATGTCTATACCTTGCAGAAGCAAAGCAAAGATCTTCAATTGCACAGAGTGACCTCCAATTACTATTATTTTCATCAGCTGCGCAATATTTAATCTCTACTGCATTAACTCTTAATACTACCCTTATTGTTGAATCTGCTTCCATGATAGCTTTAAAATCTTCACTCAAATAATTAGGAGCCATACTCTCAAATTGATTGAGGTATTGTTCTCTAACGAAGTCAGGATTATGTACACTCTTTTGGAATGTATTGTTTATAATTTGACTCTACATACTCTTGTGCAACTCCATTTTCAAGCATGTATCTATAAGTCAATTGAATGCATAACCAAAATCAGAATAGATTTTCATTTTTACTAAGAGAATAAAATCCATTAATACTCACCTGTACATATCACATACTCCCAAACCTATAAGTTCATGTTTGTGTTTTTCATAAATAATATCTGAAACTCGGCTTTCTAAAACATCAGCTCTTGCTTGTTGGAAATAATAGTTATAAGCACCTCTTAGATCAATTGACTTCAAACGACGCAGACTCGAAGGCTTGTACCTTATTCTAAACTCAAGCTTGGACTTTTCTTTCCCATCAAACTTATAACCATCATGATACCAATTTTTTGATGATTTATTTCTTAGAGCAAATAAATGACGTGCGATGGGATTTATGTTATACTGTTTACATAGCTTAAATTATATAAATTATTAAACTGACTTATACACACGTATATTATTATGTAAAAATTATCAGCTTCCTTATAAATTCTCACCTTAATACACACATCCTCTGCTAAATGTCCAGTCATAAAGTATACCACTGGGTCCTTCTCCACGGCAATGGTGATATGAAAAGGCTTGCCTCTTTCTTCCATTATCAACACCCATGAGTGGAAACTTTAAATCTTATAAGTACTTAGTGCATCATGCTGCAATAAGTTTCAATTCAACACTGATACTGCATCAGAATTAAAACACATCAAATACTGTCAAAATTAAAAGAAATCCTCCTTGAATTTAAGCATTACTAATACAATTTCTGATCTAAAATTTACAAATATGTATACGTCTAAGCAGTGAGTATATCTTTATAAATATCTCTAATTCCATGTTGATTTCCAATTTTAATAATTTATAGAGTTTACAGATAATTATATTAGATGATACACGATAACTTTATGTGATATGCCGATATAAATATTTTAATATATATAAGTCTATTGTGTTGTTGTGTATTCATGTCTAATTACAAACTCTCCCACTGTGATCTATGGCGCTCCAGTCATATTTTATTGTCTTATTACTATATATTACCAACCTTTAATACCAACAAAATAAGACAACAAAATAATCAGAGAGAAGACTACGAAATGTGAGCGAGTGTGCACGTTAGTTTGTTTGGTGGACGCTTGTCTTAACAATAGATAAATTGTTTTATATTTTTAATTTTATGAATAATCAAGAACCTTTTGATTTCTATTACGACTGATGTGTTTTCGTCAAACGACTTATCGATTGACATAATGATTTTTTTATGAGCACCTTATTTTAACAATTTTGATATATTCATCGAATCGATGTGGGCACTTTAGCCACTGGCCACTGGGTGCCAGTGTTCAAAATAAATTTTTTATTGTTTAATGACTTCTTTGTGAACGAACAATAAAATGTCAATAGCAAAATTCATTATTTCATTGATGAACAATCTAATCCCGTTATACATTTCTTGATTATATGGAAAAATATTTTGGGCACTAACTTAAATCGTTTTTATGCCAGCGTGAGTTACCATCTCAAAAAGTTATAAAAACGAATTTCCATTAAATTGATATCAATCATTAAAACGTTAGTCTTTCTCCACTCCAGATAAGATTCGAGGGTCAGAAAACCGCCCGGTATTTTGCCACAGTCCGCTGTTTCGTTCTGTTCCATATATCTATTCCAACAATAGTTAAAAGCAATCCTTCAATAGCCTTGTGATATATCGCAGTTGGAACATGTAAACATGTAAAAAAAATATGTAAATAAAAATAATGATGATCTATAAAATAACACAAAAATAACAATAACAATGAAAAAAATCAATTTAGTAAATTAATTGGTTATTTTCTTCTAATCAACTGTCCTTATGCTTGCTGATGGTTGCTCTATCCACTTGATATCTATGTTATACTATATAGTATATATAATATATAATACTATACAATACTTATATACATACATCCGAATATTGCAGTTCAAACTTAAAAGTAAAAAATTAGGGATGTTTTCGGAAATGAGTTTCAGTATACTGGCCAGTAACAATCTGGTAACAGTGCACCATTTTTTGAACGTATCGACGTCATGTACACGTCAATATTTGTCAGAACGCATTTTGCAGATAATTTGATTCAAGATTGTATGCATTATCGGCAAAAACTTGCTTTGCAGTTTTCTGTGCGTAAATGCTTACTAAAAATAAGCTAAGAATGGAAACTGCAACGTGTGTCGCTGACAGACATTGACGTAAACATGACGTCAGTATGTTTAAAAAATAGTGCTCTGTTGCCAAATAGTTTTACTGGCCAGTATATACTCAAACTCATTTCAGAAAACACCGGTTCTTGGCATTCGTGATCTTTTGTACCAGGTGCGTGTGTATGTGTGTTTTATATTGCACACGCACGCGCACACCTATGCATATGTGTGTGTATATGTATACATATATATTTGTATGCGCGCGCGTGTGCACAGAATCGATAATCAGAAGATAAATTAATTAATTACTGAACATAAGATAATGAAATTTTATTTACTATCTTAAATCGATTGTAGGTTATACACAAATTATTGAAATAATATAAATCGATAATTTGATAGTTTATTCTTTAAAGATGGCTGAGCAGGTAAGAACGATTATTTATTTGTATAACTTTTTCAATTTTTGCTTACAATATAAGAAATATATTTCATTTCAGACATATGAATACAATGTTGACATGACCTGTGAAGGATGTTCCAATGCTGTAAACAGAGTGCTGGGAAAACTACATGGTTATTTAGTATTGATTATTTAAATTGATACTTTTATATTTATAAATTCTTATAATATTGCATATTCTTCATTACAGATATATCTAATGTCAAAGTTGACCTACCAAATAAAAAAGTATTTGTAACAACAACTCTTGATCATGAGCAAGTGCTGCAATCAATCAAGAAGACTGGTAAAGGCTGTACATTTGTTAGAATTCAAAAGTAAATATGAATGAAAAATTAAAGTCTGGTTGTGTGTACAGTCGTTGCTGCTTTAAATTGAATTTATTGCATTTAATAAATTATTTTACATAAATACAGTGGAATTAGACAAGTCGTGGCCATGCATGCATTCCTTTAAATAATCTGAATTAAAATGACTAACAATCCATTTGAAATTGCTATTTCATGTTGCATCGCATATTTTGATTTATCTGGCAAATAAATTTTACCACAAAGTTATTTTTCCATATCATTTTTCAACCATTCTTATTTGTGGTTTAAAATCTGCCAATGTGCTATATAACAGCGCTATTTCTTTTTTAAACTCTTTCTTTTTTGAATTGTCTGGTACTGGTTGATGTGCTTAATTTATTCAAATTATTCAGTAAATTTGTTCAAATTTTTGTCTTAATTTATGTCTTCTAACACAAAGTTGTCACTCAGCACATTCTGTAATTGCAGTTGATGGTTAAAAGACATTACTTTTTTAAAACTGATAATATGCTTTTCACCTTTGTCAAAATTAGATTTCCATACAAACAGTTGACAATCAGAGCTACCAGAAGCAAAATAATCTCCACAATGTGAGAAAGCTATTGATGTTATACTACCATTATGACCTTTCAATGTATATATTGGTCTACCTTCTAACAAATCCAAGACCTGAAGGAATATATTGTAAATGCAGTACTCTCACTGTGAATAAGATATTGAGCCACATTTATGTAACAATACCTTCATTGTAGAATCCTTTGAAGCTGTTAGCATGAATTTTCCATTAGGATGAAATCTCACTTTATTCACTTGGTCCTCATGAGCATCATAGTATTGCTGTAGAAAATCTGTTTTTAAATCATAAATCTTAATACACCCTTCTGTGCTTGCTACCCCAATCGATGATCCATGAGGATGAAATTGAACGTCAGTCAGAGATGCTACAAAGAACAATATACAACATGGAAATATAGTTTGCATTATATAATGTTGTACCTTTCCTACCTTTCATTTCATGAAAAGTTTTAATACACTGTTCACTAATTACATCCCACACCTTTATAGTCTTATCATCACTGCAGGATACAATTAATTTTCCATCTGGAGAAAATCTAGCATATCTCACCCAGTTGGTATGGCCAGTGAATGATTGCAAAAACCTCCTCTGACATACCATCCATAATTTAATACTTTTATCGTTTGATGAGGTAAGGAGCTGCATACAAATTATTTATTTCAGCAAGTAGAACATTAAAATGAAAAACATAACAATAATCGATCAAGTTTTACTTTGCTACCATCGGTACTGAACTGAACGGATCTAACAGCTCCTTGATGTGCTATGAAATCTAAAGATTCTCCTCTAACTTTTGGAACCCATATTCTCACAGTTCGGTCTTTAGAAGCACTTGCAAATACTTCTCCAGAGGGAGCATAATTAACATCCAAAACTTCATCTTTATGTGCAAAGTATCGAAAGGCTCTTGTAGAATCAGCAATTTGCCATAACATCAATGTATTATCTGTGCTACTGGAAACAAGCTTATTTGTTTCAGGGTGGAAAGATAAGCCAGTAATAGTTCCTTTGTGACCTTTATAATGTTTTTCAACCATTGGATCACATTCCATTATTGTATTTTTCTATAAAATAACTCTCTGTAAGCTTGATTGGTCATAAAAACATGTTGATTGGATATAAATATTTAGTTGTAGGAAGCAATCAATTAATATTATCTTTGATAAGTATTATTCGTCACCAAATCTACTATTATCTAGGATCAAAGAAAAAGTAAAAGAAATTTGTTTCATTGAATATAATAATTTCACATCATTCTTTACATTATTCTTGAAGGTGGACAATTTCTATAGTTGATCAAAAGTGAATATAAATGACCGTAAATGATTAGAAGTTGCGAAGCGTAGTCCCTACCTATCAATACATATCGTAGAATCAGTTATTCTTGCTTAATATTTAGTTTTTGACAATAATAAAAGTTATCTAACCTGTGTTATAATGTAAAGAAAGGTGGATTACTGGACTATTCCACGTAAATTGCAAAATTATTGACGTATAATAATTTTTACGTTGAGCGAATTTTGATCCATATCCTATTAAATTCAAATTCTAAACTTACGTTATACTTTCCAAAATTAAACTGCCGCTGATTCTAGGTTAGAGAAAAAAATTAATTTCAAATCGTTTTTGTTATTCTTCAGTGTAGTGATGAACTACTTAAATGACTGATTAAATATGTAATATAACATTTCCCAGAAAACAATCCTGAATATTATAATTACAAAATTATAAAACCAATTATTGACTACAGCGCTATATTAGCTTCCAGTGATTGAAGTATGAACTACTGTATGAAAGGTTTGCGTCATGCGTCATGATGTGTCAAATAAAATGAATTAATAATTATCGACATGAATCATATGACGATTTACCGCTTAAGTCGATTGTCGACGCGGCTAGTTTCTACTCAAGCCGATCGTTAATTAAAAGTATTTTCTAATAAATAATCACATCATGAAACAACAATACTCTCGTTACCGACAAAAGTTTGTAAACTGTATGTTATTTGGGCACCTTGTTAAGAAGAAGTACGTCCTTATAATAAGAGCAATATTGCATTAACAATAATGATTCTTCAAGAAAATAACTCTTATTAAAACAGCTCTTATTATAAGGGAGCAATTCCTGAAAAGGTGTTATCCCACAAAAGTAGAGATCTACGCTACCGACTGATCTTTCAGGTGCATGTATCGCTGTAATGGAAAATAATATTTTAAATAGACAGAAAAATTGCGTGTGATTTTTGTTAACAATAAAACACATTTATTTCTATGAAAACCGTATAAAAGTGCTACGTAGGTGCAATTACTACTAATCTGAAAGTGTTCCAATATTTGACATTTTTTTATTTGACAAAAACTAAATTACGCGGTATTATTAATGAGTTTTGTTAATCTTACCTTATTATGCATAGTTTTTTATAATTTTTCCGGCTCAACTTTTGTCGATTTCTTGCTAAATTCCTTCATCTGAGTTAGAATTAGTTAAGTAATGGAAGTATCATTATTATTTATAACAAACCTTACATGTTATTTCAAAAAAACTTTACTGAATAAGTAGGTCGTTTTGATAATAATGAACATTTAAATTATATATGATGTTAAACTATAATGGAAAAACTAAAACGGAAGTAATGAAAGTATTTACCAAGTTTTTTCAACTTTGCTTAACAACAAACAAATAGGCGTTCATGATATCTGTTTTTTTATTGGAAAATTATAGAACGGAGAACTAAAAAATTCAAAAAATTAGTTCGTTTTGGAAAAATGTGTAAGCCAGGAATTCTAGGCAATTTGTATGGTTATAATTACAAAATTTCCATTAACTTTGTTGACTGTTGACTGTCGAATAAAGGACTCCCGTACTGCATAATATTAAAAATTTGAAATTTTCTAGGGAGCAAAAAACTCATATGAGAAATAAGGTGGAAAATAAAAGCCTAAGGTATATATAGGCATAGAATATGTCGGTTATCTTCTACTTTTACCGCGCGTGAAAAAATGCTTATTTCATATTCAATAATCAAGCAAAAGAGAACTTCGTTTGGATATTGAGCATCGAGGAAACGAGCATCATATGTGATGCTCCAGCCCTTTACTTAAATCAACTTAAAAAAAAATTCCGTTCAAACTGTAGTATTGAAAGTACGTCTTGTAACTGATGAGAAAATAACTTTAAAATATGTGATAAGAATGGGAGACCGTAGGTTCAGTAGTCAAAATATTTCACAAATCGACTTTATTTTTGTTGCTTATGCTGAACAATCGACGTAGTTGTTATAAACGTAAGTCAAATGAATTATATATATATATATATATATATATATATATATATATATATATATATATATATATATATATATATATATATATATATATATATATATATATATATATTAAAAAAACTAATGGCATTATTGAACAACTCCGTCAGCAACACATATAGTATTTACAAAGAGTTCCCTCGCATTTGGTTGTATTTTCATCCTTGGACGCCCAGAACACTCACACTTACACGAGACAACGATAAGTTTTTACTTGACAGCCGGTCGACGCGACGGCTCGGATGCTGTAGGTGGAGGTGGTGGGCCTCTTCGAGCTAACTCTTCCAAGTAGCCCATTAGCAGACGCGACCGCTCTGAGGCCGCGGCTTCGAGTACCAAATACCGCTTGTCTTTTTTCAGAATATCCTCAATCTCTTGCAAGTGTCCGTTATTGTCTTGTACCTTTTTTAAGGTTTTATCCGTTATCAGCTTGGTTTCTTGTAGCAACTCGCGAAAATCAGCTTTCGCCGCTACTAACTTGTCCTTTATGTACTCTTTAAACTCTTTTTCGCATTTCTGTAGAGGTGAATATTTCATTATATAGTACTTATCATGTAGTCCGTATTAAAGTTTTCTGAGAAAAAGTGAGTGAGATTGAAATCAATCCATTCGTCAGGAACCAGAGAATAAAAAATGATTCAACTATTACTCATTACACGTTTTAATTTTTTTCGTTTTTGCATCTATAAACAACGCAACTTTTATTGTGAATAATCATCCGATCAATCTTAACATGTTTGTTGATTTATGGATTGATTCAAGCTTACTACCGTGCAAAGAAGGTAACATCATCTGTCATTTCCTAAATATCTTTCAAATCTGTGTGATTGACTATGTCTTAATTTATCTGAAACAGGGTTTATTTGACAAAAATGAATAACTCACCCTATCGCTGGAAGAAAATTTAAGATAGCGAGGATCATCCTTGAGTAGTTTTTTAACCTCCTTCCACGCAGCATTTAAATCGGTGGAAGCACCGACTTCATTCAGAAGTTCTCTGAACTTATCGCGCTTTTTACGTCCTAACTGTTCCACATGCTCATTAAACAGTTTTTCTTTCTCTTCCCTCTCTAACGAGTCAACTAATTCCCATCGGTGGTCTTTCCTCAGCTGACGTTTTGCTTCGCGCCATGCCAAGTCACTATTCCTCACCTGAAGTCAATTACAAGCGTCGTCAAGATCCAACACTTTAAAGTGAAGAAAGAAAGTTAAATCAACTTACCAAATCGGCCAGTAGGGCATTAAAATGTTGTACGGCCTCAGCGTGCCGGTGATGCTGCCGCTCCTTGTCTCGATCCCTCAAATGCGTGGCTAATGTCCTCTGGACTTCTCTTTCTCGCTCTCGGAGACTTGCTTCTGCTCTTCTCTCCTTTTCACGCTTTTGCTTCTCTTCTTCAGCGGCTGCAGCCTCGGCGTCAGACTTATCATAGTCGTCGTCATCGTCGTGGTGATCGCTCTCCTATAGAAATAATTTGAACAGACAGTAAATTGATACAAACTAAAATTTGCCGGCCATCAGCGACAAAACTCACGTTATCTTTGGCACTCGAGGTATCTTTGTGATTACTCTCCTCCGTGTCATCGATTTCGCCGATTTCCTTTTCATTATCCACTTCCATTTTTTCATCAACCTTTTCCTTTTCCTCTTTTTTATCCTTATCCTTATCCTTATCCTTATCCTTGTCTTTATCCTTATCCTTATCCTTATCCTTATCCTTATCCTTATCCTTATCCTTATCCTTATCCTTATCCTTATCCTTATCCTTATCCCTATCCCTATCCCTATCCCTATCCCTATCCCTATCCCTATCCCTATCCCTATCTCTATCCCTATCTCTATCCCTGTCCTTAACCTTGTCTTTATCCTTGTCCTTATCTTTATCCTTATCCTTGTCCTTATCCTTGTCCTTATCCTTGTCCCTATCCCTGTCCCTATCCCTGTCTCTGTCCCTCTCCCTGTCTCTGTCTCTGTCCTTCTCCTTATTCTTATCTTTGTCTTTTTCTTTGCTCTTTTCCCTGTCTTTGTCCTTTTTATCCTTACTCTTTTCCTTGTCTCTATCCTTGTCCTTATCTCTATCGTGGTCATCGGACTTTTTCTTTTTTTTCGTTGACATTCCTTCCTCGTCTCTATCTCTGTCCTTATCCTTCTCTTTGTCTTTCTTATCTTTCTTGCTTTTTTCTTTTTTCTCCTTTTTATCCTTTTCTTTGTGATGATCCTTGTCACGGTGTTTTTCCTTTTCCTCGCGATTCTTTTCCCGTTTTTCCTTTTCTTTGCGTCGCTCCTCCTTTAGCAAACGTACATGATCTCGAAACCAGTCCTCCCGTTGACCGGCCGATTCAACGTTCCTATAACGCCAATCTGACTCAAGCCGCTTCTTCCAGTCGCCCCAGTGCGAGTGGCGGTCGATATCCTTGTGGTCGCGCAACATCATCAGGAAATCCTTTTTCACCTGCAAACAGCGATTTCCAAAGTTTTTTTGTTTGCACTCGTTGTCGGACATTTTCTTAATACTAGAGCAAACATTTGCTTCCAATTATGATTACGATATTTTAATTTTATTTATTTGTCAGCCTTATGCTATGGATAAATTCAATAATTAAGTAAATCAATGACAAGACTCCGCTCTGAATATACTCCAACAGCAAACTGGAAAAGTTCGTTTATCATGGCTGAAAGAATAATACGATTATACTGAGATTATGCCAACATTCCCTGAAAAGTAATCAAATTAAGTATATATTACATCGTTTTATTATATACCATTTTACGTACATTCTTATGTACTTTTCGGTAATTTTACAAAATGCAAGTTCAAATCTATGTTCAGCATATGAACAGTATGCAATCAAATCAAACCACCTTTGTGTTACCAATAAGGGAATAAAATATTATCAAATGAAATTATCTGTTTAGTAATACGAAAAACAATATTGATATCCTCTTAAAAAAGATCGACATTTGCTCGCTTGCATGCGTAACAATATCATCGAAAATTGTAACTGAAGTCGATCAACAATTATGATTTTTGATGACATGATGTTACAACACACTATCAATGCACATTCTTCAGAGTCCAACAAAAATTAATAATAAAAAAAAAATTACTGACACATCATTGGTAACACCTTATTTAAAGGAAAAAAATGTGCTTGTCGCAAGAAAACTTGATATTCTCCACAGTGAATACCCAAATGTAATGCAAATTATCCGAATTGTTGCGAGCATATTATAACTATTCTGCGCATAGATATAACCATACAGAGTACACACCGAAATATTCGTTGATTTAGTAACGAGGAATACGATCTAATATACAAATACCGATATCGTTTATTCACATGACTCTGCTTTGTGAAGATAAAGAATGCGAGCGAGTGGGGTGCCGACGGTGCTGTGTGAGTGTTGGGTAGAAGTTGTTGTTGCCCCCGTGCCAACGACACCATATTGAGCAATTCCACATGCCACAATCTTGCCTGCATCCTGCACCATATCTGACTGACTGGTGAAGAGTTCAGAAATACATGAATATTACGACAGAACTAACCACTAACCGCGTTGCATATCATATCATATCATATCTTCTCTCTCTCTCTCTCTCTCTCTCTCTCTCTCTCTCTCTCTCTCTCTCTCTCTCTCTCTCTCTCTCGCTGTCTCTTCATTTTTCCATTTTTTTATTTATTGATTGATCTTTTTCTCCAAGAGTACTATATCTGCTCAAAATAAATTTAAATTTCTGTATTCCACGGTTAGTATACATATAAAAAAGTAACTTTTGACAAGTTTTTCTTTCCTTAGCTTATATTTAAAAATATTTTCCATCTTTATCAATAGAATAACGAAGACTTACTAATGCAACAAAATATAACATACCTACTCAGCCTGAAATGAAATGTTATTCATTAATCCTGAAAGAATATTATTGTTATGATCTTAAATTCTAAGTTTTTCTTGTTTTTAATAAAAATTGTTTCAAGAGATTTGCTTCGTTCGGTTTTGTTTCTTTGTTTTTCGTCATTGTTGCAAAATAAAATTTGCAGAATTTCAAATTCATAAAAAGATTAGCTTCTATTATAAAAAATGTTGATTTCGAGTGATTGACCGAATAGAAAATATTTTTGTGACGTTTGAATCAATGTTCCTAAAAAAATAAATGGTGATAATCATTACGAGAAAAGTATGTACCTGCTCTCGTTTGACAGCCTTCTCTTCCTTCTCGCGCTTTCTGACTTCCAACAAGTACTCGTTGAATAGACTCTCGCGCTCGCGCATTTTATCAATATTTTTGAAACGCTCGTCACGGCCATGCTTCTGAGCGAAATCACTAAAAGACGATCTGCAACCATAAAAAATGTAATACTCAGTAACTGTATAATAAATAGTCGTTTCGTACAAGCAGTTATCATTTGCATAAAATATTTGCCAGAACAACGTACTTTCCATGAAGATTAGCTTCTTCAAGCAACTTTTGAAATTGGTCTTTGCGTTCTTTCATTTTATTTCGTTTTTCTCTCCTCTCCTCTTCTGCTCTCTCTTTAACGTATTTTTCAAAAACTTGTTTTCTTTCTTTCGACGTCAACAGCAAGTAACGAGGATCAAATACAATCTTATGCAGTTCTTTTTCCCACGTACTGAAAGCCGATACCTGAAAAAAATGTTAAAATTTAGCAAACGAGAAGGCATTGGTAAAGAGTAGGAAATACGTACATCTTTTTCTGTAAGCATTTCTTTGAAAGATTTAATCCTAGTGTCCAGCGGAACAATAGCTCGTTCTCTTGCGGCTCGTACTTCAGCCTCTATTGCTGCTTCTTTGCCAATATCTATAGTTTTCTTGGGGTCTCTTTCCTCTTCTTCTTTTGCAGAATTGACTAAAATTTTACAAGCAATAACAGATTGAACCAAGAAAAATGAAAAAAGTAATCCTTACCTTTAGGTTCGTCTAATTTTATTTTTTTGGCACTATGTTGTTCTTCCTCATCACTGCTGTCACTTTCAATGTCGGATCCAGATCGACGTGTCTCGCTCTTGGGCGTTGCATTGGCAGATACACTAGCATCAGGTGGGCCAGCTACCATCTTATCTACATCTACTCTGCTGATCAGTTCATCCGGTCTTTCCCAAACTGAGATCCTCGATGAAGGGTTATAAAAAAATACACGTCCATCGCCGGTCCACACAACGCACCTGTGGCCATGTGGCAGTGGTAAAATAAAAATACCATTTTAAACAGTTTGCGTAGACTCGATAGAAAGAGATCGCGATCCAAGCCGGTTTGTCAATAATGTCACTTACCAAGGTGTGCCAGGAACTGGGGTACTTGAAACAGGCCTCGACTTGTCCTGCGGTTTGGCCAGCTCTTTATTGGTCTCGTCTTTTCTCGTTTTCTCTTCTGTCACACTACCGTCACCACTTGATGCTTTTGATTCTGCGCCAGCTTTCGCGGGCTGATCGTTGCTGTTGGTCGTTACCGCTGGAGTCACCGCGGTCGAAGTCGTTGTCGCTGTCGACGTGGGCGTAGATACCGTTGACGACACAGCCGCGGCATCTTCCGATTGTTTCTTCATTAGTGCGGCTTTAGCAGCTACAATCACGAATGAACATAAGAACGCCGGCAATAATAACGGTTGCTTCGTAGTTGATTTTCAAGCAATTATATTGCCCTACCTTCAAAATCTCTCAAGGCCTGAGGTTTCTCCCAAACAGATTCGCCGGCTTTACTGTTATAATAGTACGAGCGGCCATCGGGCGCTCGATGCTCGGTCCACAGCATGGCGTTCGCAACGGTCTCGGGATCGATCTGTGAAATTACGTTGGGATCTTCGGCAGGCACAGAGGCGGATTGGACCATTGGCATTGCGTGCTGCATTTGTGGCATTCCTGAAAATCATCGTAAATAGGCAGACTATTCGTGAAACAAGTAAATACAAAGTAATGAAAATAGTAATCCTATCCTCACCCCAGCCAGCTTGAGGCGGCCCATAGCCAGCGGCAAAAGGCTGGAAGCTCGGTGGTGGCATTCCATAAGGTGCGCCAGTAGGCGCCCCGAAAGGGCCCGGCATCCCGCCGTAAGGTGCTGGCATTCTATGCTGCATAGACATCATTGGCGGAGGCTGTATCATCGTACTGTTCGTATTGATGGCTGCCGAGCTGACGACAGCAGGTGCGACAGTTGCAACAGGAATAGCGGAACCTGACGACAATTGTGGATTTTTTTTCTCGTTTACATTTACGTATTGCCGAAAGAACGTGAAAGGCTATAGCGAACGAAACGAAGCTTCATGGCTTCGGATGGCTACCATTTGTCTGCTGAGCCTGTCCCATCTGCTGCGGTGCTGCATCAGACGAATTTGTTGTATCCAATGGTTCAGCTGCCCCGGACGCGGGACCAGTTGCGATAGCAGTACCTGGAGGGGCTGTACTTACTTGACTTGATTCTTGTTCAATAGCACTGGGCGTACCAGACGATGAGGAAGTCGACGTCTCGCCTTCTTGCTGCATTCTTACCTCAGCACCATTGCCAGCTGCTGATTGTACTTGCTGTTGCGATGGCTGTTGCTGTTGCTGTGGTTGCTGTTGCTGTTGTTGCTGTGGTTGTTGTTGTTGAGATGACTGTTGTGACGGTTGTTGCTGTTGTTGCTGTTGTTGATGTCCCATGACTGCATTAACTGGAGATGTAGCCACTGTGGCACCTGTGCTCTGCTTTGATGCACCATGAACCAGTTGTTCCAACTAATGACAACAAAATAAAGCAATTAAAATAGCTTTGATTTCTTGGCTATCCTCAATAGGCTGATATAACTTGAGGATGGATTGCTTTACTCACTTGATCTTGCACCATCACCTTAACATTGGGGCCTTCAGGCTTTGTCCATGTGGTTTCTCGAGTTCTAATATTGTAATAGTAACACTTTCCATCTTGGGTCTTGGTTTCCACCCAGACCTCTCCATTAAGGTCAATACCTGGAATGTTGCTTTGTTGCGGCATTTGGTGCTGCTGCTGTTGACCTGGAATCTGTGATAAAATCACAAAGTTGTATTTATGATTATGAAATTATAACCTGGTAATTGTTTGGAAAAAGGCATTAAGGGCTGTTGAACTTACGTTATTCATATTGGGAGATCCCATTCCAGGTCCTGGTGGTCCATAAGGTCCTGGTCCTGGTCCATTCATCATATGAGGTGGTGGCTGCAAGTATGAAAAGCATAAATAATTCATAATGATGATAAGGTGGAATAAAGAACTTTTGCACAGTGAAATGGTGATTACCATTCCTCCTGGTGGGCCCATCATGCTAGGTGGTCCCATCATGTTTGGTGGTGGTCCCATAGGTCCCCAGCTAGGATCAAAAGGTGGAGGACCTCTGTACCTGGGTCCAGAAGATCCTGGTGGGCAGTTTGGCGGTGGTCGAGGTGGTGGTGGACCTTCGTAGGGATAGCCGTTGTTAGCTCCCCTGTACATAGGTGGAACTCCACGTGAACCAAAGCCTCCTCTGCCTCGAAACCTAGGTGGGCCTCCTCTTGGCGAGTAATCAAAGCCTCGGCTAGCTCCTCTTCCCCTTAAATCGTTATCGCTTATTGTAGCGATGCAATATTATGAAATAACCATTTACTTTATTATTTGCTTATAAGTAAGTAAGTCATGTGATTGTAAGAAGTAAGTAGGTACAAAAACGAGAGTAACAAAAGAGAAAGAGAGAAAACAACAGAAACGCGCAAACAATTCGATAGGAGATTGTCATAACCTCTTCAACGAGAGGCAGGTGACAGAACGAGGCGTGGGAGGCTCAAATCGAGTAGACTGAAAGAAAATTTAGGAAATTGATGGCCGATAGCTACCTGAATCCAGCTCGACCTCTAGGCGGAAAGTGCCTATAATCGTCGCCTTCGTAGTAATACTCTTCGCCCTCGTCCATACAAACATCGTGCTCGAGCAGCTCGGACGATGGCAGCTGCTCGCCGTTGCTACCAGCCGGCGATTCCTGCACTATCAGTGCTTGCGACGATGACTGCTGCTGTTGTTGCTGCTGCTGCTGTTGCTGTTGCTGTTGCTGTTGCTGTTGCTGTTGCTGCTGCTGCTGCTGCTCTGCTATACCGTCCACCTCCATCCTCTCCTTTGTCCCCCCCTCGTAAGCAATTCTCTTTCAAGTAATCTGGCAAAACAAACTGTCGCGTCTTAGCGATTCGTAGACATCGCGTTCGACATGGACACTGTTGAAAATCGATCAAACTACACAGGCAGAGAGTGAGAGAATATTTCCGTGAATAGGAATGAAAAGAAAGTTGCAAGTCGATTTCTCGAGGAGAACCGACGAGAAATCACGCAGTGTTGGCTCGTTTGCACTTTGCCCTCTCTTCACTCAGCGGCTTGGGCTTGACTCTTGGCAATCTTAGTCGTAATGGCGGATGCGCCGTGGCCGGTCACGGTTGCCGGCGCATTTGGCATGCGCGTCGCGTGCACCTATTGGCCGCCGAATGTGGATCACGGAACATGGCTGTGTGCTTAGACAAACTGTGCAGCTGTCTGGATGAGGACTAGTTGGTATTTGAGGTATGTAAAATCAGGCTCGAATAGCTTTATTTTTGTCATCATTTAACATTTTGGCTGTTTTTTGTATGCCGATTAATGAAAAAATACAATATCAGTGGTAAAACTTGCCAAAAATCACCGAAAATCAAAAGATGCCATTAATTAAAAAATGCTTATTGGTATGCATTTCAATGAAACTTGAAATGATTTATAATGTGAAAGATTCAAGTATAAATTGAATTCTATCGTGTTGTTGTAAAGCACAGATATTGCTTAAAATTATATGGGCATATATGTAAACATCATTATTTAAAACCATTCGTAATTTGAGTGAAATTAGATAATAACCATTAGTATGCCATAAAGGTGAGAAAATCAAAAAAGAAAAGTAAATCAGTAATTTTTCATAGCACCGTAGCGAAGTATGTATATTAGAAAACCAGTAATAAGAAAAATATAATTTATCCGTGAAACTATAACGGTGAAAACATTTTTCATTGTCCACGAGAAGCCTAAAGGGGGGGGAAAAAGGTAGAAATGCTAATTTCAGTTGGTAACATTATAACAGATATTTTACACCTTGAATATAAAAGAACTAATCAGAGAAACGGGAGTAGTTTTATTTTTCGCTATTTGTAATTGCTGTAGTTGTATTATATATTTTATACTCTGAATCAAAATACAAGATGGAAGAACGGGGAATAACAAGATATAACGATAAAAATGTGCAGTTAACAATTAATTTGCCGTCCAAATAAATGTTGAAAAAATGTAGTCTTAACGCCTTCAGTCCGCTAATGACAGTTTGAAGCATAGAATATGGATCTAAATAGAAATGGATGTCATCTATTGGACATGTATAACAACAAATTGAAACAAAAATATAGTAATGCTCGTGTTTTGACATTTTTTAGTTTTATATCTCACGAAAACTTTTTTAGGACTTACAGGCCTCTATGACTATAGAGAGAATTTCGTTAAGGTTTATTTCTATTCTAAATCCTATCCTTATGTTACTTAAAAAAAATGTCGAGCCGTCGGTATCCTGCGTATCGTATGATTTGTATGAAAAGGGCGTGGAACTCGAAATATCATTGGTATTTCAACGTTTGTGTCAAACACATGTAAAAGTAAGTAATTTATACTTCAGTTTATGAAAAATGCATATAATACATTTAAAAAAATGGTGGAGGAGGTGAGTCTACTTATACAGAGTAATGCTTACAGGTACATAGTGTAGTTCTGCCGCGTTCCACATAGTCATAACTTTTGAACTCACAATGACAATAACAATAACAAAAACACACACACGTGCATACGCACGCACATACACATATATGTATACATTTTTATATATTTACAATATCCAAGAAAATAGGAGATTGTACTGGAAATTTCATTAAGAAACATCGATAATCAGATTTATATTTATTAAAATCAGATGAATATAATTATTTTGTAATTTTTTTGTGAGAAGAGAGAGAAAGAGAGAATGTAATGAAATGTTTTATTTCAGTATATATTTTATTATAAAAGATGTGCTGTCAGCAAAAACTTATCGGAATGATGAATCTATTAAATGTGCAGCATTTTCATCATTTGGCGAATTATAAAAAAATAAACATGGTTTTAAAGTATATTACTAAGAGTATTCTATGAAATACCAGAAAAACAAGAAGAGAGCGCAGTAACAAACGTCGGTGAATATTAATGTACTACTGTTCTCTTTTCGTTTATTATAATTATTGTTACTTCAAGTACCAAGTTAATTTTGAATAGTAATAAGCGGTAGATAACTGCATAAAGTATCCCATTAAATTCAAATTACACCGACAGTTTATTTCGATTTAATTAATTTGATATAATTTAATAAATGATGATATGGTAACGTTACTTGCCCAATTATTTAATGGAAAAATTAGTTTCATTACAAATTCTGTTTCACTACAAATGTAAACGCAGGTTCAGCAGGCATGTATAATACAGAGAAGAAACGTATCCTATCAATAAGAAAGTTATAGTTAGGGAAAAGCGATACTTAAGCAAATGAATGCCGGGATACTTGTCGCTGCAAATTCCACGTACAATTCTATACAAGATACGTGGATTATGTTCTTATGTACATTGTAACAATGGCACAATCGTTGTAACAACGGTAAGAGACGGCAGACGGTTCAAGTAAAGAGGCTTAAGTATATATTTATATATTTGATTTTTATTGACAAATACGCCGGGATATTCGTTGAGTTGTCTTTCCTGAAAGTATTGTTTGCTTAGGATTGAACGTTGTTTGACAGAGTTGCCAATTGATACGTGCGCGCATACTATTTAGTCGCGCCGAAAGCAAATCGGCAAGACTATCGAGGTGCCCACTCGAACAGCGAATCGATAGAGGATGAAAGACTGGAGCGGGTTGGTTAAATGCACTTGGCGAGTAGCAGAGATTGCTAAGGAGTAGACGCTGAGCCACGAGAGGCTCGCAACGAGACGAGCCAGCAGGAGGACGGCTAGCCGGTCCTAGGACGAGGCTGCTTGGCGTAGGCACGGAAGCCCTTGTGGGCCTGGCGCAAATGGTTCATCAGCCGGGACTTGGTCTCCTCGAGGACGGCGAGTAGAGCGTCTCTCGAGCGCGACTCCAGCGCCTCGGTGTAGCGCTCCAGAAGCGCGAGGTCGATCTCCGGCACGCCGTCGAGATCCTCAGCGAGGCTCAGCGCTCGGCCCACGTCGGTGAGCAGCGGCTCGACGCCCGCCGCCTCCTGGCCCGGCCTACGGATAGCAGCATTGTGTGAGGCGCGCACGGCCGCAACCAGCTTGGGCAGGTCGCGCGCAGCGCTTACCGAGAGAGCCGCTCGTCGTCGAGAGCCCGGCAGCACTGCTCGTGCAGCTCGAGGCATGCCACGTCGGTGCGCCTGCGCGCCTCGCTCAGGTACTGGCGGAAGATCCTGCGGCCCTGGGCGCTGCTCAGGGTGCACTGCACGTGGTCGGTGATACGGTCCAGCTCGTCCGCCGTGAGGCCGCTGGTGCACTCGGCGATGCAGCCGAGGCCCGCGCCCGAAGCTCCCGGCCCGCTCATGCCGCTGCAAGCCGAGGGGCGACGCGTGCAGTAGCGCGCCGGCCCTGGTCTCCGACTCGGCGCCTCGCGTTCGCGCACGCGCCCTCACCGACGCGCGACGGCGGCACGACGCCTACGAGGCCTGCCCGTGGTCGCGGAGACCGCCGTCCGAGCTCTGGACGCGCGTGCGCGAGCGCACGTGCTGCGCCGGCCGCCCTCTGTACGCTCGACTCACCTCCGGTCCTTGGTGGACTGCGACCTGGCCGAGACATCGTTAGCGCCTTACGCCGGCGCGTCCGCGTGAATCCTGACAGGCGGCGATCGGCGGTGCGCTGCTGCGCGCTCCGGACTCGGGACTCGGGACTCGGGACGAGGCTGCCGGGCCGGCGACCAGTAGGCGACTACGCTGCGCTCGCGGTCAGTAGGATGGCGCCAGCGGCGCGCGCGCGTGCCGCAGGCAGCTTTGGAGAGCCGCCGGTTCCGGATTGGATCGAGTCGACGAACGGGCGCGAAGCGGCGACGAGCCGACGATGGAGCTAGCTCGCCGAATCGAGTGATCCCGGCTGCCAGGCAGACTGCCGGGCAGGCGGGCGAGCAGACAGCGGCGCCGCCGAAAGCCAGGCCGCTGCTCGTTCGCCGAGGCACAAAGCGTGCGGGGGCATCGCGAGCGCGCCGACTGCACCACACGGCCAGGAGAAAGTTTCGGCAGCGGGCGAACAGCTGCCACAAGTGCGGAGCGCGAGCTAATGACTATCCGCGGGCGCGCAAGAGGCGCCGGCGAGAGTCGAGGAACAGTGGGAGTGCAGAGCGGCCCATGAGAACTCAGGCCCACGAGAGCAGCTCGTCGTGGAGCTGTGAGCTTGCGGAGAAAGCATTACGCAAGCCATAGGCCGCAGATGCAGACAATGGCAGCATTGTTGCAGCGAGCGTCGGGGTGCAGATCGGCGCGCTGGCCCCTTCCAGAGGCGCGCAGCGCGCGCCCGAGATCGGCGGAGAAAGAGAGCCAGCGCGCCGCCGGGGGAGTGGAGCGCGGAGAGCGGAGAGCGGAGAGCGGGGCTATAAAGTCTGCCGCGGCAGCTTTTCCCGGGACAGACGTGCTCTCGAGTGCCCGTTGCTCGGTCGCTGTCGACGCGCTCGTTAGCCATGTGGCGGCTCATATTCCTGGCAGGTGAGAAGACCCGTGGTTCGCTCGCTCGCTCCCGAGTCCAGAGTGGGCGCCCGCGAAAGTTGCATACCGCTCGTGCGCCAAGAAACGAAAGTGCGCCGCTCTTTCCCACGCACGGCGCGACCGAGTGCAATGGCCTTTGGAGCGAGCGAGCCCAAGTAGCCTGGCTACAGCTGTGTCACGAGGCTTTTCAACGAAACGTTGCAGCTCTACTCGGCGACGCGGCCGCTCGGCCGGACGAGCTTGCCGCAGTGCAGTCCAACGCCAAGAGGTCGGCCCTGTCAGCCTACGCAGCGCAGCAGCACTACGCCGAGGCGACCCAGCAGCAGGTGAGCCGCGCCTCGCACTGGCCGAGCGCAGCAGCGCGGCCTCGGGCGAGCCGGGGCTGATCCTCGGCCGCGATCGGCGCCGATTGCCCAACAATGGCCGTATTATCTGTCCCTGCACCGTCGCTTGCGCAATCGCGCGCTCGCGCTTATCGCGAATAATAGATTCTCTCGCGTTCTCGCGCTCTCGCGCTCTCGTGCTCCCGGCTCGAGTCAGAGCAAAAATCGCAGTTGCGCTTTCCAAAGCTGCGCCGCTGGCTGCCTTTCTAAATTGATTTCCCGCGCGCGGCACAGCGTGGCCCGGATGACACGTGCTCCCTTTCCGCGCTCGCCGAGCCTGCGCGTAACGCTATTACGCGTTGCACGCCGTGCTCGCCGGCGCCGTCACCTGTCCGCGCAGCCACGAGGCGTCCGAGGCAGCGCTGGCCCGGGCGCCGAGAGCGCGAGAAAGCGCCGCTGGGGGAGGGGAGGGGAGTCGTTGCGCAACACGCCAGCAGCGGCGGACCCGACCCGCAGCGCGAGCGCCGACCGACGCGACTGTCGCAGATCCCCGAGGAGTACCTGGTCCTACTGCAGCGTTACCTCGAGTCCGCGCAGCCGGCGCCGCCGGGGCCGGCCGCGCGGCCCACGGCCCTCGAGCTGGAGCAGTACCACGTGGAGACGAGCCCGCGCGCGGCGCTGCCGCAGCTCCAGCAGCCGCTGCGGTACTACGAGGCGACGCCAGCGGAACCGCAGCCGCAGCCGCCGCCGCAGCCGCAGCCGCAGCCGCAGCCGGAGCCCGGCCAGCTGCAGTACCACCGCAGCGTGCCCATCCAGTACGGCTACGAGGACGAGCAGCAGGTTCAGCGCGAGCAGCAGAGTCCAGCGGCTATCGTGCGCGCGCAGGCGCAGGCCCAGGCGGCGGCACTGGCCTTCCAGAAGGTCGCCCAGGCCGCGCACCACAAGCACCGCGAAGCCGCCCTCGAGCAGATCCGACTGGCCGGCGAGAAGCACCGCGAGCAGAGCGCCCTCGAGCAGATCCGACAGGGCGAGGCAGTGAGCGAGGCCGGCCTGAAGGAGCGCGTGAGTAGCCCGGCCAGCCGAGCGCGGTCCGCCGAGCGCCACACTGACCGGGCCGTCTCGCCGCAGCTCGCGCCCGCGGACGAGGAGGCCGCCTACAAGGCCCGGCTGCGCGCCCAGGCGACGGCCCTGGTGGCTGAGCAGCGCCGCGCCAAGGAGGCCGCCGAGTACAAGGCCCACGCCGAGGCCATCCTCAAGCTGCAGGCCCAGCAGCGCGCGCACCTGCGCGCCCAGGAGGAGGCCCATCACTTCGCGCTCAACTACGAGAAGAACCAGCAGCGCGCCCAGGCGCAGGCCCAGGCGGTGGCCAACGCGCAGGCGTTGGCGCTCTACAAGGCCCGCCAGCAGGCGCTGGCCAAGGCCCAGGCTGAGGCCAAGCAGGCGGCCAAGGCCCAGGCGGATGCGCGCAAGCTCGACCCCGACAGCGTGCCCGTGGTGCAGTACCTGCTGCCGAACAAGGTGGCCCTGCCGCCGCCCGAGGTCAGCCGTGCCCCGGCCCGCCCGGCCCGCCCGGCCCGAATCGCTTCAACGGCCCTTTCTGCCGCAGGTCTACTTGCCCAAGGCGGCCGAGGCTCTGCGAGCACAGGCCGCTCAGGAGAAGCGCCTGAAGAAGCCGCTCAAGCAGCTGCTCGTGGAGGAGGTCGAGTCGGCCGACAAGGGAGACGAGCAGCAGCTGGCTTTCCTCGTGGATGCGGCCTACTACCGTAAGCAGCAGCAGCACCAGCAGCTGCACCAGCAGCAGCAGCAGCAGCAGCCGCGCGCCCAGTACCTCCAGCAGGACGTCGAGGCGGCGCGTTACCCTGCGCAGTATCAGCAGCTCGTTGACCCCGACAAGCTGGCCCTGCTGCTACCCGTCGAGGCCTGAGTCTCGTCTCCCTCCTGTTCCGCCTTTCTTTCCTCTTCTCGTCTAGCCTCCTCTTCCCGAGCATCAAAGAAATCCCGACGAAAGTGCGCAAGGCCGCGATCGGTAGTCGACACGCGGTGGGCACGCCAACAAGAACTTCCGACCGGCGGTCGACACTTTTTTCGGGTCTTGCGCGTTTTTATCGGGCGCAGTGCCGGCGCTCCGTTCCGAAATGCCGTCGGTGCGCTCGGCAATACGCTTACTTAGTCACGAATCTTACTCACATACAAGTATATTTATAAGCCGAGGAGCTCCACCTTTGTAAATAATAATGAGATAAATAATGAATAATGGCGTACAGGGCGTCCGACACGACGTTTCAAGTGTACATACGACCAAGTTGTCTGAATAAACGTTCGTTTAGGAGGAAGCCGAGCGATTGATTAATCCTGGCCACGTAGCGCAAACGGCCATTTCAGCTTTGTCTGTAAGAGTGCGTGACGTGGTGATGTAATGCCGAAAGTCTGCGCGAGATATATACTTTCATCTGCTTGCAGCAACCAACAGCCACTCCCTTTCCTTCTCGCTCGCGCAGTGCAGCGCTTGCGTTTTCTTTCTCCCCGCGTGCGAACGTCCTTGACTGGAAAGCCGCCAGTTTTTCCTTTCGAAAGTTCTTTCACGGAATGCCAATGCCACTCAGCACGGCTTTCATACTTACGCCTTCCTCGCTTCGAACTGAGTCGCGACCTGCTGCCGTCCACGCCGAACTAACGATCAACGAACGATAACAGGGATAAGCATAGCTCTGAAGCCCAGGTCTCAGCAAATAATTCTTCGATTCGGTCATTCGTTACATTTATTTAGCTCATTCTCGCTCCCCTAACAAGTGGGCATCCGTCACACATTGCGGCGCTTTGGCGCCGCGCACTACTTCGCTTGGTACAGTACAATATCGGTTATTTACAAGGATTGTCCAAACAAATGGCTGACGTCGTTGGCTTAGGTCGGCACTGATTTACAGGTTGACTAGAGAAACGACGAAACAAAGTCAAGAAATCAGGTGGTATCGATACCGTCCGTCAGGTAGGCTGGCTGGCTGGCTGGCTGGCTGGCTGGCTGGCTGGCTGGCTGGCTGGCTGGCTGGCTGGCTGGCTGGCTGGCTGGCTGGCTGGCTGGCTGGCTGGCTGGCTGGCTGGCTGGCTGGCTGGCTGGCTGGCTGGCTGGCTGGCTGGCTGGCTGGCTGGCTGGCTGGCTGGCTGGCTGGCTGGCTGGCTGGCTGGCTGGCTGGCTGGCTGGCTGGCTGGCTGGCTGGCTGGCTGGCTGGCTGGCTGGCTGGCTGGCTGGCTGGCTGGCTGGCTATCGGAGACGCAGCTGACAAAAGGTCCAGCGCCAGAATTGGTCTTGGAGCTCCAGAGAAAAGACTGTCGACGACCGCCTTGTCACTGACTGAATATCACTCGACTCGCTAAATATACGTTGGTCATTGGCCTACGGTCTAAGCCTCGCCTATAAAATAAGCATTTGTAAATGTGAATGTATGTAGGCGTGGAAAACGGGGAATGCGCGTAGATTGGTCACTCGGTCGCCGCGGTGCTGCGGATAGAAAAGTCGTTGTATCATCGAACGCCACTACTGACGGCTGGACACACAGGACAGCGGCTAACGGACAGAGCCCGAGTCGGCTCGGTCTGGCAAACACCGAGAGCGCAAGCATGCGCGCACAAAGGTTTCGGGCATGAGCGAACGCAGACAAGAGCCAACGCAGACTGGCACGTAACGCACGCTAGCTTGCACCGGGTTCGGGCTAGGCGGGCTGGGCGTCGGCAGCGTGGGCGGCGCGGGCGGCGCGGGCGAGCTCGCGCGTTGCCTCGGCCACCTGATCGAAGCTCGGCCGCTCCCTCGGATCGTAGGACCAGCACCTGGCCTGCAGCTGCTGCAAGGCCGGTGGCGCCGCCTCGTGCGCGCTCCAAGCGAGGCTGCGCGTCTTGAGCTGTTCGAGCACCGACTCGTCGCTGAGCTTGCGGAAGGGCAGTTCGCCCTGCTGGAACATCTCCCAGACGAGCGCGGCGTAGGCGTACACGTCGCTCTTGGTCGAGAACTCGTCCTCGAAGACGGCCTCGCGCGGCATCCAGCGCAGCGGGATCACCTGGTTGCGGTGGCGGCAGTACTCCTGCTGGTGGGGCTCCTTGCTCAAGCAGGCCAGCGAGAGCTTGAGCCCGAGGTTGCTGGACAGCAGGCAGTTGCGCGCGGCCACGTCCTTGTGCACGAGGCGCCGCTCCGCGATGTACTTGAGCGCCTGGGCAGCCTGCAACGCTCGGAGGCGCAGCGGTCAGTGGTGGCGCGTCGCGAGCGCGGCGGGCACTCACCTGGTCGGCCAGCGAGAGGATCTGCGGCACGCCGAGCCGTGGGGCGCGCGGCTCCTCGGCCCTGGAGGCCAGCAGGAACTGCTTGAGGTCGCCCCAGTCGGTGTACTCGACGATCATGTAGTCCGGCTCCTCGTCCCGGCAGAGCCCGATCAGCCTGGCCACGTTCTCGTGCTCGAACTTGCGCAGCAGGTCCAGGTGGCGCTTGAACTCCTGCAGCACGCTCTCGTCCCGACTGTTGCTCAGCGTCTTGACCATCACGAGGCTATCCCCGGTGGGCTGAGGCTGCCCTCCCTCGTCGCCGGGCCGGAATCTGGCCGAGAAGACCTCGCCGAATTCGCCGCGGCCCAACGGCTTCATTGGCTCGCGCAGCTGCGAGCGGCTGACGGCCAGCTTGTCGTAGCTCGAGCGCGACCGCCTCGACTGGGCACTGTTCTGACTGTGGGCCGTGTCAGTGCCGCCGTCACTCCTGTGCGACTCGCGCGGGCTGCGCGGCCGCTGCTGCGGTTGACGGCGCGCCCGCCCAGATTCCGCACACTGCTCCAGCGCACCGGCGTCGGCGGCATCGGCCACATCGCCCTGCTCGCCGCGCGCCTGGCGCTGCTTCCTGCGCCGCCTGCGGTAGCGGCAGTACGCCATCAGGCCGACGACCAGCAGCATGTAGGCGGCGGCGGCGCCCAGGGTGACGAGCACGGTCTTGGTCATCATGGAGCCGTCGCCGGGCCCCCGCTCGGCATCCGCGTCGGCGTTCGCGTCGGCGCCCGCGTCGGCGTCCACGTCGGCGTCCACGTCGGCGTCCGCCCGGTAACCGGCGTCGCCCGCTGCAACACAATGCGCGACCAGTAGCGCGCGGCCGAGCCAATCGCCCGTGAAAATGGTGAAAATGACGGCACAATGGGCCGCCGGTCCGCCGAGCCGTCGAGCCGTCGAGCCGCCGAGCCGCCGAGCCGCCGAGCCACGACGCGCTCGACTGAGCGCTTTGTTGCGCCAGTCGCTCCGGCCGAGGGGGGATCACTTACCGCGAACGCTCAGATAGGCCTCCTCGCGCTTGAGGCCGCCGCTGTTGCCGGCGGTGCAGCCGTATTTACCCTCGTCACTGCGGTAGACCTCCCTGATGTGCAGGCTGTCATTGGGCAGCTTGGCGATGCGCTCGCCGTACAGGTCGTTCATCTGCGTTGCGTCCTTGTCCCAGTGAATGGCCGGCTTGGGGTCGCCCTCGGCCGAACAATGCAACGTTACCGAAGCACCTTCCAGCGCCGTCAGGTTTTCCGGCTTAACGCTGAACTTGGGGGCGACTGCGCAGTGGTTGCCGGTCGGCGAACAGAGCCGCATCATTTTCCGCTCGTTAATCGAGAGCCGATTGCGCGGAACAGATCGGGAGAGTACTCACTGACTACGTCGATGCGGATCGTATGGTTGATCTGGCCCTGACTGTTACTCGCCACGCACGTGTAGTTGCCCTCGTCCTCCTCGAGGACGCCGTCGAAGAGCAGCGTGCCGTTGGACTCGTGCACGTGCGCGGGCAGCCTGGCCGGCGAGCCGCTCTTGTACCACCTGAGCGAGGGCGCAGTCGAGCCTTGCGCCCTGCACGAGACCTGCGCGGATCGTCAGGAGGGTCGATTAGCTCGGCAGGCTGCCTCCGCGACGGCGTGCCCCGATCCCCTACCTTCGCGGTGGAGTTGAGCTCGAGGCGCCGGCTCACGGGCTGCGGGGAGAACTTAAGCCTCTCCTTGACCGCCAGCAGCGTCGGTGCCGAGCGCACGGCCGGGAAGCCCTCGGTCGCCACCTCGCAGGCGTAGCTGCCCCTGTCCGCGAGCTGCGCGGCGCGCAGCAGCAGGCTGGCGTCGCCGGGCCGCTCGTCGAGCCGGTAGCTCGCGGCCGGCTGGGCGGCCTCGGCCAGCGGCGCGCCGTCCTTGAGCCAGCCGACGCGCGAGAGCGGTGCCCGCATCGCCCGGTAGCTGCAGCCCAGACTGGCCGGCTCGCCCTCCCAGAGGCTGAGCGCGCGCGGCGGCGCCGCCAGCAGCTCGGGCGGCCCTGCAACGCGACAAGGGCGCGTGAGCGAGCTCGCCGACAGACACGCAGCGGCGCGCACTCACGGGTCACCACCACCCGCAGCGCCAGGGCGCTCGAGCCGGCGAGGTTCTCCGCGACGCAGCTGTAGTTGCCCTGGTCGCGCGCGGCCCGTGCCTCGGCGATCACCAGCGTGTCGTCCTGCACGCGCACCGGGCCGGCGTCGCTGACGAGGCGGCCCTGCGGGTCGCGCCAGAAGATCCTGGGCCTGGGCAGGCCGGCGGGCGCCAGGCAGGCCACCTGCAGCTCGCGGCCCTCGCCCACCAGCGCCAGGCCGTGCCGCGGCCGCGGCTCCAGCGAGTCCTCGCCGAGGCTCCCCAGATCTGCAACAGGGCCCCGTGAGACGGTGGTCGCGCGGCTCGCGCCGCGTACCGCTCCACTCACAGGCTATCTGCAGCTCGGCCGAGTAGACCTGCGCGGCGGCGCCGCGGTGCCCGAGGCCGTGGCACGAGTAGAAGCCCTCGTGCCGGTCCTGCGCGCTTACGATCACCAGCTCGTTGGCCTCGCTCACGTAGCGCTCGCCGTCGGCCGCGATCGGCTCGGTCTCCTCCTCAAAGTACCACTGCACCTGCTCGGCGTTGTCGAAGGCGCAGCTAAACCTGGCGCTCTCGCCGCGGCGGACTATGGCCTTCCGCGGTGGCACGCGGATCGAGACACTCTCGTCGCTGGCCACCGCCAGCGCCAGGCTGCGCGCGACCGTGGAGGTCCCGGCGTCGTTGCGCGCCAGGCAGCGGTACACCCCGCTGTCCTGGGTCCTGGCCTCGCCAATCAGTAGCAGGTTGCGCCTCGTCTCCAGGCGCGCGCTCGGCTGGATGCTCCTCGTATTCCTGTCGCACGCACGACGATTCGTGAGAGCCTGCCGCCGGGCTTTTGTCCGCACTCGCGCTTTCCGCTCCCGACAATCCCGATCCCATTCGGCTCTCCTTCGCCCCCCGCCGGCTGCCGGCTCTCGCCTTTCGCCTCTCGCCTCTCGCCTCTCGCCTCTCGCCTCTCGCCTTCGGCAAAGGGTGCAAGTGCGCTCCGCCACTTTCGCCCCTTTCTTCTCCCGCCGACTCACTCGTCGCGCTTCGACGCAATCACTTCGGAGCCGCGAGCCTCGGAGTATTGCGAGAGGCGCGGCCAGTGCGGACGTGCGACTACGTATTTACATCCATCCAGAGAACTCACTTGAACCACTCGTACTTGAGCTCGCCCGAGCCGTCGACTTGGCAGCGCAGCTCGATTTTCATCCCTGGACGAATGCGAGCTGCTAGCTTTGGCTGCTGCAGGTGCACCGACGACTCGCTTATCCCTGCAATCATGACCGATCTATTTACTAATTGTTCTCTGGCCAATGTTGTCCTTGTTACACAATCGTTACCCTCTGCTGCCCTCGTTAATTACGTTAATTATACGTCGTCTTACCTTTTGATCCGCATGGGGAAGCGTGGGCTTGATGCGTTTTATGGATAATAAATCAAATTTCCGTCTCTTTTTCGTGTCGCTGCTTAGCCTAATAAAATCAATCGGCAGTTTAATAACCAAAAATTATAATATTCGCTCCCGACCGCTCTCCGATTAGTCTTTTTCTTTTTCAATTGCGCCTTTCGAAGGAATCACCAACTTCCAAATAAGATTACCTCTTCCATCACCTTATTCTAATTTTTTATATTTGAAAATTTCTGATATTATTATATTTTATTGTTTAGTCCCTACCTATATTCTCTCTGTATTTTAACTGACAAGTAATAGAGCGGATTTACATACAAATGCAAAATTATAATGCTCGTCCTTAGCTCTCCTCTGGGTGGAAATTTTCATAAAAATGTTTAAGAAACTGAGCTGTGCATTCGCAGGAAAGTATGAGGGATCGCGTCATCTAATTCGGCAAGCTATATTGAACGGATTTCGAACGATTCTGATTGCCTCGATTGCATTTTTTGTTTGCTCGAATTCAATATTATTCAAAATAAATATGCTCTTTTTTGAAATTTAGATTTAGTGAAACATGAAAAGGTTATTACCACGGAATTGTCGGCAGTACATAAATGTATAATAACGGAACCCGATTAATGAACCCAAAAACGAGAATTAATTACACATTTTCGGCGTATGTTTGAGTAATTTCAGTTCAGCTTGAAATATTAATTTATGCAGCAGACAGGTAGTTGAGTTTTGGATCGTTTCTGATCGTAATTCAATTATCCATTATTTCAAGATCTGGAGAAAAAGTAAATTCAGCCACGAAATAAATGAATATGTTAATGGCAAGATAACATTAAAACCAATGTTAATAGGTTTTACATTATTATAAATAAATCAAAATTATGTTATGCATAGGGATAATCTTTTTTTCGAAAGAAACTATCTTGGGTCCTTAGTTCTAGGAAAAATATGCACGAATTGTTATTTAATTCTACCTGCTATTATTTTATTGTTGGCTTGAAAAAACATTAATCAGAATGTATTTCATCTCGTTCTAATTTTTCAAAGCCATTATTTTGTTCTTTCCAATTTGAATTTAATGAAAAAAAAATCGTGAGCAAGTTACAAATCCAAGTATTCAAGCTAAACACAATCAACGGGTATTTTCTCGGATTGAACAACCTCATTTTTACTATAAACGCTGACTGTTCATGATTAGTGAACATTTCTTCTAAATATACTTGTTATTTTAGTGGAATAATAGCAGCCACTCATCTACTCAACTGATCTTGAACTCCGCGTCTCCACTGATTGATTTCAAAGTATACAAAAAAAAATGATGAAAACAGTCGATTAACATTTTAGGAACATTTTATGAATTTGAAAAACTGATAAATTGAAGTTGATTCTATTAATGCTGTCCATTTTAACACGTATGAAGCTTTTATGGAATGGCTTACTGCAGGATTTAAAAAAAATTATATAACATGTATAAGATTATTTTATAATTTTCACAACACTGTCAAACTATCGAAGGAAGATGCGAAGAGCGTTATTTTTGTTTCAATTAAATGCATTCGTGCAAAATAATAATATATTTCATATAATGTCACAATTTATGAAATATTATAAATTGCCAAGTCATATAGATGGAAAGATCAAATCAACATATAAGCATTACTGTGTGGTTTAAGTACTTCACGTGCATTCTTCTCGACCGGGTTGGGTTCGGGTTGTGCTGTTTTTCAGATATGTCAAATCGATAAAGTGTCGACCACGTAACTTTATATCGCTGGTAGACAAAATTACAAAAAAGACAGTTGTAGAGACAATATGGACCAGGCAGTGAAAGAGCGAGAGAGAGAGAGAGAGAGAGAGAGAGAGAGAGAGAGAGAGAGAGAGAGAGAGAGAGAGAGAGAGAGAGAGAGAGAGAGAGAGAGAGAGAGAGAGGTGCGAATGACGTTGGTCAAGCACGAAGTAAGCGAAAGTCTATATGCCGAACAATAGATGAACGAATATGGTAGAGCGGCACACAGAACAGACATGTGTGATTTGGAATTGGTGGTCCGCTTTGGTTCATGATATTAGTCCAGCTACGACACTCCGCGGACCCATGACAAGCACTGATCCGCGGAGTGTCGCGACGATATAGTCAAGCTACAGGGTGTTTCGGCAGTGTTCGACGAGTAGCTCTCTCGAACGAAACCAATCCCAATAAAATCGGCTTTGTCGTTACCAAGGCATAGGCCTTTACTTCGAGCGCACGTACAAAAAAGACGTTGCGGGCTTTCCGAATGGAGTGGCGGTGAACGTTGAGCGCTGTAGTGCTTGGGAACAGAGTGAAAACCTGTGTGGACTGAGTAGCGCAGCGCGAAGACCCCCAGAGATGTAGCTGTGTAGGTCGGGTGTCGGTCGACTGAACAAGGTAGCGCACGAAGGGCCAGCGGAGAGGACGCAGAGCTGCGCGCTGATCGCCCGATCGCGAGCGCACTTTGGCCTGGCAGCTGGCCGCAAGGGCGCCAGACTGCCGCGCGAATCGATCATTTTTTGGCGCGAACGGTGAGCAGAACGAGCAGTACGAACAAGGGGGACGGAGCGAGCTGCGCGTACGCGAGTCAGGGGTCGGGTCTGGAGTCTGTGGCCGGTTGCCATGGGGACACGCAAGGCCTCGTTCGATGCAAACGCATCGTAAACTTTTACGACTCCGACTGTGTGCCGCGTGATGCGTGCTGCGTGGAGAGCGGCTCGGCGCGCCCGGGGGAGCGATGTCGCAGCGGCAGCGTCCTCGCGCAATCCGGTAATTACCTCACGGGGCGGAGCGGGGGCGTCGTGACTCCGCTCCTCGTCTCGTGATCACGGTTGCCGCGATCGACCCAGCCCGAGTCGCCGGCATCGCGTCGAAGCCCCGACGCACGAGACATTCTATACGCGACGCAGCCCCGAGGCGGCCGAGCGGAGAAACCGATAGCCGTCTTCCGGCGCGACTCGGTGCCTCGACGATCGCCGGCTGCTCGCCGCCCGCTCGTCGCCCTTCCGTCGCTCGGCGCGGGAGACCGAAGGAGACGGCCGCGGTCGAACAGAAGAGCGCGCAGCGAGCAGGAGCGAGGCAAGCAAGCGAGATAGTGCATGGAGGTGCTCACACTGTACGTCGATCTTGGCGGGCGAGCTGTCGACGCTCGTGCCGCTGGCGAGGTGCGTGGCCCGGCAGGCGAACTGGCCGCTGTCGAGGAGCCGGTCCAACCGAGAGATGAACAGGTCGCCGCCCGGGCCCGGCGCGCGCCTCCGCGGGCTAGGCGCCAGCGGCCGGCCGTCCAGCGTCCAGGTGTAGTCGACGCCGTCGGCGGGCTCGGCCTCGCAGCGCAACCTCGCCGCCTGGCCCTCGAGCGCCCGCAGGTCCGCCGGGTTCACCGCCAAGCGTAAGACGCGCCACTCGCCAGCCTCGGCCGGATCGGGTAGCAGCAGCAGCAGCGGCAGCAGCAGCAGTAGCGGCGGCAGCAGCGGCAGCAGCGGCGGCGGCGGCGGCGGGCCGCGCGCGACGAGGAGGGACCGGGGCAGCAGCCGGGCCATGTCCGCTGCTGGCGGGGCGCTCTGCACGAGTGCTGGGCGTCCGAGCCGCGAGCGTGGGCCGGCGACGCGGTGGAGGCGCGCCTGCGCGGCGCCGGGACGCCGTGGGCGCGCGCTCCGCGTATCCGCCGTCGGTAAGCGCTCGGGCCGACCTTACCGTGGCGCGGTGGTGCAGCTCGCGCCCGCGTCGGCCGCGATGCCACGATGCCGCGATGCCGCGAAGCCGCGAAGCGCGACGGGCCGCGGCGACGGGTCGCCGGCGAAACCGGATCCGGCCGCGCGGCGGAATATTTTTAGCTGGCGAATCTTAATCATGTCACACCTCCGTGGAATACGGTAGCGGCATAACATTATCGCCGCCGCGCCGACTCGGCCTGTTTGCCTCTTGCCCGTTTCCATCCTCCCCGTTCGCGCCCGCGCTCAAGCAGCTATGAAATATTAAATTTAACCTGCGCATATTTCAGGATCAGAGCGAGTCTCTGGAGCTCTCGCGGCGCGCGTTTATTGCTCCGATATTAATAAAAGCTAAGCGAAAGACGGGGAAAGAGAGAGGCAGAGAACGGCGGAGGACGTGCGGCCGAAGCGAATATGCTGCCGTCGCGGCTCCTTGCCTCTTTCTTCCTTTTCCGAGGCAGATGCCCTCGCCGCGCATTCGTTTATCCTGCGGCAGTAGCAGCTTGGCTGGATGTGCACGCCGCTTCGCTGCACTTGGCGCGAGCTGCATCTGCGCCGTCCAGGCCGTCCAATCGATAGCAGCTCTGGGATGCTGCGCGCGTTGCCTTCCAGACTTGAAAGTTGCGCGTAGCGGCTGACCGCGCGAGCTTGCTCGAAAGCCAGACGACGGTGCCCACCCAATCGGACTCGCGCAGCGGCGACGCTGTCGCGTAGATGCGCGAGCGTATGCGGCCGCGGTGCGCCGCGGTGGGCCGCGCGCTCCTACTGCGCGCGAGACCAACGCCATTTTGCGATGCCCGTGCCACTCGGCTCTGCTGACCTCCACTGGAGCAGAGCACTCGAGAGCGCATAGCCAGAGGCAAGGAGGAGTGGTCGCGTGGTGTCCAGCTCGATGCCAAGGCTATGGGCGCGAGCGGGCGCGAGCGGGCGCGAGCGGGCGCGAGCATCGGGCTCGGCCGGAGCTTGCAGCCGACGGCCCGTGGCGGTCGGGGCGGCGGACGTGCACGAGGCGCACGCGCCGCCTGGCCGGGGCGGGTGCAGCGATGCGACAGGCGCAAGGACGAGAGGCCGAGGATGAGGTATAGCATTTTATTTACATATCGGTACACCATAGGATTCGACTGATACACAATGCATACGCTATTACAAGACAAGAGAGGTAAGATGGCGCGCAACCGAGCAATTCCCCGCTCACGATCAGCCGCAGCAATGCGAGATCGGCCAGATGACTATTTGTATCATGGGTGAGGCGGACCGCTGCGGCAGGTCGAGCCTCGTCCGAGCCGGGCTCGGTCCCTCTCGACGACTGCCAGCCGCGCAGGCCCTGCCGCGAGGGATATGCGTCGCTCTGGCGCGCCGGTAGCTGATATGTGTCGCGTCGCGGGCGGCTCGTCGACCGGCAGCTGTGCGAGCCACGCCGTCGGCCGCGCAGGTGGTGCGCAGCCTGGCGTCACTCGCTAGGCGCTATGTACAAATTCGATGTATCGGCGATCGATGACAGCGGTGGTCGGCGGCGCAACGCAGGCCCTCATCACTTGCGCTCGCCCCAGCCGGCGCTGTTGTAGAACCACGAGGAGGCGCTGCTGCTCTCGTCCCTGGGGGTCCGCGGCCAGGCCACGTTATCCAGGCCGTTGCTGGCGCCAGCCTCCTGCAAGCAAGCCCGAGCGTCGGCAGCGTGCCCCGCGGCGCCGCCTCGGCGCGGCGACAGCGCGCCTCTTACCACGACGTTCAGCTGGTGGCTGCCGGGCGACAAGTAGTCCATGTTGCTGTAGTACGAGGTGTAGTTCTGGTAGCACTGCTGCTGGCTGCTGGCGGTGGCGCTGCTGGCCCAGAGCCGCTGGTGCTCGCCGGCGAAGCCGGACCCGTTGCCGCTCTCCGTCACGGCGGGACTCCAGATGCTGCTGCTGCTGCCGCCGCTGCTGTATACGCTCGCGCCGCCCAGCTGCGCGCGCGCGCGCGGAAGGCCAACAAAGCGACAGAGAAAAAACGCCGTAAGTCGTGACTCGTGCGAGTGTGTATGCACTCGCGCGCGCTCTCTGTTTACTTTCCAACACCTATGTAGCCTCAATGCCCTCGCTGATGAGAATATATTAGGGCTTCCCCCCGCGGTCCTAATGCCTTTGTGCAGGCGGCGTTTGCTTTCGCTACCGTTTCACGCCCCTGCGCATACCTATCCTCCGACACACGCGCGCGCGTCTCTGTCTCCGCTTTATGCCGCGCGGCCTCTCGCCAGCCCTCGCAACGGAACGCGACGTTTTCGACTACGTCGCTGTGTTCGACTGTCAGCGCTCAGTTCGAGCGCCGACTGTTCGCTCGGACGTGCAACCGTCGACCGTGCGATCAAGTGTTATTGCAGCGCAAGTGCTGCGAGAACGGAAGGCGAACGGCGTTGCTTGGGCGGGCCGTTGACGGGCGCAGAGTCGAGGTTGCGTCGACTTTGCGCTCCGGCCGGACAAGGCCATACGCGAATTCGGACGTGTGCTGCGAGGCTGGCCCGTGGCTCCATTAGCATAAATAATGCTTGCGTAAGCGAGGTAGCGCCTAGCAGCGCCAATGCGAAGGAGAAGAAGTAGAGGTGGGCCGTAGGCCTAACGTATACTCACACTTGGCGGCGTGCTGCTCAGCAGTCCAGAAGCGCTCGAGGGTTTGTACTGGTGTGGCGAATCGCGCAGCAGCGCCGCTGGCGAACTTGCGGCCGAGCCCGCCGTCCCGCCGCTCCTGCACACAACACCACAACTCTTCCTTTTACAAGTCTCGGCTGTGTCCTCGGCTTTTCACATTCCTGGCTGTCGGCCCGCCGGCTTCGATCGAATCACGCCGACTCGCCCGAGCAGCTTCCACTTCTTTTTGCCCGATTAGGACGTCAACCGTTCGGAGAATGCCCCGGCGGCTCCGCGCGCCACTCGGCCCGCTGCGATTGTCGCCCGTGGGCGCGAGTTCTCCGTAGCGCAGCCCCGGCGTTTCGCTGACTCGGCCGCGATGGTCGGTCGACGGCTGCCGTCGCGGGGCGGCGCCCAAAGTAGTCGCCGGGGACTGCCGCCTGCCTTCGAGACGCGTGTTCTCGGCGTGAAACGAGTGGACGGGGCTGTGCGCGGCTTATCCCCGGCCGATAGGCCAGCTCGTCGCGGCGGCAGGTCCGGCTGGATGTGTAGTTTCGACGACTGGTTCGATGAACGCCCGAACAGGCGTGATCCGCGCGACGAGTGCGCCGCGTCTGCCGCTGCTGTGCCGCGCTGCTAGCCGTTCTGCGACGGGGCCAGTCATCCGGGAGCTCGCGACGCAGCATCAGCGCGACGGTCGAGAGAGGAGACCGAATCGCGACGCCCGGCCGACGAAGTGCACGCTTGGCGGGCGCAAAGACAATACTCACAGCGGGGTGGTGGCAGGCACGGCGGCCGCGGCGGCCGTCGGCGTCGTGGCGATCGAGGGGCTCTTGCCCGGGGGCGGGTTGCCGCTCACCGCCGGGTTGCCGGCGGCGGCGCCGCCACTCGCCGACGTTACGCCGCTCAGCTTCTTTGTCCTCGTCTGCTGTTGCTGCTGCTGCTGCTGCTGCTGCTGCTGCTGCTGCTGCGTCTTGCTGTCCTGCTGCTGCTGCTGCTGCTGCTGCTGCTGCTGCTGCTTCTGCTGCTGGCGGCACTTGGCCCTGCGATTCTTGAACCAGACCTATCGATTTTCCGATTAGTCTCTTCGGGGAAGGAAGCCTTGTTCGTTGCTCGGGATGGTCGCGGCCCGCTCGTTGATGTTGTTTTCGGCCGGCGTTCTTCGGCAGCTTGGCGCTTTGTGTCGTCGGCGATACGTGCGCGAGACTATGGCGCGCCTCTCCGGAGTGCAGCTGCGCGCGGCCCGCGCAGCGAACTAGTTATGCGCAAGCACGTCGGCTTTTCCGCGCGACAATGCAGCGAGAAAAGCGGCGAGGACGCGGCCCGCAGAGAGCGGCTGCAATCAACCGGTGTCGTGGAGCGCGATGCAGCGAGGACGGCAGCGCGGGAGCGGGAGCGGGAGCGGGAGCGGGAGCGGGAGCGGGAGCGGGAGCGAAGGCGAGGCTCGCCGAGCGCTACGGAAGCCCCGCGGCGGGACGGCGGAGCGGTTGCTTCGCGGGCGCGCAGGCAGACGCGGGGGCTTCGAGCGGGCTCGCGGGGCTTCGCGCGACGCGCATCGCACTGCCAGCGTCGCGAGCCACCTCGCGTGCAGCTCACCGGCCAGGCGCGTTACGTAACCGCGCGATCGACGCACTCACTCACCTGCACGCGGGATTCCGGCAGGTTGATCTTCAGGGCCACCTCCTCGCGCATGAAGATGTCGGGGTACCTGGTTTTGGAGAACAGGCCCTCGAGCACATCCAGCTGGGCCCTGGTGAAGGTCGTCCTCTCGCGCCGCTGCTTCCTTGGGTTACCTGCGCGTGCGCACGCTTGTCAATTGTCATGATGCACGCGCCGCGCGCACACGTACATGCACGCGAGCTCACGGAGCGCGCGCGAGCGATCCTCTCGGGCCGTGGCCGTCGGCCGACGCACGCGCGCCCGCGCGCGGAAAGGCGGGCCGGGGAGCTCCCGGGCGCCAACGGGCGATCGGTCGGCGCGCGTACACCGGCTAGCGAGGCGAAAAGCGTCGGCCTCTGTATCGCGCGACGCGGCTCCGATGCGCACCGCCATTCGCATGGAGATCAAAGTCAATAGCAATAATGTAGGCCACCGCAAGTGAGCAAACATCATATCCCGATCACCCGCGGCTTGCGCTCGGCTCTCGTATCGAGTGCGCCCGACCACGTACTTGGGCGCGCGCCGGCTGCGCTGCGCCTTCCGAGTGAATGGCTGCGCGCACTCGAGGCCCGCCGACAATAAGACGAGAGAAAGAGCGCAGCGGAGAGCGCCAAGAGTGAACAGCCCTCGAGTCTGGATAGGCGCGTTCGCGGCCCAGAGCCCCCACGAGTGGATCGCTCGAGTGCGAACGCGCGAGTGCGGCCACGAGGGCCAGGGATCGCCCCCACGCACACCCACTCCTCACGCACGCCACACGCACGCCACACGCACGCCACACGCATACGCACGGATAACAGAGATGGAGCACTCACAGTAGTAGGACTCACCGGCGGGCGCGCAGCCGGGGTAGGCGATGCTCGAGTGCAGCGCCTCGATCGGTGGCATGCCCAGCGGGCCCACGTAGGGCCCGGTCTTGAGCGGGCCGTAGGGCCCGCCGGGCGCCGGCCCAAAGCCCGCCGGCCCGAAGAGCTCGCTCGCCGAGGCGGCCGTGCTCGCCGCCAGGCTGCTCAGGTCCGAGGCCGCGCCGGCGGCCGCGCAGCCGGCGCCGCCGAGGCTGTTGGTCCACATCGCGCGCCGACGAGCGCTCGCCAGCTACGACCCGCGGGCGCGCATAGCAGGCGCGCGCGCCTGCGCCGGCCAGCACCCTCGCCCGCTGCTCCTTGCGCTCGTCCGGCTCTCTCGCGCGCTGCTCTACGCCGCCCTCGGCGCTCTCCTCGGCAAAGCTGCTGCGGCTAATCGGCTCGGGCGCTCGCGCCGCGCGCTATCCGCCCGTTGCGACGAGCCGTCAGCGGGGCCGCTCGCGTCCTGGCACTGGCGTCTGGCCGCCGCCGCCGCTGCTGCTGCTGGCGCGGTGGCTGCCCGCGTGCTGCGCCCGGCCGCGGGCGGCGCATCGTAGGCGGGGGCGCCGCGGGCCCTCGGCGTGCGCCCGGCTGGGCGGCCCTCGGCGTCGCGGCGGACGCGGGAACGCGCGCCGCGAGGACTACGGACGGTCGCGGGCGGGCGCGCTGCAGAGGCGGAGGGCCGCGAGGCTGCGGCTGCGAACGAGAACGGCGACTCACTGCGGCGAGCGCGACTTTGTCTCGACCGGTGGTTGCGCGTGTGCGCGCGTGTGCCTCGCTCTCCGCGAGCCGCGTCGGTGAGTCGCGGCGGAGGTAGCGGCGGAGCGCGCGGGGGGCGTCGACTCGGGGCGGCACGCCCAGACCGCCGCCCGGGGGGCCAATGGCAGCCGAGCGATGGCAGTGCGGCCTGATAGGCGCTCGCTCGCTCGCGTTGCTCGCGCGCGCTCCACGGCGCAGCCGAGGCCCGCGAGCACAAAGGGCTGCGCGAATTTGGCGCGCCGAGGTTTTTCCGTGAGCGACATCTTTGTTTGGCGGCGTCCGCGGGCGTCGAGCGAGGCGCCGGCGGGAGCGCAGCGCAGCGGCAGCGGCAGCGGCAGCGGCAGCGGCAGCGGCAACGGCAACGGCAGCCAGCGGCCGCAACATAGCAATTTAACTTGCTCACGTGCGAACGGCTAATGCTCTTACGGGATTCCGAAAAGATCAGCCAGCATTACTATGCTATTAGCCCGGCTAAAACCGGCTTGCTTCCATAAACCCACTAACGCGAGAGCAACACTTTATTCCCATTCATAAAGTCGCGCACGCCAGCGGATATATCGCAAGGAGCGAGCTCCGTAGCGTTTCTGCTTCTGTTTCGGCGTGATCGATCCGCGCCGAGCGATTGCCGCCGAGTCTGCTACGGAAGTCAGCCCGCCAGCCAGCCAGCCAGCCGGAGATTACAATCAGCGCCGACTCATTACGCAAACCATTGTGTCGCCCAGCCAGCGCCTCGATGATGCTGCACATCCATCTGCTGCTGCTGCTGCTGCTCCTGCTCGGCTGCTCGTCTGCGATCCGTATCTCCCGTCGGCATTGGCTCGACCTCTGGCTCCCACCCACGCTCGGGCGCGCTCGCCTCCTCGCGCCTCCTCGCGCCTCATCGCGCCTCTTCGCGCCTCCGCTCGCCCGCTGAAATTCGATTCTCTTTCGCTTGTAATCTGTTGGACCCGGCGCGCGGATCATCAGCCGCGGCCATCCTCGTCTCTCTCCTTGTTTCCTCTTGTCCACCCGGCCAATTTCGCCTCTCGACTTCGAGGAAGGCCACTCCGCAGCTGTTGCATCCCTCTCAGCTACGCAGATATATATTCAATTACCAGTCGCACGTGCAATCTTGCTCTCGGTAACTCGATCGACTTAATGCCTACTCGGCTGCAGTCGCGCTCATCCGATCGCCGTCCGAAAGCCCGCGGTGCCGAGCTTTTTCGCCTTGCCTCGCGCGTCACTTCATCGCTCTCTTCTAGACGTCCGCGTTTTTAATTATTCTTAAAAACAAGAACAAAAACATTTGCTGAATTAATTACATCGATCGGAGCACTCTTCAGACTCGTCAGACGCTCCTTTTGGGATTATAAGGACTCTAAGGACCCCGCGCTTGGGCGCTCTTTGGACGGCGAAAGCGAGTAGACAGGAGAGAAAGAGAGCGAGACAGAGAGGCTGCTCGCCCAGGACCGAACAGACTCAGCGTTAAAAGTAGTCGAGGGTAATATTCCCCATGGCAATAATCCCTTGCCTCTCTCTCTCTCTCTCTCTCTCTCTCTCTTTCTCTCTCTCTCTCTCTCTCTCTCTTTCTCTTTACAGCTGGCCTTATTCGCAGTCACCGCTCGCAAAGCCAAAGCCAGCGACGAACATAAAGATGAATTAATGATTTTCGGAAAGGCCGAATCGCAATCATGAAATTGAGGCTCGCTATTAATTGGGTAACCTAGGCGGTAGCTCTCGACGAACTGCCGTCTTACTTCTTGGATATATCGAGGTTCGTTGCTGTCTGTTACACAAGCTTGTTGCTAGCGCGCGTGCAATTGAATGGCACTGCGGCGCATCAAACGTTCGGCTCACGGAGCTTTACCATTTTTTCAGCAGCAGCGCATGCTGCGAGACACCAATAGATTTCCGGAAAAAACTGTGCATTTGGCATTTTCAAGCGTCCAGTTGGCAGCAAACTCGAGCGTTTTAATGCTAGGCCACAATAGAGCAATTCCACGCAAAACCAACCAAGCGTTTTACTCGCACGTCACTGATTTAGTCGACAAAATATTTCTATGGCCTTTCCTCTCGGTCTCTCCCTCTCCTGCTTCTTTTCTGTGCCGCTGCCTTTAAAAATACATTTTCCCATCAGTTTCAAAGATACTCGCCGGCGATCGAAAATAACATCAGTTTTTAGTGAACAATGAAGCAGGCCAAGAAAAAAATGAAGAAAGCAAATGGTAAATTGGAGAGCGGGCGTGAGTTTGTAAAATTGATAACGAGTGAGCGTGAAATACGATTGGAGCTTTCTGTCAAGTTAGACTCGCGTTTGCGCCTGCAGTATTGATTTGCTTTTACTCTCCTCTGTAAGCGAGCAATGTGTACAGCGCGCTTACTCGCTCGGCCCTTTTCCCTCCGCGCGACTCGTCGACTCGACGAATAAACGTTTCAGCGACGACATTTGCATGGGATATTTGAAAAGTTTCTTGCGGCAACAAGCGACCAGCGATGAACTGATGGACTGGACTGCGCTCAACAGGGCATCTGTGCGCAAAACCCACAACGTCTATAAAACAGCTATATACCCGCAACGCCCTAAACTATTCTATACAACGTATATCGCGCTTGGCTTGATCGATTACCACGCCTCGATTGCTCGCTGATAATGCATAGATACGACTCCCAAATCTACGCAGGCCATAGCAATGCCATTCGGAACACGCAGGCACGAATATCTGAAAATTGCCGAGTCACTGACGTGCGACCAAAGCTTGTCTGTTCTGTTTATTTCTTTGGTCTTTTGTCAGTCTTTTGTCCGGGAGCCTGCGGGCTCACGCCTATACCTGTACACCTTTATGCTGAGCTGCAATATGCTAGTGGACGTATCATCGCTATCAAGATAGCGTGTCATTCATGTATTATGATCGGTTACAACTCACTGGGCTACCCTTCCATTACGTAGCTATATACCTTTGCAAGAATTGATTTGCTCGCATAGCCTGAAAGTTTCTTCATTCTTAATAATTTAATTGATTCCGTCTATCTATTGTAGAATCGTGTAAGAAGCTCGGTTAATGTACAGACTGAAATCAATCAGTTTTGTTGTCAAATCTAACCTCGAAATTTCCATACGAGCACGCTGAACTCTCATTCATTTATTGTTCTAATCCTATATTATCCTACTTTGAGACAATATGGTGAACAGATCGCTAATCAGTTGAGAGTATTCAAGTATTAAAATTAAAGACTCCCGTAGTAGCCGTTGAAACCGTGCTCTGCTCTCCGTGTATAACCTAAAAATTTTGAAACAACAGCGATAATTCTTCGTTTTCATTTTCTATTCTTGTACGCTCTAAGTTATACTTTTACAAACCGTTGAGGATCATTGATAGTCATCTGCATGTTTTAGAATGTTTTCATTTTTCAACGACATTATAATTAACAAAATGTATGATTACTCATAAAAATACATTTCATTTGTAATAATATTAATTTCTTGGGTTTGAACATAACTTTCGAGCACTTGGATGAAGCTATTGAAAACTCAATTTATATTATACTTTGAAAATTTCACGTTTTACATGTATATGTAAGAGATTTATATCAAATGATTTTTGTCAAATGATGAATGCCAACTGAATTTTTTATTTACCCTTGATTATCAATAGGCGTAAGATTTTTTGAATTGTATCATTAAATAATTGCATCTACGGTATTAAAATGCATCTTTTTATGATAATTATAATATCATAGTGATTGTGAAAAAGTTTACATTCTCCTCTCTGTCAATTTTGTGTACTTATAAAGCAATAAAATTTTACAAATAATTTGACAATATCACTCACGATAAGGAATATAAATTTAATGCTAATTTTATAACATTTGATTGAACCGTCATTGACGTTAATTAATGTCAGAATTGCTTGTCTCCGGTTGTCATACACAAAGGATTACTATTACGTGATATGAAAACTTGTTTCTCACTGTAGTATACAAGATTCTAATAGTATACTAAAGCGAAGTGACAAATAAAAGTTTGTTTAATCTAAAGAATGTTTAATAGAAAATGTAAAAGGAGGCGATTGTGCTCTTGAATGGTAATCGTTTTTTAAAGGGGACTTGGTGAAACGAACTACGAATTTGAGCAGATCAAAAGTAATTTATTAAATTGATCGCTAGTGAATACAATGATTATTCGATCAAGTGGACATATAGATATTCATTGAGTGACAACTGTCGAAAATACTGTAGCTTAGCGACAGTGTGTCTGCTAAGTTAGGCGCATTTGTAACCGAGGGCAATCGTGCGTACAGCGCAAATCGAGCCCAAGAAGAAGAGAAGAAAGAGAAGAAAAATCAGCGAATATTGTCTGGATCTGTGTCTGGCTGACGATGCGAACGGGACGGGAGATGTCGGCAGATCTGCAAGAAACCGTGGGCGGCGGCAGGTGGCGGCGAGGCGTGATGGTAACATTGTCATTTGCGAGCGGCGTTACTATATATATATAATGTACACACACCCACACACACACACACACACACCCACACACACACACACACATATATATATATATATATATAGGTAACAATAAATCGAGAGGCTTATGGCGCAGCGGAGGAAGAGGATGTCGGGTACGCGGGAGGAGAAGGGATATCGATTGGATTTGTCGCGGCGTTATATTTTTTCTCACAAGGAGCGGAGGAAAGGCGGAAGACGACCCGAATGTTTGTGCAGCCTGGCCCCTTGTCTCGGCTGATAGATAGCCAGAGCCATACGCGTCAACGTATCCGACGAAATGAAGCGTAGCCGCGAGGACCCAGTGGCGGTGCAGGTGAATGACTCGTGTGTAGAGTACGAGGCAACCCTCAAGATTTATATCTTGGAAGCAAGGCGAGGCGACGCGAGGCGAGGCGAGGCGAGGCGAGGCGAGGCGAGGCAAGGCAAGGCAAGGCAAGGCAAGGCAAGGCAAGGCAAGGCAAGGCGAGGCGAGGCGAGGCGAGTCGAGTCGAGTCGAGTCGAGGCGAGCGAGTAGGTGGAGACGCTTGAATTTTCCCAGCGCGAGAGTGTATCGAGGGGGGCCGGCGAGCAGGTAGTTGGCCATTGTGGTGCCTTCCGGCGCATTGTGCGCGGCAGATTTCCCGGGGGAAGGCGCTATTAGCCGAGGCCAAATAGCCTATTACGCGGCCATTAACGAGCATCGGTCCGGAGAAAGAGAGCGGCGGCGAGGAGACGGCGCGGCTCGCGACTCCAGTGCGCGCGCGAAGCCCCGCGCAGCGCTGCCGCCGGCGGTGTAGGGTTTCGCCACCCCGCGCACTCGCGCCTCTCCCGCGAGACCGGTAATCCGAGATTCACTTTCTGCCTGCACGCGGACTGCACGACCGGCGCGCGGACGCACGCTCTACCGACCAGCGCCGCGTTCCCTTCGCAGTCGCGCGGCTCGCAGTCGCCGCTCGCAGGCACCGCTGCGCCTGCTCCGGTCGCCTACAGCATCCCCCATTGTCCACGATCTAATTGCACGCGTCGTAGCCCGGAGTGCGCGCGAAAATCGAGCGCCGGCGCGGCGCTGCGGGCCGCTCGCCGTCCAGCGACACTTGCACGGGCTCGTCCATTCGGTGGTCGCAGCGAGCCAGAGCTCCACCGGTCCGTCGAGCGTCGCTCGAGTCGGCGCGCCGGGGGACAAGTGCGGAGCTAGGCTCGGGCCCGAGTGGAGAATCCGAACACACAAGAACATGGGCTCGCGGCAGAGTCGGAGGCGAGCGGAAACGAGGGCGGGCTCGCGCAGGCGGACAAAAGAAGGCAGAGCGCGGACGGCTCGCGCGGGCCTCGACTACGCGCCGAGCAGCGATCGGCGCATTTGATGTTTGGGCCGCGCAAGGGCTAATTGGCCCACGTGCGCCTCGTTAGCCGTGGCAGCCGTTGCGGGGCAAACAACGAAGTCGGGCGCACTGTATCTGCCTGCAGAATCTTGCAACGAGAGGGAGAGAGCGTATATTGGCGCGACGATAAGAGCAAAAGCGCGATCGATGCGCTATCTTTGCGGGGCAGAGCCCTTGACTATATACACACACGAGGAGAGCGCGGGGTCGTAAGCGGCTTACGTCCGCCTGCCGCTGCCGCCGCCGACGACGACGACTCCTCGCTAATTATTTATATAGGAGCCTAAACCTCCGCTGCGCTGGCGCCCCTCCGCCCCGTGCGCCCCGTCCGCGGCGTACTTTTGCCGCTCGCTCCCCGGCGCCGCTCCTCTCGGGCGTCGGGGGTGCTTGGCTCGTGGCGTGCGCGCGGCGCGCTGCAGCTCGCCAGAGCCACGGACGCTGCTTGTTACAGCGGGATCCGGCTAAGCGCAAGCCGATTTTAACTCGCTCGCTAGGCGGCAGAGTGTCACTCGGTCAAGTTCAAGGGTCGCTGCAGACGCCCAATTAGAGCGCACACCTGCGCACGTGCGCGCTTTGCTTTTCTGCGTTTGCATGCACGCGCAGCCGCGCGACCTCCTGGCCGGGGCACGGCGTCGCTCTCCCTCCCCCTGCCGGCTCGGCAAATCTCGGCCGAATCCGTTTAGCGCCTAATCGTATGTATGGCTTTATTGGCCGACACTCGTCGCATCCACTCGTGGGCGCCGCGCGAAAACGCTGCGAGACGCGAGGCGCAGGTGGCGAACGACGACCGCCTGGCTCTCGGGCAAGCGGCCTCGCGTCGCCGCAGCTAACGAGAGATCAAAGAGCCCTCCTCTCCGCGCGCAGCGCTAATCGAATGACTTGTGCCGAATTCAGCGGACTAGCAGCAGATCGAATTTCACGGCGTTTAGCGCAAAACTGGCTGCGTCTGAGCTGCGGCGCGTAATCTTGGCTTTGAAATATTCAAAGCGCCCGGGCGCTCGGCGCTGCGGAAGCCGCAAGCATAAAAAATTGAAAGGTCTAATAGGCTCGTTGCGTGCGGCCATATGATAGTGATTTGATGACGTGTGTAGTGGCGCTGCAAGGGGCTTGAGCGAGGGGGTGGGCAGGCTTAGTTGGCCATAAAGCACCCCAAACGCCTCGCCGTCGTCGTCCCTTTTTCAGCGTGTTTTCTCCTCGATGAATCCGTGCTGCTCTCTCGGCTCCTTTTACAATTGGGGTGTGACGGCGAGCGCGCGCGAGACGTGCAAGGAAGGCAAGTCGAAAGAAAGCAGACACTCCAATCATTACAATATAATATATACGATACTTTATTCATACTCGTGCGCGAGAGAAGGCAAAGTGACACCTCTCCTCCTCTCGACATTCATCTGCACGGCACTCGGGCACGTGCCGTCGCGCTATAATATAATTTTTACAGAACTATATATATCTATGTATTTGCAATTTTTTCCTGATATATGCATATGCGCTACATATATATATAATCTGCTATGCGCATCGTAGACAATACGGAGGAAGGACGACAGAACAAATCGGAATGAGAGTGACGGGGCATGGAGGCGCATATACAGCGAAGGGGGATTAGTGGCGTCGCGTCGTCACATTATCTAAAAGAGGGAGAGGAAGTGGCAACTGGCGGCCCCGGTTATTTACAAGAAGGAGCGCGAGAAACAAGGAGGCGAGGACGGGCAGTCGCATTGTCCTAAAACTCACTCACAGCACTCCACGGCACTCGAGTCTCTGCAGTTATGTACAGGCACGGCGACCGAGCCGAGGGCGGCCGCACTGCGCGCTGCCTCCTGGCGCTGGGGGCAGCGCGCCGCGGAGTTGCGGGCTGGCAGACTCGCAACGGCGGCCTAGGCGCAAGTCGGCGGGCGCCGCTAGGCCATCGCCTGGTACTTGTGCTCGGGCAGCGCGTACTCGCCGGCGTCGACGCCCGCAGCGGCCGCCGCGTCGAAGCCGTGCACTGCGGCCGCGCCGCTAAGGTGATGGTGCGCAGCGGCCGCGGCCAGACTGCTCATGTTGTGCGGGTGGTGGTGGTGATGGTGGTTGTATTGGCTGTGGTGGTGGTAGGCAGCCGCCGCGGCGGCCGAGTGCAGCTGCGGCAGGTGGCCACCCTGGTAATAGTCGCCCGCGCCGTACGGGCTCTGGTAGCCCTGGTAGCCGGGCGCGCCCCACTGTCCACCCGGGCTCGCCGAGGCCGCCCAGCCGAAGTGCCCGTGCTCGTAGTGGTGACTCTGCAGCTGCACGGCCGCGTTGGCGTAGCCGCTCGCGGCGCCGCCGCCGGCCGCGGCCGCACCGTTGCCGGGGGTCAGCGGCGGCGAGGGCGTGGTGAGGGCGCTGCTGGCGTTGCTCACGGCGCCCGGTGTCGCGCCCAGCCGCGGGTACACGGCCTGCTGCTGGTGCTGCTGGTGTTGCTGGTGCTGTTGGTGGTGTTGCTGGTGCTGCTGGTGCTGTTGGTGCGGCTGCGGTGGCGGCGGCGGCGGCTGCGATGGCTGCTGCTGCTGCTGCTGCTGCTGCTGCTGCTGCTGCTGTTGCTGCTGCTGCTGCTGCTGCTGCTGCTGCTGCTGCTGCTGCTGCTGCTGCTGCTGCACCACCACGACGCCGTTGCTGTTGCCGGACAGCAGCGGCGAGTGCGGCGCTTCCTTGGCGCGCGGCGGCGAGCACGGCGACGGGCGGCGCAGGGCGCCGTTGTTGTTGTTGTTGTTATGGTTTGCCGGGGGCTTGCCACTGCTGGCACGTCCAGTGGACTTGTGCTCGGCCTGGGCCTGCTGCTGCTGCTGCTGCTGGTGCTGCTGGCGGCACTTCGCCCGGCGGTTCTTGAACCAGACCTGCAAGCAGCCCGGTGGAGCTTTAGACTCGGCGGGCGAGCGGCGCAGAAAGGCGCGAGGCATCCGAGCGAGCGCGCTAATCGAGTGGGCTGCAATGGGAAAGTAATCGCGGCCGGATGGGCGTAACATTTCATTAAATCACGACAATGATGCGCGCGGAGTTGCCCCCGGCTGACGGCTGCCGGCCCCCGACACAACAAACATCGCGCAGCGAGCGAGGCCGTGCCCCTGTAATCCTCGGACAATGAGTATAAGCAGCGACGAGGGTGCGAGCGAGCCGGAGAGACTGTCTAAAAGCGAGCCGTCCTTGTTATTGTTGGCATTGTCGTTATTCTTATTATTATCTTTATCATCGCTCGGTCGGTCGGTCGGTCGGTCGCTAGCTCGCTTGCTTGCTCGCTCGCTCGCTCTCTCGCTCTCTCGCTCGCTCACCATTATACGGGCATCAATCGAGAATGAGGTGCGAATGTCGAGCCGTTGACAGCTGAGCCGACGACTCGGGCGCGCTCGCTTGCGTGTTTTTGTGTGTTATGACAAACGCGCGCTTGTGTAGAACGAGCGAGAGGCCCCACGCGGTTTTCCTCGCCTACTATACTCTCGCCGAGCGCATACGCGTACCTCGGGCCGGCGTTACTGCTGCACCAAGTGTGTGCCGCCGTCGCCGCAAAAGAGAAACGCAGCTGCGCGACTTTCTCGTGCGGCAAGGCGCGCGCCCGGATTATAGCCCTCGCGTGCGCACGCAGCACCGAACAAATCAACTCTCTCGCTCGCTTCTTCGTCTCGTTTTATTCACGCACGTTCACGTATATCTCCTCGCTCGCTACTCCTCTCCCTCTGTGTACACTGAATACTGCACACCCTTTCTAGCTGCTATTCAGCGCCGACGACCACGCCGTCGCACGATTTTCCGGCCTTTGTGCCTTTGGCGGCGCCCGACCAGCCAACTTTTCCGAGCTCGCCGCCCGAACCGCTCGGGTCCGCGGACGCGCGCCCCGTGCCCCGCGCCCTGTGCCCCGTGCCCCGTGTCCCGTGCCTTGTGCCCATGCCCCATCGCCGGGTGCACTTGGGGCGGGCATCTTGGCCGCAAATACTGCCGTATATAAATAATAAAAGACGCGGTGGCCAGAGTGGAGGGAGATTTGTCAGGCTTGCCGACGGCAAAAATCAAATCCAGACAAATGACACACTCCCCCCGTGAAAAAGGAGGAAAAGAGCCAGGAAGCAAGGCAGGCGCGAGGTCGTAAAAAATCATTGGTCCCCCGCTCTCGAGCGCGCGTTCGCAATGGAGCTGTTAACATCGGCGCGCAATAAAAGCGTCGTCGGCCGTCGGCCTCCCGGAACAATGGCGGCCGGCAGCCTCTAATGCAGGGGAGGGGCCGCCGCTCGCACGCTTCTGCGGGCCGATAGGTGCAGGCACACGCGGACGCATCCATAAATATCGTAAATCCGGCGGCGCGCTGCGCAGACACGAGGGAAGCGCGCCAGCGTCGGCCGCGAGATACCGTGCCACGGGCGGCGAGGACGCGCCCGCTGTCGATGGGCCGCGCGCTAAATGAGACGTTGTTCACGCGGCGCGCCAGCCACAGCGCGAAGAGTTGCGACGTCGCACTCACCTGCACGCGGGACTCGGGCAGGCTGATCTTCAGGGCCACCTCCTCGCGCATGAAGATGTCCGGGTACCTCGTCTTGGCGAACAGGCCCTCGAGCACGTCCAGCTGAGCTCTGGTGAAGGTGGTCCTCTCGCGGCGCTGCTTCCTCGGGTTCATGCCTGCAACAGGCCAAGCGGCGGGCAGCGACGCCCCGGTCAGCGAGGCGCCGGGGCGGTCGGGGCGATCGGGGCGGTCGGGGCGGTCGGGGCGAGCATAGCCACCTTGGGGGAAGGCCGCGACCAGTCCGTGCGCGTCGAGCGGGTGTGCGTGCGGGTGGTGAGGCGCGGCCAGGCCGAACGGCCCGACACCCGGGTGGTGGGCCTGGTGGGCCGCGGCGTGCATGCCCAGCTGGTGGTGGTGGGCCGCCGAGGGGTGGTGCGAGACCGGCTGGTGGTGGTACTGCGAGGCCGCGGCCGAATTGGCCGCCGCCGCCGCCGCCTTCAGGTAGCCCGCCATGTAGCCCGCGAGGCAAGCCAGCTCACCCGCCACTTTTCCACTGCTCCGCTGTCTACTCCACCGCCTTCACCGCCTTGCCTCTGCTGCCGCTCCTTTCCGCCAACTCTGCGATCTGCAACACGCTCAAGCGCCTCCGTCAGCACGGCTCCGCCAGTCGCTCGAGTCCCTTCTGTCTCCTGACGCTGCATCGCTAAATAGTGATCTAAATCCTACTGCGCGCGCGCACTCTGCCCAATGCAATTAGCGAAGACTGTGTAAAGGCGCAGGCACTAACGAGTGCAGGCAGGTTATCCGCAGTCTCGATCGTCGATCATTACGACTAGTCGTTTTCCGAGTGTTCCGTTTCCTCGCCAACGCTTGACCAATTTAGAAACGATTTATAGCTGTTACATTGACGCCGAGAAACGGCATTGGCGTCTGCACGAAGAGTGATGCGCGGAGTGCCCGAAAATTGAGCAAATGGAGCATAAACATTTGTTCGTTCGTGATTAAGGGCCGTCTGCGCGTGTACGGCGATTCCCATCAAATAGATGCACGTGTGCGAGGCCCCGGCTTGAACCGTTTCTTTTTCGCTCAAGCCTGCCGACTGCTTTCCTTTCGCTACTCACCAGCTACGTAACAAAGGGAAAATGCTGGCATTAATGAAAATTTAGACCGGTCGGCAGCAACTATTGTTTCTCGCTACTTTCACGTTATTAGCCAAATGTTTCCGCGCTTCTTCGGGGGTTGTTCGCTTATAGCGCTTCTAATCTAGGTCCTATCCTACAGTGAATAGCCCCATTGCATTTCTTCTGGAAAATACGTCGATAGCATTCATCGAATGTAATTTTATTTGTTGGCTATATTAAGGAATACAAGAGATATTTTCAAAAATGCGATACACTTTGTCGATCTACTTTTTGCGTAAAATACGATGGTGCTATCAACTTTATCGCAAGACTTAGCTAAAAACCGTTAGAACATGTTTTCTGTGTGGTTCAATACATGACAGCAGATACAGCACCGGAAAGAATTTTCGCCCTTAATAATACACTATACCGCTGGGTCCAAGCGGCAAAAAGTGTAGTCGTAGATCTCTTTTTAACATTATTTTAACGCGTGAAAAGACCGATTGAAAGCGCTAGTGCGAAAACCTTCAGGAGAATCGCCGAACAATCTAGTTTACAATGTCAGAATACCGAAAACTAATAGGTTTGGTCAACTTTCCCGTTCGCGAATTTTCGTTTTCGATCACTATCCAACTGCGATACGAAGAAACAAGTTCGGAAGCTCTAACGATAATAAAAATTACAATTTTACTCATTAGATCAGTGCATTACTTTTTATACAAATTGTCGTATATATCGCATCAAGCTGCCTATTTATACATACCCACCTTTGATATGTATAATAACATAACGACACGGACAAAAGCAAGTGATTCGATAATTTAGTATTGTACAATCGCATCGTTTCAATTATATATATCATTACTAAATAATATTTATAAATTAATTCACTTTTTATCAGAAACATTGACTTTCAATTGTGTAGCCCAACTGATCAGTAGAAGTTGCGATGAAATCTTCGAAATTATTGCCAAATAATCAATGGCATCAATGCCGTCAAGTTCACAGTTGGAAAGGATGAAATCATATACTTTTTCAAGCGTTACTTTACTTGCTTCCGGCGAAAGCAGCGGGCCAAATTTTTGATACTTTCACAAAATGTGCTGTTTTTGCCTTCTCCACATATATACGTAAGAGGGATTGTTGTACCTGTTCCATAGAGACAAAAAACGACCTTGTCAGAAAATATTATGCCTGTATATGTATAAAATGATGAACTGCTGCACGCTCAGATCTATATCTAATGACCGACTATTAGATATTGTTCCGACAGGACGTTAATCCGTCGTAATACTTTTTGAGGAGCTTGGCAGATCCGCCCACGATACGTTAACGAGTTATTCTGTTTATGGCCTCCATAGACCAACCACAACTATCCCTTTTACACATATTTTCAAAAGGTTGGTGTATACGCGCAGAGGGACCTTTGATGTTGTCATACACTTGAACGGATACGCGTTAAACAAAAAAAGTTGTCGCGTAATACCTTCAATGAGAAATAGTGGCTACGTAAAAAACTTACCAAATACCTGCCACCATATGAATCTTCATGTTCACTGTGCAGCCGTTTAATCGCGAAAAAATTCAAAGTCCAACGCTGCTTTATAGCTGTTGGTTATGCGTTTATCTGTCTAAAAAAAATAAAAAATAAAAAATAAAAATAAAAGCATACACCAACTAACGTCTAACAAACATTTCTGAATTATTTATGTATTGCGCGTAGAGACAACGGTGCGCAGATTACTGCAGAAGCGATTAGTCGACACTCTTTAGGTGGGAACATTAATTGTTGACAAGTTTTTCAAGAAGCCATTATTTGTAAGGCAAGCAATTACTGGTTGATTCTTGCCAGCAGCTAATGTAAAAAATGTCGTGAATCCTTCACGGTCTTTCAGAATAGACGGCAAACCAAAAAAGATATGCTTGATCTAGATTCAAATGGAAACGTCAGCCTCGCCGGAAGCCTTATTTTGATTTACTATCCGCTCGCAATCCGTTGCTGGGCTAACAACACATAAGTGTCAGGAAAGGCGTCAGCATTTGTAGCTAGGAGTTTTTCGCGCAGTCTCGCTACAGCTTTGCCAGGATCCAAGTAGCGACGGAATCATCGAGGAAATATCAAAAATCGAAAGAGCAAAAACCGCATGTTCTCTTGGTGATGGATTAGAGCAGTGTGCGACGAAAGAATGAAAGAAGGTTGACGCCAAGAATAATACAGGCGTTTCGAAATGGTCAAGTCGGAAGTCACAAAAGCACCTATCCGCATGGAATTTGCTCGGCGCGAACGCGCAGTGAACTCGCAGTGAACGCGAAGCGACGGAAGGCGAGTCGAGCCGCGTTTGCGCGCGATCGAGTATAGCAGCCGCGGCGTGGACGACAATCAGAGTGGGCAGAGCTGGCGGCTGTGCTATTGGCGCAGACAGCAAAGGAGAGCGAGACAGTGGCGCCCGAAAGAGGCGAGTCGCATTTCAATCAAGCCACGCGGACCATCAGAACGGCGGCTAATGGACTGTCGACGGTCGCGACGGGCGAGGGCCCGAGCAAGCCAGACGCCCGCCAAGTGGTAATAATGACTCGGCAATTAGGCGCAACAACAGCAGCAGCACCGGCACAGAGAGGAGAGCCGTCCGACGGCCGGGCGAGCGAGCGAGCGTTTGATGTATCAATGGGCTCTCGACGAAAATCAATTTTCCGCGGTGGTCGCTGGGGAAATGGAACCCGTCAAAACACTCACGTTCGCCGACGAGCAGAGGCCAACTGGCAGCCCCGGGCGAGGCGCTCGTCGGCGCTCGTCGGCGCTCGTCGGCGCTCGTCGGCGCGCCGTCGGCTCGCGCGCGTAGCACTGGTTTCCCGGAAGGGCTTTCTCGCCGCGAGACGTGCCCGCGCGAAAGGAGCAAAGGAGCCAGGCGTGCACACGCGGCTATCGATCGGCGGAAGGACGCGCGCGACGCGATTTTGCTCGGCTGGATAAACAAATAGTGCGGCAGGCGTGTGCGCGCGCGTGCGAAGCAAAGTAAACACGAGCGGGCGGCGAGAGCGTGGGTCGCCGGTCACGTGCGCGCGCCAGTGCGTGCGCCGCAGATAAGTTAATTTGTGAAAACACTTGACTCTCATCCCCTCGTGCCGCTCGAGTGCGTTCTGCTGTTCGGCGCCGTTCACCGAGACACGCCTGGCGGGCCACTTGCGCCGGCCCACGCAACACTTACTGGACGGGCGAGGTGTATCCTAGGATGGCACGCGCACCAGCACAAGGCCAGTCGGCGGGCAGCACTCGGCGATTCGCGCACTGAACTTTGGCGCTGCGTCGTAGCAGAGCGAGCGACGATGCGAAGAGCACGGACGGAGCAGTGCCGCGGAACTAAGTGCGCGCGGGCCCTACGCTCCCCTGACGAGCTCGGGCTCGGCCGAGAGCTCCGCCAGGGGTGGGGGTACCTCGGCAGCGCCAGAAGCACCCCCGCTCCCTCGCGCGCTCTCCCTCGCCCTCCCTCGCCCCCCTCGGCCTCTCGGGCCCAAAACGCTGCGGCGCAGACTCCGCCCGCTTTCCCGCGCTCTCGTTATCGTCTCTTTTTCCGCGCACACGGTAGCCGGCCGTAGATCATCATTAGAGCTGGCCGCTCGGCTGCGGTGCGAGCTCGCGCTCGAGCCATATATCGAGTGTCGAATGGCTGCGCGAGCATAGCCGCGCAGCCTCGACAGTCCCAATAACAATAATCGCCGCTCCAAAGAGAGCAAGACGCGCCGCATAAATTATCGCCGAGGATTCCTTTCGCCTCTGCCGCGCTTCGGTCCTTCCAGCTCCATTTGGCCTTTTGCTTTTATTCGCGCACCCTCGGACACAGGAGCGAGTCCAAAGGATTCCTGTGCGTCAACTCGGCCGCTGCCGCTGCCGCCGCTGCCGCTGCCGCCGCCGCCGCCGCCGCCGCCGCCGCCGCGCCTCGAGTATAAATATATGTATGACGGCCAAGGACAGCGCTGCAGATTCCGCGCGCATTCTGTAGCTTGCTCGGGCATTGTCGGCCGCCGCACTCGTCCGACGGCGGAGCAGCTCGGCGGAAAGCCGGAAATTAGCCGAGCAAACAACCGCGATCTGAGCGCGAGCAGAGGCGGGCGGATTAAAAGGCAGATCGGGCCAATGAAGTGGCGAGCATACGAGCTTTATCGCGTCAGCGGCTGGTCGCCGGTAGCCCGGATAATTTGTCCTCGCGTGCGTTGCTCGTGATTCGTCGGGTGAGCGCGCGCGCGCGGGATTACATTCGAGACCGCTGAAAAGTAGACGCTGTGCGTCTAGTCGAGAGGCCGCTGGGCGAGCCGCTAAGCTGATGTGTTAATCGAATGGGTCGGCGAGCGACCATCGCCGACTGCTGGGAGCGGGGTTGCCCCGGCACTCGGCCGCCTGTTTTGTAAACATTTCGGCGTGGAGCTCCGACTTGTTGTTGTTGTCGGCGGCGTGGTCGAGCGACGGCCGACCGCGCATGCCGCAGCGCAACGAGGACGCGCCAGCAGAAGCGCCCGTATCCGGCAGGCAGCGCATTCGAATTCCCCGCTGCTTACGAATAGCTCGGCACGAATCCCGCCCACGGATGAGTTACGGCCGCGGCGGTGGCTTGGCTCCGCGTCGATATTTGTTTACGACGAGGGAATTCCAGAAAGTGGAAAGGAGCTGGAGACCGAGGCGCGAGAGTCGATGTCGGTCGCGCTGCAAAAGCGCGCCAGATCGAGATCCGAGATGCGATAGACGGGCGGGCGTGGAGGCGCGAAGGTGCGAAGGCGCGAAGGCGCGAAGGCGCGAGCGCGGCAATTAGGGGCGCGTCGAGGGGGTGTCGAGTGTGCATCGATACGGGTATCAAGGCGTCAGCAGCTAATAACCGGAGGCGAGTCGGCGCAGCTGCAAGAGCGCGACAAACGACCGCAAAACGAGCAGCACTCGGAGCTTCCAGATAGCGAGCGCAAACAAGGAGCTGGCGAGGGGCACGTGCGGCGGAAATCGGCTAGGGGTACGACACAGGGGTGGGCGGCGTCGCGGGGGTCCCGTCCTCGGAGATGCAGATAGGGCGCGCGCAGCTTAATCCCGGGCCGGTAGCCGGTCGCCGATCGCCGATCGCGGCCGGCGACCGGTTCGATTCGGTAGCGACGCGCTCGACCTATAAATATCCGGATCGCAGCGCTGAAAAATGGGCGAGGAGGCGGGCAGCGGCCGGCGGCCGAGCATTCCAGGGGCCCAATTTCTGTAAATAAAATTTGAGAGAGAGAGTGAGAGAGAGAGGAGAGCGGAATATGAAAGCGCGTCAGAAGCAGCAGCGCGCCGAAACCCGTTTGGCCGCGAGCCAGAGAGCTCATTATAATCCGGGAGCGGCGGCGCGCAGACAAGCAGCTACCGCGCGTAAGGTCGTTCGGCCGCGACAATGCGCAGGAATGCGGGCGTGGGCAAGGACGCGCCGAGAGGACACTCCAGGCTACGCTAATTGAGGCAGGCCGCTGGACGAGCGCGACAAAGCAGGCGATTATCGCCTCGGGCCGGGGGGCCCGCGCGCGGCAGCTGCGCGGTTGCCCCCCGCGGCCCCGGTCCGCGCAGCACTGACCGCAGACCGCCCGCGCCTACTCACCAGCAGCAGCAGCGGCGGCGGCAGCAGCAGCAGACGACGGGCGCTGGTCGCCGCGCCGGCTACGCGGCTCGCGCACCACTCGGGCGCCCCATGCTTGCGTTCAGGTCCACAGGCGTGCAGGTCGACGGCGCGAGCGACGCGACGAGGTGCGAGCGCGAGCGGCGTGCGATAGCGACTGCCGATCGAAGCCGCGCGTGTGTGCGTGCGCGGCGCGCAGCCTGCCTCCGCGTTCGCGCGCCGTCGAGCGATATGGCCGCCGAGCCGCGAGTGGATTGGTCGCGGGAGGCGGACCCTCGGCGCCGCGACGCCGCCCCTAGCTCCATTAGCATTTTTTTGCCCAGAGGACTTGCCTCTTTATCTTTTTTCTCGTTTTCTCTTTTTTCTCCGGCTCGTTTTTTCCGTTTTTTCCTTTAGCCGGCGAGCGAGCGCGAGCCCAGCCAGTCGGGGATTAGAGCGGGAGAGACGACGCTATCTCGCTCTCCAAACTGTCACTCGACACCCAAAGAGCCAAAGAGCTGTCGCTGCGGCTGTCGCACTCGCGGTTGGGCCCGTCGGAGAGCGGTGCGGCGTAGGTGGTAGGTATTGGTAGGTATTGGTAGGTAGGTAGGTAGGTAGGTTGGTAGGTAGGTAGGTAGATAGGTAGGTAGGTAGGCCCTTTCTGACACCTCAGGAATGCCATATGAGCGGTCCAATTAGATGCTCTGCGGATTAACGTCTGGCGGCAGGCGCTCGGCTACAGCCAGTCAGCGCGTCACAGCTCCATCACAACCAGATTTCTCGTTACCGAGTGATCATTATCGACTTCTGGCCATCTCGCACCTCTGACTCGTCTCCGCGAGATACGCCTGCCGCTACTGGCTCGCCGGCGCGTCGACTTGCAACTAATAAACGAATCGACTCGTTGAGAGTTTGTCTACTTGTGTTTGCGTTGCAGGCATTATGCACGCATCACACGTGAAACCGCCCATGGCCGGGGAGAAAGGCACACTAAAGTTTGACACACTACTCCCCGGGCGTTCATCACCAAAAAGGCACGTCGACAAAGCCCTGAAAATATTTATACCTGTAACTCCCTTGCTAGCAGGTTACACGCGCAGCTCTATTCAGCGCCTTTCCCCGGCAACTCGGCACTTTTCGCGCTGGCAGGCAAGTTGTCGGATAAATGCTCAGCTGGCCGCAATCGCCTAGTCGTCGATCGCCGCAACGAAGTAATCGCGCGGCAGCCTGCACTGCCGAGGGCCGTGATACAGCGACCCCATCTCGACGGGCGCAAAGAAAGTGGTTGCAAGCAAAGCACGGCAGCGGAAGCTGGAGCCAATGAAATTGATGCGCGGCGAACATGCATACGCGAGAACAACTCAATGGCGTTGCACGCAAGCAGGACTACAGGGTGAGGGCGTACGCGCGCGTACAGGCGCGAGCAGAGAATAGAGTCGTTGTACTAAGGCTGGCAGAAAAAGTTTTATTGTCGTGCGAGGTCAGGTACAAAAACCGTACAAAAGCCAGTCTGTGAGCCGTTTCAGCCGGAGCTCTCGCTCGTCGCTGCTCTCCTTCAAAGTACCATCGAGCAAGCGTTGTTCAGCCTCGTGCAGCCATTCCTCGGGATTGAGTGCCGTCACCACGAGGCTCGGGAGACGCACCTCGTAATACAGGAAGATCTGTACGCAGCATAGACGGACAAGTGAGTACGCGACGGGAGCTGGCCGATGGTTGGACAGCGATCCTTTTCTTGCGCTTACCTTGTTGGCAAAGTTGTTATAAACGAGAGACGGCGAGCTGTCTCCCGGCGTGATGCTGTACATACCGGCGCAGAAGGCCCGCACCGGCTCCTCAAATTGAAATCTCACGCTGTTTCTCTGTTGGTCGAGAATGTAAGTCTGCCCGTCCCAGGTGCAGACGATGATCTCGTCGGCTTCGTCGCCAGTCACATCAAGGGCGCACAGACCCGATATGTGGTGGTCCACCTGCATCGCCCTGCCAAACACATGAGCAATCGTTGGACTTACTATCGCATTTTTGCATTTTTGAGTCGAGTGCTGCGCGCGGCTCAACGAATCCGATGACACCGCTCTCTGTCTCTCTGTCTCTGTCTGTCTCTCTGTCTGTCTCTCTCTCTCTCTCTCTCTCTCTCTCTCTCTCTCTCTCTCTCTCTCTCTCTCTCTCTCTCTTTCTCGCACTCTGTCTCTCTCTTTCGCACTCTCGGCCTCTCTCTCTCTCTCTCTCTCCCTGTCGTGGTAAACTTATCTCGACCTAACGATCGGCAATTCGTGACCCGACGCGCGTGCAAGTGATTTTCAAGCGCCGCGGGCTACAGCTAATCCTAGACCCATCTTGTTCAAGCTTCTAGCGGTTCATTTCTTCCTCCAGTGAACAATTGCTGCCCCCTTCTCTCTCCGGCAAACCTACAAATCGCCGCATTATTAACTCGCTTCATCAATGGCTTTCACGCGCCAAATTGCAAGTTCGCTGACAAGTTTCTGTCGAGACATCTGCCTGTCTACCTCGGATTATCCCAAGATCTTTATCTGCGAGCTGCTCCTCACAGCCTTTGAAAAACGGTGTCCCACTGTTTTCGCATTTTCTTGCTCGGATTCTGACCTACTTCCATTATGGTTACAATCATCCCTCCTTTGTAGTATTCGTACAACCAACTTTTTCATGTCCATTCGGCACTTTCCTCTTGCCCGCTCTATTGTTTTTCCTGGTTTTTCTTGGGACCTCGATATAACGCTTAAACGCATGCAAATTAATACGACCTGCGTTACAAGCGCCTGCAACTCGATATACATCGTAACTATACAATCTATCTGCGACCTTCTCTCAAGAATCTATTTTCATTCTCTATACTTTATTATAAAGACGCAGTGTATAAATAAAGATAATATAATTTGCTTAACGCGACGCTCACACTTGCAGCAGATTTATATATTTAAGACATTATATTATGAAAATACGTCTAACTGTCGATGTTTTTTCGGCTGGCAGACAAATTTAATAGCTGGGAAGACAAATAAAACCGTAAAAGTTAGCATGCTTCATTAAAAACAAGAAACGTTTTAATATCCAGACTCTACAAGCAACCGCGTACATTTTTTATGATCATGTTTATTACTCCAATGAGAGATTAATTGCTTGAAAGAGAAAAAGCTACTTATTATTAATTTCAATAAAAGAATACTTAAACAAAGGGAAGAGTGGAAAAAAGATGTGACTAAAAAATAAAACTTTCTACAATGAGTAGCTAAAAACGCGTGCGACTGTGGATAATTATTTTAGTATTGACAGTTTTTAGTAAAGAAAATCTATATGTACAAGAGAAAAATTTGAAAGTTCGTACCACAAGATAATTTCATCCTTGACTAGCATTATGGTACCATCGAGAGTGGCCAAAGCGTACGATTTGCCACTCGACCAAGATTTATTGTTATCTTTGACCTTCAATTCTGAATCATTCATTTTTTCTTGGTTTTCTAGTGTCAAACGATCCAATTTAGCAACAATGTCAGCTCTAACGGCTAATGATCCATAAGACGAATGAAACTCGAGTCTGTCGGTTTTGTCGGTCTCGTATTCCCTATAAACTGTATTCCTTCCAAGTAAATTACCATCAACTTGATCAGTATCAGGCTGATCATTTTTTCTATTTGTTACATTCATCGTTGCGTATTTATCTTGAAAGTCATTCGAAAATGGCGATCTGTATACATTGTCATTAGCTTTTACAAATCTGATACTATTTTTTAGCGGAAAGTATGTTAGCTTTGGTGTTAGATTTCCTAATATTTCTGTTGAAATATTTGGATTTCGCATTCTAGAGATACCTAAGGTCTGATAATCTACGCAGCTGGCCGCAACTTCGCTGTTATTGTCGAAACAGTCATCTTCTGCTTGGCAATCATCAACGTTACACTTTATTCTCATAAAAGTACCACCTGGCTGTGCAACCAATAATGTTGGTGTGCCGTCAGCATCATCTTGCAACGTAACAGTTCCTATTTGATTTGCACACTCCCACTTATTTAGCCCCACTAGCTTTCCTGTACCTAAATCTGCATTACTAGACCATCTGTATGATCTTACCACTCTATCAGTAAGGCCTATTATCAATTCATTTGCACCATCTTTATCCACATCCGCAATTAACACTACTTTGGTATTTGTCGGTATTCTTTGAGTATGAACACACTCCATCTTGCCTAAGGAATTATCTGGCTTACTTTGACTTGCTTTATAATTCAAAATATTTAAATCTGCCTGACTGTTTGTTACACTGGCATTACCTAGGATTGTTAAATATCATTACAGCTGTGTATTTTAAACTAAACTGTCATTTAAACTTAACAATTGAAATTGAAAAATTAAAGTAAAATTAGAGAAAATAATCACTCACCACCCTTGAGCTTCCGAATTGGATCTGAAATGTCGCAGTTGTCATTACCAGTCTCAGATTGCAATGTTTGTAGGCTTGGATGGACTAAACAAGGACTATAATAAATATACACCCAACCATCTCCTGACACGACAATTAGAGCATTTCTACCATAATTGAATACATCACCAATTGTAACACATGTTATCAAGCCTAGACCACTTATCTTTTGCCAAAGCTCCATGCCCTGTATTAATCAATTTCATAATTATATTTCAAAAGATAGAAACTTTATGGATGAACATTTTGTACAAATTATCTTCTTACCTTAAATATGTACAAATCTCCTTCTGCTGTTCCAACTACCAACTCATTATCCCCATCATTATTTACGTCCCCAATTATCAAGCCATGTCTAAGCAAAGTACCAGGCACATCCCACTGCAGCCGCTTGACAAAACACACTGCCCTCATATTTGTAGATTATTAAGCTGCAATTGCATGTGAATAATTTATAGGTATCCTGTTATCCGGTATGTTATTTTCCAGACTCTGCCATCGACTAGGAGGCCAAACAATGTGTGTAGCCTTTTCCGTTATTATTTCAAGGGGTATAGGGCCAAATGTATTTGAGTCCAATGATTTTCCAGTGTGATCACCTTCCACCCAGCATTGCTTCTCAGGTACCTTGCATCAAAATTTGACATATTAATTTGAATGTTATTACAACTCAACAAGGTGTTTTCAAAAACATCTATTCACTTCAAGAATTTCTTTCCTATAGCCAAGAGTGTAAATCACGTCACCAGACAGCCCAATAACGCGTTTAATGAGTTTCTGGTACGGATATTTCGGCGATTTAAAAGCTACTATGTCTCCTCTACTGATACTTCTATCTCTCACAGCCCAGCGATTTAGAAATACCCAATCAATTTTTTCTAAATCAGGATTCAATGTTGGTTGCATTGAAGAACCTTCCACTCGAACGATACAACCGACTTGATTGAAAAAAATGTAACCGACTGGCACGCCTAATAAGATACTACGGAATGTAAACGACAACCCCATTAATTTTATATTATTAATAATTATTTTTTGTAAGGTTGCGTTTTGACCAACTTGCAATTTTTTTTCAATGTAACTCAATCCAAAACATAACCTGAATATTAATAACACTCTAAGGAAGCGTTTTCATGGAGGCAACTTGCAACATACAAAGTGCACTATAACTACATTGTAGCGAGTGATAGCAATCACAACTAAAAAATGATAGTAGTGGGGGAAAGGAGATGTTTCCTTCGACCACGCCATCGATCAAAAAATTAATTTACAACGATCAGTTGCTTACAATTGTATTTTAATGACAACGGTTTTCTCTCCGTCCCCTTGTCGCGCTAAACTTACTTAAGCCAAATTAGTATCATTTATTCAAATTAATTAAACATTTGTTTTAATTATTTATTTTAATTGTACAAAGGTAATAACTTAAATAAATGATCCAACATTGAACATGTATAATGCACATTTGCCAGTATAAAGGTAGCAAGTCAGCAACCGGTTATTGTAGCATGTTCATCGACCGCAACTTCCTCCTCCGATATGAAAACGTACCCTAATTAAAATGACAGAATGCACCTACCTTACCGTATTTACGGTTTATGGATTGCTCATATATATATCGCAGTTGATCCGCTCATAAAGTATTGTAAGAAACGTGTTAACCAACGACAAAACCAAAGAAGCTGCTCGCTGCGATACTTGATTCAAATGTATTCTTTATTTGTGCAAGGGGATGTACTGCGATGGCTTTATTTATACTATATATTAAGTTTTACATATGTATAAAAACCTATAATTGAAAAAATATATACCATAAGTTTGCAAGCGGTGCTTCGCGCGCGGTAAATATTAATAAAAAAAAAGAAAAAATATATATTACGTACAACGAATAGAGAATATATATATATAGATGCTTGTTACTCATTTTAGGCTCAGGAGTTACCTTGGCAAACAAACAGCAACCGTATACGTTCGCTCTTTTCGTTGCTTTGCAAGTACTATACATTTGAGGCTCGGAAAGTTATCTAAAATTTATATAAATTATTAGTTACAAGTATTTTAATCTATAAATTACTTAAAACGTTGTACCATATTATTTTTATTTTATCATTAATTCTAAAACTCCATGTATTCCAACATTGTAATTGTCATATAATTATCATACTTTCAAAATTTTTAAAACAATATTTAAGCCAATTCGATACAAAAAGTTATTTATAAATATAATGACTGTCTATTTGATTAGTTATACAGTAAATTTATTAATTAATAAGTTATGTAAAATATCTGAAAGTAAATATCAGCATACGTCCCGTTTTTAGATAGATTTCACTACTTTTAAAAATTTGAAAACTTTTTTCATATTAGAAAGAATTTTGACAATAAAGTAAATATATTAACTTTGTGAATTTTTTCTTATAATGATCAAAAATATGTTCAACCTTTCTTATCATTTTCTATATGTGTGAATTAGTATTAGATACTTCTGAAATAAGCTCTCCCAATTGTTTCCAAGTTGCAGCAACAGATAAGCTTATAGATACATGAATTTTGATATTTCATTTAAAGATAATAAATCTCTATTGTAGTTGTGTCAATAATATTATTACTCTTAAAGAAAAAAATAAAATGAAACATCCATGAAAAGTTTCATTTACTTTGCAACATCTTTAATCTTTTAATTTAATGTATAATATACCGTTTTCGTATGTTATTTATTCTGAATGATGTCAGAAAATTGTCAGTCGATTCTTATATCAACCTATGTTAAATTAAACCTTTCCACTAATTTTGTTACAGTTAACCAATTATAGGATTATTGTACATAATACATTAATTTATACAATGTTTACCCTACTTATTAATGCTTAAAACATTACTGACGATAATGATTTATAATTATTGAATAAAAAATTCACGTTGTAAATTCGATTTTTCTGCGAGTTTTGTAAACGATGAGCCGTAGCAACCCAAGCGACCAAAGCGACGAAAACAGTGTATATGGTTGTTGTTTGCCAGCATATAGGTAAGCGTTTAGCTGCATTTTAAGCAAGCGTAACCACTGCTGAGTCTAGTCATTACTCTCAATCTCAATAAGATTTAAGGTTAGCGTTTATCGAGGTTTACATATCGGAGTTAACATAGAGATATAGAGGTTGGTCAGGATCGAGCGGAGTTGAATTCCGGTGTTACCAATTGGATTCGTTAGTGAAATTTGATGGTTCATAATACTTGTCTTAGATGCTTCTCATTAGTGATGTTCGATTATTCGAAAAAGTATTCGATTCCTAATAATCGAATTACCAAAATAATCGATTCTTGATAATCAATTTTATTTGAAAATAATCGATTAATCAAATGAATAATCGATGGTTGTTTTAATTAAAAAAAAGAATAAAGTGCTTATAAATATATGGAAACAATATTATAATAAGAAAAATAAATAGGAAATAAGAACTACTGATAAATTAAACAATGCAAATTACGTTCTGATGGTATTTATTAAAAGGTCATTGCTTATTTCAATCATTTACAATTTAACAGGCAAATATTCAACATCGTCCAATGATTTAAATAAACTTTGAATTGCTACTACAACAATAAAATTTTTAAACTTAAATGTAGTAAATATGTAAATAAGATTTTTTTATGCACCTTGATTTTGTCTGTCTTCGACGAATGGGTTGAAAACATCATGATCATTGTTATCCATTCTTGATTCTACCTATTGCACCTCAGCTCACGTCTCACTCTCACTTCACATTCAACCGTCACAAATTTCTTTTCTATTCGAACGTATGTAAATAGAGAGAATCATATCCACGCATGCGCAAAACACAAATTGCACAAAGTGCAGATCGATTCGATTATTGGCCAAAAAATAATCGAAGCTGTAATAATCAAGTTTCAAAATAATCGAGAAAAAAAATCGAATATTTTGTTAAATAATCGAATGCTTATCGATTAATCGAATATAATCGAACATCACTACTTCTCATGCATCAGGCAGTATGCAGGCCGCTATATCCGTTACAACGTGTATCCTGCCTCTGGAAACGATATTATATGCAGAAGAGTAATATAAACACTATGTATAAGAGTATACGTCATCATTTTTTTTCATGAATTTTTCTAGATGAAGCTCTCTCTATATAAGATCCGAGGATCAGAAAACTACGCGGTATTTTGACAGTCCGTTGTTTCGCTCTGTTCCAATTCTATATGAACAATAGTTAGGCCCTCGCCACATATGCGCATAGGCGCGCGTATAAGGGTCTGTCTCCATAGGGCCTGCCTGAGTCCGTCCGAGCCGGCCGAGATTTTTTATGGGCACGCCATCTCTATAATTTCGTATCCAATGGCGAGTTTCATAGTGAATGGCTGCGTTTACATAAACGAGCCCGATCGGACGCAGCCAATACGAGAAACGCATGAACACGAAATTATAGAGATGGCGTGCCCATAAAAAATCTCGGCCGGCTCGGACGGACTCAGGCAGGCCCTATGGAGACAGACCCTAAGGGCGTACAAACGCGTACAAATCGCTAAAAATTTTGATAGTGCCAACAACAGAAAGTTACTCCTATTCCTCGCATGCCCCAAACGAACACACTTACTCCCGGAACAAACGTATCATAACCTTCAATAATATAGCGTTATGATATACGTTTGTTCCGGGAGTAAGTGTGTTCGTTTTGAGCATGCGAGGAATAGTAGTAACTTTCTGTTGTTGGCACTATCAAAATTTTTAGCAATTTGTACGCGTTTGTACGCCCTCGTATGCGCGCGTATACGCATACATATGTGGCGAGGGCCTTAAGACCCTGATTCCATAGCTACGTATGAATGCGGACGGATACGGACGCGAATCGCAACTCTAGTAACATCACTAAAAATATCTAGTTCGATTATTTAGTACCAACACTACCGGTAGAGAGCAAAAGTAACTGTTTAAAACTGTAGCGCCGAACGTACCACATTTAATGTTCAAATGTGAGGTCTACAATTTACTTTTCAAATTTTCATGAATATTGCTTATTGATGAGTATGCTAATTTAGAAAAGGCTTTTGGGATGATTAATACATATCATTTATATATATTTTCTTCTTCTTCTCATATATTCCAGTACTTCCATAAAAATAAGGCCTAATTCCATTAATTGTAGTTGAAAGTCTATCAATTCTCTATCATTTGCCATCTTATAGATTGCAATAATGTAAAGATTAGATAGGCGTTACATTAAATGTGGTACGTTCGGCGCTACAGTTTTAAACAACAGTCACTTTTGCTCACTACCGGTAGTGTTGGTACTAAATAATCGAACTAGATATTTTTAGTGATGTTACTAGAGTTACGATTCGCGTCCGTATCCGTCCGCATCTGTACGTACAGTACATGGGACCGGGGCCTAAAAGCAATCTGGCAAATGGTTAATAGCATTGTGATATGTTGGGTTCGGAACATGTAAACACAGTTGATTAGAAGAATAAGTAACTAATTAATTTACTAAATTAACTTTTTTCATTGTTATTGTTATTTTTGTGTAGTTTTATAGATCAACATTATTTTTATTTATATAATTTTTTCTTCTAATCAACTGCGTTTACAAATTTCGACCTCGATATATCACAATGCTATTGCCAAATTGCTTTTAACTATTGTTAATACAAAATTGGAAAAGAGCGAAACAGCGGACTATGGTAAAATATCGCGTGGTTTTCTGACCCTCCGATCTTATCTAGAGAGAGCCTTAGGGTCTGTCTCCATAGGGCCTGCCTGAGTCCGTCCGAGCCGGCCGAGATTTTTTATGGGCACGCCATCTCTATAATTTCGTGTTCATGCGTTTCTCGTATTGGCTGCGTCCGATCGGGCTCGTTTATGTAAACGCAGCCATTCACTATGAAACTCGCCATTGGATACGAAATTATAGAGATGGCGTGCCCATAAAAAATCTCGGCCGGCTCGGACGGACTCAGGCAGGCCCTATGGAGACAGACCCTTATGTCGCACGTTGTACAGGTGCAGCAACCTAAGCACCTAAGACTTTCTTCATTTTTTTCAAGAATTTTACAAGGGTGAACTAACAAATGGTAGAAGAGAACATGATTGTCTTTTTGATGAATTATCTAATAGCATAATTAGTTTATCGATTATCTCTAATAAAGCAAATCTAGCTGTCAGCTTTTAAGATCTAGTTTCCTGTATAAAATTTTCGTGGTCCTGTCACTCGTAGGTATGTACATACATACAACGTTGACGCCATCTAATTGCAAATTGGCCAACCATGAGGCCGCCACAAGTGGCACAAGTGCCATGTGTTGAACTTTTATAACCTTACTTTTACGTCGGTCAGTATCTTAAATAGTTTGGGTCGTGGTGTTTACAAATCTTTCACGTTCTTAGTGACAATCTTAATCGTTAATCATGCAGAAAAATGAATTATCATTATTGGAAAAAGTTCATCAAACCATCCAACACTGCACCAAAAAGCCAGAGCATTATTTGAGGTGATTAATTATTTGTTATATTTCCTACTTCGTATATTAATATGACTTCGTTATATTTTAGCATTCAAGAAAATGTTGCTGATGATTTAAAGAAAATTACAAAACGTTTATACGATTTAGTATTCAAGAAAAAATCATCCACATATACAAATACCAAAGCTTTACCAGAGTTGATCATAGAAGATTTTGACACAGAACAAATCTGGCAGCAGCTTGAACTTGAAAACAATGAAGAATTTAGTCGAACAAGCATAAAAAATTTCTCAAAAGTATTGGCTTGTAAGAATTGGGATTTACCTTTAAAGATAGTTGCACTGTTAGGCAATGAAAATAGTAAAAAGGTTCAGTCAGAATCGGAAATATCTAAGTATGAAGATAAAAATGAGGTTGAACTTTTAGATAACGTCTCTGAAGAAAATCTTTCAAAAGAAATATCTTGTAAAAAGTTAAAAAGAAAAAAAAAAAGTAATGAAGTAGACGATAAATTTTTTAAAATAGAAGAGTTGAATAGGTTTTTAAAAATGGAAGATCAAAGGGAAAGAGGTATCAGGCAAGAAGTGGATTCCGAACAGGAAGAGCTTGAGTCAATTGATTTATTCAATAATATTTCTGATTTTGAAGATGAGATTGCAGAAAATGATGATATTAAAAATGCTCAATTATTCAAATATGCTGACTTTTTTGATAGTCCAGAAAGTAGCGATGATGAGCAGAATACAAGTGAAAATAACATGGTAATTGTTGGTTTTAATGACAATAGTCTTGAAAATGATAAAGATACTAGTGATGATGACACTGTTTTTCGAAATAGTAAACTTTTTTATGAATCAGATAGCAGCAATGAAGGTTCCCATGAGAAAATGCAATCATCACTGGAAAAAAGGAAAGAAAGATTAGAAAAGAGAATATACCAATTAGAACATCAGGCAGTCAGCGACAAACCATGGCAGTTGAAAGGAGAGGTCAGTTCCAAAGATAGACCAATGAATTCTTTACTAGAGGAATACGTTGAATTTGATCAAGTGACAAGACCTGCTCCTGCAATGACTGAGCAAACAACTATGAAATTAGAAGATATTATCAGGACTAGAATCAAAGATAAAGCTTGGGATGATGTTGAAAAAAAAGTCAAACCTGTTGAGACACCGATGGAATATAAGAAAAAATTAATTATGAATCAGGAAAAGAGTAAAGAAAGTTTGGCACAGATTTATGAAAATGAATATATAAAGCAGAGAGAAGCATTGACTAGTGATGATAAAGCATTGACTAGTGATGATAAAGTGGAAGAACCTTCTGAATATAATGAAATTAGGGAACTTATGCATTCCTTATTTATGAAACTGGATGCTTTATCGAATTTTCATTACACACCAAAACCAGTAAGAAAATGTTACCTGTTCTTTGATATATTATAAGTACTTTTTCTGCTTATACTTTAATTTTAAACATATGTTTTTCAGGCAAAACCAGAAATTAAAATTGTCAGTAATGTACCTGCTATTAATATGGAAGAAGTTGCTCCACTGGCAACTAGTGAGGCTGCATTGCTTGCCCCAGAAGAAATTCAATGTAAGTTGATATTTGATATTTTTATTTGTGATTAATGTAGAAGATTGAAAATGTTTTTTTTCTTTTTCATTTTCAGCCAAGCAAATGGGTGATCTAATTGGAAAATCAGAAAGAACAAAGACAGACATGAAACGCGCAAGACGAAAGAAAAAGCTCAAACAGCTGACGCAAGCTATAAATGAAAGTAAGAAATCGGTCGATAATTTCAAGCAAAGAAAATCTTTAAACAATAAAATAAAACAATTAAAAGGACGAAATATTATAAATATGAATGACAGTGTTGCTGGTAAGGCAATAAAATCGTCTACTGCATTCTTTTCTCAATTACAAGATCAAGTTTCAAGTAATATTAATACAAAAATAAGTACAAGTAAAAAGAAAAAGAAAAATCTCCTATCCGCAGTTAAACTTAAATTATAGTTTTATACTTATTAATAATTAATTTTCTGGAGCGAACATACTAAAGTAATATATTATAGTTTGTAAAGGAAAAAAAATAAATAATTTACTAATGCAAGATAAAAAGTTTATCTTCTTGAATAATATACACATGCATACACAAAGACAACCGCTTCAAGTACATGTACAAAATCTAAAATATGCATACTATTCCGTTCACGTAAAGCCTTTTACAGTGAAGTAATAAACAAAGTCAATGGGTTTATTTAACTAAATTTTGCTTTGTTTACATATCTAACTAAAAAGTATAGCAGTGACAAGAATAATTTGAAATGCTATTATTTTACAATGGCATTAATACACGAGTCACGTATCCTAGCTATTAGGATCAGATTTTTAGTTCAACCTAGATATTTTATGTATAATTTTGATAAGATAAGAAATTACGCCATGCGTGTCGGTTAAAAAATGCGCTTTCCTTTAAGATAAAAGTATTGTGATGAATTTTACGAATATCTTAATAAAGAGAGAGAGAGAGAGAGAGAGAGAGAGAGAGAGAGAGAGAGAGAGAGAGAGAGAGAGAGAGAGAGAGACTACAACGATTGCACCGTTTATAATTATAATAATAATTTCACATAATCGAGCTGAATTCCTTATTCTAAGATTATTTTACCTTAAAAAGCAAGTCAATCAAAGAATAAAAATTTTTATAAAATTTCTACAGTATCTCCTATATTTTGTTTCTTTTATTAACGTATGTATTAAACTGCCACCATAGATATTTCCAAAGATACATAATAAACAGAAAAAATAGATTCATCTATGCTTCACTGATAATTAGTATTGTCGACGAGTTATTAAGGTAATATTGCTCTTTATCAATTTGCATTTGTTTGATTGAGCATTGTAATTCCAAAAAAGTTGTTATTTATTTTCAATTATAGTTTACAATAACAATTGAACCAAATTATTTATCCATATCTAATCCATCTAACCAATAAATTTTACGTGTATGAAAAAATTATCAAGTAAATATTTTTATATTAAATTACAAGTGCATTATTTTGTGCATTAGCTTTTCAGAAGAAAAAAATTGTAAAGCGAAATTTTCAGCTGACATTTTAGTTTATAGAGCACAATCAAGCGTCCCTCTAACAGTACTTATTCTACGCTAATGGAAAAAAATTCTCATTTCTTCTCCCCAATTATGGTTTGGCTACCAGAAAGGTATAAAATGATAAAAATAAGTCTCTTTTTGCTATGTCCATTGTATTACGGATATGTTTAGACCGATACTATTCCTTTTTTTCTTTTTTTTTATCACAGTGCCTCTATCATTTGATCAGATGCATTGTCGACTATCCAATTTACTCATTAGAATTTTATTTGGCGTTATTTAACCTTGTCAATGCCGTAACGACGAACCGATTTTTTCCCTTTATTGTATACATTTTTGGACTTTGAAATAAGATCTCTGAACGATGATTCATCGTAAGTTATTTTGGTTTACTGATTTTAAATAGTGCATTAAAATGGTGGTATCTCGCATAATACTTTTTTTATACATCGCTGAGTGATCAAACAGAAATGAATTCGAGCGTATATTGATATAGATAGATGTATAATAATAATTAAACTTAGAGCAGAAGCGAGTTTGAAGTCATGGTTTAAAAATAGTTTGAAAATTCGTTTTGTACAGTAACTAATATATAACAAAAATTTTTTTCCCGGGCAGTTTATTTCGATTATTCAGTAAATAAACTCTGTGAAAGTTCGAAACTTCGATCCGAAAATTCATGTAAATATACACTATACGTCTACATCAACATATGATCAAGAGCTGTTGAACACTCGCGACTCAACAAATATTATATATAATGCTTAAACCTATCGCAGTTGTATCAGCAAATCACTCAAAGTCTCATGCAAATTCATTCTTTTCATTCGCAATACATTCGTGGATTGGAGAATGTTTGTAAAATATTTATAAAAAAAAAAGAAAAAGAAAAAAAAATTATGGACGTTATCATGAGAAAGAATGAATCATTCGATTGCAACAAATCGAGTATGCAGTTTGAGGCTGGTACGCTAAACGAATCGATCAGTTCATTCGAAATTAGCGTTGAAAATGCCCAATTCTTGGTCCTGGAACATTTGCAACATATCGGATAACTCTTGGGTTTGGGGTCCCGATGGGCCAGTAGCGTTAGGGTGTGTTGCTTGTGGTTGCCCAGTCACCTGAGCATTAGGCTGACCAGTGGAGTCTTGCGAGGGACCTTGGTGTTGCTGCTGCCCCTGCCAGCTCCACATTCCTACGGCAACGTACAACAGCTTCAGTAACAGTAACAATAGCTATGTTCGCGCAGGTTATATGAAAGAGTAAAAGTACCGGCGGTATTGTTATTAGGCACTGTTGTGACTGCGTGATATTGGTTGGCCGGGGTCCTAGCTCCGCTACTCAATTGCGTATAAGTTGGCCCACTCGGAGACCTCGAGGGGCTGGATTGAGTGTACTGGTAGCCTTCGCAAGCCACCGGCTGCTGCTGTTGCTGCCGGCCAATAGCCGGCCAGTTTGCCGTCGCCTGCTGAACGGCCGGCGTGGGTGAGGTATTCGCGGGTGGCTTCTGAATTCTATTGAGCACCGCTGATGGCGTGTTTTGCTGATTGGGCGAGCCATAAGCTATGGGAGACTGAGTGGTTTCGTAGTTCGGGTAAACATTTTGCGTGCTTGATGGCCGCGGTTGCTGTGGCGGTGCCTGGGTCGCAGGTCCTGTAAGAGGTGAGCCGAGGTTAGCCACGTGGGCTGGTGCGAAGGAGTCGCCGTGCAGGCCGGCAACGTCACCTGCGGTGGGCATTCCGCTCGCGTGCTGCATCATGTGGTGGGCGTTGGCTGCCGGATACATAGGGTTCCTAGCCGAATGCCTGCTGTCCAGAGCGTAGTCCAGACTAGGTTGGCCGTAGGCCGAGACCACCTCGTTCTCGGGCTGAGCCTGGCCCTCGGGCGCACCAGCGCCGGCGCCATGCAGCGACCTGCGGTGCATTCGCCCATTGACAATAGCATCGATTGACACAGCAACAATGGCAACAGCTGCACTCACTTGGCGGTGGTGTTGGTGCAAACGATGTACTCAACCTCGTCCGTGTAGGGATTGAGGAAGGAGAACGCTGAGGTCCTCAGCCAGACCCAGTCGCGACTCTTGGCTCGAAAGCGGTACATCACAGACAACATCTGGCCCTTAAGTTTGAGTACTAAAGGACAGAGAAGATAAGCTGTTAAGCGACCAGCGGTGGAAGGGTGAGAGGTGTACCTTGCTCGAAGCTCTCGCGCATGTGAGTGTGGTCCTCGGGGTGAAAGAACTCGTAGCAAGGGTGGCCGAGGAGCTCAGATGGACTGTATCCCAGGATGGCTCCCACCCGTTGGTCGACAAAAGTGAATTTTCCCTCAATTGAGTGGCGCGAAATGAACTCTGTAAAAGAGAAAAAGTGAGGGGGGGGGGGGGGGGAGGATAGCCGGCGGCCGGTCGGAGACGGGGCCTCGACACGAAAGTCTTACCGCTATTGCTGCTGGAGCCGCCGAGGTCACTGGTGTTCGGTGTACTGGTGACCTGCAGTCGCCCGATGGCCACGAGGCAGTAGTGGGTGGGCACGTCGTCACCCACGACGCCGTCATTAGGACCCGGCACGGAGGCTCGCTGCTCACCGGGCATGCCCACACCTGGGGGCACACGCGGAGCAACAAAATCACCTGTGCGTCACGAGTCAGCCTCGAGTTAGTATCGTTGAGGGCTGGCCGCGCGCGCCAGTACACGGGTACTCACCGGTGGGCGGCCAGTTCTTGATGTAGCCGGTGCAGTGGACCACGGCGTAGCTCTGGCCATCGCGTGCCGGTGGCCCCAGGGAATTGCGTTGCTTCATGCGCTGGAGGCCGTGGGCTGCGGCCATGTCGCCGCTCGCTTGCAGGTTACCTACCTTCATGCGGCAGATGAAGCCCCGTCGCGAGCCCATGCACAGGCGCACCGAGGCTGCAACAGTGGAAATGCCGGTAAGTATGCGGTGGAAGGGGACGGCTGCGCACATACTGACACTGGTGGCCCTCCTTCTTGACGGTGCCGGTTTTGAGATCGAGCACGCGGCCGGCATGCTGCGGCTCGGCCGTGCTCAACTGCTCCTTCACCTTGTCCACGTCGTCCGGGTGCACCTGGTTGTAGAGGCTACTGCCGTACCATTCGCTCTGCGAGTAATTGAGCACTGGTGCGACCGAGTCCGACACGTAGATCACACGTCCGTTATCGCAGCTGACCACAAATAGGAAGCCGTCGGCCGCCTCGAGGATCAGGTGCTTGAGCTCCTGGTCCGTGAGGAAGGACGGCTTGTAAGTGCCATCCGCGCTCGTGTTGCCCGTTCCTGTCGATCAGACCGCTGTACAAGGCGGCACGCAGCGCGCTTGGCCACGTGGCCCGGACTCGAGAACGTGACGGGCATACGACCGGCGCGAGCAGTCCTGGAGCGGGGGGTGAAGGGACCGGCGGAGGGATCGGGACGCAGGAATCGGAGAGGACGTCTCGCGCCCGGCGATGCTATCTACGCTCCCGATTCCAAGAAGCGGCCGGCCGCTCGCATTGGTATTCCGCGCGAGTGACATCCTGTTGCAGCTGCAGTCTACTCACCGCGCAGGGCCTTCATGTGGGCAACGGCCATGCGGAGGATGGTCAACTTGTCGGGCTTGCGCGCCAGCGCCGAACAGGTGGGCACCATGTCCGACAGCTCGGTGATGTAGGCCGTCATCTTGTTCCTGCGTCGACGCTCGATCTCGCAGTGGTTCTCCCGGCTGCGCCGCCCACGACAACAAGACAACAAGAGGCGTTAGGCTCGCGCGTTCCCACGCTGGCCACGGCGCGAGAGCGCGAGCCGCGCGGCCCGCCGCCAGCAGCGTCCGCGTGCACGTGCACGCGCCGCGGCGGGGGCGAGCGCGGCGCGCTCGCGTCAACGACCCGAGTCCTTCCCCCGAGCTAATGCACTCGCTCGCGCCAGCGCCGCGATCGGCGCGCTCGACCCCAACATCGTAACAACGACAACGGCACTTGCCTGGCAAAGCGTTCCTTGTCCTGCATGCTGTCGTCGTCCATTCTCCTGTACTTGCCCGAGCTCGGGTCGTCCTCATCGGATCTACAACAGATGGCAGGCGTCAGGCCAGAGCCAGGGCAGCGAGCACCGGCCGCGCCGCTGCGCGCCCCGCGCTCCAGGTCGCCGGATCGGCAAGGCGGAAGCGCGGCGTCTCGGAGGCTGCGCCGCCGTGCGCCCGCCGTACCTGGCTCGCTTGGAGCGCGGCGAGTCCGGCGGCATCTCGGCGGCGGCGGGCCCCAGCAGCTGGGCCTGCGGCTGCTGCTGGAAATCGCCGCCGGCGCCGGGGTACAGTTGGTAGGCTGGCTCGCAGGCCGCCTCGTAAGCGCCGCTGCCCGCGTACATCGCGCGTTCGCCAGTCGGCCGCTTCCGGGCTCGGGGGGCCGCACGCGCGGAGCTGCTTTGCCGGCCAGCGCCTACCGCTGACTGACCCCGACTCGTCGCCACCGATTCTTCCGCTGCTCCCACTACTTATCCCGTCGTATACCTTTACCTGTACACGCCATTCTGCTTCTCTCTCTCGGCGCCGTCCACTCCCCACCTTGCGCTCGTCGCCTTATCTTGGCACCTCGACATCGACAATCTTTCCTCCATCTTTCCCTTTGATTTTCGTATTCTCTACCATGAATCCGAACCCTCGACCCACAAGCTCAATATTATGACTAATTGTTGCTAGACTGAATTACAATGAAGCTCTACTATGGCAATCGCATGCATAAGCTCATTAAGCCTTCCTTCTACTTAACCGAGTCAAGAATACTGTACAATGATTGAACCAATAACTCTGTTGCTTACCATGAAATCGAATCAAATTCAATCAACCACAACTACTCTTTTACTTAGAGATTAATCAACAAGAAATGTTGATTTTTCGGCATCATTGACCAACAATCATATAATGAAATTGATATGCAAACAGTCAAATCATGATCGTCACCCCAAGGCAGAATTATGTCAAACTTACCCTATACTCTCGGCGTTACGATTTTGTGCGAGTTTGTTCGTATTGCTACCTGCAAAAAGTGTACATATATATACATATTCATTTATTGAAGAATTCTGCCCTAAACATTTTACCTCGAGTAATACTAATATCGCATTTCGCAAGCCACAGCCTTGTGCAACGCCATTCGCCTCGGCAATAAAATTGTTCTCTTTCTCTCTTTTTCTCATTCGATTCGATCTTTCGTTTTCGAGCAAACAACAAAAAAGTTTCAGAGCAAATAAGCAGCATAAGTATAAATAGATTGTTATTGAATCTTGGTTATGCACGAGACTGCTTTGTGCGTCGTCTTGTGTGATCGTGATTTACCTGGCATAGAATGGGCGACCGCGGACATTTGGATGAACATTCAGCTTGAGTGTATTATGAAATGCAGCGTTCGTTGTCCTTGTCTCTTTCAAAATTGCTTTATTTTGCGTACGATGCACTAAACACACTGACGTCTTCACACACCAGACCACGCCATTTTGAAGTTTTATGCATATATGTATGTATTTCCGTATTTCTTTTTCCACTTTCCAGCCACCTCAGAGACAGAGTCCACAGCGGACAACTCCGAAGTTCGGACTCCAGACTCGCCCTCTCCTCCGCCACAACGCACAGCATAGCATGCGGCGGCGACGTCACCTCCCACCATTCGCTCGCTATTGCAGCTATCGAGTCCGCCCCACTCACAATTACTCTGCATTATCGACTGAGTACGCTGAGAGATCATCAGGCCAGCAGACCAGGGGGCCTATTCTGAAAAAAAATTTTAGCACGGGGCCTATTCTGAAAAAAAATTTTAGCACATGTCATAAGCATTTATCACATCTAAAGTGATTAATTCTGTGGTAAACTGAAGTGACAAACTGATTTACCACAAAATTTTTTTTCAGAATAGGACCCTAGAAATACATAGTCCTATATGGAAACATGCAGTTTCCATAGTAACAGTATACTGATAAATACTATATACTATATTTGAAAGAATGACAGAATTGATAGGAGACTTATTGAGAGGTCGCTCCGAGAACTCAGAGCTTAAACTTTGACCTCAGACCCTCCGTGGTTCAGACTAACGGAGAGGGGCCTATGTTTTAACATTGGGTGACGTCACCGGACTTGCGCTCGTAGGGCGCTCGCTCACCACTCTGAGCCCTCGGAACGCTGTGTGGTATCATCATTCACAATACAATGGCTCTACTCAAAGCTCTACTTTAATTGAACATTGAAGTAACCGGAGTCTTTTTTGCGATATCGCTGCGAGCACTCACAGCGGTGAACGAGCGCGCTACGAGGACGAGCACTAGTTTCGTGACGTCACCCAATGTTAAAACATAGACTGCTCATCGTTCGTCTAAGCTGCGTGAGCGATTGATGTATTTTGATACGTATAATGATTAGACATGGTGGCTATTACGTTAATCGATATCACAAATGGTTTATGATAAATAAATTATTTTTATAAATAGTCAGTACTATTTGGAAAAGAAATATAAATTTTAATAGTACAAAACACAATAATTTTATCGTTTATAAAGTCCATACATATATTTCGTATACCCATTTGAATAATAATTGTATTTTTTATTTTTAAAATAAATAATCATCATTCGTAATTTTTAATATAATATGAATATTCAATACATACATGCATGCATGTATAATTTCATAATACGTAAGTTAAAAAAAGATTTTAGGAATGTAAAAATTTATATTGTGTTAATGCTAAGTCAAATTAAATAGAAACACGTATTTCAATGAGTGATGTCCGCTCAAGTATGCAATTCGGCAGCACTCAAGTATTAAAGATAATTTTAAATTATGCTAATTTTTAATTATATAGTTGTAATGCCTCAATTTAAGGTATGTACATATACATACATATGTTTAATTGTCAAATTGGAATCATTTATATATTTCAATATATGAGTATTTCTACAAATGGGTCAGCTCAAATTTCAAAAAGTGATTTTAAATGAAAATTATGGTAGTTTTTAATTAGTTAAGTAAAAAACTTAATTAGATATAAGGAACAAATTCTTCGATACATATTACATCTTTAAGTTTATTTTAAAGTCATAATATAGTTTTCCAATATTAAATTTCTTTAATTTTATGTATTTGCTAAGTTAATAGATTATGTAAAGTAGAACTTCAACTTGTTTCAATTATTATGAAACATGCTCCTTTCTTTAGAGCTTATTTATATTATATGGCAATGTATTTCTTTAATTCAAATTCAGTAGGGGATTGTCCACACGGGATCCCTCTTCCTTCCTGATCTCGGACTCCAAAGCCGTCCTCGTCCAAGATTTTATACGCACACGCCATCTCTATAACTTCGAACTTAGTGCTAAGTTTCATAATGAATGCGAGATATGCATCTTAATCTATGAACTTAAAGTTATAAAGATGGTGTTGTGCATACAAAAACTTGGACGGGGACAGCCCCGGAGTCGGGAAGGAAAAGGTATCCCGACCGTCCCATGGACACTCCCGACGGCGAACGCGACGTGGCGTTATCGCAACATGGTCCTACTCTCAAGTCTCACAGTCCCACACGAGGTTTGTCCATTTCTCATTTTTTAGTATTTCGATTTTCATATTTTTGATTAAGTTTACCTGTATTTGTTATATATGATTTGATTGAATAGTTTTACCATAGTTTTTATACTTGGATTACATATATATGTACATGTTTTATATTTGTATTTAAATGGTGGGCTATTTTTGGATGACTTTCAAACCCACGTTCAATGAATTTACTTGAAAGTAAGTGAATTTTTCATTATTTATAATAGAAGATGTGCACCTCAGTAGATCAATGATGTCACACAACACACATGTGCATGCAGAATGATGTAGTAGTTAGCAGAGTTATTCAAGATTAACTATCATTGTATAACCAACTTTTGATATGATCAACATGAGAATGAATGCTCTCAATGAATCAACTACTGGTGAACCAGAACAAGATGCCAATTCAGCTTTGATTGAACTCGATAAAGGTATATTTCTTTGTTTACCCTTAAAACTATATTAATTTTTGACTGTGTTAAATGAACGCTATATTTTGACATTACTTTTTAGGGCTACGTTCTACTAAGATTGGTGAACAATGTGAAGCCATTGTCAGATACCCTAAACTTTTTGAAAAATATCCATTTCCAATATTGATTAATTCATCCCTTCTGAAATTAGCTGATGTTTTTCGAGTTGGAACTAATTTTCTGAGAGTATGGGTTTTAAGGGTGTTTCAACAGAGTGAAAAACATTTAGATAAAATTTTGAATGTAGATGAATTTGTCAAGAGGATTTATAGTGTTATGCATTCCAATGATCCAATTGCAAAGGCATTAACTTTAAGAACACTAGGCAGTGTTGCCAGAATAATACCTGAAAGGAAGCATGTAAAGGCATATTCAACTACAATAACAAAGAATTAAATTGATATAAATCTAAACTTTTCAGGTTCATCATAGCATACGTAAATCACTCGACTGCCATGACTTGGTTCAAGTTGAAGCTGCTATTTATGCTGCACAAATGTTTGCTGCTCAGTCAAAGCAGTTTGCTATTTTCATGTGCAGTAAAATATCTGATATGATTAGAGGTCAAGCAACTCCAGCAAAAATGAAATTGCAGCTTATACCCATATTACAGTACATGCACCATGATATTTCTACGGCTTCTATGGTAAATGCTTTGTTAGCTTCAAGTTTATCCTCCTCAACATCCTATTATAGTAATTACTGTGATTATAGGCAAACGAATTATGTTTGGAGTTACTTGAAAGCTATCCAGCTGTTGAATTTTCTTATGTGACATTAAGCGCATCAACTACTTTAGCTTCAGCAACATTAATCAATGTTTCAGATCAAGTTACCTTACTTTTGCGATATTTACGCGACGATCCCAGATCATCAATAAAAACTCATGCTCTAAAGCTCCTGCATTCCCTTGCTGGGAAAGGTGCTCACTTATGGCCCCAAGGCGCTCTAAATCAGTTGATTGGTAATGATGATTAGATGTAATGATGATTAATTAATTGAAACATATAAATTAATTTTTTTTTGTCCAGATAGCACAGCAACTCTTCTACAAGATGGCGCAGAAAATATAAATTTACTTATAAGATCGCTAAACGTTATTGAGGTAGTATTCAATTTTATAATAAGCAAATGATGGAAAGGATCGAAAAACATGTAAAGATTATTTCATTTGCTAGGTTTTGAGTGAGAGCCCTGTGACCTGTGAAGCTAACATAGAGAAAGGGAGCCCTTTGATTACTCTGTGCTCAAAAGCTTGCTATTCTCCGAATCCTATTGTTGCAGTGAAGGCAGTTACAATTCTAGCTAGAATAGCTTGTTATTGGTAAGAAAAAAGTAGAAACCAACAAAAGTTAGAAAGAAAAGATTGCCAGTAATACAGTACTAATTGTTGTAGCTATGAAGAGGGTCTAACTGTTTACGGGGTTCAGGATGTGGTATCTTGCCTAGAGTCTTTAATAATGTTATTGGCCCTGGAAGATAAGTACTTGTACCAACTGAAGGTGTGTCTTCAATTAACAGTAAAGCTGAGTCAAGCGCAGAGGAGTCACTGCAGCGACTTTGTTGACGCAATCGGCTCCAGCCTTATGAATACGAACCCCTCTAGCAAGCAGAGCAACAGCCAGGAGATCGCGCTGTGCGAAGCTCTGGGAGCAATCGGTAGCTTGGGCGATGACATATTGCTCCCTCTCCTTCCTGATGTTCTCGCGAAGCTTAAGCGAACGTCTCACAATCAGACCAAGGTAATGTTGTGTAACTTGCTCTTCCAAATGGTGGCCGGCGGTTATGAGTGGAGTAGCGAATGCTTGGCAGCTGTTAGCGCCGTCAGCAAGTCTGTGGACAACTGGAACAAATATCGGATAGCACGCGGCGCAGCGAGGTACGGTCACCACAAAATCGCGACGCGCCTGTTCAAGGGCTTGAAGGAGAGCGTCGCCTCGGAGCAGTTGCACTTCTGGCTGCTCGGACTAGAATTGCTGACGAGCGCGGAGAGCTATTTATTGTAAGTCCACCTTGGCGGTGACCTGGCCAAGTCGAGTAAACGACTATTGATTTGGGTCTTTGTTCTTTCAGAGACGAAATTGAAAAGGACGGCAACACAGTGAGCAAACTCAACGGGGCCATCTGCCAGTATGCAGCTGCCTGCACGTCCTTCAAAGCAGCGACGTCCAACAACAATCTGCAGTTTGTGTGTGATTATGCCAAGCTTCGCTGCGAGTTCCTGCAAGCTCTGGTGCAGCTGCTGCATTCGTGCCGCTCGTTATGCACGGCGCCGCCCTACGCGATCGCCGCCCACGAAGCTCACACGGCCAAGGACGAGTTGCAGCGCTATGGCCGGGTGACGAGTCAGGTAAATTTGCATTGTACTACTGTTATCAGTCATTGTTCAGTGCTCTCTACACCTGTGTCTTTATAGCTGCGTAAATCGGTCGATGAATTGAAGACTTGTGCCAATAACTACCACATGCTTTATCAGTCTGCCTTTGACGCCGATCCCGGAACTTTGACCAACATCAGAGCGTATCCTTTTATAAAAGAATAGAACAAAAGAAACAATGGTGAGATATGTCACCTTGACGAGATGAAAAATGACGACGAGGTAGTCTGCAAGAGCTTTGCTTACTGATGGCCCATAGTGTACAACGCGTGTGCGGTGGACCGATGGTATCCACCTCGTTCCCACTAGCTGCGGACGGCAATGCCCACTTCGGCGACACGATCGAGATGCAGCAGCTGGCCAAGTGCTGCTCGCGTATACAAGAGTTGGCACCGGCTGGCGACGCAGGCAATGAGACCTCCAGTCGTAAAACCAGCGGGGTGAGCCATCTGCGCGTTGGCAGCCTCATCTCGCAAGTGCGATTACTGGCCAGTGGTAAGCTGCGATTGCCTGTGCCGAGGTTTTTCTTCCAGGCGCTGCAGTCGACAAGCATCAAGCTATCGCTCTCGCCGCAGCCCAGGGTCCTCGGCGAGCCGGTGTCAGTGCCGCAGGGTAGCCAGCTAGCCTTGAAGGTCGAAGGCGTGCTGCGGCACGGCAAAAGGCCGTCGTTGTTCCGATCGGTAGCAGCCGTCAGTATCAGCATTTCGACCGCACCACCCTCGAAACTTTGCGCCGATAAGAAGGTAAGACAATACATCAACGTCAGGTGTAGCCAATCCAGCACGTTTTTTCTCGACTTTTAGGATACAGGAGTGTGTGAACTCGAGCAAAGCATGGTACCTAGCCGTGATTTTTTCACTTGCGAGTTTTTGCTATCGCTGGGTCAGCAAAACAGCACGGTGAGCCTGTGTAGCGCAAACGCTAGCGGCGGTCAACAGCCAACGAGCAGCGGCGGTCAGTATCAAGTGACCGCAAGCGCTAACATCGTCGACGAGGTTGGCAACATTTGGAAGTGCGGTCCGCGATCGTTGTTACAAGTGCGAGTACATGAGGAGCCCTCACGGAAAAAGCTTTCGTAGCGTTAATAATCTTTATCGTTGTTGTTTCGTTTATCATTATCATTAACATTGTCATTATTACTATCATCATCTTTATTATTATTATTATTATTTTTGTAAATTACGCTATATTTGTACGGAAAAAATAAACATAAATTAGTTACTATTGCCTGTGAAAGTCACCTCTTTTGCCACCTGTCTTCGATACCAATTCCACGCAGGATATATGCATTATGTCTGGGGCAGCAACTACAGATTTACACATATCGAATACCGTGAGAGCTGCCACGCTGACGGCCGTTAGTGCCTCTATTTCAACACCAGTTTTGCCACTGCAACAAACTTCTGCGCTGATTTCAACCCTATGCAGTTCCTCATTCAAACGCAACTCTACGCTCACGCAATTGATCGTTAGAGGATGACATAGAGGTATTAACTCCGACGTCTTCTTAGCAGCCATTATTCCAGCTAACTGAGCTACCGTCAGGGCATCGCCCTTTTTTAAGCTATTTTCTGCAATCAGCTTGCTAATTAGGGCTCCGACATGGATGTATCCTTTGGCTCGTGCGCTGCGCTCGCTCGGCTTTTTAAATCCCACGTCTACCATTTTTGCTTTTCCGCTTTCATCTACGTGCGTCAATGAAGAGAAACATCTCGCCCGCTGCGATGAAAATCCTATTAAACCTATTATTTTATTCCCAGATACCATGGTTACGTTTTTCCATTTGGATGTAGATTTCACTGTAATGAGAGAAATAAATCTTTAATTGCGACATCTACTCTGATATATTATAATAACATACCAATATAGCGCAACTAGTAAAGTTATCTTAATAGTGGTTCTCGTATTGTATATCGTGTATAAGCGATCAGAGATAATAATCCAATCAACCACCAATTAGAATCATAGGTCGATTTTCCATTCGACTAAGGTTGAGCATGCCTGTAACATTAAAAGTTCTGAATCTCTATACACGATATATCATATGCGACGTCAGTACGTTGCAACAGTTAGCATCGGCTCTTTTACCTGCATGTTGCTTCTTCTTCCGAAGTACAGCATGTTTAATCAAGTCTTTCAAATCGTCAGTGGAAGCCCCATTTCTCAAGGCATCTCGCAAAGACACTTCTGCTTTACCCTCAAATAGGCATACTTTCAAATTTCCATCTGCGGTTATTCTTAAACGATTACAGGAGCTGCAGAAGTTTTCACTCATTGAAGTAATAAAACCTACTTGCCCTTGATATCCGGACACGCGATAAGCCTGCAATGAATAGCATTGTTGTTACTCATTTATATACTTAACAATCATTAACTGAATACAAATAACAGACACCTTTGATGTATCATTAGGTTTATCCGACAGTCTTTTAAACTCTGGATATTTTTTTTTAATGATCTTTTTCATTTCAGAAAATGGAACCATTTTACTACTATTCCAATTGTTGCCAGAAAATGGCATGTATTCAATGAATCTCACATCTAAAGGCTTATTCTTTGTTAACTCTACAAAATCCACTAATTCATCTTCATTAAAATCTCTCATGATCACAGTATTTATCTGGTGATGATACAAAATATCGTTTAGTCTCTATATTAATCTTTAAAGTTCAAAATACCTGATATATTATACTTTTACAGGTTTATATCCTAATTGTATTGCTAAGTCAATGGAAGCCATAACTCGGGTCCATCCATTTCTCCTTGTGAATTTTTCAAAGCGTTCTGGCTTCAAAGTATCTAAAGAAATGTTCAGTAAATCCAAACCAGCTTTCTGTAAAGATGGTAGCAGTCTAGTCAGCATAATTCCATTACTAGTCATGGCAAGAGTTTCTAATCCTTTGATACCTTTTAAATGTGCTAAAATATATTTGTTCATTAGTTTGTCATTATTATTGCTATATTTAAAAAATTTTGTTCTTTTGATTATGCTTTTGGCTACTTTAGATTTTCAGTAATTGCTAGGTTGATTTTTGTAGACAATTTCAAAAAGTTTAATTTAAAAGTTTTTGGCTATTATCACTTTAGTTTAAAATATTGTTAAAAATGGTCTTATTTTTCAGTGTTATTACTTTTAATTTTTTAATTTCTTTTTAAAAATTCATATATTGATAAATAATTACCAACAATGTCTACAATATCTTTCCTCACTGTTGGTTCTCCTCCAGTTAGACGAATTTTATTGATGCCTGCTTTAACAAAAAGATCAGCCAACTGGATTATTTCATGAGTACTTAAAAGTTTTTCTTTTTTTGTAAGTTCAACTCCATTTGCAGGCATACAGTATGTACCTGAAACCAAAGTAAAAATCAGAATAAGCAATTGAATTGGTAATGAATTTTTCCAAATGGTTACATGGCATACATCGCAAATTACACCTTTCTGTCAGAGAAATCCTGAGGTATGTATGATGGCGACCAAATGAATCTCTGAGTACAGAACCAATATCTTTTTCAAGTTTTTCCCTCATTGTTGTTAGCTAGTGATATTATAACAATTAAAAAAGTTGACAATATAAATAAAATGATGAGCAAGGAATTAATTATCAAGTAAAACTGATGAAATTGTCAATACTAACTCTACTTGAAGACTTCAATGCAAATCCACCTGTTGAATAACTAGCAGAAAGTACACAAAACTTGTTAAAGGTCTTCAACATGTTAACCAAATCACAACTCAAAATAATAAATAAAGTTATATCGGTGAAAATAAATAACTGTTATACACTTTAATTCTCAAGTATGCTTCGTGCCTACAGGTCACATGTTTTATCTGGTTCGTTTATATGACAAATGAATTTATACGCTATATACATAGGTATATATAAAGGATAGACTGCTGATACCAGGTTGTGGAATTATCCGCAAGAGTGAGAGAGATAGTAACAAATAGTTGGAAGCTTCTATCTCTTTCTAGTCGACGCTTATTGGTCTTATTAGCTGTCGTCACGCAAATAAGTGTAGACTAGAAAGAGATAGAAGCTGTCACTATTTGTTGCTATTTCTTTCATTCTCGCGGACAATTCCATCACATAACCTGGCATTCAGCAGCAGTAGGCTAAAGGAACTCAGCAGAAAGTTAACGAAAATCAACCGAAAAAAATTATAGAAAAACTGCGCGTTGGTAACAAAGATAGCAAAAGTTATTTATAACTCCGCGCAATTTCATTTTTATTGATAAAAAAATTATCAAAGTTGATCACTCACAGATCATCGATAACTGTATCTGCGCGGAGTTTTAATAAAGTTTTTAGAGAAATAAACCCGTTCAATCGTTAGCAAAAATCTCGCGCAGTTTTTCTATCTAATCAAAATATTATTATAACCATCCGTTAAAAAATAAATATTATTTCTCACTACAGTCATATACATATGCACCTGGGGGCCTATTCTGAAAAAAAATTTTAGCACATGTCATAAGCATTTATCACATCTAAAGTGATTAATTCTGTGGTAAACTGAAGTGACAAACTGATTTACCATAAAATTTTTTTTCAGAATAGGCCCCCTGACAGATCAGTCAGTAACATAGATCTGTACACTTTTATTATTGTAAGACACACTCTCAAATTATAAGAGCTGTATTAATAGGAATGTCTTACTTGCTGCCCAAATGTATTAGAGAAGATCTCGATCATGTGTGATTATTTATCCGGGATTGAATCGAATCTATCAAAGATAAATTCTAATAAAATGCCTTAAAAAATTCAAATGCCCTTACTCTATTGAATAAATATAGTATTACAGCATTCTACCCTGTTAGCAATTATTTTTGCGTAAAACTATTACACGCAGTTATATTTTAAATATAGCTTATAAACGTCATATTTTAGACATGTATAACGTAGTTATTAACAGTTTTTAAATCAATTTCAAAAATATAAATATAATTGTTTACAAGTATATATAATAATTAAATAGTTATAATTATCATCATATGTTATTATAGTTATTATCATATGTGATAATTATAAGAATAATCGTATTTATAATTTTTTTGCTTATAAGTACTATATAGTACGAAAGTATATATATTTTCGTGTTTGGTAGTGACAAATTAATAATTACAATTAACTGAAATAATAGTTACTAATTTTTTATTCATCAAATAGATATAATTTCGGCGATAATTGTTATTTGCGCAGTTATTTATAGTTACATTTGCATTAATTATTTCTCAAAATAAATTTATTTCGGTGAATAAAAATCCATTTTCGATTCGTCAACGGAAAATGCGTGAAAATCACGACTTTCTTCGGTACATGCACAGACTCGTTTACTCTAATAATTATTGATGCATTTTTGTGTTTGATAGTTCAAAATTAAGATTTTTATTTCCCTCGACAGCCCCTTAAGTCGCATTTTCTATTCGTCGCACAATTTTCAAATAAAAATTATTAAAAATTTTCGTGTCGCGAGTGGCCGGAAAACGGCGTCAGTTCATATTTTAGCATTCCATTTCCAGCCAGGGTCGTATATGAAGCATTTCAACGCCCATGTTTAGCGGGCAGTGTGCCAGCAACGTGCGGTTTACCTTTTCAAAGCTTAATGCTGGCACACTGCCCGCTAAACATGGGCGTTGAAATGCTTCATATACGACCCTGGCTGGAAATGGAATGCTAAAATATGAACTGACACCGTTTTCCGGCCACTCGTGACACGAAAATTATTAATAATTTTTATTTGAAAATTGTGCGACGAATAGAAAATGCGACTTAAGGGGCTGTCGAGGGAAATAAAAATCTTAATTTTGAACTATCAAACACAAAAATGCATCAATAATTATTAGAGTAAACGAGTCTGTGCATGTACCGAGGAAAATCGTGATTTTCACGCATTTTCCGTTGACGAATCGAAAATGGCAAATTATCATCGATATCAGGGACAATTAGGGCAATTAATACCTTAGTCAAAATTATTTCAACAATTTCCCTTACAATCGAGGGGGTTACCTTCACAGTCTTCATCTACTCCCAATAGCACAGCTCCCGTTCTAATGGCAATGATTGGGAGACCCAATCTCCCACATGCTACAGCTACACACTTTTGGTGGGTTTTGGTTATCGGGTGTTGCGTATTGCTGCAGTGTGAAGTTCAGGGATTCCTATGCATAGGTATTAGTCATACTTTTTAGTTTATCCATCCAAGCTTGCATAATAAATTACAAATTATAATTATAGGACTCGAAGATATTGGTTTTTTCATTTTTTTTGCCAATTGTTTTTTAAAAATTCTTATCTAGTTTAATTGGCCATCTAAAACGTAAAATCGAGCATTCAGAAGTAGCGGCTTGATTCATCTTTTACGGTAGTTTTACATCATTTTTTATCGCATTGTGCAGTTAATAAAAATGAATATTTTGATATTGTGTGCAGTTTCAAAGGTTACAATCAATGGTTTGTTATTTAAAATGGAGCAGCCAGAAGTTGTGCAGGAATTTCAGCCTCGGCCTTACCAGATCTGTCTTTTTGAAAGAGTTCAAAACGAAAATTCAATTATTTACTTACCCACAGGATCTGGTAAAACTTTCATAGCAGTGCTTCTCGTTAAACATCTCAGTGGTCAGGTCCAGAAGTAATTAGCATTTTATTCTTTCAAGGAATAATAAAATACTGATATTTAGATTTTATACAAATATATCTTAAATTTCTGTTTTAGAGCATATACAGAAGGTGGCAAGAGGACTGTTTTTATTGTAAATACAGTTGCACTTGTTATTCAGCAATGTGCTTTTTTGAATCGTCACACAGGGCTTGTTTGCAAAAGTTATACTGGTGATATGCAAGTGGACGTTTGGGATAGTAATCAGTGGCATAGTGAAATAGAATCTTGTCAAGTAAATAATTTTGTATTGGTTTTAAACCTTATATCTGTCTAATATTTTTGAAATGTGTTAATTTTGCAGGTTTAATTTAACAAAAATCGATGTGGAATAATGAATCCCTGAATTTAAAACAAATTTACTTTGTAAATTTTGTAACGTTTTGCCACTCATGCTCGTAGCCTCATCAGGCAAATAGTATTTGAGGGACTCATCCTTTTCACATTCATTTTTGTAGAATTATTGTATAGTGAGGGGTGCTAATGATATTATAATTTTGCAGGTGTTAGTGATGACTGCACAAATTTTTTTAAATATGGTAACACAGGGCGTGTTGCCTTTGAGTAGAGTAAATTTATTAATATTTGACGAATGTCACAGAGCTGTAAAAGATCATCCAATGAGACAAATAATGCAAAGATTTCAAGAATGCCCAGATTATCAGCATCCTCGAGTTTTAGCTATGACAGCAAGTTTGTTGAATTCCAATGTTAAGTTGAATAAAATTGCAGAAACTCTGAAGGTTAGTATTTCAAAGATTGTTTTCTATTCTATTAATTTTTAGCAAATTAAATATTTACTATTCTTGTAGGAATTAGAAGTCACATTTCATTCTAAAATTATAACAGTCCAATCTCTCCAAACAATAACAGATTTTTCAGTGAACCCGAAGGAGTTTGTTGACTATGTTGAGCCTCTTAGAGACTCTACTGTTTTTCACAAGGTTAATAATATTATTGATGAAGCTAAGAGTATTCTGAACGTTATTGAAATTCCCAATAAAATGGAAAATAAAGCCAGCAGTGTTGAATTTAGACCAGTTTCAAAAAATGTCAAATTACAAAGAATTCTAACTGATATACAAACTCATCTTGAAGACATGGGATTGTATGGAGGGAGTAAGAGTGTCCTTTTGCACATGATTCAACTGGAGTATATAAAAAAATATTCAGATGAACCAGTTAGTAGCAATATATAAAATATGATCATTCCTTTGGTACAGTATTAATGTCTAATAATAATTTTTTAGAAAATTATAGCAATTCTGGAGTATTTAACAACGCAATTGATGAAAATACAAAAATTGTTGAGTCTTGAAATAGAAAATGTACCTACATTGGAATTAATTAATGAGTAAAAAACAATTTTTACTAATTTTTATGCAGATTTTTATTAGATTTTACATTTCAATATTTCATTGTTTTAGGCACTCATCACCAAAAGTTTCCAAGTTGGTCAAAATACTGAAAACTTTTCATGACACTCAAGTAGGTTTAAATAAATTTTGCTGTATAATTTTTGTGCAAAGACGCTTTACAGCCAAAGTTTTATATCACATGTTAAAAGTGAGTTTTGACTGCGATTTTATTTGATAGAAAAATATGACATTATTAATATTTTTTAGAAACTAAGCGAATATGACAATTACAAATTCTTAAAAGCAGAGTATATTATTGGTTACAATAACGATCCTTACAAAAATGCTAAAGAAGCTTTGGTATTGTCTGAATGGAATAAGAAAGTTTTAACCAGGTGTTTATTTTATAAACTTGTATTTTATACATTTCAATAATTTTCTAATATCGTTTATAGATTTCGCAACGGTACCATCAACTGTATTATTGCTACTGACGTAGTCGATGAAGGAATCGATATTCCAAGTTGTACACTTGTTGTACGTTACTACGCTCCACCAGACTTTCGATCATATATTCAAAGTAAAGGGCGTGCTCGATATCATACTAGTTATTTTGTAATTTTAGCATCAAGTCAAGAAGATTATGTAAAAAAATATAAAACTTTTCAAGATACCGAGCGATTTTTACAAAATGCTTTATACGGATTTTCAAATCGTACTAAGCCAACTCAAGATGAGATAGATAACATTTTATATGACTATACCATACAACCATATGAGATCATACACGAAGACGGACACATAAGTGTTATAACGGAGCAGAATGCCATTGCATTGATAAACGTTTATTGTACCAGTCTTCTGAAATCAAAATTCATTTCATTAACGCCTACGTGGGTTAAGGAAGAAATAGTAGACAATCTTTTTGGCAAACAATACAGAGTATGATTTGTACTGTATCAATCATATAGAAGATTTGTCGTATATTTTCGCTCAATCTATAAATTCGCAGGTTCATTTGACACTTCCCATTATGTCAACTGTAAAGGAGGTAGTAGTAAGTGACAAATACAATGCTCTCGACGTTGCCAAACGATCGGCTGCTGTGAAGGCGTGTATTAAACTGTACACCAATGGTGAATTGGATAAAAACTTGCAGCCAAAAAAGATGAAAGATGCCATAAGCTGCGACTATTTATTTCCTTATATGGAGAAAGAGGAGCATGCCGATATACAACCAGGCACGAATTCAAGAAAACGGCGACATTCAGTCGTTGTCAGTATAAACTTTAAATCTATAGAACTAGAACATAATGGTATTGAAGTTTTTAATTCTTACTGTCTGTCTGTCTGTCTCTTTTCTTTCATTCTCTCTTTCTCTCTTCTTTCTTTCTTTCTTTCTCTCTCTCTCTCTCTCTTCCTCTCTCTCTCTCTCTTTTTCATATGTCAGCATCCAAAAGCCTTGCTGGGAGCTTATCCAGTGGAAGATCTTGCATTATTTTTGCACATAATTGAAATGAAACCAAATTATGCAATGCCTTCCAATGAAAATCGTCACTTGGTGTTTTACAAGTTATTGGCAAGTAAAAATACTTATGGCATATTATCTACAAAGAAGCTACCAGAGATACCATCATTTCCAATATTTATGAATGTTGGCGATTTGCATGTAAGCGTAAAGATCAATATATCGACGCCGTCGCTTAAAAGCAATGAAATAAATACTCTAAAACAGTTTCATTGGTTATTATTCAACGATATACTTCAATTGACGAAAGATTTCATGGTTTTCGATACAGAAAATAAAGATAACAGTTTTCTGATTGTTCCCGGTAAGAATGAACGCTACAAGTATTTTGTTAGTATTAATTATACGCTAAAAAGTAACCGAGATATCGTTGGCAGTTGATGAAAAGGAGCAAATAAATTGGGACATTGTTAAGCGCTATAAGTCCGTCGAACATACTCTCCCTGCTAAACCTATAGTAGTAAAAAAATCCGAATATGAGCATATTTTAGTGGTTCCAGATTACAGAGCAGCCAATGAATATATTGTTACGGAAGTTTGCGAATATTTGAGGGCAGAATCGCGTTTTCCGACTGCAGATTACGAATCCTACATTCATTATTTCAAAGATAGACATGGTTTGCAAATTGAATGCCATGATCAGCCAATGCTCGAAGTGAAGCCCATCACTAAAAAAATTAATTTTATTAAGCCAAGGTAATTAATTATTACTGTTATTACTATTATATTGTTGATTTGTTTATTTACTAATCATTGACTTGTCATCAAGGAAGTTGAAGGCCAACATGAGTAAAAGAAAACGAGCAAATATTACAGAAGATTTCGAGGAACACATGGTCCCGGAATTGTGCAAAAAAATAGAATTTCCAGCTTTGTATTGGCTGAAGGCTACAACCCTTCCGTCTATCATACATAGAATAAAGCAATTGCTCGTTGCGATCGATTTGCGAGATCAAATTGCAGAAGAAGCTTGCTTAAGTTTGGAAACTCGAAAGCCAGAGAAAAAGTACGAAGCTCTGTGGATAAAAGATAATAAAGACTACGATATAGACAGTAGCAAGGAGACAAATTTAGATGATACTACTTTAGAAGACGACGAAGTCATTGTCGGCGATCCGTTGGACATCGATGCTGTATCCGAAGTGGACAGTAAGTTTCCACGAATAAAAACAGTAGTGTTGAGTCGGCTTTGAAAATTCTACCTTTTATTGTCGACAGTTCTCAGTGAAGAAAGAAGCCATTTTACGTGGATGAAAGAGCGAGAGCCGTTAGATTTGGAAAGGTACGCTGATCGCGTTCAAATGATCGATATAGAGGCTTATTATCAATTTATGTCAGATGTCACAGCTACTGATCGAGAGAATCTGGTAATATTAACTGTATATTGCTTTAGTTAATCGCTTTATTCGAGTATACCTTTTTACCTTACAGAAGTACCAAAACGTCGTCAAGTGTGATTATATATTTGCTACAGATGAGCAAGCACCGGCATTGGAAATGCTTGTAAAAACCAATGGCTATGGTCCAAGCCCTCTAGATGTTCTCGAGGTGATTATGGCGCTTTACAAGAACGAAGTAGTAACGCTTTAGCCCCATAACTAATTAAATTGTTATTTGTTTCAGAGTCTGACTGCAAAAATGAGCAATGACATGTTCAACTATGAACGAGTCGAGACCTTGGGAGATTCGTTCTTGAAGTTCGCGGTATCTCTATATTTATTCCAGAATTATCCTGACTCTGGAGAGGGCCCTCTGAGTCATTTGAAAGGCAAGCTCGTTGGTAACTTGAACTTATTTTACTGCGCAAGGGCAAAAAATCTGCCTGGCAGAATGAACGTCGAAGAGTTCTCACCTGAGAATAACTTTGCCGTTCCTGCCTTTGGCGTTGAAAACTCGACCAAAAGTCAGATAGTCAAAGCCGAGGTAATCAATTGCTCATTGCTTATATTCCAATTATAGTTTGGTGTGCAAGCGATACTTATAATTTGATTGCGTCGCAAGGTTTCCGCGAGCGTTCTTTACGACATTAGAATACCACAGCAGGAAAGGATAAGCGGTGAGCTATCTGATTATACCAAGAGCGCGGTAAAAGAAAAACTTCTGGCATGGGAGAGCGACACCACACTGCAGACAGGCCGAGAGCATTTCTTGGATCTACATGTGCTCTCGGATAAAACTGCCTCGGATGGTGTCGAAGCTGTTATCGGCATGTACTTACTCGTGAGTATCGGAGAAAAGCAAGCGACTTAGGGTAATGAGCTACGCAATATTCGTTTGTCTTGTATAGCATTTGGGAGTGGAAGGAGCTCTAAGTGTAGTTAAGTGGTTTGATATACTGCCGAAAACTCTGGACGCTACTGAGTATTTGCATGCCAAAGTCACGAATCCGCAACTAGCCCCGGGAAATATTAATGAGCACATGCCTTGGGCCGGCAACGTTGAGAAGAGGATTGGATACCAATTTCGCAATCGTGCATTTTTATTGCAGGTAGACCTTTAAGTAACCTTTCGGTGCAATAATTTAAAAACTCATTGCTTCATTTGACAATATTTCAGGCATTTACTCATCCATCCTTCGTTTCAAATCGAGTCACCAACTCGTATCAGAGGCTAGAATTTTTGGGAGATGCTGTTTTAGGTACGCAAGTTCACCTTTTCTTTTCTTTCTTTACAATATTAATGCCCGAATATATTGATTTTATACAGATTTTCTTCTGACTGTCCATATTTTTGAACAATGTGGCAATTTAAGTCCTGGTGAACTTACGGATTTGCGATCAGCGCTCGTCAATAACATAACGTTTGCATGCTTAGCAGTTCGTTATGCATTACACACTGCACTTTTAGCATATGCGCCAAAAATGTTCGATATTATTGATCGTTTTGTTCAATTCCAAGAAAATAGAAAGCACGAAGTGAATGACGAAGTAAGTTATTTCGACGTGAGATTTATGACCCGTTTCTTGATTGCTTTCATTTTTTTTCTGACAGTTACTTTGGGTCCTTCTGGAAGAAGACGACTGTCAAATGGCCGAGCACGTTGACGTTCCAAAAGTTTTGGGAGACATTTACGAATCCGTCATCGGAGCTGTATTCCTCGATTGTGGAAAGGATTTGCAAATTACATGGAGAATTATTTATAATTTGATGAAAAAAGAAATTGGTAAGTGATATTTTTTATTCAAGTCCCAAAAGTGTATCTAAGAAAATTGGCTTCCGTTAAATTTACAATCGATATATATTATACCTTAGATTTATTCTCAAAAAATGTACCAAAACAACCTATTCGCGTCATTTATGAAACTCAAGGTGCTAATCCAAAATTTTCGTGAGTATATTATTAAATAATTTTAACTAATCTTTACGATTCAAATGTTATATCTAATATTTCGAAATTTTAGAAAATCTCTACAAGTAGAAGGTAGCACCGCTATTATGGTAACACTGTCTATTTTTTCCAATGGCCAACAAAAATTCTTCCACGGATTTGGATCAACAAAGAAACTCGCTAAGTGTGCCGCTGCAAAGCAAGCTTTGAAATATCTACGCTACAAAAAAAATAATTAAATATATTTCCAAATAAATTATATCCAAAACCGATTTTTTCTAATTTGTTAATACTAGTTACAAACTTTTCAGATTAATATTGTCATTCATATAAAATCCATTTCAATTGTTACTTTACAAGTTCACTTCAGCATGAATGTTATATTCATAAGATTGTTAATGGAATTATATCTATTATCTTTGGCAAGATTTTTTTCCATATTTAAATGCTGTTTTAATAATAATTGAATTTTTTAATATTTTAAAATTAGAAATATTTTTAAATTTTTAAGACTAAACTATATAAAAATATTTTATTATTACATAGAATAAGATCTTATTCAATTATTTTGAATTAATGGTATCAAAATATACATTTATGTATTAAACAAAGAAGTATAGTAAAGAAACTTGAGCTTTTTTTTTTAATATAAATAATAATTGTTAATATGCATTTTATATGTTTATTTAATATGAATTATATATAACTTACCATCTTTTAGATATCTAACATGAAAAGATTACTAAGAACTTTAAGACTCAATGAGATATCTGTCAAAAGTTTCTTTAAGATACGTGAAAAATTATAATGTGAAATATAGTTATTCAAAATTTAATTAATCTAATTTTTGTCCATTAGAAAAATATAAGAAAATGTTCGACTACTCGTAATACTTTCTGTAAACGTGCAAATATATTCTGTTATCTGGTGATAATAATGCATAAAAAAGTTCAACTATTTCATTAAGCAATTCACGACTATTGCTTAAAATATCAGATGATGAGTAATTATATTTTTATGCATAAAACTTTAAATATAGTTTTTATGAATTGTTGATCTATTTACATTGTGATGCACTTTAATACAATAAAAATACCTTCAACATCACATTCCTACTTTTAGAATAATTTATACACTAAAATATAATACTATTTCCTTAACATTTGCAAAATTTTATTTTTACGCTGATTCTCCAAGGTCTCGGTCGGCATATGCACGTACGCTTGTAGCTTCCAGTGTGATTCCGCTGGAATGGTGCGTTAGGGCGTTTCCACACTGAGCTCTAAGTTGAATCGGCCTTCGGACCTTGATTAAATTCAAATTAAGTCATGCAATATTTTTTTATTATCCAAAGTCACGAAAATGACTTGTGGCACGCAAGGCGGAGTCATATGACCAGCGACGTATCAAACATTTTCGGGATACCGCGCGTACGATTTTCGTAAATTTTTTATATTATGTTATGTAATTTTGCTTTATGAACACAAATTTCTATATGGGTTTCATCATTTTTCATAATTTATTTCATTAAAATTCGGATATATCAAATTTACGATTCATTTTATTTCATCGTCGTCGGATGAGATCACGTAGCTTTGTTTTCGTATTTTATTTACATAAACAGTATATCTATAGTTACGGTTTAAAATTAGTACATTTATACATTTCTGTATACGAATATAAATTTAAAAAACAATATATGGTTAATTAATTACTTAATTTAGTATTTTAAATCGTTCTATTTGCAATCGTGATACGTGGTATGTAAATATATTAAGCTGAATTGTGATTGATTATTTGTGAAAGGTATGTAACTAATAAAAAAACTGACATGAAGATTGATATAATAATTAAGTTTTTATTTTTTTCAAAATCAACAATGAAGTGTATGTCAGTATTTGTAAAATCAATGGTACAGGAGCGAAACAGATGTAATTAGAAGCTTATTGCCACTTGAAAATTTGACGAGACTCACACAACTGTGGATGTTTGCATTGCCTGTAAATTTTACGCAAATTTAGAAGTATGGTTAGAGTAAATTACTAAGAAGAGTTTCTATTGCAATCGTTGCTTCTTGATTTAGTAGGATTGTCGTAGTTCGGGCAGGAATGATACGTATATATTAATATGTAATGATATACAGCTTTTTTATAATCTTGATTGAGCATTTGTTCATAATAATAACTTATGGTTTTATTGCTGTATCGATTTGCACATGCTTATTTTTCTTTTCCTATTTTTAGTGGAAAAAATACCATACACGTCACAATAAATTTTTGCAGATAATTATAGATAACTTTTATTACTAATAAAATTGACAAATAATAAAATTTGAAATGTGCATACTTTGTCATTAACTTTTTTTTGTTTTTACTTAGATGATGATAAAAGTCAAACCAAAAATATACCTTAATCATATTAAGAAGTTTACTACGAGAGATATGTGTTATTAGATAGGAGCATTCCGTTCTTTCCCACCAAGACACGGACGTCGAATTACAACCAACTAATCAACAATAGTTTCACTTTCATTTTTTACATCCATTTTGTTTTCAACTATTTTTTTTATATCTATTCAGTTGTAACTTAATTACCAGTTCACGGATTGCGAGTAGATAGCTGCGTAAACTACTTTTAATTTTTTGAACTCTTTCCGCTTCTTTTCTGCTGCTAATTAATCGAGTGTGCTCTTTTTCATTATTTTATCACAACCAATGCTTGTGACATATTTTATTGCTGCTCGTAGAAATTGTACCAACTATTGAAAGTATATATATATAGGTGAGTGTAAATGTGAATTGATACCTGTTTTTATATAATTCAATTTTACGTAATTATTATTAATTCGTTAATAAAAAAAAGTAACAAATAACAATATTAATCTTCCTTTAAAATAAGTAAGTTTACACTTTTGTCATGTATAGCAATTTCATTTATCTAGTAGGTCGCCACATTTAAAAAATTTAATTTATACATGATAAAAAATATAATATAAGAGCTATGAAAAAGTAGTGCTATCTCCATAAAGCTACCATATCAGGTGTGCAATAGCATGTGTGCCATTTAATTTTTAGCAAAACATTTTAAAAATTAATTTTACAATTTAGTGAATAAATATATTTATGTAAATAAATACATAGAAAATTATTTTACTTAGTATTTCATTTTTTATCATACATTGAATTTTACTAAGAATAATTAAACCTTTTAATATTTAATAATAAATTGCCATTTCAAAAAATCACAGACCTTTAATGAAATTAAAGTAGAAAAAAAGAAGTACAATTATGGTCAAAAGAAAGTTAGGAATGAAGTAAAATTAATAAAATGATGGCTTGTATACTATATATGTTGTAAATGTAATTAATAGATTAAAAAATATTGACATGTTCTATTTTTCATTAGGTTATTGATGTAAGATTCGCATCATTAGAATCAAACAATATTACTTAAGCTAAAAAGAAAATCAAGAAAAAAATTGACAAACATACGTGTTCGCTTCTGGATAGTAACTTTATTAAATAATGGTTTTAATAAATAATTGACTTTTTTTCCACACTTGTAGAGTATTTGCTCATAAATGATAATATGACTTAAATAATAGTCAATAATTGATGGTTCTTTTCTTACATAATTTTAGAGTCTATCTGTATGTTCGCTAATTTTTTTTTGATTTTTCTTTTACTTTAAGTAATATTGCTTCATTCTGATAATGCAAATCTCACATTAATAACCCAATAACTTATTGAAAAATGTAAAAATTAATATTTTGATTGAATCTATTACTTACACTTGCAATATATATAGTTTCTTTAGTATTGTCAAATTATTAAATGTAAGATTACATCTATTATACAGGAAAAATATTTTATTTGAGATTTTCTTGAAAATTGAAAAAATAACAATGATTCAGTGAAAATAACCGTGGAAAAATCGAATGCAAGTATGAATGGGAGAAGTTCTTTACACGTATTTACACATGAAAAGATTACATAAAGTTACAAATAACCTAACTCACACGTAATTCCATTTACTTTCCAATAATTACTCACTACCTATACTATAATAGCTTAATGTGAATATCAACTTAGCTGAAAAAATAAACATTATTTAAAACGTTAATTATCTGCTTTCTTCTTCTTGAGTGTGGGTTTATCAAAGATTTGTTTAACTCCTGCTGCTTGATTATTATAAAATTTCAAATTATGTGCAGTTTCACTGATCCATGGTGAATCGAACTGCGTTGTATCTTGATCTACTAAATGGGTATATTTCGTTCTTCCGCTACGCCCAAAGTTTTTGACTTGCATTACCTTAGGCAATACGGTCTTATCAAAGTGATCTTCCAACGTTGCCCCAGAAAAATCTCGCTTATAGATATGATCATCTTTGTCCAGGTAGAACGCACCGCGATGATAGTACTTTTGCAAGAATTTGTATTTTCCTTTGGCCGCTTTATTCGTCACTGTTTTGGGATTTAATCGAGCCTCTGCACGGCGTTCTTCTTCAGTCATATTTCTTAATCGTTCGATCTCAGCGCGTTCTTTCTCTCGCCTGAAATATTGAAATTCGTCAATAAAAAAAGTAAATATTAAAATATTTAACAATCAATGTAGTATAGATTGAAAAATCACGCACGTTTCTCGTTCTTCACGATCTCGTTTGTTTCTTTTCAGTTCACGCAGCTTCCATGCCTCGTATACTAACTCGTCGTTTTCGTCATCTGTAACAACGTCATTGATATGTCCCTCATTTTCATACATACTACTTCTGACTTGCTGCTCTTGCCTGACGCATTCTTCGACCAACTAGAGGAAGAATAGAAACAATCGATTAACGTTACATTACGAGCGAACGCCTTTCAAAAAATAAACGTATGATATACTTCACCTTTTTGGACGCTTTTTTCCTGTGCTCTGCCAATTTTTCAGCCTCTGCTGCCAAGAGTTTCTTCTTTTCGGCCTCTTTAGCTTTTTCCAAAACCGTTACTCTGTCGCTCTTTCTGACGAACACGGGTTTCAATCGTGGTCCTGTTTCCTCTTCTGAATCTGTATATTCCTCATACTCTGAACTTGATTCTGAACTTTCACCAGACTTTTCCTCTTCGTCATCTTCTTTTATCAATTCTTCTTCTGCTTCTTTACGCTGCAAGGCTTTCCTTCTAACTGATTCTCTCCTCCTCTCAATTTCATCTTCAGACAATTCTTCCTCATCAGATGATTCTGAACTATCCAACTTGATGCGCTCTCTAGGTGTTTCCTCGACGTCTGTAATCAATACTTCAGGTTCCTCGACTCGTCTTCGTCTTTCTCGAACTTCCTCAATATTGTCGTCTTCTTTTTCTCTTTCTCTTTCCAACCTTGTCAGTCGTCTCAGCCTAGGATCATCCTTTTCTCTTTCCTCGATATCGTCTTCAACTTCTGGGACATCCGGAGCTTGCTCCGACTCATCGTAGTCACGTCCTCTTCTTTCCAAAAAATCATCCTCTTCGGACTCCTCGTCAGAGCTGGCAGTTGGTGCATACTCTGGCCTTTTACCGGATACATAACGATGGACCTTCACTTTCTTCATCGATACTTCACCTGCAATATTCATTGGAAGAATCATTAAAGCTAAGCGGATTCAAAGCAAACATCCAGATCAGAAAAACTTACCCTTATCATTTTTTACGGGTACAGCACCTGCTGTACTTTGAATACCCGTAGGCGCCGGGGTTAAGGCGCTATTTGCCACAAAATAGTCCATCATCATGGTATCTATTCTTTCTAATGGAACTGCGTTTGAAAATTCAATTATTAATCAATTATTAATCAATTATCTGCACAATATAGAAACATAGAAGACATAACCTTATAAGACTATATATTTATTTTAGTCATCTTGTAAACTCAGTAAAGGCCACTATGAGTCAAGTATTTGAAAATTCTTATTTACCTCGAAATACCTTAAGTAAGTTGAGTAGATTTTGATTTATACATCGGCAACAAGAACAATTTTTTCCATTGTCCAAGAATTTGAGATCCACTTTAAATTTGTTATTTACTACGGTTACTTGGTTGTATGTAATACAAAATGCCCAGACTGTCTATCTACCACCAGAGTCAGCACCATTATATCCATACAGCCAGTAGCTACAGCAGAACAACTACATATATTTCTCTATAGACCGTAGATAGAAAAACAAACGTCAAATGACATAGGCAACATGCCAACATGGCGAGAAAAAGAGAAAGTAATAGCGATTGGCGACGATATATTAGGCCGCGTTATGCTCAGGTTAGTACTATTACTACCGTCAGATGGTGTTAATACGTTAAAACATCCAAGTGTATGAACTACATGGACATATTTATCTATATATCTTGGAGACTGTATAACAATAACCTTTCCAGTTTCCACTGAGAGAATATTCATATGACGTTCTTTTTCCGCGTATGGTTTTGACCTCCCTTATCCCAGCCCACAAAGTGTTATGGACAGTGAGAAAAAGAATACCATTCGAAATATCTCTGATTGAACCCTCCAAAAATAATCATTATTTTAATTGAACCCTTTTAATTGTCCCAAAAAAATTAAATACTGTGTATAGTTTTTTGGTTTTTTGCAACTGCGATATCTTTAGCAATACTTAATATTTTTGCAAAGAAACAGATAAAAAATTTGAACCCTTGCTCATTTTAATTGAACCCCTCTTACTGTTTTAAAATTATCTTCATTTTTATATCAATTTAATTAACATTGTTTACACGACCCCGACGAAGAACCAATGGATTAGCCTCGAAGCTTCAGGGGAACCATTCTGAACGCAACTTACTCGTCTTCACATTTAAAATTTGCGCCTTCTGAAACGGTTTAATATTTTTGATTTTGATGAGTATAGTGAGTACATGCATCAGGCCCCGGTCCCATAGGTTACATACGGATGCGGACGGATACGGACGCGAATCGCAACTCTAGTAACATCACTAAAAATATCTAGTTGGATTATTTAGTACCAACACTACCGGTAGTGAGCAAAAGTGACTGTTTAAAACTGTAGCGCCGAACGTACCACCTTTAAAGAACGCTTATCTAACCTTTACATTATTGCAGTCTATAAGATGGCAAATGATAGAGAATTGATAGACTTTCAATTACAATTAGTGGAATTAGGCCTTAATTTTATGGAAGTACTTGAATATATGAGAAGAAGAAGAAAATATATATAAATGATATGTATTAATCATCCCAAAAGCCTTTTCTAAATTAGCATACTCATCAATAAGCAATATTCATGAGAATTTGAAAAGTAAATTGTAGACCTGACATTTGAACATTAAATGTGGTATGTACACCCAACGTGGATTGAATCGCGACCCCCCCCCCCCCAGTTAGGTTGGTATGAGACTATGAGTGCTACTTTCAGTCCGTAACGGTGGTTTTCAGATCGGTCATAGTATAACGCTCGTTCTTAAATTATATAATTAAAACCTAAAATCAAATAATCATGCATCTAAATTCATTGTTCGGCAAACAATTAATTTTAAACCTAAAAACAAATTAGTAACGTTTTAGCTTTTTATCGTATCTTAAAACGAATTTTCATTTTTGAATTTTCCCGCGGTTTCTTCGTTCAATGCAACGACGGAATTCTCATACCAACCTAACTGGGGGGGTCGCGATTCAATCCACGTTGGGTGTACAGTTCGGCGCTTCAGTTTTAAACAACAGTTACTTTTGCTCACTACCGGTAGTATTGGTACTAAATAATCGAACTAGATATTTTTAGTGATGTTACTAGAGTTGCGATTCCCGTCCGTATCCGTCCGCATTCATACGTAGCTACATGGGACCGGGGTCTATCAGTGGACGCTGACAGGCCTTACGACGCTTGTCGGCCGCGCATCGGCGCTGCTATCAAACTTACCGACTTATCGGCGTCGTAGGGCCTGGGGGCCTATTCTGAAAAAAAATTTTGTGGTAAATCAGTTTGTCACTTCAGTTTACCACAGAATTAATCACTTTAGATGTGATAAATGCTTATGACATGTGCTAAAATTTTTTTTCAGAATAGGCCCCGTGCTAAAATTTTTTTTCAGAATAGGCCCCCTGTGAGCGTTCACGAATTATCGCTCACTGTATCGCATCTAATGATCGTTCGATGAATTTTGAAACGGATTCTTAAAGATAAAATGTCAAGGAATGCAATGAAAAAAGAATTTTTAAAATAATAATAACAGTTTTTGAGATATGAGCAATTGTTTAAAAAAAATGTTAATAACTTTTGGAAAAATTGATATTAAAGTATTGTTCGCATAATATCATTCAAGTACACCCTTTTATGGGTAATATAAAAAAATTCGTTTCGATAACTGTAATGGATGCGGAGATATACATTTTTGAAATTTTTCGTCAAAAATTTTCAATTGTTTAGAACTCTTGATATAATTATTATAATGATTTAATAATCCATACTTGAATATAGCACCATATAAGCAATATGTAGACCAAGTTTTAAGAAAATCCGAAATCTACCACTGAAAAGCTTATTGTCATAGTCTAACATAGATCTGTACACTTTTATTATTGTAAGACACACTTTCAAATTATAAGAGCTGTATTAATAGAAATAGGTTATTTTCTGAAATAACCGTCAATGTCAACTATTAATTAGAAGTAGATATTTTATGTCAGCTCTTATAATTTTGAGAGTGTGCCTTACAATAATAAAAGTGTAATATTTTGATAGGATAGAAAAACGGCGCGAGATTTTTGCTAACGATTGAACGGGTTTATTTCTCTAAAAACTTTATTAAAATTCCACGCAGATACAGTTATCGATGATTGTGATTCTGTTTTTATCATTCTTTGAGTGATCAACTTTGATAATTTATTTATCCGTGAAAATGAAATTGCGCGGAGTTATAAATAATTTGTGCTATCTTTGTTAACCATGCGCAGTTTTTCTATAATTTTTCTCGGTCGATTTTCGCTGATTTCCTGCTAAGTTCCTTTAACTATGTGGCCCTACAGTCTCCTGACTTCAAGATCTAGATACAAAATGCGAGCTTGGAGGTTATAGCTCTAACGAGCGGATCTGGTGAGTTGGCGATCTAACCCAGTAAGCCGGCTTAATTTTGACAAAGATTAGTTGACTGTTTAACTAATCTTTGTTTTTGATTATAGTGCCCATATGAGCTGTATCTCCTTGTTTATTAATCTCTGAGAGTGATATTCTAATCTATACTACTCTAATGAAAGTGCGTCGGGAAATTGCCAAAGAATATGTATACTGTGTAGCATGTCTAATGAACAGTAAGTTGAGCAGACTATATACACATGCTACAAACTTAGGCATGATGGAAGCAGCAGGCAGTGTAAACAACTGTACGTTTGCTTAATAATCATTGACAATAAGAGCATTTTTTTCTTTATTATTGAATTAAATCAAATGAGCTGTGCAGTCTGAAGAGCAATGGGAAGGAGTCGGACTCCATCACCGAACCGACGGCGTGATAGATCTAGAGAGAGGGATCGAGATCGTCGAAGAAGAAGATCAAGAGAAAGAAGACGAAGGTTAGACTACATTTATTTTTCATTTTTCATAATCGTTGTTTTTGTTCCTGATAATTCAAACTGTGGCTTATTACGCAGATCGATTGAGAGAGAAAGAGTAAAGTCGAGAGATCGTGAACGAGATATTGAGCGACATAGAGATTATGATCGTGATCGTGAAAGACATAGAAGATCTTATAGTCGATCCAGATCTCGTGAAAGAGAACGCCCCATTAATAGACCGAGAGTTAAACATGCTGAACGCCCAATTATCACAGGTTATTTTTGTATTATTTGACAAATACTTTGTGTATGCAGGTCATCTTTAATTATAATTGTTTTCTGTGATTAGAGGCTGATTTGCAAGGCAAGACTCCTGAAGAGCAGCAGATGATGAGAATGATGGGATTCTGTGGCTTTGACACAACGAAAGGAAAGAAAGTCGAAGGTAATGATGTAGGTGCAGTGCATGTGATATTGAAGAGAAAGTATCGACAGTATATGAACAGAAAAGGTGGATTCAATAGACCATTGGACTTTGTAGCATAGTATCTTGCGGCCTAATGCCTCATATGTCACTTTTATTTTATAAACTCAATTTACATGTTAATTACTATATAATTTGGTTTTTTTGCTCTGTACAATTAATGACGAGATTTAATAAATAATACTTTGATAATGTACTTACTTATGCTCACAAATTTTTGTTGATGTCATTATCAAATAGTTTTCAAAATTATTATAAACTGTAGTATCTTAACGATGTCAGATATTATTTTGTCAATTATTTAAAAAAATTGTGTCGCAGTTTTTGCTGTCATATAAATTATACATCACTAGAACACTCACTATAAAAACTGAAACTGTTATTAAACTTTTAGTAATAATAAATAATAAAATAAAAATTTTCTTAGACAATGATAATTTACTAAATGTTCAATTTTAACCATTAACTTATATGTATATATTTTTTCTATCAAATAATTTATGCAACAGATTTTGAATTGAGCGCTCCTACTGTAGAAGTCGCGTCGCGCGTCACAATACTGCCGTTTTGCTTGCATCAAAAAGTTATTCAAACACCCTGCGCAATGTACATTGCGCACAGCACACATGTGCCACCGGCTGTTGTGCGACATGCACATTACATGTACGCATTCGAAGTGAATTGGCAGAGGCGATAGCCGTTATTTGTTATTCTAATTTTTTTATTGTTATTTATGATTTATTAGTTTGTTGATACTATCAATATTTGATGATTCAATTTGTATAATGGATAAAGTATCGATTGAATTTTATAAAAATGTATCCTTGCTCACAAAATTTGTTGCACCTCACGATGATTTTAAAAAACATTTCAAAGAGGTAATCTTTGATTAATCAATTTGTTGTAAACAGTTAAAATAACAGTTATTATTCACAGGGGATGTTTGATAAACCAAATACTTCAGGATTTATACATGTGTCTTACTATTTATTGAATGTTTATTACAAGGACAAGTCCAAAGTGCAATGGCCTGTAATTTGTAAACAGACTGAAAATAAGTTTCGTAATGACGTTAGGGAAAGCTTAATGACAATTTCAAGCGAAAATGAAGATATTAATTTTCCTCCAATTTTCGCCTCTCATTTATTGTTGGCTAGAGGCACCAAGTTTTTGTTAATTATGTGGAAATTTTCTTTAGTTGTGCTTCGCACATATTTGAAAAACAGTAAGTAACACGGTTTTATTGGTAGATTCCATATATAATAATTTTATTTTATCATTATAGAATACCATTGTACCCTCATGAATAATCCAAAATCAGGTCCATGTTTAGACTTGACAAAAGATTTTTTGATAAGTATTATAAAAGATAATTATAAAGTAGTTTTTGATATTCGTGAAAAGAAAGAAAATCTACAAAAAGAAGCTATATATTTTCTTAAGTAAGAAAGATTTATTACTTGTTCACCTTCTTAATGAAATTTAAAAAAAATCAAATGACATTTTCTCAGGGAACAAAGTGAAATACAAAATCTTTTGAAAACTAAGATTCTAAACATAAGAGAGGGATTGAAACAAGTTATTAATGATGCACCAGTTAATGCAACTGGTAAGGAGAGTCTATCAAATGTAGAAGTTGATAAAATTATTAATAGTAAGATATCTTCCAATTATCTTGTGATTCATACATGAATTTTGTTATTTTTATTTATTTTATGATTTCAGTGTGGATAATATTTATCAATAATACTTTGAAACCATTGGAAATAGAAGTAAAATCACTGATAGATGATTATAAATTATTAAAATCAATAATAAGCATAGTTTCGGTTATCAAAGGTGATGTGACAGTATTAAATGCTAAAAATCTTGATCCAATCAATGTAGATCCAATGTATCAACTTGTACCACCCGAGATGCAGGTACTATCTACAATAATCTTATAATACTTACATTGTATTTTCCAGACTCTGATTTGCTATTGATGTTTAGGTTCTTCCCTATAGCTTGTACAATAGAGAAGCTTTGAATCTCAAAAACTTTTTCACACTTTATGCTTTTTTATTACAAAAGTTTAAAGCTAGTCATGAAAAAAATAACATTGATAAGTTTTCTATGTGTAAAATTCAATTGGAAACAAGTAATAAGGATTTAAAAACTGCAATTAATCAATTTCATAGTGTATTAGAAGAAATTAATAATTGTCATTTGAGCAATGTCAAAAAAGTCGATGCATTTAATGACACTTATAAAATTATTTCAAATGTTCTTGAATTTGACAAAGTGCTATTCATGTCTTCTCCATCTATACATATAAGCAGTGCTGAAGGAGGATCAAATTTCAATCATCATGATTTGCAACTTACTCCTGTTGAAGGTAAAAATGTCATTGGATTATTGATTGTTAATAATTAGATAATTGAAAGGACTTTATTTTGTTCAATACTCTAGGTGTACACAAAGAATTATTTTCAAGACACATTTCCAGTCATGAGAGTGCGTTGACTGCAAAAAAACCAATTCATGTGCAACGAATCAATTTTGATGATTCCACTACCTTTGAGTTACCCAAGTTGGATCATAGTACAACTATTGACAAACAATCTTTGTTTAGAAACAGATCATCATTAAAAAATGCAGACAAGTATTCCAAAATATTTTCAAGCAGAAGTCGAAAACATGACAACAAAGGTTGGATTTTGTCAAGTATTTATTTTTAATGTTATAAAGTTCTTTAAGAAGTATGATTACTCTTACAGCCGATAAAAGTATAATGAATATGATGCTGCCACTTCTGGCTAGGCAACAAAATATTTCTCTAGCAGATTCTTGTAATTCAAGTCAAGAAATTTCACAAAATTCTTTTTTAATGAATCCCAACTTGAGTTCTGTGCATGAGTCGTCGTTAAAAGCAGAAGAAAAGGAAACTCAAAATAGTCAGAAGCGGCGCTCGATCAGCGATTTAGTCGAGAGATACAAAAGAATTTTGCAAGAACGTGAAAGTAAATGATAAAATTTTAATTAAATAAAGTTGCATGTATTATTTAAATGTTACATATAATAGTAAATATATAATCATTAAATGTACAAAAGTTACATGTACTTTACGATTATAAAAGTTGTTCTTCAATATTGAACCAAAAAATATACCGTTTTAATAACCATTTAATATTCTAAAAGTTACACAAAAATTGACCAACAAGTTGCTTAGTCTTTCGTTGCATTAAAACGTATATTTTATTGGTTACAAAAGAAATGAAGTCTAACTTTGCATGGTATAAAAAACCTTATGAGAATACTTTCAAATTTTTCTATCAAAATATTTTTTAATTCTTTGGATAAAATGTAAAAATCAGATTATATTGAGATAGAATTATTTCTGACTTGTCTGGAAAACCTGTGTAAAATTTAATTAGTACATATATGAAGCAATCTACTCCAAAAAGGCACAAAGTGGCATTCTTAAAAATAGGTACAAAGCGTTATCTTTTTTATCTCTCAGTTACTTGTAACAAATTTATAATACCTCTGTACAAATTTAGTCGCTTATATAAAAATAACTTGTACATACATTTAAAAATATCAGTAAATGATATTTTACAACAGCGCTTGTCGTAAGTTATTATTATTTTCCAAGATCTCTGTAGTTTTGCAATGATTGTCCAAATTTATTCAAGTTATAAATGTACTCTTATTCACCGTGCCAGACTCGAATAGAACTTCGGCTAAAAAATCGACAATTATTAATAGTTAATTGCAAGTAATTTTTTACAGTAAAACAGGCTGTAAACAAACCTCATCGTGATTCTCCTCTTTGTTAACGGTATTATCATCATCGCCAGAGCTATCACCACCTGAGCTATCTGCAGAATTGCGCTGATCTTTATTGTCTTCCATTAATGGTCTTGTTGCTTTTACTTTACTCGCAGCATCAAAACATTGCAAACAAACTCTCACTGCTTTGCCATTACCTTGACCAGGTAAAATCATTTTTTTATTGCTACATGGGCCACAAACTACTGCTCCACATTGTCTACAGTGATGCTGAAAACAACATTTTCATGAAGAGCTTTTACAGAAATAACACTGATGACAGTATTTACCCTTCTGTTTAAAACTGTGAACTGTGTTTTATTACAGTGCATACAAATAGTTGCCTCATTATCTGGGACCCATACAGCTGCATGAATTTCAACAGGCTTTTTACCACCTGAAAATTGCAAATAACAAAAATAATATCTGTTATCAACTAGTGAGTTGGCATGTGAATTTTCAGCTTACTTTTTCTTAACAAATCTTCAATACATTTTGTTATATGAGCCATCCATTCTTGTTTCTCTGTAGCAGTAGCAGCATATACTGCGAATGATTTTGTTACTGTTTTTATCAACCAGCCATTCTTGTTCTCTGAAACATATAGCACCAAAATATAATTATTATTGTAGATCATGTAAACATTGAAGAATATTACTACTTACGGCCATCATCAGCCAAAGATTCAAGTTTAACTTGCTCTAGTGGAATTATGTGTTGTTTATTGTACTGTAACAAAGGAACAATATTATTTTCATATACTTACAAGGTTCCAGCTAGTGAATAATTCACAATCATACTTTTTTCTTGTTCATCACTATGTTACCATACACTAAAATATCATTAAATAGGAAAAATTGACGAGCTTTTGGCTTTTTCCTGCACATTTTTGTCAAAACACCCTCGCCTACCAACACTCTTCCAGAAACGGCTAGAGGCTAAAATCAAATATGAAAAGTAATTTTTAATAGGAATATCATGATATAATGTTAATTGAATAGGTCAGCAAGTGAGAATTAAGGAAGCTATGTGAGCAGTGCATTATTGAATAACTATGTTCAAAGATACTTTCTTCTTGTTCAAACATAAATGATGATGCTAGTACCTGACCAGAACTACCAAAGCAATTCTCCACCATTGCAATTCTTCTGGCATTCGCTTCGCTGTTGACTGCAACAAATAATACAACGGAAATTAGCAACAATGTATTATAACTATGAAAGAGAGAAAATTTTGTGTGGGTAATTCGATAATTTGGATATAGTGAGTAGCTGTCAAAAATTGATCTATTGACGAGCAGCCAGTTGGGAGCTTCCTCCGCTCTCAATCGGCTTTAAACATGATACGACATTGAAACAAGTCAGGCTAAAAGTATAGAATACTGCTTTATTTGGTGAAAAATTTTATTAGAAAACGGTTAAATAAATAAAGGAAAAGCAAAAATATAATAAAACTAACCAAGTCGGTCAACCATGATTGTGTATATTGTGTATGAATCAACAGTGCTGACAACAGCAGGAAGCAATCACATGAATCACTCGCGGACGCCCGACGTTTTAGGAGCGGGACAGGCACGATCTGCACGATACGACTAGTACAGTTATATGTCGTGCCTGCTCCAGAGCCGCGATGAGCAGAAGTCGAAATCGACACGAAATCAAGCAAGTGAAGCAAGTCGCAAGTCAAATCTAACGAAACGTGAAGCCAACCGCGCACGCTGCGTGAAGATCGATAGCAATAGCAATCATATGACCCGATTTGCAGATCCATAGTAGCTACTGTCGTGGGCGTACTCGCTCTTCATCGTGGTAAATCCGAATTCTCGACTACAACAATCCGGAGGATTTTGATACTCCGTATATTTACTTAATCTAAACCGTTAAAAAACAATTCAGGAATCAACAATGAAGGTTTGCGGTCCAAAATACGCATTATGCGGTCTTGTCATCTCTGCTTGGGGCATCGTACAGCTTGTAATTTTTTTCAGTCTTTATTAGCAATCAATAATTATTTTAAAGTTTTAAATTATTATGACAGTCGATAAATTTTGATAGTTTAATATAATTATTATTTGTTTAGTTTCTCATGGGAATTTTCTTCTATGTGAAAAGCGTAGCATTAATTGAGGACTTGCCTTTCGAGACAGAAATTTTTCAGAATCCAGAAGACTTCTATAGTAAGGCAGATGGAGGCTTTTATGGGAATGCATACAACTGTTGGATAGCAGCTTGTATTTATGTGTTGACATTCTTGTTCTCTGGTCATCAGTTTTATCTCAACTCAAGATCTTCACTTAGCGTTTAACTGACCAACAGTGTATCAAGTTGTTATTGTTTTTTCTATGGAAAAGAATGTAGCTCCATAAATTCATATGATTTTTCCACTCAAGTCAATCAGTATTCTTCATCGTTAAGACTGGAGGAGGATTGATTTCTTGTACAAATTTCTTCATTGTACCGAAATTCTGTTATAATTTAATGTAAATAAATATCTTCAAATAATTTAGAACATTCAAATGTAATAAGCATACCAAATGAAACTATCAATGGCATTTTTAATATTACATTATTATATTATTTAACTTTGCATAATGTCATTCTTTCACTTATGTTCACATTCTATTAATTACTTGTAGATTTTCAAAAATTATACTGTCTGAATATAATGTACAAATGGTTGTAATAAAATATTCATTTTTGCGGTTGTAACATTAACAATGTGTCATTCAATTTTGGTATAAAATTATTAGTCATAGTCATGTGCTGATGAGCTACTGGGATAACATAAACAGTAAATATATGTGAGTAGAGAGAGAGAATGGGAGAGAGTGTGTGTGTGTAAATATAAATAGATAGATAAGATGCTATTGTGCCGTTTGTTACAACCATTTAGTATTTACATCACTATTTAACATTATAAATACATCGACTTATTTTGATAATGTCATTGCTTTAATACAATTTATATTTATTTATTATACATAGAAAAATAGGTTGATATATTTAGTAGTTTAATTAAGCTATTAGAGGTTAGTTATAATTGTGCTGTCTATTGATTAGTCATTTGTTCTTTTAACTGGATTAATTAATTAATATTGAATTTAGATTATCTTTAATATATGCAGGTGTATATACATAACTAAAAATCTTGAAAAATGAATACTGTGCAGTCAATTGAAGATGAGTTACAACAAAGACCAGTATTACAATTCAAACAGAAATTAGCATATGGAATAGGGCATATTTTGAATGATGTTTGTGCCTCAATGTGGTTTACTTATTTACTTGTTTATTATGAAAAAATTCTTTTGTTCAGTGCTACCAATGCCGGCCTAGTTTTACTAATAGGACAGGTGGCTGATGCACTTGCTACTCCATTTGTTGGCTTACATTCAGACATAGAAGATAACTTTTGGCTGTGCCAATATGGAAAAAGGAAAACTTGGCATCTAATTGGTAATGAGCTTGAAACAGAATTTAAAAATTGTATAATATTTTTATTAAGTTTCATCAATGTTTGTAGGAACTGTTTGCGTTCTTGGCACATTTCCATTTATGTTTTCTCAGTGTCTTGGTTGTCAGATGTCTCATCAGTGGGCACAACTTGTATATTATACAGTGTTTGTTTGTATATTCCAATTTGGTTGGGCAGCAGTACAAATATCCCACCTGTCACTTATTCCGGAACTTACAGCATTAGAAAAAGAAAGAACAGCACTTATAGCTATAAGGTAAGTATAAAGACTAATCTATCCTAGGATGGGGGTTGTTTAACATTACATTTTCTTAACAGGTATACTTTTACTGTATTTTCAAATGTGCTTGTCTATTCGGTAACATGGGCTGTGCTGCACATTACAAGTAAAGAATCAACAAAACAAATAAATCCTGAAGATGCATCGAAATTTCAAATGATTGTACTCATTGGGATGTCTGTAGGTCTGTTGACGACCATCCTATTTCACATGTTTATAAAGGAATATAGCAGAAGCAGCAGATTATCTACAAGTAATTTAGACTATTATAACATTGAATGTTGTACGACTGCTCATTGGCTTGATGAAATTGATATTTCCAGCTGGTGCTTCACGGGAACAGTCACAGAGACAACCATCGAGCCCTGTTTCGATATTGAAAAACCGGGAATTGTACAGACTAGCATTAATTTACATGCCAAGTCGATTGTTTGTAAATTTGGTCCAATCTTACGTACCGTTCTATTTGCAAGATACGTTGCACATGGCGGCTACATCGCTAGCGGTTATACCGTTGATAATGTATTTGAGTAGTTTCAAAGTATCGTTTACAATCCACTGCATCAATGCAAAAGTAGGAAGGCTGGTATCCTATACGATTGGAGCTTCGATGGGGCTCGGTGCTTGCGGATGGATATACTTTGGAAATGTGGATAGAATAGAGAGCCTTTTTATTTATCCAGTCTCCATGCTGCTGGGTATGGAAGAAGTTTGCACAGCGTGCCATGAGCATATTATATTTGATGGTAATTTATTGGCACAGGTGGTGGAGGCTCGATGATGCTCGTGACCAGTCTTGCAATAATAGCAGATTATATAGGCCAGAATACAGAGAATGGGGCCTTTATTTATGGTCTAATGAGCTTTACGGACAAACTTTCTAACGGCATAGCAGTTTTACTGATTCAATACATGTACGAGTTGGACATCGAATGAACAGGTAATAACTGATCCATTCTCATTCCAATAAAATTGTAGGCGCTGCACGAATGCACGCAGTTGCGAATACTATTACAAGGACATCCTGGTATTCGTGTGTGGCGGATCTGCTATGGTTGGCCTAATGGTAACGTTTGGCAGCCGGGCGTGCCACCGAAGCCGTGTAACGTCGGTGATTGATTACGACCATTTAGACTCGGAAGAGGCTGGTCGATAGTCGACTTAAATGCACGCATAGCATATTGTCGCAACCAAAAGCACGATTTCGTATCGCATGCTTCTATCTTAAGTATTTTCGGACCAGGTTGAATATACGCACACATACAGGCCCTTCGGCTGATGAGCTCCCAAGTAGAATCGAACATATTATACTCGAATTGTTAATATGCAGCCTAAGAGTCGACTCAATCTTTGTTTCTACAACAGTATTGAAAGCGTGATCTTTGGATAAGACGGAGCCTCGAGTAAGAAAGTTTAAATCTTAAGGAGAGCTCAAATAAAAAGAACGAAGTGCAAATCGGTTGGCATTTATTTGCGCGGCGTAAAGCGAAAAAGGAAATGAAACGGTCGGTCGATGAAGCGAGCTATGGGCCAGCGTGGTCGCGTGCCGTGACAGTCTGTGCCGGCCGGTGGCGGTTGGCAGCGAAGCAAGGCGAGGCGAAATGAGCCGAGTCAAGCTGGCAACATCGATGCTTGCCAGTTGCACCGGAGGCCGCTCGCGCCGCAGAACTGCTCCGCAGATGAAGACTCAATACGGCAGCCGCTGTCCACGGGGGCTCCCAAAGAGCCTCGGACGGGCCGGCCGAGTGGCACGCGTGCCCGCACACCGATCGCCAGACGCCGATTCGACCGTCCGTAGTGGCGAGACGCACCCGCCGGCGAACCACACGGAACTCGCCTACAGGAAGGCCGTGGCGAAGCTGAAGCAGCTGCTGGCCGAGTCGTGCACGCCGCCGAGCGGCGCGGCCGACGATCGCGAGCAAGCCCCGCGGGCCGTGCTGCGCTCGCTCGTCGCGCGCCACGGGGATCACGTCGAGCAGTTGGAGCAGGAGTCGCGCTACTGCCGGTACGAGCTGTGCGGCCTGGTGCAGCAGATGCGCAAGGCGGCGGCGGAGAACGAAGCGCTGCAGCGCAGCGGCGCGCCGGCGCCGCGCGCGAGCCAGCTCGAGTTGGAGCGGCTGCACGAGGAGCTGGGCCGCCGGCGGGACGAGCACCGCCACGCCGAGCGCCGCTTCGACCAGCAGCTCAAGCGGCTCGGCGAGGAGCTGCGCCGGCAGACAGGTAGGTGTGGCGTCGGGCGCGCGGCCCACGGCCGCCGTTCACGGCCGACTGCTGCTTGCGCAGGCCAGCTCCGGGAGCAGCTGAGCCTCACGGCGGCACAGGCAGAGGCGGCGCGCGAGCAGCTGGCCGGCCTGCGGCTCGCTGGCGAGGAGGACGAGCGCCGAGCCCGCCGACTACAGGCGGAGCTGGACTCGAGTCGGGCGCGTCTGCAGCGAGCCGAGGCCGCGGTGCTGCAGGCCCGGTGCGAGCAGGCGCGGCTGGGCGAGCGCGCGGCGACGCTGGAGAAGCGGCTCAGTGTCCAGGAGATTGTGCAGCAGACGCGAGTCGGCGCTACGCGGCCCAGCGACATAGATAAGAAGTCGACGTCGCTGATCTGCAACCTCGAGAGCAAGCCGGCCACCTCAGGTGAGAATTGCGCCCCGTGCGAGCCAAGTGGACGGGTCACGATGCGGGCGCTGTGCGCGGACAGGGGCTACCGTGCTTGTGGACCACTTCTCTTGCTGTCTTAATTCTCTTCCAGCTCATTAGCAAGTGCGGGCTTTTCCTATAAATATTCTCTTTTTTTCTCTTGCCCTTGATCTTGCGCACCGAATTTGAGCAAGTTTCGTGGATCTGTCGTGAAATGTTGCCAGTCAATGCGCACGTAGTGCTATTGCTTGTTCATATATACTGTTGTATATTAGCAGGGGAGGTCATCGACGAGCAACATGATAACGAATTGGCGAATGACAGCGCCGTGCTGGTTTCGTCCAAGAAACGCCGTGTCAAGGTTGATCTGAAAGTTAAAGTTATACCCAAAAGGAAGTCCACTCAATCGGAACCTCCCTTCAAGGTGCCTATTCCGTAGTGAATTTCCTATGTGCACTAATGATATGCGATGCACGTTCGATACGTCCTTGTGTCAATTATTGCATTTACACTTCAAGATTTTATAACGTATAGTTGCACGCTTGGCCAATCTACAAATCTTTCGATCGTTTACGACGACGATACTTTTACTTTTAGGCAAAGAATGCCCAGTCTACGGAGTAAAATAGAGCGATGCTTTTCGAGGAGTGAGTTTGGAGCATTCGCTGAGGACGCTTATGGTATGCGATGGTCGACTGTTGAATGCACGTCAAGTGCAGAACGTATGAACGTGACTGCTTCGTTTCTAGAGCTTATCAGAATAAGGGTACCGCAAGATCGTTGCCCATTTGCAGAATCCAATATTTCTTTAGTCTAAGCAACAATGCAGTTCGATCAGAATTGGCCGTAGGCGCAGCGTTGCTCTCAAAACTCTACGTACTGCGATCACTATAGTTTCGTTGATGACCAATTGGCAGCAGCGACACACGAACAATTAGCTGTTTCAATATTCATCATTACACAACTTTTCCTACAATTTTATATTATTTTCTTTCTCTTTCCATTCCATCAAATTCAATATTTGTTCACTATTATGTTATTAATCAGTATAATAAATTATGACGAGGTCATATATTTTACTCTACTCTTTTTATTTTATTTATTGCGTCTATTCTTTGGTAAGTAAAAAAAACCAAGTATGTAGAGCAATAGTTTGGAGTCAGAATTTTAAAGCTTAAGCTTTGCTGCCATTCGCAAATTTTTCATTCGCAATCTGTATACGTCAACAGCGCCATCGTTTGAACAAAATTGTTTGTCTCGGGACTCAGAAGTGAGAAATGGAATTCTATAACTCTCGCTACGCGTAAGGTGCGTGCAGGAGTACGCTGTACAGCACCCCGGTATGATGCGCGTACTAGTCGAATTCGAAAATACCGCCTCGGAAGTAAATTTCGGTAAATCCGAAATTTTGAATGCGAAGAGGAGTGAGTAAGTTGCGTTCACAAAGGTTCGACTGGAGTTTCGAAACTCATTCATTTCTTCGTTGAGCTCGTATAAACAATATTAATATAAATATAAATTGCTATAAAAATTAAAATGACTACTGTTCGATGACAAAAAAGAAGGAAACAACGATAGAACAATACTTTATTAATAAGCTTTGTAATAACATTGTTTACATTTGTTGATTATATCTTATATCACCTATTCATATTTGGTAACAAGAATATCTTTAAACTAATTTGTCTCGATTAACGCATTACAACAATATAATTAGCAAATGTTTTGCTGAAAACTATAACTGCAAATTTTATGTGACATTCATTCCACACTTCAGTCAAATTATTACACGACAAACGAACTCGACAGTCTTAACATTTGCCGATATCACATTTCATTAATTGTATCATATATTATTCGAATATTTAAAATGCTAAGATTACAATTTTTATTACTATATTGGATTTGAGATAGTACATTTTTTTATAATCTTAATATTGTTATAATGCGTTGGTCGAGGCAAATTAGTTTAAAGACATTCTTATTGCCAAATATGAGTAGGCGAAGTAAGATACAATGTTATTTTAAAGTTTTTTAATAAAGTATTTTTTTACCGCACTCATTGTTTCCTTGTTTTTTGTCAATGTGCAATAGTCATCTTAATTTTTATATCAATTTAATTAATATCATTTACACGAGCCCGACGAAGAAACGATGGATGAGTCTCGAAGCTCCAGTCGCACCGCTGTGGACGCAACTTATTCGTCTTCGCATTCAAAACTTATGCTTTCCGAAACAGTATTTTCGAATTTGACTAGTATACGCATCGTACCAGCAAAAGTTATAGAATTTCGCTCCAGCGCTGGTGTTTCCTCGACTTGGATACGTCATCTTTACAATTCTGTGATCATAAGACACTTCAGAAACCAATATGAACCAATACCAATAACGCCGAACTAGATATTACGTGTAGGCATACTACTCGTATTGGTTACTGAACTCTCCTATGCAAAATAGCAAATTTGGACGAGGCAGCCCTGGGTACATGTGGATAGTCCCTTACGCAAACTACAAAGTAAACTCGATCAAATGAATCAAAGTTACTATATATACCTACCACGGATACTGTATATAGTTTCTATGATACTTTCTAAACTTCATACATTAAACATATACAATTCCGTCATAGTGACCATATACAGACCATCTCCCAATGACTACTCCCCTTTCCCTGTTACTCTATGAAAATACCTAGCTGAATCATTCTCTCAATTCAACTTGGTCTTCGTAGGCGGTGACTTCAACTCCCATAACATTGTTTAGGGCAGTTCTAATACAGACGAAACAGGTGACGAACTATTAACCCACTTCACGGACAATGACCGTCTATTTCTTATCGGTGGTACGACTGTATACATATATAAACAAAAGAAACCTGACATATCTAGATTTATCTTTTACATATCTCATCACCTACATATTCTTTGTAAGTAAGTCGTTGAAGAAGACAATATGGACAGTGACCACTATCTCTTATCAATGAATATTGGAATTCTCCACTCCTCTCGAAAGGCCTTACTCAACATAAGATACAATCTTTGGAGATTAAAATCTTTCAACGATTGGTTATCTTCTGTAATTACCTTGGAAGTCACGATGCCACTGACCAAGATCACTATTTTCGCATCATGTCAACCATTGCAGCTGAAAAACATGCCAAGATGACATTTAAATAAACTAAAGCCTTTTAGGATTCTGTGACACAATCAGTCTCTTCACTCCGCTTGCAACGATTTAAAAAACCATTAAAATATTCCGACACAGATCATTAGATACACAATGTGCCAAAAACAATTCCAAAAACATTTCAGTGTAAGAAAAAAATGATTGACTCCATATGCCTACCCTTTGGCACCCCGCAAAACTTCCCCTGTATTTTCACTTACTCAGAACAAATATCACAACCTGCAAGACAGTCTCGCACAAGAACTATTCAATGCTTTTTTTGGAGAAAGTGAGAACAGGAGTCGTTGAATTAGCTATAAGTAGTGAATGAGAGACTTTATTTTAAGTATAAAGGCACAAAAATTGATGAGGGGATTGATGAAAAAATGGTTTTAACGCAGCTCACTCGGTGGCTCGAACACAATTTAAAACTACCACTATTATAATAAGGATTATCAGGAAATTAAGATTTTATACCGACAATCTCCTCCCCATGCTCACTGCTAAGATATTTACATAAACTTCTCCAAAGGGCTACCACAATTGCCTACCTTGTCGTTAAAAGCACATTCGATGACGTCGTCGCGACTACACTCTAATTGTAAGAGACCTAGGCCTCCCCAAACTTCTCTGCAAATTCTATAACAATCTAATATTTGAAAGAAAAATATATTTTAATATCAACTAGGTCTATTACTAAATAGACATACAAAACTAACTAAATATTAGGTCTGTTCATCAGAAGAAAGGGCTCCCCAACACTTTACAGTATAAAGCCTTACACTTTACAGTATTAACGTCAAATAACTATCCTACATACTCAGATTGCGAAACTCTCAGTTCGTCGACGATATTGCATTGATTATCGTATCAAACGACTCTGCAGTCGCTTGAAAATTTTCTGGAACGTAATATTTCTAAGAGATAAACACCTGCCTGAAAAAAGTTGAACTATATTATTCCCTTTTGAAAAAACTAAAACAACACTAACCATCCTAGATAGCACATAAGCCAAGTTTTTTGGCTTAACTATATAGATACAAAATGATTTTGTCCGGCGCACTCCGAACATCTAATTGCGAAAAATACACCCAGCATTAATATCTAAAGATCCATCTATACAATCTGGTGGAGAAATCATTTCAAAACTCTCCTCATTTACAACGCAATTATTGCCATAGTGATCGACTATCCTCCTCAATACCAAACCACTTTTTGAAAAGTTCAACATTGTACAAAGTTTCTTGGATTAATAAAATCAATACTTAATAGGGCTGTCTACACAGAATCTTGTATATATCCCATTCAAATTTATCAGAAAAAACTGGCCTCCAACTACATTTTTCGCTCTCTTGCAATCACCTCGCCATCGAAGCCATTTCCACAAGACTCATCACTGTCTATGCAACCACTCTCTTTTAATAGCATATTCCAACTTGAAATCATTAAAAACGAAAATGTACTCATTTCTCTGTACTACCTTTCCTTATTGGAACTCAACAAATTACCATAACAACAATTCTAGACAAAGGGGCTTAAATAAAATTTATTCATCGCACAACTTTTCTTCTCCAATGGCTTTAAACAAGCTCCTGGTCTGTACATAAGCTTGATTATATATAGCCTATTTAAAATAAAAAATGTTGACCTAGAAATGAAACAACAATCAAGAAATTATTTTAGCTAGGATTCTTAGCCATGTAAACAGGAAATTAAACTATTGACAATCTTGTAAAAGTAGTATTAGGCATTGGGACATGATCGGATCAGTTCCTTGCCTACATAGTCTTTCATCAATTAATCAGTGACACCTGCACAAGTAAATTCCATAATTTTCCTCGTAAATGCTGACAAAAATACAGCAGTACTTTGACTACGAAAATTTTTCAAAACCTTAGTTTTACAAATTGCTACTCTTAAGAATAGAAACAGCTACAAATACAAGGACTAAAAGCCACCACTACAATCTTGCTTATAATCTTCACAGAAAGAACTTTATCAACTCAGATCTCTGCATATGCAGCCAAGGCACAGGAAGACCTTAACCAAGTTTTTTGATCTTGCAGCTGTTTTGACACCTACTGCACCCTTATCAGCAACCTTGCAAAACTGAAACTCTACTCTCCTTAGACTATTACACAAACTTAAGAATAACCTTAACAATTAACTTTCCTTTCCAAATTTAAAAAAAAAGCAATGTTACTGTATGATTCCATTTAAAATTTCTTACTTCATATCTTACAATATCAATCTATTATTCTATGTACAAAAGCAAAAATCATACTCTGCAACATACTCACTACCTGTACATACCTACCTAACTAATACACTTTTCTACCTTCTCTTTTACTTTCTTTTAAATTCCCCACCAAGTCAGAAAACATGCGTTGACGGCTGTTTTCGCTGTCCTGTCAACTGTCACTGCCTATTGCTGTGCTGTGAGCATGTGGAAATAGCAGCGCTGGCAATCGACGGCGTCGATTTTAATATTGGTTCTAACACGGCTTTTTAATTTTCAAAAAAGTCGTTTTGCCCTTTTCCAGCTTTTTGAGGGCGCCACCATACTTGCTCACAGCAAATATAAAAAAGAAGAGGTTCAAGCTGTACTGGTGACTGCTGACAAAAAACAGAACAAAACAGAATAGTGAAGAGTAAAAGCGAAACTCTGTCGTTCTATATTCTCTGCTTGTTGATCTTGTTTTAAATAATTCGTGTGAATCTGACGATGGCTAATCAGCGTAAAGTAAGTAACATCTAAAAGTACTTGATGTAAAAAATAGAATGTCGCGAGCTGTGAATAACCTTGCATTGTCGTACTTGGAAATACCTATAAAAACATTTGTAAGAGAAACGTGTCAAATCGTCAGTTGCACGCAACCGAAAAATTCTAACCTTCAATCAGTTCAATTTGAAAATATTAAAGCACACGAAGCTTACAATGAAATAATATCACAAGAGAGTCAAACAAAACCATTGTTACAAAGAAGTACTTTTCAGTTAACAAATAAAAAAAAAAATTCCAAAATAACAAGTGCAAGTAAAGCTACAAACGATTTAAATACTTTGTTCAAAGCTGTAGAGTTGGGTGACAAAGATTTTGTTTACCAAAGTTTCGACGGGCAAAATGTTAATATATCTGATCAATTTGGTTGGACTCCATTGATGTCGGCTGCTTGTTCTGGTCACATAGTAATAGTTGATTTTTTACTGAAATTGGGAGCAGATGTAAAAATTAGAGATAAATCAGGTTTGTCTGCAATAGATGTAGCAGTAAGAAAACATCATATTGAAATTGTAAATTTACTTAAATTACACTTGCAAGCATCCAAAAGTAATAATTCAGATAAAATTGATCAAGTTGTTGATGAAATTAAAAAAGTATCAGAAGATTTTGAGAGATTTTATTGTAAAATATGTAACACGAATTTTGTCTCAAGTTCGAGAAGACAGCATGACAGTTCAATTGTCCATATATTCAACTGTAAACCTAAAGTAGCAAACATCTTTTATGGAATCCCTGTACAAAATAGAGGTTATCAAATGCTTTTAAATAAGGGATGGAATGAACAAGATGGTTTGGGTCCAACTGGTGAAGGTCAAAAATATCCAGTTAAAACAGTTTTGAAAAGAGATAGAAAAGGTTTTTCAGAATCACACAGAAAATTTGCTAGAGTTACTCACTTTGACTCAAATGATGTTATTGCTATAAAATCTGTTTGTAAGAAGAGAAAAACAAGGTTAACAAAACAAAATAAGAAAAAAGAACTGAGAAAAGAAGTTGTTAAAACTAGAGCTTGGAGACAATTAATGTGATGATAAAAGAAGAAGTGATTAAGTAAAGTGTATTTGATAACATTTCTTTGATAGTTCAATTTATAAGATTTCAGTGATTTCAGGTACCAGATGAACAGAAGGAAATGCTAGATTACTTACAAAAAATTGAAGAAAAAGGTGTTGAGATAGTCACTGACAGACATGAAGTAATTGCTCTTGATAAAAGAAGAAACGATGACAGAGTTGGCATGAGAGCTTTACAAAAACAAGTTGCTGATAAAACTTGGATTACCATTGGACCAATACTTTTGAAAATGAGCAAAAGAAAGGCAGAAGATTTGCTTAAAAAGGGTATAAAGTTGATACTATATTTTAAATTTAAGTAATTTAATAAGTATGTTTTAATAAAATGATCACTGTTTTTAGATCAGAATCAATGTGATATTGAAATCAATAAAATAAGGAGCAATTTGAAAGTTAAGGTTAACAACTTGAGAGATTTGGAGCATAATCCTCCTGTACCAGGGCTCATGTTGAAACCAATGTCTTCATCAGAAATGGCAGCAATGAATCAAATTTTAGGAAAAAGTCTGTAATTATAAGGATGAATAATTTAATTTCATAAAATTTTTATTAAGAAAATAAGTATGATAGCAATATAATTAGGAAATTTATTTCAATTAGCTTTTCTTATTTTCTCTACCTCCTCTTTATACCAATTACTAAGAAACGAAAAATTCGATAAAGCAGGTAATATTTGCATTTCAATATTTCTGTTGAGTTTGAATTCAAATTTGTAAATGCACTTACTGCAGTCTTCAGTAACAACATTTTTTAAATGATTCAAAAACCTGTTGCAAAAGTTCATGCTCTCTGATGCACTCCATAAATTCTACAAACGTAATTAGCAATATTAAATTTAAATTGAAAGTGAATAAAGAAAGAGTTGATTTAGTAGTACCTTTGCTATTTTTGGCATGTCAGAAACATTTATAGTGTCTATCTCAAAGACTAGTCCGCTATTTGTCCTTGTACCGCATACAATTTGCTCAATACCAACTAAGAAGTTTTGACACCACCATTTCAAAAGTTTTTTCTTATAAAATTGCCTTTGCCATTTAGTTTTAATCATCATATTTGTTTTTAGTTCAACAAACTTGACATGTTTCCAGTCTACTGGTTCCTCAATAATGTCTGTGGAGATAGCACCATCCATTTCTGCCCCGTACAGTAACATATTTTGCCCCAACTTAGTTTTCATCACACAATTGAATTCCTCACTCTCGTTGACAGGTTGGCTAGTACAAGGTGCTGTATTAGGAGAATCTAGAGAATAAAATCTTTTGAAATATTAATAAAAGGAAATAAATAGATCACTTGTTGAGCAAGACTTGGATCGACGTTACCTGAAAGTAGAAATTGTTCAAATTTAAAGCCCCAAGACATGAATTTTAGATCTCTACTTGTCAATTTGCTATTCTTTATTTTCTGCTGTTCAGTTTCAAAGGCACATAAGTAAATATTTCCATGAAATTTGGCAGCACATATGATCCAGCCATCGCGCTCCTCAAAAGGTGTAGAGCAGATTTTAGTCAATAAGCCTCGATAACATATAAATTCTGGTCTTAGCCTGTAAATAAATGATACGATAATGATAACGAAAATTATTTAGGTATTCGTAAGAGTATACCATCGCTGCTCTTCAGGCTCGGCTAAAATTTTGGCGTAATTATTAATGATCCACCTACAGATGTGATCAATCCTCTCATCTTTATCATTGAGCTTTCTTATAACACAGTCAATGCCCTCGTTGAGATTGAACTGTACTTTCTTTTTCTTCTTGCGTTCATTGTAATATTTAAGCTGCGATAAATCCTCGGAGTATAGCCTTTCCTGCTCATTTAAGCTGTAATAACCTAAAATCTCAGGTCTATTGAAGGACGGGAAACTTTGATTCGTGTTAAACGTGGTAATGTAAAAGCTCATTATTATTGTTATAAAACAATGTTCAATATTGAAAATTTTGAAAAAATTATTCGAGAAAGATAATTTAAAGTTGAGATTATCATTTTTATCTTTTCCACCAAACAAAAAATTCGTTATACGCACTTATTATTATACATGCATCGTGATTAGCGTATAATACTTCAGTTACTGTCATAAATTATAGCCCGAGGCCGGTAATGTAGGTATACGTTTAACCTATACAAATATGCATCATTAAACACAAAATCGATCAGCTGGTCGTATCTAAGATCTGTCAATTTACAATTATTGATAAAATGTAAATATTTCTCAGAGACGATCATGGGCGATTTACTAGGTGCTCAATTCTAAGCACTCGTGTCTATAGACTTCATTTTATATAATCCTGCTGAAATCTTCCCATTCTATTCTACCCCCACCTTTTTTCAAAAAGAAAACTGACATGTGAGTTGGCTGCTACTAATATTTGAAGCCTAGAGACTATTTTGAAATTAATTTTATAGTTCCAATTAAGGAAGTGATAACTATAATTTAACAATTTTTATTATAATTATGAAGCGGCAATTTTGGTATATGTTGTTCGATGAATTTCAAAATTGCCGCTTTGTAATTATAATAAAAATTGTTAAGTTACAATTTTTACCTGCTTGCAACTAGAAAATTGATTTCAAAATAGTCTCTAGGCCCTATGTATTAGCGGCAGTTTACTCACATGTAAGTTTGCTTACATACGCATCCATGTTGTTACAGATTAGTATTTCTAACTAACGTGATCACAGTTCTGGCAATCAAATTATGAATAAACTGATTTCACTTTCAGACCTATCTCTGTTTTAAAAACTTTTATAAAGGGATATAAAAGGATTTTCAACTACTAAATTAATTTTAAAATAGTCTCCAGACTTTAGGTATAAACGACAGCGTACACGCTTGCTTACAAGTTTGCTTACACAAAGCATACATGTTGTTACAAATAGTAACCCAACCCACGTGCCCATATAGTTAATCATGAATAAACGGGCTTCAGTTTCGCACCCATTTTTCAATTAAAAGAAACTAGTCATTTTGATTTACATATTTAATGCAACTCAATTTTTTCAAATTTTTGAAAACAAATACCACAGCGAAAAATATGTATTTATAAAATAGTTCTGCATATTCGTGATCTATTATATTGAAAACTGTCACAAATAATCTTTGATTCTTTTCAACTATACGGGTCAAATAACTATGAAAAGTTTATTCTACTCTTTCAATAAAGATTGCGAAATTACAACATTTGTTTCAATCTTACACATTCAAATATCAGATTATTGATTTGTAATAGAAAATAATCAGAATAATTACAAAGTAGAACTTAGATTTTGTTTCTATCAAACAATTTACTCGATGCTAGTTTCATAAAATGAGCGTTGAAACAATATCACTGTAGCTTATTTTTCTTTGCTTTAATTGTCTTGAAAATGACCCGTATCAATTATGATAAATAGAATTTTGACTGCTAACATCTTATCTCGAAATCATACATACACGCTTATTTGCCGCCACGTAGCAGTATGTCACGTGATCACATCTCAGCCAATCAGATCACAAATAAAATGTTTCAACATGGAATCCATCAGTTTTTTACTGAAGGAAAAGGGGAACAAGGGGACAAGGGGAATAAATAAGGGAGAAAAAATAAGGAATGGAAAGGAAAAGGATTGGCGGATTAGCTTAGTTTGCCGTGATGCGCGCGCAATGCGCATACTCGACTGTAAAGTGTAAATCACATCACGCTGCATGCATGATGTATGTACGTACTCATACATACTTGTACATGTGTGTGTCCAACGATGAAATTTTGAAATGATTGATTATCCGTGACTGCAATCGAACAATGTTATTTAAGATTATTTCGATACTAGATATATTCTACGGGCAATAAAGACACAAAGCACAGCTAATAAGTTTATTAAAACTTGAACGTTGCGCGAATATCCAACGACTTCTTCATTGTTGTTTCTCTGCGTAAAAATATGAGCTAAAATGACGTTGAGTCTTTATATTTTTTTATTAACAGTCGAAGCAGTAGCTATTTCAGGTATCTTATACCTGGAAGAGGGACGCTGATTTTGAAGAAGAAGCAGGCTGAGTATTTCAGTACGGGGATGATTGCGTATCGAACCCTTCGCTTGTCGGTGTGCGCGTACGAGCGCGTTACGTGGCTTGTAGGGTGTGTCAGGGCCGCCAGGGGCAGGGGCTCAGGCGCACCCTTAACGGAAATTACTCTGTGTGTCTGTGCAAGACGTAACGCGGTTTCTTCACAGGCGTGCGGCTATGGGCAACAAGATAGCGACCTTTTCCGAGGAGCAGCTCGAGGACTACCAAGACTGCACGTACTTTACACGCAAGGAAATTTTGAGGTAGATAATAATAATTCTAGCTAGCATTGACGGCGCCGAATTGTTGCGCAAATACAATGATAACCGCGAATGTCATTGTTGGACGTAGGCTACACAAGCGCTTTCGAGAGATGGCCGACCCTGGAATGGTGCCGCGCAGCATGACTCCGCGCGAGGCCTCCAATTTACGGCTGCCACTCGACTATTTGGCCAGGATACCCGAGCTAAAGGTGCCCACTCTCAGTACGGTATATCAAGTGTGAATGTTGGTTTATACCTCCACGTAATACGCATGCACTAGAGCTTTCAGCATCGAGCAGTCGCTCTAACAAATTGCGTCGAAAAAAAGATCGTGGCTGGCTTGCCGGCTCGGGGCTAAGGCGGAGGCACCTGCATTAGAAGCCGAAAGCCAGCGCCAAAAAAGACCAAAGAATGCGAGCTGTTCAACGGCTCTCGAGATTTTGAAAATGAAAGAAGAGCCGTATAGGTACCTATACCTATACCTTCGACCGAAGCAGTTTCGTCCGATCTCTCTCCCTCTCTCACACGCGCGGTTTGCTCTCTTCCCTCCTCGTGCTAGCTCCTACATACGTGCCTTCTCGCGCGCGCGTGTGTGTCCACTGTCCATGTGTACTTGCTCGACGGGCTTTTCCTTTGTGGTTCGCTCACTCGCTCGCTTTAAAATTCTGAGAGAGAGAGAGAGAGAGAGAGAGAGAGAGAGAGAGAGAGAGAGAGAGAAAGAGAGAGAGAGAGAGAGAGAGAGAGAGAGAGAGAGAGAGAGAGAGAGAAAGAGAGAGAGAGAGAGAGAGAGAAAGAGAGAGAGAGAGAGAAAGAGAGAGAGAGAGAGAGATTCACCGTCGAAACGGGTTCTTGACCCGTGATGCTGTTTGCATGATTTTCGCCCGACACTCCCCCTCCAAAAGACTAGTAGCGTTTATTCACCGTTCGCAATTCTTGCAGGAAAACCCATTTAGAGAAAGAATAGGCCAAGTGTTCACCAGGACTTCACTCGAGCCCGGACAGCTATCAAACAACGACTTTTCGGGAATGTGTTTCGAGGACTTTCTCGAGATGATGTCCGTGTTCTCGGAGCACGCGCCCAGAGACCTCAAAGTCTTTTACGCCTTTCGCATTTACGGTACAGCCAATCTTTTTCTAAACGATTCGCACGCGATGCTCCTGTTGCCCTACCAAGGGTTTGTTGCATGAGCTAGCGTGGTAATCGTATAAATATGTGCAGATTTCGACGAGGACGGGTTGGTGGGTCTGAGCGATTTGGAGCGCACGTGCCGGCAACTGGTCCGCGGCGGCTTGACCGACGACGAGGTGGCAACGGTTTGCCAGAAAGTGCTAGAAGAAAGCGACATCGACGGGGACGGTGCGCTCTCGTATTTGGAGTTCGACCACGTGGTAACCCGTGCCGCCGACTTTTTGTCGACTTTCCACATACGTATCTAATGTGTCTAATAAAACTATGTAGCTGTTGCAATAAACTGTCTTATGCGTGATCCCTGTGTGCGAGAGAAAGAGCGAGTGTGCCGTGCGTACGTATTATTGAGCGCCGGATCCAAGGTCAAGCGTCGCGATTTCCCAGCTCGGCAAAAGCGCGCCGGTCGAGAGGTTGCCCAAGGCCAACCGGTTCTGCAACTCTCTCCCCGTGCGAGAGCGAGAGAGAGAGAGAGAGAGAGAGAGAGAGAGAGAGAGCAAGAGAGAGCAAGAGAGCGGAGAGCAACACAGCAGCGGTGGCGGCGGCACGGCGACGAGTGTGGAGTGCGTGCCGAGCGCGCGCTATCCCTATCTCTCGTCCGAGAGAGCGTGGGCGGATTTGCATGTGTGTAGGGCGTCTGCACACGGGATGAGTAGCACTGCTGGCCGATTCCGCGAACGGGGGACCATATTTTGTGTCGAAGGGTTCGGTCTGGAATGTGGCCTGACCGGCTGACGCCGGCACTGCGGCCTCTCAAACATATATTTCGAAGCTCTCGTGCATTTCTTTCTCTTGATTTCTTTCCCCGCACTCCCTCGCGCTCTCTCTCTTTCTCGAAATCAGTTCTTTCACTTTACAACGAGAGGTGCAGATCAGAATTTTCTTTTAAGTGCACGCGTAGGCCAATGGGTCGCCGACGGAAAACAAGGCCGCGACGCATCCGGCGGAAAGCCAAGGGCAGCAAGCTATGACGCGCGAGAGACAAAAGATCCCTCGGGTCAAATCGACAGCGGTGGCGCGCGAGTGTGAGTGTGCGTATGGGAATGATTGCGCGCTCTTGCTCTTGGAATGCGCTCCTTTTTTCTTTTTGTCCGCATGCGAGCAGCACGCGCGCGAGAGAGGAGCAACCGTCGGCAGCCTCCTACCTGGCGGCGCCCCTCGAGTAGTAACAGCGGCGGAGAGCAGCAGCCGGAACAGGTATGGAGCGAGGGGACGCAAACGGGTTTCAGTCGGGCTGACGTCAGGCGGACCATTTGAACTGGCCAATCGGCGCCCGCTTAGGCGGCTGGTGGGGTACGGACGCGAAAGGTGCGCGCGCCAGTCGTCCCGGCCACGCCGCCAGTTTCTGTCCGCGAGTGCGCCGAGAACGGTTGCTCTTCTCTGTCTCTTGCTCGACTCTCTCTCTCTCTCTCTCTCTCTCTCTCTCTCTCTCTCTCTCTCTCACTCTCTCTCTCTCTCTGCCGCTCCTTCTCGTTCGCCCGTGAACTGCCTACGACTGCACACGGCGATCGGCGGCCAGACAGGTGAGTAGCGTTGGCATGGGGTTCGGAGCGTCCTCTTCTCTGCTCTACTGGCGATCGGCGCTGCAGTCGCACGCGACGACCTGCCCGCAGACCACCACCGGAGCTGGACACTTGGCACCCACCTGTTGCTCGCGGCTCGCTCAGACACCTATTCGCTCGCTCTCTTTCGCGCGCGCAACACGGAGAAAGGAAGGCCGGTCCTGTCTGCTGCTCTACGTGGCGTGGCTGCACGTGGATCAGCGAAAGGAGCTGCTATTTGTCACGTGCTCATCGCAACCTTTGTTCATCCTCTCTGGCGCGGACATTTTCTTTGGTTATCTAGCTGTATGAGTGTTCTTTGTACGTCATAAAGCTAGGTTACCGGAGTTAAGCTCCGCTTGCCGTATCAACGATACTCTCAGCTGAACAGATAAGCGCGCGCATCGCTCTTCTGATTATTCGCGACCTGCTGCTTTTGCTGTTGATTCACTTTTGACTTTTCAGGTACACCTAACAACTCAACGGCCCGTTACGACCTGTTCTCACGAGACGGCGGTGGAGCCAGCCACCCAAGACACTTGGGAAAAGCTTTTATATGAAGAGGATGTGTGTGCTGTGCCGGCTGTGCGTGAAAAAAAGGTATTTCCGCTGCTGCCTTGCCGCTACGATACGCTTCGGAATTTCGTCTATTGTTCCAGATAGACACGGCTCGCAGCACCGCAGCACTGTGCTCGCCATTCCCTCGTGTGGGAATCGAATAAAGATTTTTTCTCCTTTGCTCATGCCCTTATATTCATCTGTTATTGTTCCCACCCTTGTGTGTTTGCCATCTAGTACGCATACGCCTGAGTTGCTCGTTTCGATCATTGGGTTCAAGTTTGCAAATTATGATCATACCTGCCTTTTTCCCCTTAATGTGTCAGTCCATCGCGAGGTGGCAGCACCTTCCAGACTCGGTCAACACTCAACAGTGCGGATAAATCACAGGACTTCAGGTTTCAGGTAATTGTGATTCAATTCATTGTATTTCATTCATTTTATAATTTAATAATAAAATTTATTGTAACCCATTAATTTGAGCAATAAAATCCTATTTTTTTAATATACCACTTCTTTTTTCTTATGAGAAATTAGTTCCCATTGTTGAAATGGAAATTAAGTCATTCAAAATACTAATATAACAAAAGTTCAGCCATTGATAAAGAGGGCAACAGAATAAACAGAATAATTTCGAAATAGAGACGCCATATGTCGGTACACATTCAAGTTTACGGAACCATTTATTCAATTTAGAATTCTTGTCTTGTCACTTGTGTGCTGCATGTAGAGTGCTGATTCACTTTTCCAGCATTTACACTATTTGCGTGTGTGCGTGTATCAACGTGTAGATGTATATATATATTGTTTGCATATTAAAAAATATGAATGTGTATATGAACCTATACATATATGTATGCTTGTGTGTGATAAGAATATATCAAGGATGTATATATATACCGACGACCAGTAGCTATATGTGCATCTGGAAATGACTACTCGAATCAAGTTTGGCGCGAGATCAAAGTCCACTTTATCAGTTTAAGTTTAATAGTTTATTGAATGAAGCAAACAAAACATACATATGTTAAATATTCATTATAATTTTACAGCGATCTTTGGATGAAATTTATAAAATAACGTGACAAAGGAGGGCGTGAAAAATGGAAATGACTAAACTCTATAGTAAGACGGCAAAGCATCAGGAAACTTGAAGAACATTCTGGAAGACTCCAGAAAGAACGCATGCGCAAGTTTATAAAATCATGTTTCATAGAAAGCCGCGCCGCATTTCTCTTACAGAACCACATAAAATCCGAGCTTGTCCGCACATCCGCATGCTTCCAAGAGAATTTTATCAGTTTTTGGTTTTTATTTGAAAGTTTTCATTGCAATTTTCAAAGGTGACTACTTTTTATATCCACTTTTTATTTTCGTATGTAGTTATATATGTTATACTAATGCGTCATCATTCGATTTAACAAGGACGATTTATTCTAACTGAATTTTTTGTGCAAGTCCTTTGTTCAATTATAAACCAATTGATAAATATGCTATGAATGTAATTTTTGATACTTTTATACTTGTAATTAATTCGCTAATAATTTATTCAAGTGTACTTACTGGAAAACGATATAGCGACTCTCACTACGTCTCGCAGTATAACCGCGTTTTTCTCTTCCTAAATATATTTGTAAACATTCAAGAATTTATCGGAATTTAATTAAACAAAAATATAATAGTGAAATATTACGAAAAAATAAAGTCTTGATTTTGAACACTGTGTGATCGTCTTTTTTTATTACTTAAAGGCATTGCGGTAAGTAAAGCTTAACTTGATACACAGTTTCATGTAGATTTTTTTATTTCAAATCAATTCTTTAACATAAAATAATTGTAAAAACTGAAAAATAATATTGAAAATAAATAATTGTACGGGCAATTCAGACATTAATTCAGACTTGCTTAAGCAATCAATTTACATGATCTTGAAAAATATCATAGTTGTGTGTAAATGTTTTTCAGATGGCTGATACAAAAACTGAATCTAGGGAGGTTGAAACATTTATATTCCAGGCTGAGATAGCTCAGCTAATGTTTTTAATCATCAATACAGTCTATTACAATAAAGAGATTTTTCAACCAAACTGGATTGTGACAAGCAATTGTATATTAAAATTTTTCCAAACAATAATGATGGCTCACTGATCATCATTAGTATTGGATGGTGAAAACAGACTTTGTGAATAATTTTGGTACTATTGCAACATAAGGAACCAAGGTATTTATGGAGGCTCTACATGCTGAGGTAGACTCTATGATTGGTTAGTTTGGTGTTGATATCTACTAAGCTTATCTTGTTATTGATAAAGTCATTGTTGTCTGCAATCACAATGATGATGAACAGTATGTTTATGAATCCAGTGTAGGAGGATCCTTCACTATTAAATACAACACTGGCATACCTATTGGGCACAATATCAAGATTGTTTTATATGTCAAGGAAGATCAAACTAAATACTTGGAGGGAAGTAAAATTAAAGAGATTGTCAAGAAGCACTCTCAGTGTATTGGCTATTCTATAAAGCTGGTTGTTGAGAAAGAATGTGAAAAGGAATTAAGCAACGATGATGGAGAAAGATGGAACAGATAAATATAAGAGAAAAAAGAAGACTATCAAGGAAAAATGCACCAAGGATGAAGAGTTCAGTAAGCTCAAGCCTGTCTGGACAAAAAATCCAGATGACATTACCTATAAGAAATACAGTGAATTTTATAAGTCTTTGACCAATGACTAGGAAGACCATCTGGTTGTCAAACATTTTTTAATTGATGGTCTATTAGAATTTCTTTCACTACTGTTTATACCTAAGCATGCTCTGTTTGATCTCTATGGAAACAAGAAGAAGAACAACATCAAGCTTAATATTTACGGAAAAGGATCTTTATTATCATAAACAATGGTGAGGAATTGATTCTAAAGTATTTGAATTTTATCCAAGGTGTAGCTGACAATGAAGATCGGCCATTGAACATTTCTCGGGAGATGCTGCAGCAAAACAAGATTCTCAAAGTCATCAAGAAGAATCTAGTCAAAAAGTGCATTAACTTGTTTAAGAAACTGTCTGAGGATAAGGATAGCTTTTAAAAGTTCTATGAACAATTTGCCAAAAACATCAAGCTTGGAATCCATGAGGATAGTGCCAATCACAAAAAACTGGTCGACCTCTTACGCTTTCACACGTCGATCTCTGGTAACGAGGCTTCCTTATTCAAGGACTATGTCAGCAGCATTAATGAGAATCAAAAGCACGTTTACTATATCACCGATGAGAGCTGTGAGAGTCTGTCAAAGACTTGGTCATTCTACTGTTCGAGACTACCCTGGATGTCATCTGGATTCTCGCTTGACGAGCCCCAAGTCCATGCATCGCGTATCATTGGATAATTAAGCTTGGGCTTGGCATCGACGAGAAGGAGCTTGTCATCAAGGAAACGAAAGCTGAAAATATGCCACTCTTGGAAGACACCGGAGACGATGCTTCGCGCCTGGAGGAAGTCAACTAAATTGTGATTCCTTCCTTTTCCTTTTTTTATCTTTAGCCTTTAATTGGTGTTGTTAGGACAATAATACGTCGCGTTTTATGCGATGTCTGTTCGAATGTTTATCATAATTGCGTGGCTATTGCGTCATACATTATTTCATTATATTTATTGTGTTTCTATAGTTTTATTTAATTCGTTTTTGTTTGCATAAAACTACATACCAAATAAAATATATTGTATTGCTATAACCGTTTTTTATGAATAAATATAAACATTTTTATTTTCTACCTCGCATTTTTGTTTCAACTATATATCCATTAACTCCAACAAATTCCAACTATGAAACTAAAAATGTTTTTAATGCAGCTGTCTCAAAAATAGGTTACTGTAAAATTTGAAAATTTCATAAGAATTGAATAAGCTATTTTACAATTTTCTTGAAAACAAGTAAATGTGTAAAATAAAATAGCGTTTAAAAATAGAATAAGCTCTGCTTATTTCATTTACTGTTCACTCTATTTTATGTAACACATTGTCGATATATTCGATCAACAAATAAAATAAGCAAATTATTTTATTATTTTATTTATAAACAAATTTTTAATTAATAGTGGTATTAAATTACAATTCAAAATTCAGCTGGAAATAAAGTCAATATTGTACGTAAAAGCGAATTCTCATAAGCTTCGGTCTATTCAAACGTTTGAACGAGCTTTCCTATCGCAGCCAGACCGCAGCGCTCATTTGCTATATCTTGTCCAATCTCATCACAGTCTTCACTTCACTCTTCTGTGCTTTCGTCACTATACTCATACTAATGCTAGCATATATCCCAGTACAGTATTATGAACGAAACACCGCGAGCGAACAGTCATGGGTAGTTATTCGTAATCTGCAATTTGCTATACAAAAAATAAGTCCTGTAAGCAAGTATGGCAAGCAAGAGCTGGAAGGTAAGATTTTGCTCAAATTAATTTGGATTAGAGAAAAAATTTTTTAATTAATATCGAAGGCAAGACAAATACAAGTTGAACGTTGATGTTGATTGCCCTTAGGTTGTCCAGGCCCATATGCCAATGATTAAATTTCGTAAGGGCGGCAACGTACAAGGTAACAAGCGTTCAACTATTAACAATCAGCTCATATTTTACATCGTAAACTGGAAGATAATTAAGCATTGTGCGTTTGCGGTTAGTCGTTGCAGCTGGAGCATTGGCAGCAGGGAAAGCAGCTTCGCCTAATCCAGGAGCGACTGCGCCCGGTAAAGTTGCTGGTGCCACGGGGCCTAATGTTGTAGTTTTGCCTACTATCGAGGATTTTCAATTGCCCTTTAGATTTCATAGACGAGCTATTGACATCAAGGAAATTGAGTATATCAACGTTAGTCAACATCGATAAAATTATTAGGTTAATTTGGTTATCAAATTTCCTTGTCTTATATAATTCGCATACATTTGTTTCAGCGTGGGGGTCCAGAATGAACAAGCGTGTCTCGTCACTCAAACTACTCTGAGTTTTCGAAAAAGAATTATCAAAAAACAAGTAATATGTATATCAATGGTTGGTCAAATAAACGAAACTGTATAAACATGGCTATCAGATGATTCGTGTGTTATTCATTCACGGCGCTTTACCTCGGGGCCGTATCTGTGTTACACTGGTTGTAATCTGAATAATTATCGCAAGAATCCGTACTCGAGTTTGACATTGTCACTCTCTTCTCGGCGCTATTTTTGTTTCAGCTCGAAAAACCCAAAATAGCTCGGACGTCTGTACGTGCGCGCGCAGGCACACGGCCCTGGAACTGCAGACGACAATTGCTAGTCTTTCCAGAAATATACGGAGAAAACAAGCGCAGTCTGCGCAGTTGTCACCTAAGGTGGATTCGCGTTATGATGAGTCGAGTCCGTTGACGGCAAGCGAGTACGAGCTTTTTTTTCTTATCGAACGACTACTTCAACGATTACGATTAGCGAGTCCAAGATGCCTGAATCAACGACGATGGCTGCGACTGCGAGTACGGAGTTTGGCCCAAAGAAGACCATGGTGATTCTTGCTATTGTGGCCGGTTGTTTCGCTATCCTCTTGCCCAAGATCTTCTATCCAATGCTCACTGCATCGTTAACTCCTTCTATACATCATGCTGATGGCTCCGGTAAGTCCTCGCTTGCAGATTGCTCGTTAGGAACCTTGTTGAGTACTTGTTAAGCCTACGAGTCATCTGATTTCGTACGCGGATTAAAGTCACATGTTTGCTAGGCTGCTGCGATGTAATATTTGAGAGCGATATCACCGCAGTTGACATAATGCAAGAGCTATGCCTCAACATCATCAGGCATCATCAAGTCGATCCTAGAATAAGGGATGCACTGGGGGCCAACAAATTTAACAAGTTGACACTGTCCAGTGTAAGCTTGTGCAGAGATGAAGTGCTTGCAAAGTGTGGTATCGATCTGTCCTCTTTTTTGGCAGAAAAAGAGAGGCTGAAGAAATCATACAAGCAGGTTCTCGAAGAAATTAGGAGCTTTAATGGATCTCTTTGTCTGAAAATGCAATTCGGAGTACCTCTGGCTAGATTAGGCACTCCACATCTTATCAGATATCACATTCTAATGCCTCACAGTAAATCAACTAGTGATCCGGTTATCAACAAACTTTAGTGTTTAATTAATGCCATTAATAACCCTAATAATGCTTATTTAACTTGTATACACTAACATTTAAAAAACTAGGCTTTGATTTTTTTCATGGATTATAGCAAAAAATAAACAATTTTTAGTCAGTTGTTCCTTTGCATGTGAAAAAACAAACTTGAGACTTCCATTTAGTCATTGGCTCAAGTCCAAATTCAAAAGCATAACTGTTGGCAAGCGCAAGGTTTGAAGGCACTGTCATGGATTGGAATTCAAAATTTATTAAAGCTTTTAAAAATTCTACTCTTGTTTAGTCTCCAAAAATAACAATTCTTATATAACAAATACTTTAGCCAATTTTTATTGATGATTATAAACATTGCAACAGGTTCTGTAAGACAAGAGAGACAAACTCCAGCACATGCAGGAAGTTATCATCCAGCACTGAGAGAACGAGGAAGAGCTATCCCATCATCTCACATTATGCCTAAAATTCAAGACAGACCAGATCATATAGCCCTGCCTATGAAAATGAGACCACCTATGGGTGGTGCAGGTCATGTAGTTGCAGCACCTAAAGGAAATGGCTTTGTGGGACTACTCATGCCACTATACACTATTGGCATTGTTATCTTTTTTCTATACACACTCACAAAGGTACTTGTGGGAATCTTCATGCCTATTTATACTATTGGAAACATTGTATCTTTCCTCTATAAAGTTCTTCAGGTATTTTTGTCATTCTATGCTTTGGATTTGATCTAACAATTTTGCTTAGTCGAGTAATGCTTCAGATTGTTTTCTCTGAAAATCCCGAATTATTCCTTCAAATTTACATGATAACTAATAATTAATTTTTTTTTATTAGGTCTTACGAAAATCATCCGACAATGAAATCATACGTTCAGAATACTCGACGGCTAATGCTGAAAAGGAATATCAGAAAATCGTTTTTAATCCGAAGGTATTCGCTGCGGCAGTATCTGCTGTCAATGGTACACAATATGAGCAAAATATCCATTCTTCAGCCAGAGAAGAAGACGAGCAGGCGCCGACGATTGAAGAATTGAATGAACGTAAGATTCTTAAATGTATTAAAATTTGCATAGTTCACTTTCAAATCGACCATTTTGGGAAAATTATTCATTGTCATTCATACTCCAATTACGATTGTAAACCGTAAAAATGCATTTCGAAAATTATACACGCTGCTGGAACACAAGAAGCGGCTGGTGATATAGAAATAGATCAACTGAGACGACGATTGGTAGAAACCGAAGCAGCCATGGAACGAATAGTTGTCCAAATGAGCAATTTGTCGCGTTCTGTTATGAATTGTTCGACCTCATCACCGGAACCTAAGGTTTAAGAATTTTTTTAAATAAGGAGCTTTATTTTTTTATAATTTTTTCCCTTTCAGTTCGGCAATTCGTTAAAACTGCACGTTTTTTTTTGCGCACGCTTATGCATCCTTTAAAACGTTGAAGTTTCAAAGTTTATTTCATAAGTCGTCTACGTGTAGCTTTGATTTAATAAATATCATTATTTTATTGTTTACGTTCAATGGCTTATTATTGACCAGTGTTTAATGTAAAAAATAATGAACGAATAAACGACGTTTGTAAAGCAAAAACGAGGTGTGTGACAGCAGGTGAAAGCAATAATGTTGTTGTAACATTCGAATTGGAGATAAGTGGCAGATAACTAGATGTTATTATATAATTTCATATTTTTCCAACAAGTAGATGAAACGTCAAAGTCTAATGGTCTGGCAGCTGAAGTCAACCCTAATCCCAAGGTATTTTCCTATTGCTGGAAGAGAGTGTTGCTCTCTTTTTTGGAAAATAACCAATGTGTTGATGCTGCTTTTAGTCGAGATATTGTCCACGACGACTTTTGATGTTGATGCAGACGATTTATACAATTTTCAATGTTCATTGTTGATTTTTTCATCCGAAGTCGTAGTAAAAGTCGCATACTTTATTTTGATACAGTGTATTTTTATTTTTGCGCATATTTGTTAGCTTTTATTTAACCTAGCATGCCCAGGCAGATTATTTTCTCTGATTTTTTCTTTCACGTCAATCATTGTCGCTAATAAAAATATAAAAATATTTATGATTTCGTAGGATCCGAACATTTGCGGCGAGGACCAGCTTGATAAAAAATATGAAAAAGAAATCTATGAGGCAACGCCAACAGTCAAAGTGGTAAATATGGAAATGACTGCTACTTGCGAGGGCGGACAGAGATACAGTAGACCTACTACGCCGACACTGTTGGTGTCTCATAGGTACGTCAATAGAAGACATTAAATAACGCCAAAGATTCTGTGCAATTGATCTGTAATGAGTGTAAACTTTAGCCATCAAGAAGAAAAGGAGAAATCACCGCCGATTTCAATATATCTAGAAGGTTCTCTCCCTCCACAGTGCGAACTGCTTGTCACAGATTCTAAAACACAAGAATTGCTAGAGGAGGAAAGCATGGAAGTACCTGTCGTACTTTCCGGGAAAATGACCCTTTCCCTCATCAGCCTTGACCAGGTAGCAGCAAGAAAATATTAATAAAACTGACAGAATCGAACGAACTATGGAATCTTTTTTTATTTGGTGATTCTTTTATTTACTTAATTTTACTAGCTTTACGAGTTGTGAGAAAACTAACTGAAAAGTGTTACGATTGGATTGTTTACTAATGGCTTTAAATTACCTGGTTAATTTTAACATTACTGTTAGTTTTTGTTTTATTTTGCATTTTTAACCATTTGTTGCATTTTAATCTATTTTATTTTCAACACGGTGTTCTAACAATCGCGCTTCGATCTCGTCGTATCAAACAATACTATACGACACATGTGTAGCAAGGATATGCCTATTTCATTATGTAAACTGGTCACTGGCGGTTTGCTCAGGCGAGAACGTCACAAGTGACGAACACCTTTGCTGCATTAGCGTCGTGATGTACTTTATCATATAATTTATTCTAATGTTTTTTCCTAAAGGAATTCCAAGATGAGCAAGAAACCGAAACATCACAGTATAGAACGCCAAAAAGATCTTTAAATTGTACGGCTGAAAGTAACGCTGAGGCGAAAGTGAATTTAAGCAATACAAAAATCCAAGTATTACAACAAGAATACTTTGATAAAAAATATGATTGTAGAAGTAATGTCGAGGAAAATGAAGTAAGAGAGGAAAAAGAGCTAAGCATAGAAGATTATTTATTTCAAACAAAGCAAATCAAGAAAGACCAACATATATTCAAACAGAGTTACATGCAAAACTTGTCCGAAAGTTTCGAATCTGACGAGGAAAGCGACAATACTGTTAATCAAAATTATCAAATAAAAGAATTGGAAAAATGTAATAAAAATCAAAATTGTGACACTGAAGGTGAAGAAAATGAGAAAGATGATAAAAAAAACCAAGAAGAAAATAAAGATAGAGATGGAGATCAAATGAATGAAGAAGATGAGGAAAATGGAGAAAGTGAAGGGGATGAAGATGATGAAGAAGATCAAGATGACGAAACCAATGAATCAAGTTTATTGTCATCGGACGGTGATGACAATTACGAAGAAGAACATAGAAACATAGAACTGAAGAAGCCATTTAATAAAAAGAAAACCGACTAATGTATTCACGCCGAGTTCAATTTACACACACACACACACACACACACACACATCGTCTACAAACATTAAAAATATGTTTGTATGCATATATATTAGAGAGTTTATTAAATCGTTTTTTACCAATTGTATTTCAATATACACATAAGATTAATATTATGCATTCTTTACAAACAAGAAATTTTCGATAGATATGTTCACTTTAAGTGTGCATAATATATAATGTTTCCATGTTAAGAGCAATTGAAAATTATAAGCTATTGAAATTTCGTATAAATTATATTTGTTGATCACTTGTAGATAAAATATGTATCAACGAATGAAGAATCCTTAAAGATATCAATATATAAACAATTGAAAGAAAAAATAACATTTAATGCTTAAACAACGCATCTTTCTTATCCAATATTATAAATTTTCAAATTATTTTTAGTTTCCATGTACAGCTATAACGATGTGTTTGAGAAGCATGTTTCCAGTCTTTGATGTCCACTAAGCACAAATAGATATGCTATATTGGTTTTTCCGATTATTTAAAAATAAAAATTATCGCTATCAAAAAACGAAAAAAATCGTTTTAACGATTTTTGTTAAAAATGTTGTAATTAAGTTCATTTTCTAGCTATTATTTTTATTTCCAACAAATATAAATAAAAACTAGAGCTAAAAGTTTTCATAAATATTCAGTGCCCAGTAATGAAACTTATTAACGATGTTTTATTGAATACTGATTGTATAATTTAGTACTATGGATGTCTGTGTGAATGTTAATGAGGAAGAGAGTTATAATTAATTTATCATAAAAGTTATTGTCAACATACATACGTGAATAAAATCGTCCATTATTCATTGTGAATAATATACGTAATATTTTATGAATAATATTTTATGAAAGTAGAGACATTTAAAAGTTTATATAGTCATTCGAGCACGATATAATAGTATAACGCGTAATTTCTATATCTTAAACCCAGGAGAACATTCATTTGCATTGTTCATTTACATAGTTCGTACTTGCAATTAAATAAATGAAATATAATAAAAAGAGGTCTGTCTTGTTATTTGAAATTATTTCAAATGTATTTATCAATTCGATAATAAAAACTTCAGAAGCAATTGCTTTAAAGTTATTATTGCGATTGAGCTTTTCTTGTCTGCACAAGTTTTACATTTTTATAAATGGCGCTAAATTTAGATTCTCATTTGACTCTTTTTTCCAGTTTGATTATCCCACGACCCTCGATTAACAGAATCATGAAGGCCAAGGGAGAAGTAAGTTAATTAAATGTTTTTAACACATGCTCATAAATTTTTTATTACAAGTAAATAATCATCGACATTTTCGCGATAATTTCAATTTTTAATACATGTCACTCGTGCGCAAATTATGTATATGTAAATAGTATTTTGAACATGCCACTGACCACATGATTAACCATCAAGATTTAAAGAAACTTATCAAAGAAAAAGAAATACGAAATCAATATTAACAATAAAAATCAAAATATCATTAAGAAATGTAAATCAATTTTATTGAGCATTTAGAAAGTGATTTTAAAATACAATTGTTATGAACTAACCTCAACATCAAATCGTATACACTGATTAAGTATATGTTTCAGTTGAATGAATATGAAGTTATTGGGCGAAAGCTTCCATCGGAGAAGGAAAAAAATACTCCTCTTTATAAAATGAGAATATTTGCCCCAGATGCTATTGTTGCCAAATCAAGATTTTGGTACTTTTTGCGTCAGCTAAAAAAATTTAAAAAATCAACTGGTGAAATTGTATCACTAAAACAGGTAAATTGAAATAGTTTTACAACAGTTACAAATAGTTTTCGATCACCCTTCTAGGCAACGCATTACAGGAGGGAGAAAAATCCTATTGTTCATTTTTCATTTCTGGTTGCACCTGTGGTGTTAATTTACAGAAGTTGGAACTTGCTGATATTTTCCTTCGAAGATGCATATTATACTATTTTTTGCTGATACAATGTATTTTTTTTCAGATCAAAGAAAAAACGCCAACGAAAATTAAAAATTTTGGAATTTGGCTGAGGTACGATTCACGATCTGGAACTCATAATATGTACCGTGAATATCGAGATCTATCTGTAAGTGGTGCAGTGACTCAGTGCTACAGAGACATGGGAGCACGTCATCGTGCAAGGGCACATTCAATTCAAATCATTAAGGTAGAGATTGTTAAAGCAGCAAATTGTCGAAGACCACAAGTAAAACAATTTCATGATTCAAAAATACGGTTCCCTCTGCCAAAACGAATCCAACACAGAAACCGTATGCCTGTATTCAGCGTTCGCAAGCCTAAGACTTACTTCCTTTAAGAATTGATATTGAATTTTGTAACATCTTGGCTCAAGGAAATATAAATAAAGAATAAGAAACTTATATTATAAGTATGTATTTAAAAATACTTATATATTGCACAAAACTAAGTTTAACAAAAATTTTCTTCAGGAGTTTTTTCTCATTAGTAACTTGTCGCTTGCAATCTAAATGCCATTTCAACAAGGTTTTGTGGAGTACATTCTTGATAACATACATATAATTCTTTAGGTCTTGGATTAGAATACAATCGTCCAATTACCCAATATGTAGAATTTTCCCATTCAAATAGGACACCATGTTCTTTAATCGCTATTAAACTTTTATTTATTTTACCAGTATCATGACTTAGCAACTTTTTGTATCGTTTTGTATCACTTAATAGTTTTCGTATTGTTTGACTGCTAAAATTCAAAATTGATAAGAATTCACTGTCTAACTGGTCCATTTTTGAGGATATTAAAATCCCTTCAAATAAGTCTATAAGTACATAATGCACTAGTGTATTCTTATCACCTGTTGTTATAAATTTTGGCACAATATATTCAGCTTGATTTAATAAATTTTCTCTGATGTTATTAACATCTGAAATTTGGTCAATCTAAAAATTTAATTATGATTACTTTTATGTCGACAATTGAAAGAAATATATTACTAATCTTACATCTAAATCGGAATCACTGTCATCGGAATGCTTCAGAGCCTTTGTACCTATTTTTTCTCGTGTAGCTCTTCTACCTAATATTGGTGCTGCCTGGTCACTTACCTCACTAATTTGACTCAATGAATCTTGACTAGGAGAATTTCGTGATATTTCAAGTGAGTATGCTAAAAGGTCAAATATCAGTATTAACATTATTTTGACTTATAACATGGTATTTAAAAATATATACCAGGATTTAGATCAAATCGCGGCTCTTCAAAGCTTCTAGTACTTATAATATTATTGAATCCATCATTAGGCACCTTTGATGTTAGATTACTCTGAGATTTTGACTGACTTGTTTTAATGAGACCAACTATATTTTCTGTAATACTAGATTGAACTTTTGATATTGCTAGTTCTTTCTGTGGTATTGCCACTTCTGGTTTAGCATTAGCAATGATCCATTTTTCAGCTAATGTTGAAATTCCAATTTTTTTTATGTGATTCAATGTTTCCTGAGCCTCCTCAACATAAAATATATCAGGGCCAGAACTTTCTTCCACACTAATTATCAATTATAATTATCAATGATAATTATCTATTATAATTGTTAATTCAAAGTAAGTTATATTTATGTAATGAAATATTCTTACACTGCAGTGCATCCTCCTGACTCTAACAGTACTGCAAGTAAATTATGACCACAGCCAACCACAAGTAAAAACCATTGATCTAATAATGTAGAGACATGTTCTTCTGGCCATTTTCTGTTCATACATGATGAAGGATAGACTTTTTTCCAAATTACAGCAGACTTGACTTGTTCTGTGTTAACTAAATTGATTAATCCATGCCTTCTCAAATAAGAGTGCACTTGCAATAAGTCCTCAGCAGGTAAATGAGAACCAAGTAAATATTTTCTATGATATAAACAACTACCTAATATTGTGTACAACCTTTGACATTCAATGGGATCTTGATTCTGAAACAATCAGTAATTTGTAAAGATATTTTTTATATTGATAGAAACATTGATACAAACCCAATCTCTATAATCCATTGCTTCCATTTCACTGAGGGCTGCATCAATCTGTATTTGAGCATCTCTTGGCAACTGAATTGTCTGAACAGTAGGCAATATAAAATTAAAATCACATTGCCTTGTTTCATCAGTATTCTTACTTTTATCATTGTCAAAATCATTTCTGTTCAGTGTAATTTTGTCTTTATAAAGACGAGAATATAATAAGTAGAAAAAGTGATCTAAATACATATGATTTTCTTCCTTGACGAAACATTTTGAAACATTTTCATTTGTAAAAGCCAAAGTACATACAATATCCATTGAAAGTTCTATTGCCTCTTGTTTATTACAACTAGAAAAAAAAACATATTATTGCAGTTATCATTTATGCTTTGATTCATTACAAATTATTCTTACCATTTCTCCGGTATAGAAATTAACAGTAGTTCTTCTTTGTAAGAAAAGTATACTATGTTCGTTAGACCATTTGAAGTCATAACAGTTGTACTAAATATAATATGTATATTAATAATCAATTTATCTTTTAATTTGTTGATAGAATTCATGTTACCTAACTGGCTGAGGTCCAACAATGTCTAGCAGCATATGATTTAAAGTGATATAAGCTCCTTTTGTAGTAATTAAAAAAGATTGAACATGTTTATTTTTTGACTTTGGAAAAGAATACAAAACCCCCTGCATAGCAGACTCGCTTTCAGAAAATTCTGAAATTTTTATACAGATTACGCCTAGAGGCTCTTTTATAAAAGAATCCATTAAAATTTGACTTTCTTCTTTATCCACTAGTTGCCTTGCTAGCAATGATTGCTGAAATTATTCTTAATAAATTTAAGTAATTAAAGGAAACATTTTTATCATCCAATTTGAGTTTGCTTACATTTGGGCAGCTGATTGCAGTTGTTAAGTTCTCATAGTTTCCGTTGGAACAATTTCTTTGAAATTGACAAATGGCCTGCGAATTATCATTACGATATGATTTTTACTTACAAAATTGATTGTTAATAGTAACTTACATTACATGGAGATGTGATGTCTGAAAGTATGCTATCTATATTTTGACAGGTAACATCTTTTGAGTTAATTGATTGTAGCCAATCGCCAAGCTTAATGTCTTTATTTTTAAGAGCCTCTCCATCGGGAACAAAGCCAGCAACTGTTATTCTTAATTTAACTGGATTGATTTGTGGAATGATGCCTAAATAAGCCTCACATACTGTAGCCCGTCTTCCAAGCTTATGTCTTCTTTCAGGATCAATCCACAAATTGGCTACATATTTTTCATTTTTTTTCAAATTAATTACTGCAGCTTCACGCTCTCTGTATAATCTATTGAGGGATTCTTGATTTTGTTTCAACTCTGAAGCTAAACCACTTACTCGTATACTATGCCTGTAACTCTCTTTACGTTTAATTAGGCGCATCAATTTCCCTGCCTTAGTACTTCTACGACGAGTTAATTCTGGTAATAGAGGAATTAATGGATTATTGTTGATAATTTTATGATCTACAGTGTTGAGGGATTCCAAAAATGATTCAATGTAGAAAACCTCTCCCTCAGAATTTATTTCAGATTCCCATTCAATTGCTGAGCTGTAATATATGTGAATGATTGAACGAGGTAAGATTACATGGTTATAAGAAAGAAAACAGTTTTTATTCACCTTGTACTGTTGGAATAATAAGATCCTGTGCTGGAGCCACTATCACTTGCCCAGCAATCGCGTTCCTCATCAGCAGAACTTTTGTCGAATTTAGAGTACTCATAATTTCTATCTTGCATTGCAGTCTTATCTTTAGAAACACTCATTATTACATAAGTATTTGATAAATTTAAATAAGCATCTCGAGATTATCGTTATTTGTGTTTTGAAGGCCTCTGTAATATGCTTGTTTATATGAACACTTGCTGGACGAGCAACGCCATCGACGTCAAATGACAGAGGTAATTTACAGGTGTATGGCATTTATACATCTAATATCGAATGGGTAAAGCGGGAAAACGTGAAATAAAATTCAAACATGTAACTTCTAAATGTAATCAGCATCAATCAACGAAACCATTTATTAATGATATTTAAAAAAACTCATGTATTTACAATGCTAATATGACACACAGTTGGATGACGCTTCGTATTGAAATGGTATAATGACAATACGTGACTATCTTGATATTTTATTTGGAGAAAAAAGAACATATCGAGGTTATTTTAACGAGCATCGAAGACGACGAGACGTTTTGTGCGTTTCTTGTACATGATTCTGTAGCCGCACTCACGGCAACGAATGGGATCTCTTGGACGAATTTCATTGTCGTGATGGCACTCACCGCAGATGTATACCATCGCTTGTTTAGGCGTGCTATCCGTTTTACTGGACTCCATTTGCTATTATTAAATAAACTGCTTCTTGTTTTAAACGGTTTATGATTTTTGAGGTAACTTATATAGATTAAGTTTTCTAAGAGGCGCAGCGCTGGGCTTAGCTAAGAAAAACTGAAAAATCGAAATGAAGCGATTCAGATATGATTCTGAAACTTCGAGAGTTCGAGACCTGGTCTGACGCTAAAACCTTGTGGTGTTGATCATGCGCACTTGGACGTTGCGCATTGTGTACATGGCGTATCGTGTCCGTCACAAAGCCAATGCCAATTTAAATAAATTAAATTAACACCTAAATTATTATTTAGTAAATTATGAAATATAATCGTAAAAAATATAAAAAGAATTTAAATATTATGCAATAAAATTGTATGTTATTAAACATAACGATACCCATTAAAAAAGTTATTTAAAAATAAAAAATGGAATGTAAAATATAAAACAAAAAAGCTTTGTCTTCTGATAAATTGAAACATTTTTACAGATTATTTGCTAAATATTAACAAACATAATAAAATGAAAAATATAATGTAAGTACGATTTATTAACCTTATTATTAGAGAGAGTTGTAAGCTATTCTAAGTTCAAAGAATATTAATATTGTAACGTAAGAATGATCGAGGCGCGATGGGGGGGGGGGGGGGCATGAACGTATGATATGAATGAAGAAGGGAGTGATAGATTGAAATTGAAAAAGAAAAGAATTGGAGTGATACATTTTTTATCTAAGATCGGTTAAATAAAGGTTATTGAAAGAAAGATATTCTCCATGACTACCTTAATTTATACTTGTTATTATATTATAATATAAGGTTCAAGAAAATAATAAATGAAGGTACTTTTAGTGTTTATCATTTTCTTATGTATGTACATAATTACGCTTCAAAAGAGGTAAAAATTGTTAAGCTATTTATCTTTTTCCAAGAATTAAAAAAATGTTCAATATGCTTTTATAATACATTTGCTATTCAATACGTAATATTACTGGAGCATTATCATACTTTTTACACGTGTTTCATTTCTAATTATTGAATTTTATTTGAAAAATTGTTAAGCCAATCTTTGATTTGCGCGAAACGATCGTTATTTTCTATACAAAGCATGCGTGATATGATACGTTACATTCTTATGTATAGATATACAATTAGCTACCCACCTCGAGACTAGTATATAATTTGTTTTATTTTTATTAAAAGCAACTTTTTGTCCTGTTGAGTTCGAGTGCAGCTAGTTTAATTAAAAATTAAACAACCAAAGTGCAATACCTTTAACAAAATGACTAATTAAATGGTTTATAAAAGATAAACATTCAAATCTTTCGAAAAAGCAAAAGATCACAAGTAAAATTACATGAAAGTATAAATGAATATAAATAAATATTTCTATAGTAAATAAAATATATGAATTCTTTAATAGCTCATTTTCAAAATCACAACATGTTGCCTTCTTAACTAATAAGAAATATGTACATATTTAAATCTTTTAATATCTGTATTTTAAAATTAATTTAGAAATATTCTATGTCTGCAGTACGTCATCGGACATTGATTCTGTCCACTCATTTCAAAATTTAAAATGTCAGTTGGCAGATCTGAACTTGAATGAATTTGAACTAACTCATTTCACAATTAATTTCATAGATACTATAAGTAATACGTATTATACGACTACACTAAGCAGTTCAATTAGAATACATTAGCTTACGTCCACTCGACATAAGCGCTAGCCCTTGACACAACGAATAAAGTAATAATTAACATTGCTTTTTGCACAAAACACTCGAATGCTCGTTCTCTAACAGCCAATCGCAAGTTGAATAACGACCTATATTGAATGTGTTCACCCTTAAGAACCAGCATGGTCCTGTCCTAAGTACTTTATCTTACCACCCCAAGATCAGCCCCGGAAAATACTCAAAATAAAAAAAAATAATTTTCAATAGAGTCGAATTTGCTCGGTTACCTATCTTGGCCAAATAATTTGCTCGCATTACATTTTCTAAAAAAAAAATATCAAAGTGTTTCTTTTCTGTGCAAACTTTAATAGATTTTTTTAATCCTAAGATCTTGAAAAATTGCTCACTATTACAAGAAATTGGCTCCATTATAATATATTTGAAAAGTACATTATTTTTTATAAAGAAATGTAAATGATATACATACACTAATTAACAGCCACAGCCAACTCCGTTAGTTGACGCATGCGCAAGACGATTGTTTGAATTGTTTACGATATCAATTACATTATTCAAATTATAAAAAATAATATAATTGTCAAATATATTAAAACGGGGCAAATTTCTTGTAATTGTGAGCAATTTTTTAAGATCTTAAGATTGAAGAAATATTGATATTTCGGCAAGATATTATCGTTTAAAGTTTGCGTAAAAAAAAACTTTGATATTTTTTTTATTGGAAAATGTAATGCGAACAAATTATTTGACCAACATAGCTGAACCAAGCAAATTTGACTCTATTGAAAATTATTTTTTTTATTTTGACTATTTTCCGGGGCTGATCTAGGGGTGGTCATTATCTTTTATGAATAGACGGATGGATGAAATGAAATAGCAAGCATAGTCATAAAGCATGGACTCATGGAGAGCAACACTCGTCATATGGCGGGTTAGCGGGCACGTTAAACGAACAATTCATAAAATACCTCTGCAAAAATCCAATTGCTCCATAAATAAACTTTTTTATGAAAGTTGTTAATAATTTTTTGATAATGATATAAAATAACATAAAATACAACATGTATGAGTCATTTACATTAGTTGTTGTTTTTAAATAAATTTCAATTTTTTATAAAAATGTTGAAGAACTAATAGTTCCACAAAGTGCTTCAGAGACGAGATGACAGAACTTTGCACAGACTCGATCTGAAAAAATGATCTATGAAAAAGATTCTATTTATGTAACTCTGTTCACTTAATTTCGTCCAACAACTGGCAGCAACGAATATAGAAATAGGGTTCCATCAGAAATGTTACACCGTTTATTATATCCAGTCTTTTAATTAAGTAAGGATCCGTGAGCAGATTTGAAATAAAAGTTCTGTCAAGATACTCAACTGTTTGTGAACTCAATTTCACTAAGCGATAAAGTAAGAAATGGTATGTAACCCCTTTGATGTCCTTGCTGATCTCGCGGACGTAATTAAAGATACCGTAAAATCCGCTTTGAGTCTTGTGGAATTAAAAGTGCTCCGAGCAATTTCGCGCTTGGAAGCGAAAGCGGCACGTGGCAATTACCCAGTTATACTACCGTCCCAATATTATAACATAGATAAAAGCTTTTTTCACTTTTCAATGATAACAGTATGAACACAGTAAAATCTAGTGAGAGGGAAAAGAACAAACTTCATCTTTCATTAAATCCACCATGTCATACTTTTCACCAAAGTATTTCGTTATTATGTCGCCGAGCTCGGCTTTCTTTTCGAAGTCGATTTCAGTGGGTCAAGTTTCGTAGAAGCTGCCCAACTGATGCAACAAATAGAGGATTTTGTGAAAAGTGAAACTCACCACGCCTGACGATTACTTTGCTCCGAATAAAATTGGTTTTGGCATGATTGTTATGTTCATGGATCATTTGTGGAATGAAGCGTTCAAATAAATTTATTTATCAATCAAAGTGATGTTGTAACTTAGAGACGTCTCGCAAGCTTCATTGCGCCTTGGCGGCCGAATCGACTGAGAATGCACACTGAAACGCCTGAAAAGTATTGGAAGAAGTATGTAATGATCATAAGCACTCGATACTTGAAAGTATCTGAAAATTCATGTTTAGTCTATTTCACCTGGTAGCTGCAACAAAATTGGAAGAGAAATTGTCTGATTTGACAACAATGACTAACGGTGTGTTGTTTGTCCATCATCGTGTTCCAAACGAGCTACTTCCAAGTGAACATCTTTAATGCCTGCAAAGATAACCGAATAATCGTATGAACAGAAATAAAAATCGAGTAATGCAATTGTTAGGTCACTGCACTTCACGACAATAATCCGTCAAATGCCAGTGACGTATTTGCATCCAGCAAGCTTGAGTTCTTACAACGAGAGGATTCCGTTGCTCGGATAAAACTCGTCGTTTGCTTGTTGATTAATTTTCGCCGCTTTTCCGAGCTACTTTTGGCCTCTCAATGCTACTTAAGCAAGTAGGCCGCTGCTCATCAAACTTGGTATATTTTTCGCCATAACTGAATTGTACTACCGATTACAGTGGCGCGTGGCTCGTGGTGTAGTCGCATCGTTATATTTGTAGATAGATCTCGACACCGAATATACGAGCAGTGTCAATTTTGAAAGGTAACCAAGTGACACGTGTGCTTCGCAAATGAGGCGTGTCATTTTGTTATGTCGATTGTTAGTGTGATGGATAAACTGAAAGTTAAATGAAAGCTTGCATCCAGCTTTTTGGATGTGCTGGCCGATATATTAATTTTAGGTGAGCTCGTTAACCTAGACGAAGACGTTGTTGATCCAATCTATGTAAAACCATCTGTCACCTATTTGATAAAGACGCAATTCGATGATTAATGAGCACGTTTGTTAAATGATCTAAAGCAGCATTTCGATATATTTTCGATATATATTCTATCTTATTTTTTTTATTTTGAAATGAGGTCGACGAGCCAATACAGCAAATTTCACAGTATTCTAATATGCACATTGCTGATAGGTTAACACCACATAAAGTTACAAGTTTGAAGACGTATTATTTTTTTGAGAAAATTTTTGAGAAAAAAATCATGTGCGAGGACACGCAGCCGAGGATGCGTTTAAGAATCGTGGAAAAAGATTTGATGAGAAAGCCCCAATTAGGTGGCTGGAGAAATAAGCTCACGGGGATTGTGTTCTTGAATGCAGATTCGCAAACAGGACCGCGACCTAAGAGAGTACCAATCGAAAGGACATGCAGTCGGAAAGTGCAAACTGTTCTCGTCAAGGAAGCAGAATGTCAACCGGATTGTGACCAGGCGACGCAAATGTGGCGGTATACACGACAACGTTATTGCATGATTAGTAGATCTTGTTTTTATTCTTTATGTTCCATCTAGTTTAAAACAGAGCGTTGCAATGACGATTGAACGCCAGGGAGTATTGATTTTAGAAGCAAAGCGCAATCAGGAAAGTTGTCTTACTGTTGACGATGCGTGCTTCTCAAATCTCAAATATGAAATAGAATATAGTCTTGTTTGATCAAAAGAATTCCACTTGGTCGTGGATACTTTATACGTTAAAAAACGACATTGACGCGCACGCTGGAACAGATTGGCCTGTGTTCCGCTTTTATTGTTAACCGGTACATCAAGTTTTATAAAACTGAGGCTGTCAGCAGTTCCATTCTAATTTTTATTTGTTTGAACATTGATGAGCAAAGATCAATAAGAATTAAATTTTACAGCTTCATTGTATAGATTGACGCGTTGATTGCCACGCGATCTATATTCGTTTTAGCTAAGTGTTACGCTCATAAAGACTTTTGAAAATAAATAAAGACACACGCGATCGAATGGTAGCTGTTGAAAAAGTCTCAAATCCATTAATTTTCAGAGAAATTGTATACTCACGTGAATGAAAATCGACTATGCATACATATATCGAAGCTGAGCTCGAACTGTTTTTTGCAGACGCGATTGTTACATAGCAAGTGTATCGGATAAATACGTGAGCGCCAAGCCGTACAAGACGTACGAAGAGCTACAGGATTCGACAGATGTTATTGGCAAGGCAACTCTTGCCATTCAGAGATGTTACAGGGCCTATCGAATTTTGAAATTCGTTCGTGCTTGCGCTAGAATTTACCGGCAATGGCGCGAACATTGTGATATGCTACAACAGGAAAAGATATTGAAACGCAGGTATATTATATGTTATTTTGAGCGATCGAAGGCAAGGTAGATATGACGTGTTTCTCTCTGCGCGAGAGATGGACCTTCCAATAATGGACTTTCTATCGATCACACGCTACGGCAAATAATACATGCTTCTGCTTTCGTAGAGTTTGTTTTTGATTTTCTAATGAATCCTTCGTCTTGTTAAGTAGAAATGTCCTGTTAAAGTCGACCATCAGTCAACCGCTAAAGAATCAAGAAAATAAGAAGCATTCAAGCTTCTTCAAGTGAACATTCTTGAACTTCACAGACAACGCGACGAGCTGGATTGTCAAGCTTTGAACGAGCCGCGAACTCTGACGGACTTGGATGCACTTGTGAGCCATCTGGAAAATTCGCAGGATCAAAAAGTGGCTGCTATCAGTTCGCCAATGGAGCAGATAGAAACGAGACGTCGCACTCTACTGGTGGCTTACGCCAAGTTTCGACCAGCTCGCGAGCAGCGAGTTCGTGACTCACGAGTGAGATTCCTTACGTTCCATTGTAAACCAACAAAGTGGACGAACAAGCAAGGCAAGACTGTAGAGATGTTGAGTCTTAAAAATCAAGCAGCTCGACAATGCTGGCAACTTTATGAACTGTTGGAAACCGAGATTACGGAGGTTGATGTTGGCCGTCGAATGGAGATTTTACTGAAGGTTCTTTATTAATAGACACTTGTTTGAAGTTACGGTAAATGAGGGTTTATTTCGGTGCAGGCTAGAAGTTCGATCGATAGCCATGACTGTCGAGCCGCGACCAAGTTTCGATGTCTGTTGGATCAGGAAGTTGTTGTATTGGCCGAACGAGCAGATTCGGCACAGTTTGGATTTTTGAGAAAGAGAATTTCAGGTAGAGTGCCAAACTTTGATCTTAGAAGTTCGATTTTAATTTTCAATTGGCTGATTTCGAAAATATTCGCATCGAAAGTTTCCAACAAGAGATGACTCAAAAGTTAAGCAGCTCTTCAAAATGATGGCGAATGCAGCGAACGATATTTGAGCTAGATGCACAATTGGTACCGCGCGCTTTAACGAACGAGCTGCCGGAAAATAATGCTCGAACAAACACACAAGATGATGTTCCGACAAATGTTTTGACTTGAGATTTCAACTTGCAGCACATTTACTTGGAGCTTGCTCGTGAAAGCGTGCAATAATTAATCGCTCGCTGAATAATTTATCGTAAAACTGCCAGAATTTGCGTGCGCTCGCTTTAATTGCAACGTGCGCGTAAATGAATTAATCTTTCTGTCTTGTTAGGGGCTTACTTGCAATTCGTGCAAAACTCGCACAATTGTACGTGCGTGAGCGTCGACAGCAATGGTAGTGCACCTATACGAGATTACGAGTTTCGCGAGGCGCTGCAAAAGAATCGAATGTTGTGCCTGAGCTGCGGCAAGCTTCTTGCTCGTTGTCGATTTGCCGTAACAGCCAGGAAGCAACGGATTCGCAAGTGTAAAGGTAAACCGCCAAACTTACTCGCTCCGCGTTACGCGCGTGTGCTCGTGTGCCCGTGTGCCCGTGTGCCTGTGTGCGTTCACTTGAATTCTCTTCTAAGTTCGATCGATGCTCTCCTATAGATATTCGAGTATTCAAGAATTAATATATTTTTTAATAAAGTCAATGAGTGAAAGGAGCTTTCAACAACCATTTCCTCCAGCCTGTGTCCGTTTACACATCAACGTCTGCGCTCACGTGGATATCAAACCGTACGAGCACATCCTCTTCGAGATCCGCAAATCCGAGCGTTGTTTGGGGATCGATTGCAGTCTCGTGGAGTTCATGTCGTCTGCTAATATCCGCCACTTGGTGCTCGACATCTGGCATGGAAGATCGGCGTTGAGCGGAAGCGCGAACCCTCGGGACTTGCGTCTCCCTCGTTTCGAGCTGGATCAACCGTGGAGTCCGTGGAATTGTATTTTATTGACGGAAGACGAAGCTGAGGCTCATGCTTGTCTTCAACCTGGTGGAAAGCTGTACGGCATTCATTTGACGAGGCTAATTAAGTCTGCGCAACGTACTGCCAAGATGGATTTTCAGTAAGATTGGGGACTTTTAATGATACTAGAAAATCAATTGAGGAATATTCGTTTGTCACACGACCACGATGACTACTTTATTATTGGATTCGATGTTCCCACAAAATTTCAGCTTGTTTGAAGAAAAATTTGGCATTTAGCGATAGTTAAAAAAATTAACCGTAAGAATTAGGAACATGGAAAAACAATCCATCTTATTATTCCAATCAACTTTCACTATACGAGTATGAATATACCATGATAAACGAAGGTAAATTGAAAGAAAAGCACATTAAAATATAGCCTACAGCATTTTCACTTGGCTCGACAAATCACATTTTCTTCAAGTTTCTCGATATTTGATAATAGTCCGATATTTCGTTCTATTTTCTCGTATTTTTCTTATTTACTCTCTTGCCCAGACCTCTTGATTTTCGTCGGTATACCACTGAAATTGAACTACTTTCCGTCTTGCAGAAGTCTCGTTGCGTTGGAGGGGTGCACCGAGTCGGCTAAAATTGATGACAGCCAGTCGCCAGTCGATATACGTTTGACTTGTAGCAATTGAAGCGAGGATTTAATAGAGCGGCTCCGTTGCGCTGAATGATCGCTTTACTCTTCTTTACTTCTTTACTTACAGAACACAGTGCGTGGAACTTTTTGTATTTTATCTTATATCGCTAAAAATTGTCTTCAAAAAATTTGTCGATAGAATAATAATAATAATAATAATAATAATAATAATAATAATAATAATGTCCATTGGAGTATAACGACAAGGTTAAGTTTATAAATCGATTATTTGAGTTAGATGAAGTTGACAAAATTGTTTACGACAAGTCACGTTTCCTTGCACAACATGACGTGGTATTTTGTTGTATGCTATTTCAGTTAGCCTAAAAATCGATTTATGCGAAGAAGTACGTAACGTATGCATTTTAATGTGCACATTATATGAAAGGTAAAGCGATGTAAATTAAAAATCCTTATTGTTCCTTTTTGTCAGATGCATACTAAGTCAATCAATTTTAATTTATGCAGATTCAGTTTGGAAATATAACGTTGATGCTAGGATGCTATGTTGCGTTTTCTTTTGGCTGGTGAATTGTTAGGGTTAACTGAACTGAAAATTACAGTTAATTTAAAATGCTTAAATAATTTTCACATTTTGAGCGAATATTTTAAAGCGAGTCAGGTAAATTAAAAAATGCTGATTAATCATTTAGTAGCTTATAGTTATGGTTGTTATGGAAAAATTGATAAGCAAGACAATGAAAGAACTTGAATGTTTTGTAAGTTACGAGTGAAGTCAATGGCTTTTTAGTATGTTCGTGTTCTCGAGTGGGTCGAACGCGGGTAATGACGAAATCCCAATGCGCTAGTCTCGAAAAGGAAGGAGGCTAGCGTATAGGAAAAGCAAGCCAAGGTGACTCGATCGACCAAGCATTGCGAGAGTTGCCAATGGCAACTTCACGTTAAAAGGTCTCTTCTCTACTTTTGTTGCTGAGCGCGCGCACATAATAATCAACCTGACAACAGAAGAAGCAGCTTCGGTAAAGTCTTTCATTGTGTTTCCATTTGTTTTTATACTTCACCGTCTTGAGTTCTCGATATATTTTCACGATATTAAATCGCACTTGGGCTACTGTACGACGAGAACGCCTTTCTATCAAATTTATTTGGTCGATTAGCTCGAACGCTGTGTGTTTTTGCCACTTGGAAGAGTACGCGGGTTTGGGTTCGGGATCTTTTCTCTCGCGATTCGACTTTTTCTTCTTCCACGCACGTAGTCAAGCGAGACAATACAATTACCAAGAGAGAAAGACGAAAAACCGATTTTCAACGATTGGTTCTCCTTCCAACTTGTCACGCTCTTCTTGGTAAGTCAGCTGTGCGCTTTTTTACATTATTGATTACCAGGATATTGCATTCCAGCTTGAACGCCGCTCCAGTCACATTAATTTGGACGAATATTTGGCACTTGGAGCTTATTCTTAATTTTCTTGCTTGTAAGGCTTTGTTTTAATCTGCTTGGGAATGATAAGCTACAAAAACACGAATTGTCTTGCTTCTGATACTAGTCACGGAGATACTCTATCGAACAAAGTGGCCACGTTAGCTACATACAGTACATATACAAGTAATATATTGCCTCAGCATATAATTTACAGATGTAATGAAAATACAAATACAATTACAAATGAATCTCTAATCTATAAGTGGAGTAGCTATTAGACTTTGAAAAACTTTGAAAAAGTAGACTACATATTGAACAAGTTTTCTTTGGGGCATCATGGTTTGGCTCAAGAAATACCCATTTCCAACGTGGAATTTTATAAATTTATTAACGCGATCGACGATGTAGTATATAATAGGCCGAGAGGTAGAGAATCGCAAGCGTCGTAACTACTCAGCGGCTAAATTACATGATTCTGCTAAAGAAAATTTATACGTGATATTGCAGCTTTAATTTTTGTTTAAGTTATAATATTCTGGCAAGCGGTTATATGTCTTTTATTCGGAATGTTGCATTCATACATGAGCTGTGATTAGTCGAAAGAGTGGAGTTGCGCGGCTGCGAGCACAACTGTGCTGCTGACAATGTCACTGAATAGGTTTATTCGAAGCATTGCAAAGACGTGATATACGTGCTTTTTGTCAGATTTAAAAAAGCTTCTGTTTTTCTGCGTAATTGTCATCGTTCGGCAACATTTTTTCGTTGAGATCCCGCGCAAAAGTCTTGACGAAATCATATAAAGCGAGAAATATAAGAAAAGAAAAAATACATTTTTCACCGGCAAAACCCGGTGTAAGATTAAATGAATCACTTGAGAACGCAGGGAACATAGACTTGGCGCACTTGCATTCGTTTTAACTACATATCCAGTTTTAATTTTATTTTTAAGATATCTTCTTTCTGCTTGATCGTGTCATTGAAAATTTCGCCAGCTTATTTTAAAGCAAATAGCCGCATCATTCTGCACGCTTGTGAAAATTGAAGCGAGAAACGTTAATGCGCATTCGCGATCTTATTGACACGCTAGTTTTTACACTCGTCACATAAAATTGTGTACCTATATGTAGGACTATTTAGCAGTTTTATTTTTGTTACAGTGACCAGCTCGTCGGCTCGTCAACGCCATATATTATCAGCGACTGCGTCACGTCACGTTTTCATGCAAAACGTGATGCTATGTATGCGCACAAGCTTTTTTTTCTTTACTTAAGCTTATTCCAATGGGTTTTGCTCACGGGTCTTACCTTATTTCCGCGAACGTTAGTAAAACCGTCGTCATTCATTACTTTTTTTGGTGTTCCTCATTTATTCTTATGCTTTTATTTCTTTACCATTGCACATATACACGCGTACATTCGTTACGATGAATGATAATTATCTTTGTTATTTTGCTAATTAAAAACTTTTCTTTGCGCATCTGAAACTAGTGTTTTGCCAGCTTGTTATCAGGTGTCGACGTTTCCGTTTTTTAGCTTACCTATACAGACTTTATTCAATCTCGAAGTGTGCTGTTTAAATTTGTCATGTGCTAGCTTAATATTAATGAAAGCGGACCTGATTCTCTACTGCATTTTCGTGTGCTTTGGAAATCATTTCATTATTCATACCGAATAATTCATTTACCCAAACCTTTTCATCGATGAATCTGGCAAAATATCCAGCAAATAAAATTAACTAAAATTCCTTTAGTGATCACCGTCATTTCTAGCATTATTACCTATTCTTCCGAATGTCCCTTAACCGTAGAATCGTCGTCGCGTCGCAAGCGCTGCCTTATTTCTGCTCATCTCATAATTACTTTGTTTCTCTTTTCTTTCCTTTTTTGCTGGTCGCGCACCTCGTTCCAAACAGTTGTGACCTCTACTTTAACCGTTCTACGGATTTCACACTTGCCGACGCATCTCTCGATTCACCTCTGCATTTTGGATATATTAACGCGTCGCTTTTGTCGTCGTGTTGACAGCCTGCGTTTTAGTTAGATCTTTGAAGGAGCATGCCGCACATATTTACTCCGATGATGAACAATGCGCGATTTTTGGCACTTGACTATTTTCAATTATTCGGTAACAATAAAAAGAAACGATGAGTTAAAATAGTATGATCTTTTAATTTTCTCAGTCGATCAGAAGATTACCTTGAGCTACCAAGTCTCTTTCGAACAAAAGTACACGAACGAGCAGCAATTTTTATTTCCAAAAATATGTTTTCGTAGCATTGCTGAATAATATAGCTGGCGTCTACATCGTCGCCCTCCTTATATTATTTTTCAACCGCAGTGCTGCTCCAACTTCTCCTCTACATGCCTTATCAAGATTAATCTTTGTCTCTTTTAAAGCGCACTTGACGATTGGAAAATCATTCTCCACAGACCCCAACAAACTTATCACACGTACAATGGTGTTTGTAACAGAAATCGAAGATCGCACCTCGCCCAAGCCATTCCTAGGTGGTTGGCGTGACGTTGCACGCGATCTCGAGTATCACGACGCCACGTGTCAAACACCAACGGAATTTAGCCGACCACGCCAACGTATCTCTAGACCAGTGCAGACGTTCGCCATCAGAGAATACTGCTCGAGATTTGTGCAGCTCGATGATCGCCTTGACAAAGGGGTACAAGCCAACTGGCTGATTCCTCAGCTTGGTGAATGCGTGCTCAAAGCTAACGACTTGAACGAGCAAACTCGCAGAGACGCTGCCGCTGTTACTGTTCAGAGATTTTATAGGTAAGACGTACGATCTATTTTTTGTTCTGGCCTATATATATTTTTTTCATTTTATTTCCTATATGTATTCAATCGTACGATTTACGTGATTCACTTTTCAAAGCTAAACACAATGAAACCATATTGTCTGTACCCATCCATCGATAAAGATCCAGGGAGAATGAACCCGTGAACACATGTACCTTATACATAGCACGATACATCGGAAAACACCAAAACAAAGTGATAAAAGCCCATATGTGCATCGCCTTAGGAAGTTGAATACACGAGGTCGTTTGGTAGGATAAGCTCTTCGAAAGAGAGAGAGAGAGAGAGAAGAGAGAGAGAGAGAGAGAGAGACAGAGAGACAGAGAGACAGAGAGAGAGAGAGAGAGAGAGAGAGAGAGAGAGAGAGAGAGAGAGAGAGAGAGAGAGAGAGAGAGGAGCGTCAGTGGACAATTGTGTATCCTTTACGATCGATCGATGTATACATATATCGGCTATGGCAATTTAGTTGACGATAAGCCCTCACGCGAAGACGATATCGACACACGCGCGCGCGCGCGTCTGTATAAATTGCGTGTGCACGGACCCGAGAATGTACTTCGTTATCTTTGTGCTTCTTTTTTTTTGCCTTTTCTTCTTTTCTCTGTTTTATCCTCGTCGAAGTTTCTCGTTAAGCGTTGGATGGAAATTGCGTTGCTTTTACGACGCACGATATCAGAAAAGAGATGTATTTTGTTGCTGTTTGACTGATGCGTACGTCGATAAATTTTTTACATGGAAGATTCCTTTTCCGTCTATAGGTGTTTCAAATTGATGTTGCTCTTTCGTAGTGAAGGAAATTTAGCGTTTGTATAGAATGCTAAATATATGTGTTTGCAGAGCTTATCGTAGACGCAAGTTCAAAGGATTCAACCAAGACGACAAAAGGGAAAAATCGCAATCGCCAGGGAAAACTGTCAGTTTCGCATCAGAAGACGGGGACAACGACGAACACGAGCGACCAGCTTTCGACGCCACCATCTTCCGAGACTATCAAAGGTTTAGAAAATGATTCACTTTTTCGACAATAAATATTGGGTTATTAGGTTATTGAATGCCAATATTGGAATTTCGAGTGGTCAAAGAAATTAATATTGAGATGCCTTCGAGTATTACATTTGTAAACAATTAGAGGTATAAATGAGACTGACATAAAAACGTCTGACACAAGTAAATTGGCACTACTTAAAATTTGAAGAAATCGTGCTTATAACACATTTATAGAGTTTATTTTTGCAAAGCCATCAATAGATTATCTACTGTTGTATTTTTGAATGAAACCAACAGTATTACACATTGTATTGATTTAGTACGGGGATAACTCATTAGTCCGAATGTATACGTTTGAATACTTGTCACAGATCTGGTTATTTTCAGCTGTGATTCTCCTAAACCAATGTGAATGAAAGCTAACAGTAGCATTAAAGCATAATGAAAGCATATTGAAATTGACGTACAAATGGCATTTACTCACAGCAGTCCGCAGATCTTGGGTGAATTACACATAATTCAACCGTCAGATTCAGGAGCACAGGATCGATTGGACTTGAACATGCTACACGGACTATTAGACCGTTGGAGCGTGGCCGAGGAGGCCAAGATCCGCAACAGTTTGGACAACGAGCTGCAACGTATTGATGCGCGAACGCGTATGCTCGAGCAGGAGATCGATGTTCTGAGGGCCATCGACAGCTCGCGCTGCGAAATCACGAGGAGGAAAGCCGAAAGAGCGAGAGCCAAGTTTCTCGAGGAGCTCGCCAAACCTATCGAGCTCGAAGGTGAATGTGGCTGGGATAGCGATGATAAAACAAGTGTGTTGTTGGATAACTTACTGCGATTAACTGCAACGTTATACAACCACCATGACCAAAATTATTTCATGCTCGTTTTCATAATATCTAGTGAATACTGCATATTTCTCATTCGTTAATAATTCTCGCTTTAAGTTTTCGTGGATAAGCTCGCTGATGACAAGATCATATCGTCACTTCTCTGAATTGTCAAACACCGGTCTGAAAATAATAAATTTCTTTGATCACGTATTGTATCTGCAGTACGTACATTTTCTAAGTAATGATTTCGATTTCGATTTTGATTCTAGCAATTTAGTTGCCTTTCCTTTTTTCGGAATTTATTCATATTTACACGTAAACGAGGAATGACCTACGAACAGACCCTTTGAAAAACCAAAGCGCAGAAACAGAAATAAGTGACCAACAAGCTGATTTCTGTATAATCTTTCACAGTACCCTGCTCATCGAGAACCAAGCACATACACGTCGACACTTTGAACGTGCAACGCGCGCGTGAATTTCGCGAACTCTACGACACGTTGCTTCTGGAAGAAGACGAGGATTTAGGCGAGTTCGAACGCATGGAGTTACTGTTCGCCTTGAAAAAATGTATCAGTCTGCATACTTGCCAATCGTCTTTGAGTCTTGAACGGTTAATCGATCAAGAACTCTATTTGCTGGCATCGCATGTTCAACCAGCCACACTGAAATATCTCAGAAGTCGCATAAGACTTGGCTTCCTGAGATTGGCTCGTGGTGCTCTCGGATGTGACTATCGAATAAAGGTGAGGCTTTATTCGATTGACGAAAAACTTCTGAACGAGCCACGGGATTTTCAAAAATCTTTGCTTTTCTCGCAATAAAAAATCCTTTCAATTTTTCATAAAATCCGAGCCGGAAGCCAATCGCGCTACGCTGGAAAGCGCGAGCCATTCGAAAAGAGAGAAAGCAAACGAGAAAAAACGTTTGACAGCCGTTGAAAGTTTTATTGACGTTCTTTCTGTAAACGCAATCTAAACATTTATGAGCATGAATATTGAATTGATTTTTTATTTATTCAAACGCCCAAAAATAAGTAAAGCCGCCTCCAAGCAATAAGAGAATGCTTGTTTAAAAAAAAAACTCTTCTTAAATATTCCCTTGAAGCATTTATCGAGGACTCGATTATGCCTGTCGTGCGGCAAGCTGAGACGATTAGAAGCATTCGCAGCAGATCACCGTGAACGTATCTCGAGGACATGCGTCTATTGCGAGACTCTCGGTCCGAAGAGGCGTAACTCCCAAGTGTACTCCGAGATCTACGAGAGGATGCTCAGGGAACTCAGAAGGAGCGAGGCTGCTAGGTAATTGCCACAACTTTTTCACTTCTTTTTCTCGTATTATGCTGCAAGATGTCGAGAGCTAGAAGCTCGAGTTTGACATTTTGGGCATTTGAGAGATCTGGAGTGAGGCTTGACGAGCGAATGACTTTTTCATTTGCGTGAAGCTTATTTTTAAGTCGGGTTTTTCTTTTTTTTCATAAATTTCTTCTAATAAATGATTACTTGATCATGATGCCATTATTTTCAGTTTTTCAAGAAATTTAATACTTTATTGTATAAAAATTGAAAAATTTCGTAAATATTCTAAAATTTAAAAAAGCATCTTTGTTAACTATCTTTCTAAAATCTTTCGTTAAATAAAAAATGATTTTCTTTAATTATGCCAATTGAGAATTCGCTTCTTAAATACAAAAAAATACAACAATATTTCTTTACGAATCCTGCATTATGTTTAATTATTTTTACTTTATCTTATTTATTTACAGAGCTGATGGCACAAGTAGTTTAGCTTTCGTAATGGGTCCAAAAGCAATTGGCTATCTGGTTAATGACATCTGGCATGGTCGTTCAGCCATATCCGAATGCAGCGATCTCGATCGGTTGCGTCTCGTACGGCTCGATCCAAATTCAACATGGACACCTTGGAACACATTGTTGGTAACGAGAAGCGAGGCAATGATGCACGAATCGCTGATGCGAGAATCTTGCGCTGTTGATGTCTACGATGCTGAACTTGTACGCAAATTTCGTCGTATGAATCTGCAAGCGAGATTGTACTTTGAGAATATCGTCAAGTATACACCTACGTGTTACTTTAAGTATGCAGATACTGACACGTGTTTATTTTAAGGTCGTCATAGTTGATTGAGGTCTGACTTGTATTGTTTACTGTTGAACTTATCGTTGGACGTTTATCGCTTTGATTTATGAAAACATTACTTATATTTTTATAGTGAAAATTAAGATTCTTTATGAAGTAAATATATACCAAATACACTATGCTTGATGAGTTTAATCATAGTTAGTTAAAAAGGAATAAAGTAGAAAATAAAAAGGGAATAGTGCTCTTTTCTTCTGTTTTGCAACTTTGATCTCCACGTAAATTTATTGCAAATCACTCTCGCGGAACGCCAAAAGCTTCCAGAAATGCGAGTGTAATTTTTCTTTTCTTGGCAGTCGCAAAAACAGTTTAATTAAGAAAAGAAACGTAATTGTCTTCCAGTGGTTTCTAAAACTACAAGAAAAAAAGAAGAGGCTTGCGGAAGTAATACAGAAAAAAGTGCTCTTCGATTGCACGTCCAAGTCGTAACCTGTGGATGCGCGCAAACCTTCCAGCGATCACTTTTTTGTGGTTTGTTCGTGCTTTTGCAATTATGACTGTGATAGTATTCAACTTTTACATGTGCATGAGAAAAAGTATACAATTATCGTTTTGAATTCTCGCGTAACTGAAAATCGTAAGATTTTTCCTGCCGGTGCCATCAGTAACTTCTTTATTTTCTTGAACGCGATTCATGGGATTTAAAAAGTAATTATTCACACTCTATTCTTAAAGATGCGGCACCTTCGTCGTTTATTTTCGTCTATGCTGTTCAAAAAATACACTTCGTGATTAGTGCGAAATCGCTTGAATTTCAAAACGCTTTACAGTAGTCGCCTTGGGATCGTGCTACAAAATCGTGTTTTCAAAATAAATTCCTTTCACAGTCGTTGCGAAATGTGGGCGAAAACCAATTTTTATTTTTTCTAACGCTTAGATGTACGGAAAAAAGAAGCTGGATAAGGTGAAAACTTAGAAAATATGATAAGATGATAAGAATGAATGAATACTATTGCAATGCAGTATTGACTACCATGAACTTTTTCTAGGAAAATGGAATCGAGAGCGAAATGAATTATTAGCGACGATTCTTCATATAGCGTAAGAATAACGATATTTCAATTCAATTTAACAAGTTCAAGGGTTTGATTCTTAAAAATTTCTAAAGTTACCAACTGATGGATCTCACTTAAGCCTAGCGCATCAAAGAGAAATTGTGAAGCAAGTTTGAACAAAAATCTTTAACATCTTTAAAGAAAGAAAAAAGGATATCGACAATTCTTATAACCATTGTTTGGGTCTTCTAGTAATTTCTTGGAAAATCCATGAAAAAAACTGGAGAGTAAATCTGGTCTACAGTGGAGGAGCTATTCAGTCTTTGGCTCAAATTCCCCTATCCTCGCTCTTTTTTACTCTTGTCTTTGGAGGTTTTCGATTAAAGCGGACCTTTTTCATGGTTGCTCTCTTGCAGTATCAGAGCGAGAGCTTTGGTTCTAAAGAGCTATTTGCAGAGAGAGAGAGAGAGAGAGAGAGAGAGAGAGAGAGAGAGAGAGAGAGAGAGAGAGAGAAGGGGGAGGGAGGACTCATAAATAAGTCTGATTCTAAGTACGATATAGACAGGTATATATCAACTACGATATACCGAAGAGACGTTCGCACGCTTTAAATGCAAATGACCATCCTTTGCTCTTTCGTCCTTTACGCCATTTATGTGCCTCTTTGCGAAGTTGGCCTGCCCTCTACGAGGTACTTTTTTCGATTAAAGCGCTCGTTGCATAAGCTGCTGCATTTTCTAGTGATAAAGGGCCGAGTTTAGTCGGCCATGTGGCTTTCTGCGAATTATTTTCTTCTCAATATTTTCCTTTCGATACCCTCCAATAGCTTTCAATGACTTACATTTAATTGTTGAATATGAATTTTCTTTGATGAATCTGAGATTTTTTATTTCACGTTAGTTTTTGCTTAAGCAATCACTTGATTGAACGAAAGATAAGTATTGATGGTGATAATTATCAAATTATAAAATAGTATATTATATTATAAAATAGTACCTGCAACTTAATACGTTGTCACATTAACGAAGACGATGTTCTTATTTGATACCGATATTCTTGTCGTTCAATCGACAATGTCTTATTTATCAAATGATACATCTGTTTATTAAATTTATACCATTGAATATAAGTTCATTGCTGATGGTTTTAGAGCAAAAATAATGTAGGTCAGTCGGATGAAAGATATGAGAGCACTCAGAGATGAAAAAGGGAGAGTCGTTATTAAGTCCAATTTAATTATCTCAAAATCGTAAATATTCTTGTTCTGGCGACACATTGAAAACTTTAATCGTTTGACGAAGTCGGCAAACGAGTTCATTTACAGTTGGCGAAAGTTGCACATCGCCTCTCCTCCATCAGCTCTCCTGCCAGCAAGCTTGGTACTGATTGCAAGCCTCGGTCGTAGAATTACGTCGATGAATCAACCTCTGCTGAGAGAACGCTCACGAGAGAGTAGACGACTGCAACTATATAGCTAAGTATTCACGTTCCGATTATCGGCCGACTTTTTCATTTTGTTTCTTTGCAATTTTTTTACAGACATGAAACCGAATGATGCTTCCGCAGTGTGCTAATATTAGAATGATACATTGATATTCAAGTGTTGTTTGATAAACACACATTTAGCGATCCATTCAACAAATCCACTTATCGATAATAATTGACAGAAGGCTTGTTATTTATTAATAATAAAATGTAGATTGAAACCGGTTGTACTCTTATGTGGTAATTTACAGAAATAAATAACATTGTTAGCTGGATGATCTAATCAGCCTCGTTCATAAAAAGGAAAATTTTTATTACACTATTGTTTAATATCAGTTGATTTGAAAACATTTTGAGCTATGCTTTGGTTTTTTTTTAGTTGTTGCAAACACTTATGGATAGATCTCAGAATAATTGCATTGCTTAAAATACAGACTAAAGAGTATAACCGACGAATAAATAAACTTTCTTAGTGTAGGTTATCTGACAAAACTTTAGTTTGACTTAATTGACGACTAAATATTGCTGTAAGTTTTGGCTGTTAATCGACTCGAATTTGCACAGTTAGGATAGTTGTTAAGATGTAAAGTAGTTGCCCATTGTTCAGTTATGTAACTAGTCAGAATAAGAAAGAAGTAAAGCAGTCGCAACATTTGCTGTCGAATAATTGTTCTAAAATATTTGAAAAGCTGATATGAGTGGCTTATCGCAGAAGTGTTAGGCGCAACAGCTGCGGCTGCAGTCCTCGGAAGTGGTACATGCAGTTGGTGATTAGTCTCATTCTCAAGCACAAGCGCGTGATGCAGCACACAGATATAGATAGGTAAAGAGACAGAAACGTGCTGGGCCAAGAGGGAGAAAGATTGATGCGGCGTCTCCTTAACTTTAGATTATGCTCTGGACTGGCGCTTGGGACAGTGAGAAGTTGGCTTGAGCGAGCACAGATAGTTGGACCGCGAAACTTTCCAGCGTTCGAACTTTCGAATTATCTGGATTTCGACGGAGCACTTCGGAAGAACAGAGAGAAGGTTACACTTTCCCTCGACGATATTACTTTAGCTCTCCGTAATCCGACTAAGAGAGAGAGAGAGAGAGAGAGAGAGAGAGAGAGAGAGAGAGAGAGAGAGAGAGAGAGAGAGAGAGAGAGGCGTGTTAGGCTGGGGAGATATCGCGCGCGCGACAGAGAAAAACTTGCCCTTTTGTTATCGGGTGCACGTGGCCGGAATCGCGCGCGACGTGCCACTTGCAGGTTACCCTAGATCAACTGTCGGTCAATTTTTTGCTAGTTGCGCTGAATCCCAATACAATGTCTTTGCTCATCCTTCAAATTCATGACACACGAAGATCTGCTCGAACGTTGTATCGCCTTGACCTTGGTGGTAACTTCCTTTGAGAATTTCACGATAATCCAGAAGCAGTAAACAATTGCAGATTGAAGCTCACTTGAATTTTAGCTTTGCAAAGAGAAATTTCTTTTGCTGCGGTGTTTTTACTAATAGTAGTTCCAGCAGAGAAAAGTAATGTGCACTTGTGCCGCGTACTCGACGGTACGATCAATTTAAGAATTGATAAACTCGTCAATAAACGCTCAAAGAAATCAGTTTTGCCGACCGACGACTCGTCCAAGGCTGAAGAAGCGAAGAGCCATCGATATAGACGCAGTATAGATGCGTAACGACTGGCTACACGTCGATAAAAGTAAATGTGCCGTAAGATGCGAATGACACGTTAATCCGAGCGCGAGAGGCATTCATTCATTCATTCGAAATAGCCATGCCGCATGGGTGTGCGTATAGAAAACTACGGCTCGTGGCCGACCATTGTAAAAGTCATGCGTTTATATGCGTGCAATGCGATTGTCGCTTCATTATGCCGTTTTAATAGAGTTCTGCCCGCGAATAGTCTTATTATTTTGTTAATTGTTTGACGCCAGATATGATAACGTGGTGTAGGCGGATCGAGTGGACTGTTTAATTTAGTTTTGTTGTTTGATAGGATGGTGGCTTGTCGATTTCATCGATAACATTCGGTTCGTGATTTCAATCAATTGTTGGGAAACAATTCTCAGATTGACGACTATACTTATTGCAAAGCTATGTTAATAGATTTTGGCAAATTTAAGGAACTTGATGAACAGCGATTATACCATCGTCAAACTATTGATTTCATTATTCCCATGACAGATATAATTATTAATCTTAACAATGCATAATTTCATAGCTGAAAAATTGACAATGAGCTTTTATCGTACGTGAAAGACGAATTGAATAATCGCTAGTTGTATTAATCGAACTCAAATGAGCTCTCTCTCTTTCTCTCTCTCTCTCTCTCTCTCTCTCTCTCTCTCTCTCTCTCTCTCTCTCTCTCTCTCACTCTCACTCTCCCTTTCCCACGAGGAATGTAAATGCTAATTTTGTCGACGTTCAATTTGGCTATGCACTTATTGCTGCAATTGCTAATTTCGGTTCATTGATTCAAAAAATCAATGTAAATAAGTTACACTTGTATTTAAAATGGCCCATATTTTCCTAATCTTTTGTTTGACACGAGATAATTAGGGTTACAACCGGAAGCCACGCTAATTTAATTTTCATTAAAGTTCCATAGCGGCGCATCGAAAATCGATTATGATTGCATTTAAGGGATCACGGTTTAGCGTTGTTTTCGATCAGTTAATCAGTTTTTAAAAATAACGAATAGAGCGAGCAAACTTAATATGTTCAGCGCGACGCTGAGGCATTAAATCGAAATACACGTCAATCCCCAAATTCGTGTTACCGTCGAATTAATCTCTCTCTCTCTCTCTCTCTCTCTCTATAACAGCTCTTTTGGTTGCCGAAAATCTGCCTGCCGGATACGTACATTCGCGACACGACGCCTGCATAAATCGCTCACCTTAATCGCGATCAACAAACGTGACTTCTGCGTAGGCATCGCTAATTAGAACCGCGCGTCGGCCTAATTGATTTCTATTGCTAATCTGCATGTTGTATACCGACGACTGACGTGTCATGGCAACTGCTGATGTCACTGCGGAGGCATTTAAGCTTTGTTACTGTTTATTTGAGCCGCACTATATGAAGTAGTTACTGTTTTCACGAACGTCTCGTTTTACTCGTAGGTGCAGATCGAATTGTCTATATACTGGATACGTTATGTGTTGGTTTGTTTTTCTATCAGATAATTTAATGATACCGTTTGTTTTGTAATTAGACTTGTTTGATGGAATATTTTTTAATAATCGGCAAAACTAGGTCTGCCTGATCTTATTAAAGAAAATGAGCCAAGTGTAGAAGTGAAAATGTCTTCTTTTAAATCGCCATATATGATGTAATAATTTGAAAATACAAGATTCAGCAGGCTGAATATTTATTTTTGGTAAGCTTTATTCATTTTTGAGATCAATCAATATTTATTTTACTTTATTTATTTATAGTTTAGTCTTCTATAAAGACGATAACCAGGTGGAATAAGAACAAGCAATGCGCATTAATATGGAGGTTTCTAAAATCGAAAACATTAATAAACTGTAAATTATCGATAATCTATTGAAGCTATATGGACAACGGCTTCGAGATAATGCAAGAATAGCTTACTACCTGGAGAAACACTGAACGGGTGGGGTATCAAATATGCACTTTGATAAAAAATAGTTTTTTATTTAACCACTATGGGCACGAGTAGACAGAGGACAACTCGACGTGCTGTCTGCCCAGTGATGTGTCAGTATTCGCAATGTGGTTCTAGGTTAACATGCGTGCGTGACTTGATTATTCCAAGCGAGTGAAAAGCGTGCGTGTATATCTCACGTGTTCCTTACGTGCGTTGCAGCTCCAACGTCGAGTAAGGAGACTCCATTGCAGAGGTCCGGGACCCACGCAAATTTAGCGACAAGTCCAGCATCATCTCGACCTACTGTTTGCCGTCACAAAGGAAGCATGCCTTTTGCTTGCTTCTTATTCTACCACGAAGTACCAGTTTCGCTAATACAATCTTAATTACAAATCATTTTGGAAAAATAACTTGAATGTTTTCCTGAACGTAATTAGAAAAAATGCGAAAAAATGCTTAAAAAATAAATAAATAGAACTTGACGATCGCACTCCTTTCAACTCTCATTACGGTAAATTTCAGAAAAACCACATCCATCAATGTAATCACGAACAAGCGGATTAAAATAAACCACATTGATAAACAAATATAGAAGAGGCTCGTACATTTTTATTTATTTATTTTTCAAGCGCTTTGCTCAAATTCACTTATTTGATTAGTTCAGGGAAATGGAAGTCACATAATTAATATTTAATTGTGTGGTTTTCTATTTGCAACTGGCTATCTTAATATATTTCTTGAATATTTTGCAAGACACTTTTACCCCTTATTTGAAAAACTGATTGATTACTGTATTGAATATCCCACAGTTACAAATATAAAAGCCGCACTCGTATTACAAAAGCAGTTGTACGCATAAAGTTTGTGTAAAATAACTCAAAGCTTATTGAAATTGCAGATATAAGTGGTCTTACATAAAAACGATCAAAAATCGAGAATAAACGGGCCACCGAAGAAAACTTGCTTGGGTAGGGTTTTCAAAATTTCTCATTATTTCGTATAAAACAATAGAAAAAAATTCTGAAAATAATTCTAACGAGTTACAGTATATTTAGATATGACAATTAATCAGAAAAATTGATCACTTTTAACACAAAAATAAAAAAGAATGTCCAAAGAGGAAATCATTTGACTAATCACCGTTTTTTAAAGCTTCCTGTTCAAGAAAGCAAAAGTGTATATGTGCCGTAGACAATTAAATGCAAATTTACTAAAATGTTATACTGCGCTAAATTCAATTTCTTGCAATACGAGTAAATTGAAGGTAAGCCTTGAAAGTAGAAATCGATCATATATCCTTTGCTATCAGCAATCCTGCGCAAGATGGTTTCCTTACGCCTTGTATGCGAGAGAAAACGTAATTATTTTCCACCAGTACTGTTCTCTCTCTCTCTCTCTCTCTCTCTCTCTCTCTCTCTCTCTCTCTCTCTCTCTCTCTCTCTTTGTCTGCAGTAGCTGCACGCAATGCTCAAGAGTCCATTCTTGAAAAGGTAATCTTCTAAAGTGCGGCTTGCTGCTAGCTGGCTCTCGATATGACGACCAAGTTGATGCATACTAAACGAGAGAAAGGAGAGAATCGAGCGTTCTGAGTAATTGTAGTGGAGAGAATGATTCGATTTGCAATTAGTTGATAATAATGGACCGCAGAAAGTTTGAATTTGATGAGAAGATTGAGTGCGCACCAAGGGTTGGGTTTGAATAACGCAAGTTTCGGTCCATAAGCTTTTGGACGTATTGTTAAGTAAGTTCTGAACTTTGATTTTCAGGCCATTGAATTGTGCTTTTTTTCATTTAATATTTCTCAAATAATTGTAAATGTTCTTTTGCAAGTACATAAAAAATAATGAACATGGAGGTCTTTGCAAACACTTAAGCGTATGCAATGCAGCAAGTGAAACGATGCCAATATGATCATCAGGTTCGCGCGCAACAACACGTTAATTGTATCCTTGGTCTGATACTGTGAGTGATATGCCAGCATGTACATCGCGTCGGCTGAGCTTACTTATAATTAGCGAGATGAATGGCGCCGCTGTTGCTTATCAACTTTTGCAAGCTTTATCCTCCTTTCGCGTATCTAGATACTTTGATGTGTTCTGCGAGAGGAGAGGAGCATTTCGAAAGTTGTACCTATATCGGATATTTCATCCTTTCAGCGAGTGAGCGTATCTCCAAGTTTTCTCTACAGAGCGCCAAGTTGATTTATTAGTGATACTCATGGAAAAGGGGTTGAGATTCCATCGGATGTATACATACTGTATGCTGCTACAAAATAGATGTTGGCCATATGTACGTTGAAACTACGAATTTATATGAATAGAAAATTTATAGAAAATTTCTAGTGTCAAGCAAAGTATTTTACCATCGCTAGATTTTATTCATTTTTTCTACGTATATAATCTATTATTCTGATAACTAGCTGCGTAAAAACAAAGTATTTTTGGCTAGTGCAGTGAGAAGCGCCGGAATACGTAGTTATTTCAAGCTTTTACGATAAATAATAATAATAATTAATATTATGCAATTTTGTAACTTATCATTTCGAAATTTCACTGCTCATTAATTCCAATGGTAATTTATTTTTATTGCTTCCGTTTTGATTAAATAAACCCGTACCTGACTTATAAATATGCTTACTCGAAGACACGACACGGATAGAGAGACTGATTGCTTGACTGATAAATTTATTTTTCAATTTTGTTCAATACAATCTTTGTAAATATTACATTCTCTAGTTTGGTCAATGTATCACAGAAATAATATCACGCATTACAGTACAATCACAAAGATATAATACACGAGTAAATAAGCACACACACAGACACTTATTTCCTCAGCTAAAGAGCCTAAAATCAACAAAACTATACAGAACAAACATAAATATTTTATAATGAATTTGACTAAATTAGACTAGATTTAAGTAGGGAAATCATTTGCGTGATATTCGCGTGACTAAAAAAGATTTTTCTTAAAACTATTGATGCAGCAAGAAGAACCTTTAAAAACATTAATATCAATCGGATATGTTAATGAATAACTTCCGTAGCACTCATCACAGGCTTACGCGTCCAGCTCAAAAAAGTACGCTCGCGCTCCTCTCTTAAAGCCGTCCAGCGACGGCACATGTCTTAAAGTCCGGGGCAGAGAGTTCCAGAGTCGGGCACTCATAATTTGGAAGGATCTTCTGGCTATATCCGTCCTCGTCTCAACAACCCTCAACTCTGCCTGACCTCCTTCCTATCCGGATACCTTGACTTATGTTCGTTAAAGTACATAAGCCAAGTAGTCAGGCTCCTACATTCGCAAGGATTTATACATGAGCATGGAAGTGAAGTAATTCTTGCGCACACCTTCGAAAGGGAGAGACAGACCCATCACGTGGGATACGAAAAATATATCTCTCACACGCATTGCTGAGCCTTTGTATTCTCACTGTCTGTTCTGCCGAGGCCCCCAGACACACCACCGTGCAATACTTTATGTGCGGCTGGACCAGCGACTCCACTAATCTACGTCGGAGTAGCTCTGCAGTGCATGGTCTGATAAAACGCAGACCATACAGAGTTCTCTTAATTTTTTTTAAGACGAGGTCGATATGCGACCTCCACGATACCTTACAGTCGAGTACAACCCCTAAGCTAGTGAGCTGGTCACTAAAAGAAACGAAAAACCCATCCTGCACCTCAACACCCGAATCCAACCCGGCAATCCCTCCGCATATATCGTATGTCATTTATGTCCCTATTCGTCCCGAAAATTATTGCTTTGATCTTGTCAATCTTTTTATTCTTCGTTTAAGGTCGTTCTTTGTTATATGCAGATAAATCTGCAGGTCATCAGCGTAAAAGAGATGAGAAACCTCACGTCCTTTTAGGGCGTCTTTGAAGTCATTTATATATAAATAAAACAAAAGCGGCCCCTGCACCAAGCCCCGCGGCACCCCCAGATTCGTCTCCCGCCAGTCCGAGCTCCCACCTTTAGAGGTAACTCTTTAAGAGCAATCCTGCAGGTAGGACCTCAGCCACAAAACAGTAGCTCCGGAGAAGCCAAGAGTGCGAATATTGCACAAAAGTTTGGATGATGATATGGCATCGAATGCTTTACTCCAATCAAATAATAACAAGAGTGTCACCTTCTTTGTGTTAATGGCCATGTATACGGTGATCAAACACCCCCCAGCAAATGAGGACTTAAATATGGATACTACGTGCTCACATTACAGGATTATTACAGGAAATCTTTATATAATATTCTTCGAGTTTTTTGAATATTACTTGTTTATTGTAATTAATAAATGTTAATACTTTTAGATTTGCAAATGAGTTAAGGATACACAATGAATTTAACGTAGACTGAAAAATGCAGCGCAATCTTAAAATTCAGCATCAGTCAGCGTCGTGTTGATACTTTAGAACACGCATTTGAACTCTACGATTTGACTCTCAATAATCACTAGAGAGCAGCTTGATTGATCGTTTCGTGGATATTTCCTCTAGCAATAATGACGACGGAAGAAAACGCTTCTGTAAGCTTAGCACGTATGCCCATTCGATTTTGAAAAGAGAGAAACCACCTCTGGTTTTCTAAAAATCTGGGAATGATGGAGTGAAGTAACTTTTCGAACTTGGTCCGCGAGCTATATAAAAATCGTTATTTTTCATTTTATTTGCCTTCGATATCTTATTTTATTCATCGTGTGAATTGACTTGGTGAAAGGATTGTGGCATACCTGTAAAATACGAGTAGCTTTTTTCCTCAGAAGCCCTCGAGTATTATATATTTGTTAGGGACATTAAAGTAACGGCAAGAATACACAGAGATAGTACGGTAAAAGATGTTTTCTGCCGACATTTTAAGGTCCAACAGCTAGAATAAATGTATGCTCATTCTGCCGCGTAGTAAAATGTATTCAATGGCCATCTGACCAGGCCTATAAAATATCCTCGTTTTTTGAGAGAAATTTTGTTTACTCGTGCACATTTCTACACATCTCCTGGCAAGTGCTTGAGCCATGGATTTGCTCGCGATTTTGTTCTCTGTGTACTTTTCCGTCAAATCAACCGTAATCTGGTTCGACTGTTGCTCGGCTAACGTTCGAGGGGCCAATAAAAACTCGAGTGACGCGAGCCTTAAAATAAAAAAGCGCAAGTCGCGTCGCGGCAAATCCCAATCTTTAACTTACTTTGTGCTTTTGGTTTCATTCAACTTTTCTAATACTTCATTTTCTTTGTTTTCAGAGCGAATCAAACGTAATATTCGTTCGTTGACATCGTTCGCAACTTTATCTGACGCTACGATGCGCATCGGTTCGAGGCGAAGCTTCATTTGCGCTAAGAGCTGCTATGCTGTTATCCTATAG